TACAATCGCTTATTCTTTTATTAATTTGTCTATCACTTACTATAGCCCTTCCAAAATCAAGAAGATTGAATTAAAATACCAAAAGATAATTAGAGGAATCTCCAATAGACATATCAGGTAGTTGGGAACCTCTAAGAATATAATTTGAATATGTAACTGATACTGATGATGAGACAAGAGACTTTTTGGATAAAATCTTTTCAATATCAGGGACTTTTTTGTCTAAATATCTTCTAATAAGAAGAAGTTCAGATAAAATATAATTGCCTAAAAATGCACCAGATTAATTTAAAGAGTTTTTTTAAATGAGTGATAACTTGTTAACAGCGTCATATGATGCTGATCTGGTAATTATAATTAAATAATATAGGTATTTTTTGTTAGTACGATGAATGATAGTCAAGATAGTACTTTAGCTTTTTGTGCTCCTATTGTTTTTGATGATAAAACAAAAAGACCTATATTTGGTGCTATAGGATGGAATATGGCATATAGTGATGTTGGTACATTAACCAATGCAGGATTTGAAGCATAATTAGCAACGGCAGTTCATGAAATTATTCATGGTCTTGGATTTGTAGAGGATCTTTTTGATAAATATTATGATTCTGTAACTGGTGAGATTTATGCGGATGGTGGTAAAACAATAGAGAATGATGTTGTAAAGATAATAACACCTAGAGTTGTTGGATTTGCAAGAAAGCATTTTGCATGTGAAAGTATAACAGGATTACCAATGGAATAAGAAGGTGGAGATGGTACTGCAGGATCTCATTGGGAAAGAACATTATTTTATAATGAAATGATGACAGGATCAGATATGGTTAGTGATTTTGTTTTAACTGATTTCACCTTTTAATTATTATAAGATATGGGATATTATAGAATAGCTGAATATGTTCCTGATATATTAACATGGGGAGAAGGATAAGGATGTACTTTTTATGATTAAATGTGTGAATCTGAATTTCCTGAATTTTGTTCAGATGAAGGAACTTAAGGTTGTGCAATAACTCATAATGGAATTGGAGTATGTATTAGTGAAAATCTATCGAATAGTTGCAAATATTATTAAATAGATCCAAATTTAGATTGTAGAAATGCTAATTCTATTGGATATGCTGATAATGGAGCTACATTTTAAGATTTTGGTTATAAAAGCATGTGTGTTGTAGGAGGATTTGCAGCAACTAATGGTACTCCTAAAGATTTCAGTTGTTATGAATATACTTGTGATGGTTCTTTTACTATAAAAGTAAATGGTTAATCTATTGATTGTTCATCTGGAGGAGTTAAAACTCTTTAAGGAATGAGTGGAAGTATCACTTGCCCAGAAAACTTTACACAATTTTGTAAGAATTCTGATGAATGTCTTAATTAATGCAATAAAAGAGGATTTTGTATGAAAGGATTTTGTACATGTTATGGAAATTATTATGGATTGGGTTGTGAATTAGAAAATTGTAGCAAAGTTAGAAAAGGCACTGAATGTGTTGATTCTTGTCCTTCTGGATATTTTCTAAATCAAAATATTAATTATTGTATTGGATGTCCAGGAGTAAATATTTTTAATATATCTTTAGAATTGTGCTTCTTGTTCTTCATATAATTTGTGTACATAATGTAATGATGGTTATGAATTAAGAGGAGGATTCTGTGATTTCTTATCTGAAGGCCATTCAAAAATTTTAAAAATCATTCTATTTTTAACAATAATTTTAATATATTGATTTATATAGAATTATTTTATTATATGTTCATATAATATATTTAATAATTTTAATTATTATATAATCTATTAATTATCACATTATGTTGCATGCACAACATTATCCTTTTACTTAAGGTTTACTTAATTCTATTTCCTTCTAAGTTAATATAGTATAATATTAAGATTCAAACATGCTTAAATAAGCACTCTCTACCATGTGATTCTTTTATATACTTTCACCCATTTATTTAATTCCACTCTCAATCATATTTCTATGAATACTTTCTCCCATACCTCGATAAGTATTTATTATTGGCCTACTATTTAAATAATCTATTACCATAAATTAACTGTATTTGGTAATGTTCCTTTATATTTTAACATTAATTAATCTTCATTTATGTATTCTTATAAATAGCTTGGATCCTTACAAAATTGAATCTTTTTTGCCGTTTCTGGTTGCATCAATCCTTTAATTTTAATATTATTTATATTTTTTACTCTCTACTAACTTCCATGCCGCTACTAAAAAAAAAGGAGGATTTAATAGATGTAATTACTCCAATGATGCTGTGTAGTTAGATTATGTTACATCTATTATTTGTTTTATAATCTTTAAAATTATTAGTATTCATTTTTACTTAATGTGGTAATCTAAATATACTGATATCATTCAGATCTACAATTATTCTCCATTTTTCTACATAATAAGGTACTAACATAAACTTTTATATGTAATTTAATAACACACACATAGCATTTAGTATTGGTGGTAATTATTCCTATTATTATTATTAATAATATATTACAATATTTGTACTTATTTTTGAAACCTATATAAATATTAATGGTCTGAATTGCTTATCTCTTCCCAAACTAAAGATTACTCCTTTTTTCTAAAAATACTATTAATTAAATTACTAAAATTTCCTCTCCAGCTTAAGTTAGAATTTAGTAATCTGGATCCTCTTTCCATTTCAAATACTTTATTAATGTTTAAAAAGCTAATTCCATATCATCATTGGCAGAATAACAAAATTTTAATGCAGTTTGTTTATCCCAATCTTATGGTAGTTAAACTTTTCTCTTTTTTATCAAATTCTATAAATTTTATATCATTTCTTCCTCAATATCTTCAAATTCAACATTATAAAACACATTTCTTTTTAATTTCCCTTCAACTTCATATTTAATATATTAATCTTGTTAAAAGCAATTATACCTGCATGTTTTATTTGCATAGCTTATTTAGGAGGTTTAAGGTAACTGAAATCCATTAAATGTTTTAAAATAAATAATTGTTAAAACAGAGCACAAAAAACTAATTTCTATTTAATTAAAATATATATGACAAAAAACTTACTCTTAAAAAGAATCAGATAATTTATTGTTATATTTTTTTTTCAATGGAGAATCAATGTTTTTTATTCTAATAAAAAAACTAGAAATAATATTAAACACTTTTCATATTAATTTCATGTATAAAATATAATTAACTTAGAACCAAATCTTTTTTATTTTGAATGTAACTCATTAGGTTTCGTTATCCATTCTATCTAAATTATTAGAACTTGGTGTATTTTAATATATAATGACATTTCTTCCACTATCTTCTATTTTTAATACACTTGGTCTATTCTGTTGTCGTTTGATTTTTCTAAAATGTTAATGATTTCTATTTATAGTACTTTTTTAATTAGAAACATAATGAACTAATATAGTGTTTTTTGATTGGTGAATCTTCATCAATATATTCTCCTAAAGGACACGAATTATTTGTTGGATATAAATCATATAAATGTTTAGAATCACCTATTATTTAGAGATCATTTATCATATTTAATTTATTTTTAATATCTAATTATCATTATTCCGAATTTCTTGCACAAACCTTTTAGAAACAATTGTTTTATGAAGTATAATATTAATATCTCTATCTTTCACATAATATTTATCAATTCATTATACAATATAACAAATTGTCTACAATAATAAAGTTATAATACTATTTATTTCTTAATTAAATTATATTCTCCTTTTCCTATGAATAAAAAGAACATAACATTTAGTAAACTAAATCAAAACTAAATTTAATTTATTATTCACAAAACATGTTATTATTAAAAATTATATAATTAAAGTTTCCTTTCAATCATGAAGAAGGAAATTGTGTAGTTGCTTCAAATTTTCTATTTTTTAAATTAGAATAAATAAAAAATAAACTTGAAAAATAATATTTTGTTTAACTTTAAATCATATATTTAAATTATTTTTCTCCTTTACTTAATCATTATCATAATATTTGGCTTTTTATTTTACAGAATAATATTAAAATTATCTATGAGTTAAACATTATAGATTAAACCAAAATTTTATGCTGATTATAATAAAAATCAGCCAAAAGAATATTGGGATTATGATAATTTTGAAAATGAGTGGAATGTAAAATTGCATAGATTGTTAGGATAGTGATTAATATGAAATTGTAAGGAAAATTGGAAGAGGCAAATATTCTGATGTATTTGAAGGTGTTAGATATCCATAACATTAAAGAGTTGTTATAAAAGTACTTAAACCAGTCAAAAAAAGAAAAATAAAAAGAGAAACAAAAATTCTTTTATCATTAAAAGGACATCCGAATATTATTGAATTAAGTGATATGGTACGTGATCCAGCATCAAAAACTCCATGCTTAGTATTTGATTATATCGAGCATGTTGATTTCAGGAGCATATTTCCAAAATTAACAGATTATGAAATAAGATTTTATCTATAAGAATTGATGAAAGCTTTAGATTTTTGCCATTCAAGAGGTATAATGCATAGAGATGTTAAACCTTAAAATATAATTGTAAATCCATAAAAGAAATTATTAAAATTACTCGATTTTGGATTGGCTGAATTTTATCATATAGGATAAGATTATAACGTTAGAGTTGCCTCTAGATATTTCAAAGGACCAGAATTATTAGTAGATAATCTGTATTATGATTATTCTTTAGATATATGGAGTAGTGGAGCTATGTTTGCAAGCATGGTAAATTATTATTTATACTTTTAAGATATTTAAAAAAGAACCATTTTTTTAAGGAAATGATAATTATGATCAATTAGTAGTTATAGCTAAAGTTTTAGGAACTGAAGATTTATTAGCATATCTAAAAAAATATAGACTTAAATTAGATCCAGCTTTTGATCATAAATTAGGAAAGTAAATTTAATAAAATATTTATCAAAGTTATCCAAAAAGAGATTGGTAAAAATTTATTAATACAGAAAATAAACATTTATGTTCAGAAGATGCTATAGATTTGTTATCTAAAATGCTTATCTATGATCACGTAATAATAATTTATAGCTCTAATTATTAGGCTTTAAGAATTACACCAAAAGAAGCTTTAGATCATCCTTATTTTATACCAATTAAAGATTAAAAAAAATGAATGTGGTTTTTATATATGAGTTTTAAATATCAAATTGTAATAAATTATCATTTTCCTATTTATGTTAATGATGACGAGGATTTACTCTTATCCAATTGCCTTATAAATCTATTTAGAATTCATATTTACTTTAAACCTTCAACTGCTTTATCTCTTTATCTCAATAAACTTAAGTTATATTTATGTTTATTTATTTCTCTATTTAATTATAAGTTTAATTTTTCTTAATATTACTTTTAGATGTTTTCATGTCTTACTTCATTCTCTTCAATTTAATTTTTTATTTTTGAAAATTTATTATCTAAATCATTCTATTTTTTTTATTACAAACTTTACAAATATTCCTTCTTTTATTTTAATTTAACCTAAACTTATTCTCCTCTATTTTAATAATATTCTTATTTTGATGAATATCTCTCTCTTTAGAGTTATTATTTTTAAGTCAAATCTTCTTAAGAATGAGCAGATTTTATTGTTTTATAAGTGCTTACTCTTCTAAATTTATTAACCACATAAACCAAATTATTATTGTATTCTTATTACTATACTTCTTCTTTCTTATGTAATAATTATGGTAATCTAACAGACCATAAATCTACCTTTGATTATTTATTATTATTATTGCTCAGAGCTTCACTATTTCTTTCTGTTTTTAGTAATTATAATTTGGCTACTATCTATTTATTAAAATCACCTTCTTATTTTATTTAAATTGCTTTTTATTATTTCTCTTAATATATTTAAGATTATTATTAGAGTTGTTCAGAATATTATTGTTTCATTTAATCAATTTTCTTATCTCTAAATAAATTTTATATAATACAAGTTTATTGATGCTTGTCTGTCTATTTCTTTTCTTACTTATGATTGTTTTAAATTTTCTGCTTAAGCTTTTTTAACTTTACTTTATATTTCAATAGTTTTTGAATTTTATTCTTTTGCTCTTTCCTTCCTTTCTTAAATAGTCAGTAATCTCTTTTATCTTTTTTTTTCTGTTCTTTTCTTTAAGGATGATACAAATTCTATTTATTATTCTACTTCTTTCTTTTCCTATTCTTCTTATTATTATCTTATCTTTTATAATCTAGCTTAATATTTTTAACTTTTATTAAAATGAGTCTCAATCCAACTCTCAATCATATCAGTTGGACTTTTTAAATGTTCACTTAATTAAATACTATCTAATATGTAGATTTTAGTACCTGCTTACACTTTAATCTAAATTATGAATAGGTTTTTTTTTTATCATTCTTTATTCATGTTTTAATTTATTTCTATGTAAAATAACTTATTTTCTTAATTATGCAATTTAAAGCTAATGAATCAAGAATCTTTTTTCTGTAATTTAAATTATTTCTCCTTATATTCTGAAATCAGGAAGTTCTCTATTATATAATAAAATAAAAGAAATTACTTTTATATAAGTTGATCATATTGTATTTGGCAAATTTCGAGAGATTTTTTTGTTTTTGGAGAATCAGGATTAATATTTAAAGTATTTATAGTAGTAATAACATTGTTTAATTTAATTTCTGTATCAATCAAATAATTTTACTCAATTGTCCTAAATAATCAATAAAATGAAATACATAGGATTGCATGAATAAATTTGTTCTTTAGATAACTTGGTAGGCATATTAATAATTTTTCTGAATGATAGATCACCTCCAACATCATTATCATTTAATTGCATGAATTAATAAAAATTTATAATAATTGAATTTGATAAGTATTATAATTTGCACTACAATATATAAATAAAATTATTTTTTTAGAAAGATGGAAGGTATGATTTGATGATATGATATTATATAAATAATTATAAAATTAATTATATATTTGGTTATAAGTATAAATGAATTGTATATATCCGACCACGTGTTTATGAAATTAAGAAAAATATCTTTATTATTTTAATGTCAGGACCTGTGTTTAAGGCAGCAGCAAAATGGACTGGAAGAAAGATCAATGTAAAGAATACAGTAGTAGAATTGGATGGAGATGAATAAGCAAGAATAATTTGGAAGATGATCAGAGAGAGATTGGTTTTACCTTATTTGAATGTGAATTTAGAATACTATGATTTAAGTATGGAACATAGAGATAAGACTGATGATAAGGTATATTATTTTGATAGAAAATAAAGGTTACATTCGATTCAGGATATGCTATCTTAAAACACAAGGTTGGTGTAAAATGTGCTACAATTACAGCTGATGAAGCAAGAGTTGAAGAATTCAAATTAAAGAAGATGTGGCCATCACCAAATGGATCAATTAGAGCAATCTTAGATGGTACAGTATTTAGAGAACCAATTATTTGTAAAAATATTCCAAGATTGGTTCCAGGATGGACTTAACCAATTGTAATTGGAAGACATTCATATGGAGATTAATATAAATGTTAAGATGTTAAACTACCAGGACCAGGAAAATTAGAATTAGTATATACACCAACTTAAGGTGAATAAGTTAAGAGAACAATTTTTGAATTCAAAGGAAAAGGTGGTGTAGGATTAGGTATGTATAATACTTATGAATCAATTGTAAATTTTGCTCATTAATCATTTTCATATGCTTTAATGAGAAAATATCCATTGATGTTGGGAACCAAAAATACTATATTAAAATAATATGATGGATATTTCAAAGATATTTTCTAAGAAATATTTGAAACAAAATATAAGAAAGTATTATAGTAATATAAATAATAGGATTTTGATGCTAATAAATTATGGTATGAACATAGATTGATTGATGATTTGGTTGCTTAAATGATGAAATCCTCAGGTGGATTTGTTTTAGCTTTAAAGAATTATGATGGTGATGTTTAATCAGATATTGTTGCATAAGGATATGGATCATTAGGTATGATGACATCAGAATTGGTTGCTAATGATGGTGTTTATGAATCTGAAGCTGCTCATGGAACTATCACTAGACATTATAGAGAACATTAAAAAGGCAAAGAAACATCTACTAATTCAGTTGCTAGTATTTATGCATGGACAAGAGGTATTTATCTATTGTTATTATTCTTAGGTCTCAGACATAGAGGAAGATTAGATAATAACTAAGAATTAGTCAAATTTGCTGAAACTCTTGAATCATCAATCATTTAAACCATAGAATCAGGTTTGTTCACTAAAGATTTGGCTTTGATTGTTCATGGTCCAAAAGCTGATAGATCAACTTATTTGAACACTGAACAATTCATTGATGCTGTTAATGGATAATTATAATCAAATCTTGGATTTTTAAAATGAGATATTATAATCCCCAAATATAATAAAATAATTATTCTTCTTCTTTTACTTAAATAATTTTAATAGTATTTTTAATATTTTATGAGTGACCCTAATATTATTCAAGAAACCCATCACAAACTTAATCAAATTTTTAATTCAATTAAATTAGAAAATGTATAAACTCAACAAACACTTAAAACTATTACAAATACTAATAATTTGATTGCTTAAGTCAGGCATTGTAAATCATTAGCCTAACTCTTTCACAATGTCTAAAATCTTAGCTAAACTCATTAATTATTTAAAGAAATTAAAATTAATAATCTATCCATCTAACTTAATAATGATGTAGTAATATATACAAAAGAAGATGGACATTGCATTGCTAAAGTTATTGAAATTATTGGAGTTGTCAGATTTTAACAATTTACTCCTATTATTAAAATTTAATGGTACTACTCTAAAAAAGATTTAAAATAAATTATTGGAAAATATTTAGATTGTATTAGTCAAAGGGAATTATTTCTATCTGATTAATACGATTATATTTAACCAGATACAATTGTTGGTGAAGCTTAAGTTTAGGAATTAAAAGAATTTGAATAGAAAAATCTCACAAATGGTTTCATTTTTTTTTGTAGGTATTCTTTATATTTTTCTTAAGATCCTTTTATAAAAATGAACAAATCCTTCCACCTATTTAGAAATGGGAAAAACATTGCATATGCAGATTACCAATGAATCCTGATAGGAAATATTTAATGTGTGATATTTGTTAACAATCTTATCATAAAGAATGTGTGGCTTAAAATAAGATTGTCTAAAAATTATATGTATGTGCTTCATGCAGGAAATCAAAATGATTATATTTAAGTTAACTTTGGCTTAGTATCAATTATTACATGAAAACATTAATATATAATTATTAAATATGGCAGAATAATTTAATGCATCCCTCATTTAATAATCAGAAGAGATTATTTAATTGAAAAAAGAAGAATTCTTATAATTCTTCGATAAGTAAGGTTATAAACCAAACTCTGTTTTTGATGATTAACTTTGGTTTCTTCCTGAAATCAATAAGGCTTATGATCATATTTTATGGATAATTATTAATGATACCATAGGTTATGATTATAATAAAGACGAACATGTAGGATTCTATATTTTAGATAGTTCGAAACAGATCAAACGATTGAAACTTTTGTTCAAAGGTTATTAGATGAAGTTAAAATGATACATCTAAAGATAGTTGATTTTAAAAATAATATGGATTATATTAAAGATGAAATAGTTAATTTAGAAAAGTTTACAAAGATAATTGAGATTAGTAAGAATTAATCAATACTATGATAGACAAAACAGAATATAATTAAGAAAATGCTTTTGTAATATCATATGTAGATGAAATAAATTAAATAAATGAGATAGGAAAAGTAAATTATATTTTAGATTAAAGTTTTACCAACTCAACTATAAGATTGGCACAATCAATTAGAATTATTAATTATTATACCCAGAGAATTCAAATAGATCAACTTGTATTTCTAATGATAACATAATTGACTAAATCATTATTGTAGTGATGGGAAAGAGATTAAAAAATAAAATAGGAGATTCCAAAACTTAGAAAGAAGATTATAAAGAATTAGCCTAAATAAAAATATCTATTTAAGATATCTATCAATTAATAAAGGCTAGACATTTTGCACTACCAACAATTCCCCAATGCTATTTAGCTGTTAATTATTAAGATTAAAGTTTAGATGCTCCTTATTGTGAAAATGTAACAATAAATTTACGTTTTGATTTAAGACTCTCTTATTTAAATAGAATTCAAATAATAAAAGAATAAAAACAACATAAATCTGAACTTTTATAAGTAAGAAAAAAAATTAATCTTTATTAGAGATTTGAAGAAAAATTAGAAAAACATTTAGGTTTAATGTAATAATTACTATCTCCATTTAAATCTGAACCTAAATTACATTATGTTCCAGCTTAAGGAATAGGTTTATAATCAGATTTTCAGAATGATAATATACAATAAAATGAAAAAAATAATGAGGAAATTAAACCTTCAAAAGATAGAGATTCCTGCTGCTTTATATATTGAATTAAATATTAATATGCTAATCAAATAAAAAATCATTTATAAATTCTCTATAGCTGCACTTCTTCAGCCAGTCTATAATCCTTATTGGGTATCTTATGGAACAGAATAAATAATAAAAAAACCAGATGTATTAGATAATTTGTTATAAACAGCTATTTCCATTTTAACTTAAGATAATACAGAAATAATTAAATAATATAAGAAAGATCTAAAACAACCTAAATAAATTAAACATAACATTGAGTTTTTCAATAATATTGAATGGAGTTTATTGGAACATTTATTGTTATTGCGAAAAGAATTAGATGATTAAAAATTTAAGTTTGTTTTCAATCCTAATTTCAAATATTAGACTTAATGGAAATAAATTGGAGAATTAGAAATATATGGATTATCTCCTTATCGTCATTAAAATCATTTCATTCATGAATATATTTATAAAACAGAATAAAATAAAGTAACATTTGAAGTCAAACCATAAATACAAGAAAGGTCAGATATTGAAGAAAAATCTGAGAAATTAGCAAAACCAATATTAGATTCATTAGAAAAAGAAAAATAAGATGTTGCTGGATTATTTGGAAGAGCAAGAAATTTTATTAATAAAGTGAATAAATTGGTGATAAATGAAAATAATTTTAAATAAGAGAATACTTAATTTAGTTGGAAAAAATATGTATTAGAACCATCAAAATCTGATAGAATTTTAGTAAGAGATTATGAATATGAATTTGAAGGTATTATGACTATTTAAGATTAAAATGGTCATTATTTATCTGATACTAAATTCATAGAATAAATTTAACCTAAATTAAATAAAATATAAATAAGAACAGAGTCTTGGTTGGAAACTAAAGAATCAGATTCAACTATAAAAGGTAAAAGACAGGTGTTATCTGATTTAAATTGTATATTAAGAGGTAATCCATGGGTTTGGGTTAAAAAGTTTGATGAAGAGGAACTTTGAGTATTGTTTATAAGTATATACAAATAAGTTATACACAAATAAGTTATGCAAAAATAAGTTATTATTATTCAATAATAATGTAGTTATAATAGTAGATCTTCTTCAGGATTATTTGTATGAGTATTCCAGCCTTCTAAATTTTAAGGCCAAGCTATCCATTTATTTTATTTTGTTTTTTCAAAATTTCCTTGACTAATACTTCTTTGAGTGATTTATTATGATTATAATTTTCTTATAAAATAAGGTGAATTAGGTTCACTAGGTTATTTTGTTGATGCTAAACATTTTGGTGTTTCATTATAAACATCATCAATTACCATAGATTGTTTATCTCTAAATTTTAAATGGGGAATTTGTAACATTTATTTTTCTTATGAATTTTATGACTTAGAAATCTTATCTTGAATTGCTATTGGAATTTAAAATATTTTAAATTTCTTATCTGATCGATCATCATTAGATCTCATAGATTTTAAATCACTTTTTACATCAATGACATAAAATCCTTCTTTAATTTACAATTTTTATGATTGAAATAACTATTTAGATTTTCCTGATTTAGAATTCATTATATCTTTTCTTAATTAAATGATCTTCTTTTCTATTGATAGTTTTCTATATCCATACTATTGTGGTTATTTTGTCATTTGAAATGATTATTTTGTAGGAGATAATGTATATGGCTTTAAAAGAGTTGGAACAGAATCTCTTAATGTAGGTATATTAAATTGATTTTTAATAGAGATTTTTTGTTCTAAATGAAGTAGATGCAATGCTTTCGTAGTTCTTGAAGTTTTAGAAGAGTTCATTATTATATATATTAAATCACAAATTAAATTTAGAGAGTTCCTGCAAGAGTTTAGGATCCAATTAATTCTATAAAGGTTATTAGTCTATTTACAATGGATCATCAAATTAAGTCAGAGAATGGTGACTACCACAAACTTTAATACCAAATATATCATCTTCTTCATCTAATTTAATTGAATTTCTGTTCTTATCATCAAAGGCTCCAACTAATTATATTGTATTTGCTTCATTTTATTTGGCCCTATTATAAATATTAGTTGATGATTCTAATTTAAATTACCTTAATTTAGATTTGAAATCTTAAATATCCTTATCTTATTTGATTTTGATAGAAAATCTTAAATTTATATCAGAACTTTGAGTGGTTTCTAAAATAGAATCAATTTATTTGCTCAAAATTAAAGTATTTTGTAATTCTTAACTAAGAATAGTGGCACTATTAATTAATGATTTATTTAAAATATCACTATTTTAACTAATTCTGCTAGTATCCATATCATCTTTTGTAAACTTTTTAATTAATGGTTTTTTTGGAGTTTAAGCATTAGGTATCCATATATGTTTTAATGCTTCAGAAGCTGTTAATCTTTTAAGTGGATTCCACATCAAAAGTCTTTTTATTAAATCTCTGCAACTTGATGATAATTTTAAGAACTCCTCTTATTTAAAAGCTTATTACATTGAATTACTAATTGAATATATTTAAATTAAATATATACCTATTTGATAACTAAGCTACAATCTCTCCTGTGTATTCAGAAATAAATGGTAATGAACCTGTTAAAGATTAATACAATGTAACACCTATAGCCCATAAATCAATCTATTGATTATATCCATAAGATTAACTAAACATTATTTCAGGTGCACGATAATTAAGATTTCCAGTGACTGTTAACATTTAATTTTTTACGTATCGAAAAGTGCTATTATTATAAGTTACAAATCTTCTAGATACCCCAAAATCGATTAATTTAACTGAACAATCACTTTGAATAACTATTGAAATACTTCAAATCTACCAGTATGTTATCTGGTTTAATATCTCTGTGACATACACCACAACTATGTAAACATCTAACACTTTTTAATATTGCATTTGCTATTTTTTATACTTCTTATTCTTTTAACTTTTTTTTCTCTAACAATATCGTTTATAAATTTTGATATGGTACATATTCCATTAACATATAAATTACATTTATATCTATATATAATTTGTAACATTTTGCAATATATGGACTTTTTATGATTGTAGAATTTATGAATGTTTATCTAACTATTTCTAATTGTTCTTCATCAATTGTTTTTATTATTTTTACAGCAAATAACATTTATGGATTGTCTTTTTTCCAACACAATTTTACTATTCCATGTGTACCTTCTCCTAATTTTCTTCCTAAAACAAACTCATCATTAAAATTCGTTTAATTAACATCAATTTAATTGATATTCACACTTTATACATCCTCGTCACTAAATTAAATTGATTATTATAGTTATCCTATTAAAGGTGTTTAAGTTTTTCTATGTGGTTTTTCTGCCTCTATTGGTGATATATTACGAGCAGAAACTAAAAATCCTTTTAATTTTTCCATTTGCTTATGAAAATTGGTCTATACTACTAAACTCTATATCATTTATAATTATTTTAAGTAAAATTAACTTATTTAGTTTGCATATTCAAAATAAGTATTTATTTCATTTCTTCTAAGTTATATTTAACAATAGAACTTTTTAATTAAACCTAAAATTATGTATTAAATTTATGAGTATTATCATTTGCTTTAATATTTAGAATTTTATATCTAAATCAAGTTTAAAATAGAAATAATATAATTTATATTTAAAAGAAAAATAAAACTGTCGAAATTAAGAAGATCGATTATCAATAATAATTTTATTTAATTAAAAAAAAAAAAGTTATAAGTTCACCCAAATAAATAATGAAGAAATATATTAATTTAATAAGATTTTTAAATTAATTACCTTGAAAATTTTCTTTGATTAGAACATAATTTTTTAATTAATATACAGAAAATATATAATTCAAAAAAACTTGTAATAGATTTACTAGAATAAATTTTTGGTTATTATTTAAAGAAAAAAAGTAATAGGGAATAGAAAAAAGATATGTGAATAATAGAAGAAATTGAATAAAAAGAAGAGTATATATAAGTAATGTAAACAAGAGAAACTATTAGAAGATAAAAAAAGTAATAGAGAATAAGAATGTGAAAATATTTGGATATTATATCATTTAATGTTATTTTCATAAAGCAGTAAGCTTTTATAACTTAAATTTTATTATAAAATCTATAATTATAATATATATAAAGAGTTGCCATTTTTTATCAAACATTATTAGAACTTATTCATTTAATTTGAAATAAAATTTAGTAAAAACCGACATCATTTTAATATAATCTGTTAAGAGAAAGAAATTAAAAATTTATTTTGATGGGTGTTTTAATAAAACTCTTTATTTCGGCTTCAATCATTAGACAAAGAATTTCAATTTTCAATATAAAAATTTTTGAAGATTAATTGATTTTTCTATTGGGAATTATGGTGAAATTAAAAAATAGAAGAATAATCTAAATAATGTGTTGTTTATTCTATTTATTATATCATTCTTAATATTTATAACAATATTTAATACTTTATTTTGATAGTTTTTTTTAATCTAAGAAATTGATAGAGTTATGTAAAATTTAAATAATAATTTAGATAGAATATAACATAAAAAGGACCTCTTGTTTTTTATTAAGTATGCTATAGTAGATCATTAATATTTATAGATAAATAATGGATCACTTAAAATAAATTTTTCTAATAAACTTATATGCTGTGCTCAAAAGTAATTTAGGATAATTACATCATAGATAAATATTTATTGGAATTCTCGATTTGTAATTCCTTAAAAATAAACTTTAAATTATATTATAAAAATTATATGTATATTATACATCATTTCAGTTAATACTAATATAATATTGAATAAATGATATCAAAATTTTGGTTTTACCTGAATATTTTAATTTAGTTAACTTTGCAGATTAGCAACATAATAAGTATAAATTGGCTTAATTATGGGAGTATTAATAAAATTCTGAATTTTAAGAGAATGATAAAATAATTATATAATATTTGATGAAATTTATTATTTTCTTAGCCCTCTTAGTGGCAATAAATAATTCATTTAATCTAAATCCAGTGATAGGAATATTGACAATACCATCTGATGAAGATTATATAGAATACCCAAAATCATAATATTCATATTTCGCTGCTTCATATGTGAAATATGTAGAATCAACTGGTGCAAGAGTTATTCCTATACCATATGAAGCTGATGAAGCAACTTTAGATAGATATTTTTCTTAGATTAATGGGTTATTATTAACAGGAGGTACTTTAGCTTTGGAAACAGAGTCAGGACCATCTAAGTATTTATAAACAGTGACATATCTATTAAATAAAGTTATAGAAGCAAATTAACAAGGAGATATATTTCCATTATTTGCTGTTTGTTTAGGACATTAAACATTGCATTTCATTTTATCTAATAAAGATTATGATGTATTAAGTCCTGCTTCAGGAATGGGAAGAGTGAATAAAAAATTAACATTTACAGATAAGTAAAGTACTATGTTTATTGATTTAAAAGAATAAATTTTTACATCAATAGAGACTGAAGAATTAAGTATTTCTACTTATTATTGTAGTATATTTTAATACTGCTTGGGGAGTGTTACCTTCATATTATGAAAGTCATTCTGTTTTAAATAATTTCTTTAAAATAGTTGCTTTAGTTTAAGATTAAAAAGGTGTTGTTTCTATAGCTGCAGCAGAAGCAAAATAATATCCAATTTTTTCATTTGGATTTCATCCAGAAAAACCTATTTTTGAATTTAAAACTCCATCCAAACATAAATTTGAATCCATCTAATTTGGTCGAAATTTAATTAATCAATTTACTCAAATTGCTAGAGAAAATAATCATAGTTTGAAAGATTCAAATTCAGTTATTTTTAAATATAATCCTATTTAATTGGAGAGTGCTTCATTTTAATAACTGTATTTTTTTTAATTAGGAGAATTAAGCATATGAGTGAGTATTAATAATAATAAATTTATAAAATATTGATATTTAAAAGAACTCTATCATTTGTTATAAAATTCTTTTTAGTATATATAATATATAGTATATAATTACTTATATTTAAATATCTTATTTATAATTCTTTAAGTTATAAGTAAATTTTTTTTGAATTGTTGTATATATTAATTAAATGAGAAAATTATATTAACCTCTAAAAGCACCATCATTATCTCCTCCTTCTCATCAAGTATCAACTTATTTAGATAGACAATAAAGAACAGGAGATTAATTTTATAGATCATTCCCTCATTCAAGATCATAATTGGATGAAGCTAGATCAAGATGCAATTTCTCATCATATTATGAATAAGCTAGTGAATAAAAATAAATTACAAATTAATTTAAATCTAATGATTGGAATTGTAGAAATGAAAATGAAAAATACAAAAAATAAATTGAGATGTTAAATGAATAAAATGCTAAATTATTGAAAGACTTATAAATTTATAAGAATTCATAAATAGATAAATTTGACAATGATCATCAAAATTTAAATAAATTAATGTAAGGATATCAAAGAAAAGCTTAAGAAAGAAAAGCTATCATGAAATAATTGTATGGTATCTTAAAGACAAAAGATTAAGAAATTGAAGAACTTACTTAATCTTTTGAATGTTAAATTGATGATATGAACAATAAAATGATTTAATTAAAAGAGTAGTGTGATTTATAAATGTTTCAACAAGAAGATAAAATTAAATCAATCGAATAAGTTATAAATAGTATTTTATATTTAAAACAATCAAAATTATAAGAATTAGATAGTAAAGAATAAAAAATGAGAGATATTCTATAAAAATTACTTAAGAGATAAGAATCTAAAGAAAAAATAGATGAAGTTAAAAATATCCTAACTTTTATTGCTAAAGAAAAATTAAAATATTAATTAAAACTTCCAGATCATTCATAATAATAAAACAATTTATCAAAAGAATATTAAAAAATAGTAACATAATATGAATCAGTTATGATCTAAATTAATAGATTCAATTAACTTATTAATGATTAAATTAAACCAACATATACAAGTGAAGATTCTATTTATCAACTCTCTTATAACATTAAAGAAATTATAAAATTAAATTCTAATTTGTAAAAAGAATAAAAAGAATAACAAGAAATCTTAACTAAAAATGTTAATAAACTTGAAAAATACAAAAAGTAAATGGAATAAAAAAATGCATATATTGATTCATTAAAAATGGATATTAAGAATATAAATTAATAATTACAAAAATAAGAAACAATAAATTCATTGAATGATTGTATTAAAAAATAATCATAATAAATTGAAATTCTTTAACAATAAATTATTGAATAAAATAAAATACTAGAATAAAATGAACTTATTATTGCTAAATAATAAGAGAAAGAAAATTAATTATTTCAAGAAATCAAAATGATCAAATGTGAAAAAGTTAAATCTTTATAATAGGATGAAGATGATTAAATAAAATATAAGAATATTATAAATGATTTAAATTAGCAAATTGATGATTTAAATACATAATTGGAAAATATGTATACAGAATAAGCACAATTATAATAATAAATTGATGAATAAGAAATTGAATATAAAAAGTCTTAAATCTAATAGACAAATACAATATAAAAATTATAATTAGAAATTAAAAAGCACTAATAACAAATAGAGGATAATAAAATTCAATTTAATTAATAAATTAAGTTGTAATAATAGTAACATAAATAAATATAGTAAGAATTAATAAACAACTAAAACTAAATTTAAAATTAATTGAATGATTATTTGCTGATAATAGAAAATTTAAAAAATAAGGACAATTTAAATTCAATTCTTGAAAGCCTAATAGATAATTTGAATTTAGTTATAAAACAGAAATTATTATAGAATCTTAAATCTACATATAATTTAGCATCAAGCCCAATTAGAGGAACTGCCAAAAGTTCTTCACCATAAAGATAGATATTGCATCATAACAATAATTAAATTGATCTTTAGAAGATACATACTACTTTAGATAGTGTGTCAGAATAATTTTAAAATAGAATCAATTTACTGATTAAAAAAGACGAAAAAAATTAAGAATTGATTTAACATTATTGTCTATAAATAGAAGAGTCTTAATAAACTATTTAATAATTATGTGATGATAATGATTAATAAAAATAATTTATTACTTAAATGTGCAAACAACTAAATATTGAAAAAATAGAGGATCTTAAAGATAGAAAATCATTCTCAAAGGAGGATTTTTTGTGTATTGAAACTCTTAATTAAAATAATTCATAAATCTAACATCTAATAAGTTGTAATTAAGAATTATAGTAAGATATTTAACAATAATAAATAATTATTAAAGATTATGAAATCTAAATTGATCATTTAAAAAACTAAATCAAATATTTAAGTTAAGAAAAAGAAGACTAATGTAAAATTAATACTTAAATAGCTTCCCCTACATAATCAAGTAGAAAAGATTCAATAATAAAAATTTTGTAGAATGAAGAGATTTAAAATAAAGATCAATAAATTTAAGATCTAAATGGAAAAATTTCTATATAAAATATTGAAATTTCTAATCTTGAACATTAATTAGATTCATAACTTAAGTTAGTTTAATTAAGAAATGAAGAGATTTTAAATCTAAACTCATAGTTAAAAGATTTGTTAGAAAAGCAACAATATTTTGAATAATTAATAAATGAATTAAATACTTATCATTAATAATCAAAAAATTAATAAGAGGTTTAAATAATTAAATTAGAAGGAGTCTCATATGATATTTCTCATAATAGTTTTAATTTTGATGCTTTAAGAACCCCAACAAATTAAAATTATATTATTGATGAAATTTAACAAGAGTAATCTATTAATTCCTCTTTATCTTCAATAGTGTAAACTAGTCCTAACACTTAAATAAAATAAATCATATAATTAAATAAATAACAAGAAGAAAATATAATTTAGAATAATAAAATAATATAAGAAAAAGAATTGAATTTGGAGAAACAAAATGAACAACTTAATGAATTAAAATCTATAAATGTGAAAAAAGAAGAAGAAATCTTTATTCTTAAATCTCAAATAATTTAGATGTAGGAAAGAATAGACATTTTAACATAAGAACAAATATCTATTCATAAATAAAATTAGGAACATTCAAAAAAGTTAATCTAAGAAAAAGAATCAGTAATTGATTAAGTTGAGTTTCTTAAAAATTAAGTTTAAGAATCAAAAAATAGAAATGATGAATTATAAATTCAAATGTCCTTATTATAAATGTAACTTTAAAAAAATGGAGAATAATAAATATCCTTAAAAGAAAATTAATAAATTATTCATTAATAAAACTAAGAAATTTAATAACTTAAAACTTTTATAAATGATAATTAAGATTTGATTTTGTAGAAAGATTTAAAAATTGAAAATTTGCAAGCTATGATAAAACAATTAAATTTAAAATTATAAAAATAAACTTAGAATATTAATTAAGTTTTCAAAGAAATTAAAAGTAATTTTTTTGAATAATCAAAACAAATCAAATCAAAATTGGTTGAAGAAAAATAAATTCTTGAATAAAATTATAATTAATTGTAAATGAGAATTTTTGAAGTAGAATAAGAATATCTAAATAAAATAGATGATTTTACAATCATAAGTTTACAATCTTAAAAATAAAATGAATAAATTGAAGTAGAAACAAAGGTCCTATAATAATAAATTTAAAATAATAAAGAATAATTTTAAGAATAAGAGAATTAATTTCAAGAGTAATCTCATTAAATTGATTAATTAAATCTTGACTTGAAATCATTGAAAATTTAATTAGAAGAGAAGGATTAATTATTGAATTAAATTTAAGTTTAATTATAAGAGCAGAAAGATCAAAACAAACTATAAAAATAAACTATAATAAAATTATAATAAGAAATAACATAAACAATATAAGAACAAAATTTAATACATGATCTTAATGCTTAAAATTTTGAAAAATAATAATAATTAGAATAAAAAGAAGAGTAGCTGAAGATCCTTGATAATTAATTAGAAAATTTAGAGGTATAATATTAGGAAGTCATTTAAATTTCAAATACATCTGAATAGATTCTTAAATCTTAAATATAAGACTAATAATCACAATTAAAATAATATGAATCAAAAATAAAAGAATTATCTGAAGATTCGATAACAAAAAATTTAGAATTTTAGAATAAAATGGATCAAATTTATTAAGAAAACTAAGATTTAAAAGAAAATAATTAAAATTATATATTCATAATAACTGAGTTAGAATTTAATAAAGATTTAATGAATAAAAAATAAAAAGAATTAGAAGATGAAATTATAAAAATGAAAAATGAATTTCAAGTAAAACTAAACTAAACATATTAAATTAGTGAAGAAATTCATGAATTATAAGATAATTTAGAAAAATCAAATTAAATAAATAAAACTTTATCTTAGTAGAATGATTATTCTGAAAAAGAAATTATAAAATTAAAGTAAATTTTATAATAAAAAGAAAATCAAATTGTTAGTTTGAATGATTAACTTAATATATCTATAAAGGAAGTAAAAGATATATAATATTAATTCACTTAAAGAACAACTTAATCAGAAAATTAAATTTTAAATTTAAAAAAAGAAATAGCTTAGCTTAATGAGTCAAATTAGCATTTAAATAAAGAGAAGTAACGCTTACTTGATTAACATGATATATATGAAAAGTAAAATTAAGAAAAAGAAAGTGTTATACTATAATTAGAAGCAGAACTAAAATAATTGTAAGATCATTTAGAAATATAAAATGAAAAAATAAAATAATCATAAGATTCTAAATAAGTTTTAATAGACTTAGAGATTAATGATAAAAGTAAGCAAATCCAATAATTGATGAGCAATAATTAAAATTTGATACAAAAATTAAATTAATCTCAGTAAAGTTATACTTAGATTCTTAATGATAACGAAAAGATATAATTAATTGTAAATAATTAATTAAATTAAATTACTTAATTAGAAAAAACAATTATTTAATTATAAAAATAATTAGAAGATGCAAATTCTTAAAATGAAAAATTCCTTCTTGAATAATAAGAATTAGAAAGACAGAATACAAATTTAAAAGAATTAAATGTTTAATATTTATTTTAAATATAGAAATAAGAAGTTTCAATGTAATAATAATAGCAATAATTTTAAACTTAGAATGAAGATCTTAGATAAAAAGCTAATACAATTAGAGATTTAGAAAATAAATTTTAAGAAATAAATAATTTATAAATTTTACAAAAATAGATCATAGAGGATTCAAATAAGGAAAAATAGTAAAAATTTGAACAATATGAAAAAGACAAGGTTCTTCAACATTAATAAATAAAGTAACTTTAGGATAAATTATAATAATAAGAAACTGTTATATAAAATCATAAAAAGGAATCTAATTAATTAAGATTAGAAAATGAAGAAAACACTAATTAAATATAAAGTATATAGGCTTTATATTAAAATTAATTATTTTAAATTTCTTAGCTGAAGAATAATATATCAGATTTTGAATAAAGAGAAATATAATAATAAAAAAGCAATCTAGATTTGAAAAACTAATTTGCATAATTTGAAAAAACAATGCTTAACTAAGTAGATAGTATTAGGAAGGAAAAATAGTTGATTGAAATTTAATTAAATGAAGTAACTTAAACTGGATTAAAGTAAATTGAATTATTTAAATAAGAAAATATCAAATTAAATCAAGAAAAATAAGAACTTTAAAAACTATTGGAAAAAAAATAATTGACTGAAGAAGAATTAATTTAAAAAATGAATTAAATGAAATAAATACATTAATAAGAAATCAATCAAAAAAAATAAAGTTAAATTGAAATTCAAAAATCCATAGAAGAATAATAAAATTAACTTATAATTTAGATGTAATAAGAAAAACAACAACAAAATATACTTATAGCTGAAATTAATAAAGTTTAAAAAGATCTTAACAATGAGATAAGTAAAAATTAATAATTATTAAATGAAAACAAAAGACTTTCGAATTTTATTAGTTAATCTAACTTTGATAAAGAATTAGTCTAAGATAAATATTAAATGGAATAAGGAGAATAAATTATAAATTGTGATGAGAATAAATCACTTAGATAAGAAAATTCAGCTGAAGATAGATAATAATGTATATCAGTTTTATATCCAATTAGTGGTAATGCAAGTGACAATTTTGAAAATTAAATGAAATCAAGTTGTAATTAAAACTAAAAAATAATTGTGCTTTAAGATAAAATAGCATAATTGTATGATGAGAATGATAAATTAAAGAGATAATAATTATAAAGTTTAGATGATTTTATAGAAATATCTCCTTTGAAAGAATCAGACTTAATTAAATAATTAAGATAAGAAATAGAATCTTTAAAAGCAGACAAAGAATAAGGAAAAGCAAAAAGCGAAATGCAATTAGAAATTGTAAACTTAGAGAAAAAATTAATCAAGAAGGATGAAGATTTCAAAAACAAAATAAAAGAAATTCCAATTTATCTGGATATGTGTGAGAAAGCAATAGTTTAAGATAGAGATTGGATGATAGATTTAAATAGTTTAGAAGAAGGTTAAGCTAACAGATGGAGGAATATTTGTGATAAGTTAGGAGAATATGATTAATTATAAGGAGAAATAATGAAATTGCAAAATGAAATATAAGAATTATAATAGCAAATAAAAAACAAAGATAATTTAAGTCTAAAAAGCATGATTATGAAATAAAGTTAATCTTTTGATGATGAAGATATTTTTAGTATGAGATCAACTGTGTCAAAATTAAGATAGGAATTAGAGCAAGAAAAGTATGAGAATACAAAACTAAAATCTTGTATTAAATCTTATTTAAAGGATGAATAAAGATTTGAGGTATTAATAAAATTTAATATTTAGGAATAAAATTAAAGAGTTAAAGAGGAAAACAAATCTTTACGAAATAGAATAAGTGATCAATAAGAAGAGATTAAATAATTAAATGAAAAGATTTAGAATTGTTAAGATGGTGCATTAGCTTCTCATTTAATATCTTTACTAGTTAAGTTTTTTGAATCATATGAAAAAGAGTTTAAATTATAATATTATTCATAGGAATAAATAGGAAATAAAAGTATATTATCAAAGTTTAGTGAGCCTTTGTGGAATAGAATATAATGAGCCTATTATAAATAAGCTATTTCAGAGTTTAGAAAAGAAAAGCCAAAGCGTTTTTGGAATATTTAGAAGAGATAAATCAAAAGATAAATGATATTTACTCTATTAATACTTATTATAATTATTTGAAATGTAAATGAGTATATAAAGACCACCAACATCAACAACTAGAGATGTATCAACCAGTGTTTTTGGATAAAGTCATATAGAATGGCATTCTCCTAATAAAGATCTAGAATGGAATTAAGAAAAATACATGAGATAAGTTAATGAAATTATAATTGAATGTAATATATAAATTTCATTATAATAGAAAGCGAATCCCCTATATAAGAGAAACAAAAACAAATTAAAGCTTAATAATATTAGTTAATTACTTTTGCTGAATTGATTCAAAGATTTAGATTAAGTGAAGGATATTATTCAGTTCGAAATAAATCAAAATGTTCATGTTATGGGTTTTCATCAACTATCTCAACAACTGAATAAGTTAAATAAAAGTTTATTCAATTAGGGATGGATTAGTTAAATCTCTAAAATGAATTTCATAGAAATACGGTTTATTCTATACATTATCTTCTAAATAATACTGAAAAACCCAATGAGAACTAGTTGAAAATGATATCAAAATACTCTTCTAAATATTTTTAATTGATGCAATTTCTTTCTTGTTTAGAATTTGAAACACCTCTATTTTAAACACTCTATAAAGAATCAGGAGAATTATTAATATAATTAGTAATAAATGTAGGATAGATGGTTTTTGAATAATTATTGAGTAATAAATTAAACAAATTAATCTAAAAAGAGTAATCTCATTTATTTCACAATATCCTTAGAAATTATTAGAGCAGTCTCATTTTCCATATATATAAAGAAATCAAGAAATCAAATCAATCACTCTAAATTTTGATAAAATAATATGAAAAATCTGATCCTAATTTTTATTATTACTGGTATATCCAATAGAAATAATATAATAATAATTTATTCTCGGATTGATTTTTTATATATATATATTTAATTAGTTATTATCATTATATTAACATAGAAATAATAATAATTGAGATTACTTTTGTAAAATTATTAATGCATTCTCCCGTATAATAACCTTCAATTTAATTATTTTAACATGCATAGCAAGGATTATCAAAAGTTCTTTCACATCCATTATCCTTACAAGATCTTAAGATTCCACAAGTTTAAATATATTCTTGATCACACTCTATAGGTCTTTAAACCTGACAATATTAATAATTTGGCACAAAGGAATCTGTTTATTATTAAGCATTGTAAAACAATTGTTAATATTGATTACAATCACCAATAAAATAGGATGTTATATTAGCTTATTAACATGGTTCACATTTATCATCAAATGGTTATAAACATGGTGGATTTTAGCATATTGCAGTTTCATCTAAAAACCCACAAACTGTTAATTATTCTTTTAATTCGCAGTTTTTAGAAGATTAAGTATTACATTAAATTACAGTAGGAGTTTTGGGTCTTAAATAATAAATTTATTAATTACTTGTAATCAGAACAATTTCCTATAAAATAACTATGAATAGAAGTATTTCTACAAGCTAAACATTCATTTGAGAATTATTATAAACAATTTAATCCAGTACATTTCGTTGTAGAATCAAAAAGTCCACATGTAGATTTTACACTAAAAATTCATCAATAAATTTTACTTTGTATCACAAATACTAGGTCTAGGATTTGTACAAGAAATTGTTTCAGAATAATTTCCATTTGTAGGTTAAGGAGTGATATTATCAGCTCCTAAAGATGTAGAACTGCTCTCACTTTTAATATAATCTTCATTCTTTGTACAATCTCCTTTTATGAATTTTACCACTTAACTTGCTTTACAAGCATAACAATTATTAAAAAAAGTTTAGATGGGCGTATTAGAGATATTTAAACCACAAACAGGATCATAGTTATCTAAGCAATCTCCTAGTTAAATCTAACAATCATTTATTTATGATTGAACAACGTATAATAAGAGCATATGTAGCATTTATTTAGATTTTGTAAAATACAATAATTATTACTAAAAATAGTGAAAAATAATTACATAAAAATATTGATTTAATTATAATTTTTTTAATATTTATTAATTCTTGATTTCATTTAAACAACTTTTAAATTTCATAAAAATTGCTTGTTAGGGTTTAATCTTCTTAATCAAGATTTTCAAAATTGGAACTAATCATTTCTAAATTTATTTTGTACATAATTTGAATTTTAGAATAAATATCTTAAATTTTATTTAATAATAAAAACTCTTCTTTTTAATCTTGTCTATTCTATTTTTTAAATTTATAAATGTAATTTTATGGACAATATTATTTTTATTTTTAAAATGTTCAGATCGAGATACCTTTACTTTCTAATACTATGAAATTTATTTTGTAAGACTTTACTGAAAATTTTCGATATTTTCACAAATAATAAAGAACAAAGAAAATATAATTGTATATGTTTGAATAATTATTTAGAATAAAATTTATTTCATAGAGAAATGATTGATATTTTATCAATCTTATTATTATAATCTATTTTTTCTCAGATTTAATTAAATAGTGAGAAATAATAATGTTAAGGTTTTAGAAATTAGGAGAAGATGAATAAGCTCGTTTGGATCAAGAAAGCCTTAAACAAAAAAAGGAATTATTAAAATAAGAATTTGAACACTAGGAAGAAATAAGAAAATATGACAACCTCTCGATAGTTTCATCTAATGATTTTAAATTTAAGGCAGAATTAGATAAATTGCAAAGCTCAAATAAAAGAAAATAATAAGAATTAGAGCTTCTGTTAAAATCAGGACAAAATAAAAAAAAATATAAAACAGGAACTTCTTAGATGCATACTTCCACTAATGGAAACGGTGTTATTCATTCTATAAATAATCATCATTCTGACCCATTATTTGAAACATTTAGCGAAAATGTGAATCTTAAGTTATTAGATTTAGAACAAAGAGATTAATATATTGATTCATTAAAATTATAGGAATCTCGTTATGAAAATTTAATTTTAGAAGAGTAAGAGAAAAGTGAGTCTTTATAAAAGATTTTAGTAGAGATTGAAAAATCTAAATTGATTTAACAATAAAAATGTGAAGAATTATAAATTATACTAAGTAAAGCTGGAAAGAGATTTAGCAATACTGATGCAGTAAAATTAATGGCAGAGAACAAAAAGTTTTTAAGTAAAAAAAACCTTTAATCTATAAAAAATGAATTTGGCTAAATGAAGCAAATGCAAGACACATACAAACATTCATAAGAAAATAAATAATAATAATTACAAAAAATACTATATGTTGGCGAAGAAAATATTGGGCATAATGTTTTGAAAATAGAAGAAGCAGAACGATTTATAGATATATAGAATAAAGAGTTTGAAATTTTAGAAGAGAAAAAATAAAATTAATTAAAAAAATAATAAGAAAGTAGATATATTCTTACATATATTGAATTTTTTGAAATATTTGAATAAATATTTATGAATAAGGATTAACCAAATGAAATTAGATTAGTTGATTAATATAGTGTTAATGAAGAATTATTATAAAAATGGAATCAAAATTAATAAATTGATAATTAATAATAAGAATAAGAAATAAATTTTGATAGAAATGAATTGTTATCTCAAATTAACAAATTTTATTAAGAAGATGAATAAAGAACTTAATATATTCTTGATTTTATGTTAGAGAAATATTGGCATCTTTAGTAAGAGTTAACAAAAAAAAGTATTTCCTATGAAAATCTCTTAAAGTAGAAAGAAGTACTATTAGATGAAATCGAAAATCTAGATTTTGAATTATTAGAATTAATGTAGAAAAATCCAAATTTAGATATTCATGAATAATCTCTAGTAGCTGAAGATGCTGGTTTAATGAATATAAAAAATGTTACAACTACTTTAAATATTAAAAAAATGGAAGTAGAGGAACAACCTGAATAAGTTGTATGGATAAAGGCGACAAAAACTTAAGGATTATTAATGAATTTTTAATTAGGGTTAGCTGAATATTTACATAGAATTTATTAAATTATTTAAGCAATAGATTAAAAAAACAAAGAAAATAAAAAATTTAAATATACAAATATAAATAATGAAATAAATGGAATAAACTTGTTGATATCAAAAATATATAATATAAGTAAAAATTCGAATTAAAATAATGAGTTGAATTAATAACATTTAAACTAATTTGCGATACATAATATTGTGGTTGATATATTCCCTAAATTTAAAGAATATGAATTAAATCAAATTAGTTAATATTTCTATATATAAAGTAAAACAGATTAAATTTTATGGTTTAATTTAAGCGTCGAAAATTTAACAAATTTTTTAAAATCTTAAGAGAATACAACATTATAAAAATTGTTGAGTCCAGAAATAATAAACGAGTTCAGAGATTAATTAATTGAAATCTTTAAATATAATTTTCATAAATTATTTGAGTATTATTAAACAATGTATAAGAAAATAAGAGATATTAGTTAAGATTTATTTTAACATTTAAAAGAGATTAACCCAAAATTCGATATAAAAAAATTGTCAAAATTATTATTGAGAGAAGGTTAAGATATTTAATCAGCAAAAGATTTAATTATAAAAAGAATGATGGAATATAAAACAGGAGAAAATATACCTTTTAATAGTAAAAATGATTTGTATAAAATATAAAACACAAGACCAAAAACAGAAGAGGAATAAATTTAGAGTGTATCTTAATAATAATAACAATAATCCGATCAATAAGATCCTTCTTTATTATTTCCAAAAAGATAAAGATTGGATGATGAAAAATTATCTTAAATATAAACATTTTTTAGAGCAAAGATAAGAGAGAAGAATGAATAATTAAGGGATTAGAAAAATAATGATACAATTTCAACAAAAGATAGATAAGGAAGTAATATAGAGTAATAAAACTCTGAAAGTATCTCGATGATTAAAGGTGAAAATAAGATGAATAGAGCAAAATCAAAAAAATTGGTTGAAAGTAAAACAGCTCGAAATTTATAAGATGATTTAGAGTAAGAGAGAAGTTTATTAAAAGCATAAATAGCAGCTGATCTATTGAGATTAAAAGAAGAATAAGAAAGAAAAGATAAACCATTAATGAAAGAGTAATAAAATGAAATTAAGGTTCAAATTAAATAAGCAACTGAAAGATTATATGGAGAAAGATAATACACAGTTTAGATCATGAGAAATATGGCATAAACAACTGGAATTTTAAGTGATATTAATCAATTAGAACATTTCTCTTCTAAAATAGAATCTCCTTAATTAGTTGGTTAATTTGTCATTCAAAGAAAAAATTTACATAGAAATCTAAACAAAGAATTAGGTTTACCAACTTTATCTTATTTAAAACCTACTAGTGCCTATTTTTCAAGGAGAAATCAATCTTCTGAATAAATTAAGGCTATGGATTATAAAAGATATTATGAAATAGAAAATGGAGTAAGTTCAAGACCTTACACATAATATTAATCAAGTCGTAAGCCATATACTAATTCAAATAATAATAGCTCTAGAAAAAGAATAAATTAAAATCAAGATGAATTAAAAAATAAATATTCAGGTAGAACAAGAGTGACTAACAATAATGAATCTATGAATACATACCCTGTACCATAAGAAATATTTCAATATGAATATCCTAAGTCACTTTTGGTACCAACAGCATCGTGAATAATTTTTATATTTTAATTAATTATTAATGTATTCTTTTAATAAATACAAAAAATAATGATAAATTTGAATACTTTATAGCTTTTAAGTTGCATTATAGTCATATTAATTTAAGTTTATAGATATAAGTAGTAATACTTTTGGAATATAATAAAAGCATATTTTAACATACTCACTGTTTAGGTATACATATTAACCTTATATAATGAAATTGAATTAATATAATAATAAATAGGGTTTAATAAATCTACCAATTATACTAAGCTATTTATGTTATAAAGGCTTTAATCAACACTATATATATAGTCATTGTCAATTTACTTAGGAATTGTTTTCATTATAATATTTTAAAAAAATATGTATCAAAATAACAGAAGACTAATTTATAAAATTTTAATAATTGTTTAATCACTTCTTTAAACCATATTATTTTAATTTGTTTTTATTATTTGTGCTTTGTATATCAAATACTTTAATAGAACTTATTTATTTAAAGATTGTTTAGAAATAGTTTATATTAGAGCTTTGCTTTTATTTTCAGCAATAAGTTCAATGACGCCAATTATGTAAGTCTTACTTGAATAACCATTAAAAAATTTCAAATCATCAATAAAGAAGATTAAACAACCATTTATTATAGATATTAAATTTAAATCGGTTTTATAAATGAAATAACTCTAAACAGATGAAGAACTAGCTAAATTAAATAATTTAGAATCTGATTCCATGTTAATTTTTGAAGATTTTGATGATAATAATGAAGTTAAACTATCTGATGTATGCAAACAAAAAATTATTAATTTTATACAAATTTCATGGAATTCAATGTAATTTTTTGGTAGATCATTAAACTTAATATACAATACAATTCAATTAATTATGGCATTTGTATTAATTTTTGGATTTATTTGTATTTTCGTTGAATATATTAATCCGAATAGTAATTTGTTGAGTTAATTGAATGCTATCAATTTTTTTTCAACATAATTAAATTAAAAGAATTAAGCCAATAAAATTAAATAGATTCAATTTCAAATGATAGAAGTAATCACAATAGCTATTTTTAAATTTATATTTATTATCATAATGTATTTTAGTANGAAATATTTCAATATGAATATCCTAAGTCACTTTTGGTACCAACAGCATCGTGAATAATTTTTATATTTTAATTAATTATTAATGTATTCTTTTAATAAATACAAAAAATAATGATAAATTTGAATACTTTATAGCTTTTAAGTTGCATTATAGTCATATTAATTTAAGTTTATAGATATAAGTAGTAATACTTTTGGAATATAATAAAAGCATATTTTAACATACTCACTGTTTAGGTATACATATTAACCTTATATAATGAAATTGAATTAATATAATAATAAATAGGGTTTAATAAATCTACCAATTATACTAAGCTATTTATGTTATAAAGGCTTTAATCAACACTATATATATAGTCATTGTCAATTTACTTAGGAATTGTTTTCATTATAATATTTTAAAAAAATATGTATCAAAATAACAGAAGACTAATTTATAAAATTTTAATAATTGTTTAATCACTTCTTTAAACCATATTATTTTAATTTGTTTTTATTATTTGTGCTTTGTATATCAAATACTTTAATAGAACTTATTTATTTAAAGATTGTTTAGAAATAGTTTATATTAGAGCTTTGCTTTTATTTTCAGCAATAAGTTCAATGACGCCAATTATGTAAGTCTTACTTGAATAACCATTAAAAAATTTCAAATCATCAATAAAGAAGATTAAACAACCATTTATTATAGATATTAAATTTAAATCGGTTTTATAAATGAAATAACTCTAAACAGATGAAGAACTAGCTAAATTAAATAATTTAGAATCTGATTCCATGTTAATTTTTGAAGATTTTGATGATAATAATGAAGTTAAACTATCTGATGTATGCAAACAAAAAATTATTAATTTTATACAAATTTCATGGAATTCAATGTAATTTTTTGGTAGATCATTAAACTTAATATACAATACAATTCAATTAATTATGGCATTTGTATTAATTTTTGGATTTATTTGTATTTTCGTTGAATATATTAATCCGAATAGTAATTTGTTGAGTTAATTGAATGCTATCAATTTTTTTTCAACATAATTAAATTAAAAGAATTAAGCCAATAAAATTAAATAGATTCAATTTCAAATGATAGAAGTAATCACAATAGCTATTTTTAAATTTATATTTATTATCATAATGTATTTTAGTACAAATAATAGAATTAAGTATTCAAAAAGTATTAAATATAAATTTATTATAGATAAGGAATTAATTGATAATGTTACAAATTTAACAGTTATAATTAGAAAAAATTTGCTCAACTTCACTTTAATCGGTCTATTAACTACACTATATCCTAATTTAACTTTTACAATTAACAATTCCGATTGTTTTAAGGAAATATAATATAGAAACGGTTAATTATTAAAAATGGGATAAGTTATAACAGTTGATGATGATTCAAGTTGTCCTATTACTATAATTTATTTAATTTCTTTATAGATATTTGACAGCCCAATTACAACAACAATTGGATTGTTAATATTATTTTTTTATCTTTTTACGGCATTTTACATATTGTGTTTAAAAAGAAAAAGCAAGAATATAAATGAGATTTGATATTTATTAAGATTAATTAATTATCATTTAATTATGGACCCTAATAAGACGATAGATGACACATAATTTTCACTATTTGAAAAAAAACCTAAAAAATCTTAATTTTTCTAAAAGATATTCTTTTTTATTTTAGGTGTGTCATCATTATCAGGATGGAATGCTATCTTAACTGGGTTGTCATATTTTGCTGATTAATACGATGGTAAAAAAATTTACCATAAATTATTTAGGACGAAATGTTTACTTCATAATGCCTATTCCTAATTTTATTGGTTTATGTTTGATTGGATTATTTTTGCCACGCATAAGTTCTTTACTTTCCATGTTTTTTAGGATTGTGTGGTCATTAACAATTTTATGTATTCTTTTGATTCTTTTACCAATAATCGCATTAGAAATGCATAGTACTTTAGGTATCAATATAATAAATATAATAAGGATATTGGTTATGTTTAATAACAATTTTTATAATGGGAATATTTTCATCCTTATAATAGAATAGTTCAATTGGTATGTCTGGAATACTTGGTCCAGAATATGTGAATGTTTTCTTTATTGGTACAGGAGCGTCTGGAACCATTATTACAATTTTTAGATTAATATCTTTGGCTGCGATTAATAGTGAAAAATGTAATTTTATTCTATATTGAATAGCAATTTTTTTATATATTGGTATTGCAGTACTTTGGAATATTGGTGCTATAGTGATGTATTTTGCATTTACTAAGACCCCCTAATATAGAAAGATTATCTAAGCTCATAAAAAGGGAAGAAAATCAGTTTTAGTACATGATCAAATAATTACTTAAGATGAACCAGATGATGTTAAATAAAATGATAGTTTGATTTCTGATATTATGAATTCAGAAATTGCAAACTAAATTAATATAACCTAAGATTCCCATCCAAATACAGAAAATTAATTAACTAATTAAAATAAAGATTAAATTTCTATTGAAAAGATGAATGTTATTTAAACTTTAATATGGATAAATAAAGTTGCTTTTCCTATTCCATTATTAATTGTGATTTTATATGTTTAAACATTCATGATGTTTCCAGGAGTTGCATTTCAAAAGTCCTTTGATTCTGATTTTATCAATTGGGGTTAATGTTTTATTAGTCTTGGATACAATATGGGTGATACTTTAGGAAAGTTCTTGGCTGGTAATAGAAAATTATTTAATTTATAAATTTTGATTGGATTATTTTTAGCTAGATTTATTTTTTATTATACTTATATTGCAATTGCTAAAGGAACATTAGATGCCAATTGGATTTCATATATGAATACATTTCTTTTTGGAACCTTCAATGGATTTATTACAACAGGCTATATGATTTTGGGACCAGAAAAAGTAATTAAGAAAATTTATATTATTAGACTAATGAAGGATTTGTTAAAGAAAAAATTGGATTTGTGTCTGGATTTTCACTTTGCTTTGGTATTATGTTAGGAACATTTTTAGCTTTGCCTTTTTCAAATATATCTAGTTGATTCTTTTATTAATTAAAGGTATTTAACCTGCAAATAAATAAATTATAAAAAATATAAGTTATTTTTGATATATTATTTTTTGTCATTTTCTATCTAAATTCGAGCTTCTTCTTATTATTTTCATTCTATAGAATTGATTAAAATTAAGTTCATTATCATTTATATGTCTATTAAGATGATCTTTAATTTTTAATAAACTTATGAATATTTGACAATTTTATGAGGGTCTTTTATAGATAGATGATTAACACTCTAAAAATTTTATTGTGTAAATTATTTATTATTTCTAATCGAATTGTTGATTTTGGCGGATAAATGAAAGTAAATTGATATGTCATAAACTTTTAGCAATTTATAAAGAACCTTGATTCCACAGAATGTAATTTCTATAGTCATTTATCTTTAGAAAAATCACCCTAATAATTAAAATTAGATGGATCATCCAATACATATTAGAAGTAAAACTTAAACAAATAAACCTAAGAGGAATGTCAAAAAATTAAGATCATAAAGAAGCTTGATTTTAATAATGAACTTCTTTTAATTAATAAAGATGGAATTATTGGACGAAACACTCGTAAAATATCTAAAGAACAAAAAAGTATTAATAGTATATTATTTAGTTAATTCTTGCTATACATTAGGTCTTCTAAATTCTATAGAACTTAATCACAAAAATGAAATTATTAACAAATTGATCAAAACAAATGATAGTGGTTTATTTTAAGTTTCTAGAACTTCTAATATATATTGTAAATGTCGTAAATCTAAATGCATTTAAAACTATTGTGTTTGTAGTGCTAACAATTAAGAATGCACATTAAATTGTGAATGTTATAATTGTTCAAACAGATAACCTAAAGAGGCTCTTTCTAAAATTTCTTCAATAGAGTTTAATGGATGTAATTGTAAAAGATAAAAGTGACTATCTTTATTATTATTACATAGTTGTTCCAAACGATATTGTGAATGTCAAAAAAGAAATATCAAATGTACCTCTAAATGTAATTGCTGTGATGAATGTGAAAATCAAGAAATATAGTCCCTGCCCTTTAATTTCGATAGTCCATCCTGATTTTAAATTCATTTAATAAATATTTATTTCTACATTAATATATATAAATAAAAATAAATAAAATTTATATTATTTTCTTTAGATATTTTGTAAATTTCAAAAAAAGACTTCTTATTCTTATACGATTATTAATTTTAGTTATCTAAAGAAATTGAATAATGACTAAATATATAAATAATCAATTATTTAGATCTAAAATATTAAATTTCATTTTTTTCCTTTCTTTTTTTACTTATTTTTATCATTTACTTGTTTTTCTTATTTAATTTTTGGTTTCTCTTGCTATTTAACATTTTTATTTTTTTATTTAGTATTTTTCTTTTATTTTAATTCATCTTCCTCAATATCATCTTCTTGATTGACTTCTTCATTTAAATCATTTTCATTATTTTAAATCTTTTTTATTACATTAGTAGCTTATATAGCTTTCTTTTCTTTTCCTAATTTATCAGCAGAATCCATTGATTATTTCATTGCTTTATTTAAAGATGTTCTAACTTATGATGTTATATCAGTCATCAAATCTCTTTTTGGAAATAATGCTAAGGAACCAACAACACATTCTTCAAATTATTAAATATTTAAATTGTAAGTTCTTAATAATTAAACTAATTCATCTATGCAACTTAAACCAGCATTTGATAAACTTTAAATAACAATAAAAGCATATGGTTCAATATATTAAAATTTAATTGCTTTAGTGTTTGTTAAATATGTTTATTAAGCAAATGCTTCTTTAACTTCTAAAATTTATCTTTTAATTTTATTCTCACTAGATATTTTACCAAGCATTTAAGGAAAATTGACTTTTGAAAGTAGATTTCCTTTTAAAATTTAAGTTGGATACATTGTTGATAAAAATCCTACATTAGGCATTAATCCCCACATCTAAGATCTAACTTTTGTATTTAAAACATCTGCATCAGCTAATGATGAGGCTGCTAAAGAGAAGCTTTATATAGCATTTGAAGTAGTCTTTTTTACTCCTTGTAAATCTAAATAATTTTCATGATAAAAAAATTGAGTCATATCTGGATCTTAAAAATAATAATCCATTAATTTATGAATTGGTTATTTTTCAGAATCCTTATAATTTAATAATATTCTACTCGATTCATAAATATTTGAAGTAACAGAGCCATCCTTTCCAATATTTTTATTTATATGTAATTTTAAACCTACTTTATGCATTTATAATAAGTTTAACAATTACCTTATATCACATTATGAAAATTCAATTTACTATTTTAATTCTGCTGGCTCATAACTGATATTTTCAGACTTACAAATATATTCAAGCTTTTTATAAATTTCTACTTAATTGGGTTTTTTAAATTGTAAATCAAGACAATAATTAGCTAAAGATCTCATTGATTATTTATTTCTATCATTACATATACAAACAATAGGAACTTTTGTTAGTTTAATCATATCAATTAAACATTTATTTCCTCCCCTATCACTACCAGTCATTCCATCTACTTCGTCCATTAATATAATAGTTTTTCCTTCAGTTATTAAATTAGCATCTTTAAATCTAAGAACTGTATTATCTTAAAGATGTTTAACATAGTTTTCTATTTAAAGTTTACTTCTAACATCAGAAGCATTCCATTCGATTAATTAATAAGACTTTTGTTTCGCAATTAATCTAATTATAGTTGTTTTACCAATTCCTGGAGGACCTGATAAAAGTAAGGCTTTTGCAGCAAAGTTTTAAGATTAAAATGAACCAGGACAAACTAAAAATAAATTTTAAAATAATACTTTCTAACTCTTATTTGCCCCACTTATCTAACCATTTAACTATATTTATAACATGTGTTTGATCAAGACAATCTGATACTTTTGATGGAGCATATTTATTTGTCCATAATTAACATTTTTACTTTTATTCTTCTACAATTATTTGTTCAATTTTTTAAGCCTTCTTTTGTTCTTCTTATATTTATTTATTTTTAGAAAAATTAGCTATTTCAGCTTTTAATTCAACTTATTTTTCAACTAGAACAACTTCACTGTCAAATTTAGCTCTAAGATCATTTTTAACTTCTTAGATAGATTATTTTTTAACAATATTTTATTAATTTAATTATTATAAGGATTTAGACTAAAACATTGATGAAGATGATTGATTTGATTATATTTATTATTATTCTATATTTTAAGGATTATTTTGTAATACCAATTATAAGGATTTCTAGAGATCATTACCAGTATATTATTTTAAATGATTGTTAAAACCTTCAAAATCAAGATGCAAATTGTTATAGTTTTTAGAAGATTATAAATGTTAGCTATCTTTAATATTGCGACCATTATTCTGAGTTTCACCTTAAATGAAAATACAACCTTAAATAACCTAACTAGAAACATATCCTCCATAATATCTGATAATTTTTTTAATTTATTCTTATTAATACTCTCCCGAATTTCCTAAAACAAAATACTTTTTTTTCATAAGAGGTTTAGATTAAATATCTTAAATAGATTCTTCTTCAACTTCAATTTTAGTTCCTTATATATTTTCAAATTCTAATTAATTAATTTATTCTTTTTCCTTAAAATTTTTAGTTTCCATTTTTTAATTTTGAGTTAAGAGTTTAGTAATTTAAGTTGCTTAAGTTGTAGATGTAGATGTTCTAGTAATTGTATTTAAATGATCAAAATTCATATTTAAATCTGAATCATCATCAAAATCAGATTAATCTCCTAATTTTTCTTCTTCTTTTAAAATTTATGGTTATTTTTGTTCCTCAATCATCTTAAATTCAAATTCTTTTTTTTTCTTTGGTTAAGGATCACTCTTTATTGGCTTACCATTTTGTAAGTAATGATCTATTTATCCAAGTTTTTGTTTTTCCTCATCTACCATTTAAAATCTTTTAAAATCATTTTTTTGATCATCTGATTCTTCAGAAGATGAATCTTCCTTCAATTTGATAGGTTGTTTGCTTTATGGTTTTTCTTATATAAGATCAGCTGTTTTTGTTAATTTTTATTTTTTCATTTCCCGCTTTATGTAATTAAATTATTAATAAATAAAGAAATGAATTGAGCTCTTTTATGTATTACTTTTAATTATAAATGAGATATTAAAAAAATAAACACACAATTAAAAAATTAGAATGAATGAAATATTAATAATTATAAATAAAGAATGTCAATAGCTGAATAAAAATTTATGGTTGATGCCTAAGGTAGAAATCTTGTTGAAATGAGACCTCCTGGTATTTAAAATAATTAGCCAAATGATATTTAAATAACAGCAGAATAATTATTAAAAGTATATATATCATATGTATATGATAGGATGCTGAAATCCATCAAACAAAAGAGATTCGACCACCTTAATAAAGAATAATGGATGAAGCTGAATTATAAGAATATAAATTCAGAAAAAGAATCTTATTTGAAAATAGAGTTAGAAGATAGAGAAATTATTTGGGAATATGGATAAGATATGCTTAATTTGAAGAAGGTTTATTAGAATTTAGAAGAGCAAGATCTATATTTGAGAGAGCATTAGAAGTTGATCCTTCTAATATAGGAGTTTGGATGAAATATATTGAAATGGAAATGAGACATAAATTTATTAATCATGCTAGAAATGTATTTGAAAGAGCAATCTATTAAATGCCTAGAATTGATTAATTCTGGTTTAAATATAGTTATATGGAAGAAGTATTAGGTAATTATTAAGCAGCAAGAGAAATATTTAATAGATGGATGACATGGAAACCTGAAGAAAAAGCTTGGATGGCTTTTTTAAGATTTGAAGAAAGAATGGGTGAAAGAGAAAATCAAAGATAAATTATGTATAAATATATGGAAGCATTTCCTAAATTAAAAGTTTATTTAAAAGTAGCTAAATTTGAAATCAAATAAAAAGCATGGGAATCAGCTAGAAGTATTTATGAAAGAACATTAGAAGAATTAGGATAAGAAGCATTAAAAGAAGAATATTTTATAGATTTTGGTAAATTTGAAATTAGAAATAAAGAATATGAAAGAGCAAGAGAAATATTTAGATTTGGATTAAAAAACATAGCAAAAGATAAGGCTTATCAATTATATTAAGATTATTTAGCATTTGAAAAATAATATGGAGAAAAAGATGAAATTGATTAAATCATTCTTAATAAAAGAAGAATATTTTATAAAGAATTAATATCATAAAATGCTTATAATTATGATGCATGGTTTGATTTGGCTAATCTAGAAATGAGTACTAAAGATTTTAATAGAATTAGAGAATCTTTTGAAGCTGCTATTAAAAATATTCCTCCAGGAAATGAAAAAAGATTCTGGAGAAGATATATTTATTTATGGTATAATTATGCTGTTTTTGAAGAATTAGAAGCAAATAATATATAAAAAGCTATTGAAATATTTGAAAGAGCCATATAATTAGTGCCACATTAATAATTTACATTTTCAAAGTTATGGATATTATATGCATAATTATTAGTAAGAAATAAAGATATTGATAAAATGAGAAAGGTTTATGGATTGGCAATAGGATTATGTCCAAATATTAAAATATTTCAAGAATATATCTAAATTGAATTACAATTAGCAAATATTGATAGAGCTAGAATATTATATTAGAGATTTATTGAAATTTTCCCAGATAATCCTATACCTTGGATCAAATTTGCTGAATTTGAAAATGATCTTGAAGAATATGAAAGATCAGAATTAATATTTGAATTAGCATTATAGAATAATCAAATGAATATGCCAGAAACTATATGGAGAGCATATATTGACAATTAAATAAAGTTATAAAATTATGAAAAAGTACGAGAATTGTATGAAAAATTACTTGAAAGATCAAAACATGTAAAAATATGGATCAGTTATGCTTAATTTGAATTATCAATTAAGAGTATAACTGGTTTCAGAGCTGTGATGTAGAGAGGAGAAAAATGTTATATTGGTAAACCTGAACTCAAAGAAGAAAGAGCTATATTATTAGAATAATGGAAAGATATGGAAATTGAAATTGGAGATGAATAAGAAATAAAAAAAATAAGTGATAAACAACCAACTAAAACTATAAAAAAAAGAAAAATTAAATTATTAGGAGATGAAAGTGAAGACTTTGGTATATTTAAATAATATTATTATTAGGTTATGAAGAATATTATGATTATATTTTTCCAGAAGAAAATCCACAATAAAAAAATTTAGGAATGCTCTTAAATAATGCTAAGTTATGGAAATAATAATAAGAATAAAGAAATGGTTGATATCTATAGTATTTTATATATGATAATTACAATTAACATTTGCCTATTATAATATTCTTATTCATATAAAAAGTATTAAGTAAAAAAAGGATTGTTGAATCTTAAAAAGGAATCTACTTTTTATAGAATACTTGAATATTTATTATTAGTGAATATAAATCTTTGTAAAAAGTACTTATATATTAGTAAGTTTAATATATCAATTATCATTTTCTTTTGTGTTGATCTATTTCTTTTTTTAAACATGATATTAATTCTTTTTATTATTATCGAATAGATTCACTTTTGAGAAAGTTTTCCTTATATTTCTCATTTTCTAACAACTCTTATTTTAATTATGTTATTGTTGCTTAAGCCTTTTTTAATTTTTTATTCAATTATTTAACTTCAGATTATAGTTCTGAATTCTTTTGTTTTTCAATAATTAAAGCTTTAGCATAATTTGTTTCTTAAGAAGCTTTCTTTAAATTTTTTTTCTAATCAATGGATTATTTTTTTTGTTTTGAAGAAGTTGCTCTTATAGGAGTAGTTTTTCTTTAAGTTTATTTGAATGGAGTAAAATCTTCATCTGATTCTTTGATACCCAAAGTTGGGAATGCTCTTTCAATAATTGATTGTTATGAACCAAGTTGTTTATCTATATTTGATTGTATATGAGATTCAAGAGATTAAATTTTATTGTCTAAATCTCTTAAATCACAACTTTTAGTTAATTGTTAAAGTTCTTAATCAAGAAGTGTGTTGAGAAAATTTAATTAGTCTTAAGTAATCATTATTTAAAATAAAAACGGGTATGAAGTTGATTTCTTTATGTCTAATAGGTCTTGTGATGTCAAATAATATTATGCTTTAAACAGCAAATCATTCAGAGTTTAAGGAAGTGTTTGGATAATTTGCAAAATCTAGTGATTTTGGTAATAAGTTATTTGGCGAACTTTCTGAATTCATTCAAAAGGGAGCAACTCTTTAAGATTTGAATGATCATGTAGAAGAATTAAGAAAACATTTAGCAGATGATTAAGTTGAAGATGAAAAGTTCTTCAATGAATAATAAGAATCTCTTGAAGCTGGATTATAAGGTTTAAAGATTGAAGTACAAGAATTAAATGAGGCAGTAGATGTAGCTGCAAAAAAGATATCAGTTTTGAATCAATAATAATAAATAATTGATAATCTCTTTTCTTAGGATTAAGCTTAATACTAAAAAAGACTTGCTAATTAAAATGTTATTTTGGAAACAATATCTACTTTGATTGAGAGAGCACATACTCTATCATTAGAAGGACATAGTCTTATTTAGAAGGATAATCTTCTTGAAGAAATAAAATAATTGGGAAGAGGAAAACATATAGAAGTTTTGGCTTAAGTATTTTGATTATAAAATATAGATAACTGCTCATTTAGGTACAGAATAAATAGAAAAGGTTTTGAACCTATTGGAAAGTCTTAGAAATGCTGTAGAAGCTAGTTTAGAAGCTGATGAAGCCAAAGAATAAGAAAATATTAGATTATATAATAAATTAAGTGGAGAGATTACTGCGTATTTATATTAATGATTTAGTTCTGTTTCAGAATCTTAAAGACATTATTAATAATTAGAAGAACATTTTGAATAAAAAGAATATGAATTACGTATAGGAAAGGAAGGAGTTAAAGAAGTAGGATAAAAATTATAAGATAGAAATGATTATAGGTAAAGTTTATATTATATTAAAATAGATAATTCATATTGGATAGAGTAAGAGAAGCTTAAGAATTATTAAATGATAATTTAGATAGAATTGCAAGATGGTCATAAGAATGATTAATATATGAATATTATTGGCCTAAGTATTTCAACTCTTTTATTAATCTTATAATTCTTTAAATTTCTACTCCAAGATTTATTCCTTAGACTTTAATTTTTATAATTCTAAATCTTTTTCTGCTAATTTCTTTTTTAAGTCTTAATTTTCTTTGCTCAAAGACTAAATCATTTATTATTAATTGGTCTAATGAATTATTGTTATAAATACTGGAATTGGACTTTAAGGTTTTTTGTTAGGCGGAGACATTATTGTTCTCGTATAAGGTTTATTTGGAATTATAGTTTATGGATTCTATCCTTTTGGAAGTAAATTATTAGGCAAACTTCCTTGTACTCTTTATGGAGGAGGATTAGATGGTACAGTTTTACCATTAATTTGAGCTTATGGAGTTTATGTTCTTTGATATGGATTTTAAGTTGGGATAGGACCTCTTTAACTTATTGGTAGAGATGGTTAAGGACGATAAGTGTTTTAGTAAACGAAAGGTTTTACGAAACTCATAGTAGGTGATGATGTTTAGTAGAAGGTGCGAGGCATAACTGGAGAACTAGGGACACCTTTAAATTATGGATATCTTTAGGGTGTTGTTAGGTACATTAATATATTTTATTTATGTATTATTTATGATTTTGATTGATTATATTCAATCCTTATCTAAAAATGACATAATTATTATAATTTTTATATGCATAAAATCATTATATCAATTATGGTTATGTAATTTCTTTTTATCTCCTTCTTCTCTTTTTTATAATGCATTTTTTATTGATGTTGTTTTTTCTAATAAATCTTTACCTGCAATTTCATATCTAAAATTATTTATAATTAAATACTTTATGTCACTATCGCTACTCTAACACTCTAACAAACAAGTTTCTATAAATTTTATAAAAAATAAAGGAGCTTGTAATTTAAACTATTCATAACTATAAAATTCTGGAAGAGGTGTTATTCCATCTAGTCTCTTCTTCCATTACAATTAAAAAACACAATTATCTTCAGTTATTTATAATTTAATCATTGCTAATTTGTCTTCTTAATTTGCATAATGTTAAGTTACTTTTCTATAATATAATAATTATTTACTAAGTTAATTCCTATTATTTTAATGAGATTATACTACCAGTTTTATGATTCTATTAATGTATATTTACTATCAATGCTGTTTATAGATTTGAAACTAAATTACTTTAATTAGAGATATTAGAATTTTGATTTTCATTATTATTATTATTATTATTATTAAGATTATTATTATTATTGTTGTTGTTATTATTATTATTAAGATTATTATTAATATTATTATTATTATTAATATTATTATTATTATTATTTATCGTATTTTATACAACAGCATTGTTATTTCCATTTTCAATTTAACTTTATGATAATGTTTCACTAATCTCAGAATGTTTTTAATCTACTTTATCTGTTTTTTTATCCTTTTTATTTAAATCAGGAGGTCTAGGTCCAGCTACTCTTTTTATTGCTGTTCTAGGTTAAGTTTATGCTGTTATTTATCTAATTTCATCAAGTTTCTTATCATCATATCTTTCACCTGTTAAACAGAAATAATTAAAATCTTCAATTAACTCTTTGTACTTTTTTACATTATCTTCTACTTCCCAAGTGGTTTCATCAAATCCTTTCCATTTGATTTAATATTTAAGTTATCCATTTATATTTTATTTTTTAATGATCTTCTCAGGTTCTTTCATCATTTTTTTATTTTTATGTTTCAATAACCACCTTGAACCTAAATATGCCAAATATCACCAGGAAAAATTAATAAAATTTTACAATCTAATTTAAATTTTATTTACTTTATGGATCAATAATTAAGGGTTATTTAAGAATCAAACAATGATCATATATAAGATTTAATTTCAAAGATTAACTCTACAACAAGATTTATTGATAAAAAAGGAAATGTCTTAAAAAAAAGAAGAGACACACTTCTTAATATTTTGAAGGACTTAAGAGATACTGATACCAAATTAGCAGATTCTAAAATTTCATGTAGCACTGCAATATTTTCATCTATATAAGATGATAGCGATTTCATTCATAAATTATATGAGGAAATAGCTCATAAAGATTAATAGATTTAAGAATTAAAAGATTAAATAGAGACTCTAACAAATAAATTAAAGAACTCTTAAGCTTGTAATGAAGAAATGTAATATCAACTATAATAAAAAAAATAATCATAATATCAAAGAGTTAATAAGCTTTCATAATCTAGTATAAAATTAAATATTCTTAGTGATTGTTCCATCATTATTAAATTAGAATATTGAACCAAAGAGTGACAACCCAATCCAGACTATAACTAATAATTCTACTAAATCAACAGAGAACTCAAACTCAAAAGAAGAGATAAAAAAAATAATTAGAAGAGTTTCAATGTAAGCAGCTGCATCAGCACATATTCTTGCAGCTAAAGGAGATTATGTTTCATTATAAGTTGCTCATGATGAAATGTTAAGTTAAAAGAGTTTTGGATCTCAAAAATCATTATCTTTTAAATGAATCATCATACATGTATAATATTTTAAAATAAGAATTATAATAAAGTATTAAACATTTTTAAATAAAATAACAATCAAAATTATTTTGTAAAATATTTAAAATAAGATAAGAATCAAAATTAAGAAGGTGACAATTGATTACTTAATTTAAGTTATTATGATGCTTCACTATGAATTTTTATTGATTTTATAGCTGATAATGGATCCTTTTGATAAAAAATACCAGAAAACTATCCACTTCCTCTTTTTGCAGATACTGGTATTTCATTCATTAATGAGTATCTTTTGATATCATTTATTTTAGAATTTTATTGTTATTCATCATTTATCTCATTTTAACTATTATATTTAGATTCAGATTCTGCTAAATTTAATTAATAAATAGCGTTTTTTTAGATAAACTAACCAGTGGATTAAATAGCCTGAGTACTAAAATCACTATTTGAATCAAAAAAGGTATGAGATAATGCTTAAGAAGCACTAATTCTTACCTTAGGATTCTTAATAAGCATTCTTCGTAGTATATCCTAATTTTAAAATAATTTAATTACCATTGATTATTCTGTGATATAAATACCATCCATTGGTAAATCTAAGTCAATCTAACATGTTTTGTTTGACTTTAATACTTCATCAAAGTTTTATCCAATAAATAAACTATGTCCAGTTAGTAATTTATAAAAAATGCATCCAGCAGAAAATATATCTACTTTACAATTATATCTTTATTCTAATCTTGAACTCAATATCTCAGGTGCTACATAACCAGGTGTTCCACATTTAGGAAATAAATATCTAAAATTATTCATTAAAATTACTTATCCAAAAGTTCTGATGTTGCTAATCCAAAATCAACCAAAACTAAAGATGTATAATCATTCTTTTTAGAAAACATTAAATTATCTGGTTTTAAGTCTCTATGAATAATCTAAAACGATATTTAATATTGTATACTCTATGAGAATGTAAAATTTTTAAATTACATAAAAGTTTCCTCATTATTGTCTTTATACTATTTATTGGTAGTCTTTTATTAGGTAGAGTCTAAGCATTAAATTTTGTTTTACTTTAGCTTTTTCCAATTCTCCACTAAGACTCAATCCTTCTAAATAAGATGTAACCACATATAATGTATTATCACCTTCATAAATCTCTTTCAAAACAAGAAAATTATTTTCATACTATTATAATGCTCTTAGAATTTGAACTTCTGATTAAAAAGCTTACTAAAAATCTAATTTATCTATATACAATTCCATTTCCATTCTCTGATATCTTAAGAAATGTCTTTTCTATAGCCTTCACTGCATAAACCTTCTAATCTAAAGCACTTTTTGCACTATATACCTATATATATACAAATAAACTGTACTTTTGCTGAACTTCCTTTTCCTATCTGGTATAGAGGCTAGAATAAATCACCAATACCTTCAAAAGTCACTTTTCCTGCCAATAGTTCTTTGAATCTAAATTATCAATCAGACCTGTACTTATATAAATCATTTGGTTAAGCATGAACAACCTTTCTTTTGTTTTAATATTCAAACTCAAAGCAATCAAGTTCGTTTTTATTCTTTCGCAATTCCCAATTTATTTTTGTCTCAAGATTCAACTTTATTTTGTATTTTGGGTTTTGGCAATCTGAAGTCTAAAACAATTAGAAATAATTTCTACTGCTCCCATTGTGACCATATCTTCAAACACTGTTATATGATATATAGCATCCTTAAAAAAGTGTTTACGCACCCCTTAAAATTTGAATTTAGCTTCTTAATAGTCAATTGAATCCATTTTTTTCAAGGTTTAGTTTATTTTATTAAAATTTATCTAATTTCAGATTGAATGTAATTCTTAATATACTGCTCTCTTTTTGATTTAATTTTCAAATAAATTATCTCTCTTCTTTTCTATCATTCTAGAATTAAATTTCATAAATCTAATCGATATTTAACATTTTATTATATCTTATTAAATAATTTATTACTAAAATATCAAGTATTTCATGATCGAAATATAATTAATATTTATCATGTTCGCTAGAAACATTATTTACATTAAATATAAATATAAAAATAAATTTAATAATTTTTTTTTGATGATATTTCTATTTTTGTTTACTTTAATTAATTTTATTATGAAACAATAGATCCTTCTAATTCTTAATATTTATTGAAGATTGTTCTATTAGAATAATATCATACTCTTACTTCATAAATCAAGTTATATTTAACAAATTAATATCAAAAAATCAATCCTACCTTAATATTAATATAACTTTTATCTTGAGTGATTTTTTATAAATTTTAGAGTAAATCGATTAATTTTTGACTAAGATTTAAATATTTAGTGAATAAATTATGAAACCAATGAAGGCAAAAATGAAACAAATTATCGAATTTGAAAAGAAAAATTAAAATATATATGAAGAATGACTGATATCTCTTATTTAATTGATTAATATTAAGATTTAAATAAAATGATTAATAACTTAAAATAATTTCATAGCTCATGCAATATACAAATTAAAAAGAGAATTAATTAGAACGAGGAGCTAATCTAATCATCATAATTTTTAGGACATGAAACACAAGTTTCATTTTTCCAGTAATATCTTCCATCTGTCATTTTAGAGCATGTTTCAATAGTTAAATCGCTTGTATCAGTTCTATTAATACATTTTGGAGTTGAATCTACTTTCCATAAGCAAGGTGTTAATTCTCCCCAATAACCATTTTTAACATAAGTACACTATTCTTGTGATGTCAAATCAGAACATTAAAAGGATGAGCAAACATCACTTAAGATTTTACAATTTAATTTTTCACAAACATCTAACGGTAATCCTAGACAAGAATTTATGCTATAACTTTAACATTATTTAGTTGAATTAAGCCAACAAAATGTTTAACCATCTTCATAATTATTCTAACAATTTTCATCTGTCAATGAATTACAATCAACGGGAATATAAGATTTACATTAATAAAATCCAGCATCATTTGTTATATTTTCTGCTGCACAATTTCCTTTTTTTATAATACAATCAATTTAATCTTTTACCTAATATGTTGAACAAAATTGAGTAGCTTCACATTTTCCTTCGGAATTAAGACTACATTTTTATATTAAATCGCATTCATTTTCATTAAATTTAGAACAATCTTTTTGGACACAAAGCTCATTAATCCAATCGCAAGTGTCCACCTCTTAACAAACTAATTCATCTAAAAATAATGAGCAATCACATTAGTATTTAGCAATGAGAACTGCTAAAGTATTAAATATGAAAATTTATATAAATGAGATTAAATTTTTCATATTTTTATTATTAGAATTAAATACTCTTAATAGATTTCCTGATAATTTTAATATAATTGTCTTTATTAAATATTAAAAATAGAAATCTCTTCACATTAAATAATGCTTAAATGAGTTAAATATTTATTTTATAAATAATAAAATATTCATAAACTAATATTATTTAAGAAACTAAACAAATTCATTAATTTTAGTTTATTTTAAAAGTTAATATCTATGTATTTATCATTTAGTTTTAATATTTTGAAAAGTATAAAAATAGAGATAAATAAATATATTAATTTGATAGACATCTAATTTTGATAAGAATCATAATTTGAAAAGTTTATTGAAATAAATTTATAATGAAGTTTTTGAGAATAGAGTAGTTTCAAGTTCATAAAATAATTAATTTAATTAATTAATGACATCTAGTAATATTCAACAATAAAAGGAGTTGAAGGTCTTTAACAATTAGTTTGTTGTACTGAAGAAATTAAGTTCAGGATCTTTTGGGGTTGTTTTTTAAGGAGAAGATAAAAAAACTGGAGAATAAATAGCATTAAAGATAGAGAAAGAGGAGAGTGATGAAGCTAAGTCTTTGGATAGAGAAGTATATAAATTTTAGAATCTATAGCTTAGTCATAAATATTATAGAGGTTGTAGGGTATAAAAGGAATTCCAAAATTATATTGGTCAGGTTCAGAAGGACCTTATAATATTATGGTAATATAATTGTTAGGAAGAGATTTGGCATATTATGCAAAACATTTAAAAAGATTTCAATTAAAAACATTGATTATGTTAGCTGAGCAAATGATAACAATTTTGGAGTAGTGCCATATAAAGTAAATAAATCTAAAATAATATTAGATCTATAATTCATAGAGACATGAAACCAGAAAATGTGCTTGTAGGTCGTGAAAATAATGAAATATATTTAGTTGACTTTGGAATTTCAAAAGTTTATAAAGATGCAAATGGAAATCATGTGTATATATATATTTTAACAAAATAATAGACCATTTAGAGATGGAAAGCCTTTTATAGGAACAACGAGATATGCTTCTATTAGTGCACATAAAGGTTTTGAATTAGGAAGAGGAGATGATCTTGAGTCTTTAGGATATATGCTGGTATTTTTATATAAAGGTTCGTTACCTTGGTAAAATTTATAGAATGTAAGTGATAAAGAGAAAACTAAAGTAGTTGGCAAAATGAAAATGTAAATATTAATTGAAGAACTATGTAAAGACATGCCTAATGAATTTTCAAAGTACTTTGAATATGTTAAGAAATTGCAATTTAAATAAACTCCTGATTATGAGTATTTAAAATAATTGATGAAGAAATGCGCAAGTGATAATAAAATAGAATTTGATTATAAATTTGAATGGGCATTATTGGAAAGGAGAACTTCTGATGTAAATTATTTATCTAAATATTGTAAAGTAGTAATCATAGCACAATTCATAGAGAAATATTAAAAAGGATTCAACTCATAATAATAATAATAATAATGATTAAAATAAAAAATAAACAAAAAATAATATCAATTCATAAAGTAAATTAAAACCAGAAATTGATAGTGAGAAAATTTCTAAATCAAAAAGTCCTGCAAAATAAACAAAAAGATAATCTTTGATACCAGAAATGCAATCATAAAATTAATCACAATCCAGTCAATTTGATTTTCTTCGTCCTCCAGATCCATATGCAAAAGCTAGGGCTATAATATAAAGAAGTTAAGAGAGACACAAATCTGTCTCATCATTAGCACCATCATAATATAGCTAAGTGAATACAATCTAATCAAGCATTGCAGGAAATTATTAAGCAAGCCATATGGATATGTTTGCTAATGATACTCAATAATAACAATAATAAGAATAGTAAACTGAAAAGAAATAAGATCTTATTCAAGCTTAAAATTTTGGTTTTCAACCTTTAGAAAATAATGATACAATTGCTATGCTTATTGGAGAAGATGAAGAAGGACCTTGTTTTCAATATTAAGAACTTTTAGAAAGACAAGTCTAAGCGTAAATATTAAATTTTATTTATATTTAGACAATTTAAAGAATATGTTAAAAATGGAAATAAAAATAAGCGAAATAAATGATTTTAATAATATATATATATATATTTAATATATTTATTATATCATTCAATTTTTTTTTAATTCTGCAAAATATGGATGTAACATAGCATCTTTTGGAGTGATTCTTTCTGCATGATCATAAAGTAACATTTTTGATAATAAATCTATAGCATCCAAACTACATAAGTGAGCATTTTCTTAATGAACAAAAGATAACCAATCTTGTTTTGGATAACAAAAATATATTAATCAATTTATACTTAAGTAAGAGTCCATTGTAAGCATTATCCAATTTTATGTTGTATTTTTTTACATATTATTTTAACCCATCTGTTCCTAATACTTTTGCAATCTTAACTAATTGATCGTAATTATCATTCCCTTAAAAGAACGGCTCTTTTTTGAAAATCTAAATTGAATTTATATCTCTTTACCATAGATGCAAACATTGCCCCAGTACTCCAAATATCCAATGAGTAATCATAAAATAAATAATCTACTAATAATTCTGGACCTTTAAAATATCTTGAGGCTACTCGAACATTGTAATCTTAAGAAGGATGATAAAATTCTGCCAATCCCCAGTCTATTAATTTTAATGTTCTTGTCTTTGGATTAACAATAATATTTTAAGGTTTTACATCTCTATGAAAAATACCTCTTTAATGAGCATAATCTAAAGCCTATTTTAAGTTTTAGTTTACTTTTAACAATTCATATAGATAATGCTTAATGTCATTATCAGTTAATTTAGGAAACATGCTTCTAAAATCTGTATTCTCCATATAAGGGAAAATCTAAGTTAAGTAGATAATTTTACTAGAGTTGGAATTTTATAATTTTCATCTCTGACTACATCTAGAAGATCAATAATATTAGTGCCACCTTTTAAGACTTAAAGGATGCGAACTTCTCTACGTATTTTTCTTTTCTTTACAGGTTTAAGGACTTTAAGAACTACTTTCATTCCATTTCGATTATCAACACCTTCAAAGACTTCAGAATATTTGCCTCTTCCAATTTTGCAAATAGCTTCATATGGTTCTTCTGATCTTAAATTTGAGAATTGAAATGTACCCATATTCAATTTTTGCATTTTCATAATCCCAATATGATGGTGGTTGAGTCTGATTGAATGTGGCATAATATTTGGGTTAAACAACAACAACTCCTTATTATTATTTCATAAATTAAATATAAAAATGTAATATAAATTTACAAATCAAAATCACTTAGAAACTAATTCTTATATTTTATTTCTTAGATCTTCAACTTGTCTATAAGTGCATCTATTTTATTTCTAATCAACCATCTAATCAATTTTTAATGTCTTAGAGAATTTCTTATAATCATTCATATTTTAGAGAGTACAGTGACAAATTAGTAAATAATTGCATAATTACTGACTCATAAAATAATTGAAATTAAACTATTTATAATATGAAAAATATTTACCTCTTCTGGTAGAAAGGTATCTGAATCAGAATTAGAGTTTGGAAACTCATTCTTTAATTCTTACAAAGCCTACCTAAGATATGATTAAGTTATAAAATAGAAACTTTCGAATTCACTCAAATCTTTATCAAATAAAGCTTCAAACTTTTTATCTTGAGGAAGATCTTTGTAAATAAGTTAAAAAAATATTACTTTTGTTAACTATCATTTAATAAGTTTTATCAAAATATCTTTTATAGTTTTCGTTATATTCTGCAATAGCTTAACTAAACTTTTAAAAGGATTCAGCCTTTCTATACACATCGAAATCTTCAAGTTAGAAGGTATTATCTTTAGAATTCTCTTTATCAATAATGGTATGAAGTTTAGAGATTTTCATGGCAATGTTCTTAGCCATTAAAAATAACAATTTCTCTTTTAAACCATTTGATAAATTAATTTACCTTGAATTAATGATTTATTAAGAGAATTTGTATAGAAATCTACAGTAATTAATTTAGGCAAATAAAATATCGTTATTTGATTTGAATTTAATAGGTGATTAAACAGGTGTTGTATTTTAAGAGGGTTGAGTTTGGACATTAAGAGATCGTCTAAATATAATATTATAGAATACTCTTAAAGAACAGTATTATTTTTTTTAAAACTTCTTTTTTCGAATTAGTTATCTTGAGTTATGGTCTTTCGTGATTCAGTAATTTTTTTTTGACTTTTAGATCTCATAGGATCAGAAGTAGGAGGTTCAATAACAGTAGTAGGTGGATTTGGTAGATGATACATCTCTGAAGGACATCTCTTACTTACTTTACTATCATTATGAATTTATGTCTTAAATTATTATGCAAGGAATACCTGACATTTAGGTCTGGATTAGAAATCTCTGACTCCTTAACTCTAAGATCTATCCTTATTTATTATTGGAGTTCGGGTTGCAGGTGTTGGTATATTGGATGATTATTAAGTTTATAATGGAATAGGTTTATAAACAGGTTAAGAGAATTGTGAATATATGGCATGAGTGGACATATCTTTGACTCTCATTCTCTGATTCTCATCTATACAAAGACATCTACGAATGAAATCTTTTGAAGCATCTGAAATTTAAGGATGAGAAGGTATAACAAGATGATGATGCAATATTGCTGTTAGCAATCCTTATTCTGTTTAAGCTGTATATGGAGTTTATCCAAATAACATTTCAAAAAACATTACTCCCATAGCCCAAACATCTCCTTTTTCTGTATGACCTTATTATCTTAAGGCCTAAGGAGACATGTATAATGGAGTCCCTACATTATAATGTCTTCCTTATTGTTTCACTTCCATACTGTTTATTTATACAGCAAAACCAAAATCTGCTATTTTTGGAGTCTATTTCTCTATCAATATATTTGCTGGCTTTATGTCTCTATGAATGTAACCTTTTTAATTTATTTCTAATAATCCTGTGATTATATCATTCATGATTCGCAATGCTTCTGGTTCATCAATTCTTCCTCTCTTTTTTATCACTCCACTCAAATCTCCAGAATCGCAATACTCTGTTATGATGTATGTATTATTCTGTGTTTAAAAAACATCATACAATTTTAGTATGTTCTTTGAGTTAAATGATTTCAGAGCATTTATTTCATTCTTTAGTAATGTAGCATGAATGCTCTGTTTAACCATCTTCATATCAATTACCTTGTCTTACAAATTAATATCATACTTTAACAGCCACTGTCATTTAACTATTCTCATCTCTCCCTCTATATACTTTGCTACTAAATCCCCTTCCTATTTCTTCATTCAGAGCATAACTATAGTGATCGATTGCTTTACGAGTTTCAGGATAATAACAGCGATTGATTAACATTCAAATAATAAATTAACGACAACATTCATTTAATTATATTGCAAAATACATTATATCATAATTATCATAATTATTTCATTTACTCTTTCCTTCCTCATTTTATGTTGCTTCTTTCATTTCCATTTTAACAAGTTTCAATAAATTTCTTATTTTTTATAATCTTTAAATTTACATACTAATTTATAATTTATGTCTTTAAAAATATTTTAATATATTATTTATAACATATAATTTACACTTATTCAAAAATCTTCTTATATTTCAATTCCTACTATATTTATTACTAAATAAAAAAATAATTTATATATTCAAAACTATAAAATGTTTATATCACGATTTATAATTTTTTCAATATGAATTTAAATTATATAAATAAATAGAATTAAAGAAAATTATTAAAGATTTTTAATAGAATTTTATTTAAAAAAATCCATATTAAACTTATTTCTATTGATTATGATTTAATTAAGATTAAATATCTATTAAAAATGTCGACTCAAAATTTATCATTGTTAGAAGACCAACTTTTATTGTCCAAAGATGAAACAATAGGAAAACTTATCAAAGGCGCAGACCAATATTATTATTATTTTTTTTTAAAGATCTTCAATGAACATGGATATCAACTAACTTCAGAATAGAAATAATAATTGTTAGCTAATAAAAACATGCAAACATAGCTTTCACAGAAAACTAATTTGAGAGCTTTATTTTTGGAGTATGATTATTTAAGTAGCTAAACTCCATCTCAAGAAATTTAGTAGCGATAAAAGGATATAGTTGATTAAATCAATTAAAAATACTTAAAATTTACTTTTAATCATGCAGCACCTTTCATTGCAAGGGTAACAGTTATTTTTTATTTTAGGGATGTAATCAAACAGCGCAATCTGTAGGGCTAAACTAGTAAATGACAGCTGGCATATCAAAATTAGATGAAACTATTTTTGAAATTAGCAAAGGCTTAAAAAATGCTTATACAGAAGTAGGATTTGCTTCTCTCAAGCCAAAATTATATGGATCTTTAGATATTGATAAAATCGCTACAAGCTCTTAAAATGTAATAAAAAAATACTTATAAAATGTTGGTAATGAAATTATCGAGTATTTATAATTTAAATTTTTTAAGTTTTCCTGGAATACCTGAATTCTATAATTAATTATATTGTTTTTAAGATTTTAAGAATAATTTTTCTTAAGATCATTTTAGAAAATTGAGTTTATAATAAATGGAAGAATTACTTCAATTAAATAAGTACTTTTTAGAAAATTAAGAATTTGTTGGAGAGTACTATCTTAAAAAACTCTAGTATGATCTAAAAAATATCTAATATTCTAAATTAACTGAAGATGAAAAAAAATAAATTTTATAAAATATCAAAAATGTATAAAATACTCTACCTTCAAAATTTAAATCATTTAATGATTAAATCCTTTATGAATTATTATAAATAGGTAAAGAATGAATTCATATTTTTTAGGAATTGAATTTAATATATATGATTTTGATTTATTTTTGGATTTCTTAAAAGATCCAAAATAAAATTATAATTCAGTTAATCAAAAATATTTAACATTTATAGGAAATAATAGGAGAAAATATTAATAATGCTGGCATGAATATCATAAGTTTAACACAAGAAGATGGATGGATATAGATTAATTAATCGAAAAATACTTAATAAAATATTTGGAAAAGAATGATGAATTAGCCATTTTAGAGTAATATATGGAGACTAAATATTTAAAAAAAATTCAAGCAAGAGTTAAATTGTATCAAGGTCAAGAATTATAAAATATTTATTTTATCAAATTAGGAGATAGAAGAGATGAACTTAAGTAAATTATTGACTATATGCTCATTTAATTAAATGTATTTTAAACATGGAGATTTAGTTAAATTATATGTTGAACTTAAGAATATTCCAAAATTAAATATTAAAATATTTGAATTAAATTCTGAAAATTATTATTTATAAAAATAATAATAATTAGATACTTCAATCAACTTAGATATATAATTGCATTTGAAGAAACTGATTTTACTTACACCTATCCACCGGTTTAAAAAGTTATTAAAGAATTTGAATTTTAAACTATAACAAACATTTAAAGAGGTATATTTATAGTAGAATTTATTGGTAATGGAATATTATCAAGGGCATTTATAAAGAAAGGAAGACTTTAATTAAGAGAAACAATGACATCAGCTGGTCATAGATTCTAAATTTTTAATGAGAATTTTGAATTATGTGCAGGTGAAAAAACAGGAATTTGGATTGATAAGAAATTTTACAATATGGATTAATAAAGAAAAGAAATATTGATTCCCTTTGGCTAAAAAGATCAATAATACAATGCAGTTATTGTTCATGATAATTTTGCTGAATTTACAACTGTTTTTCTATAGTAAGAATAGTATCAATTAAAATGTGCATTTTTGGTGGCTGGTGAATCTTTGCTGCAAAAAGGTTAAAATATTTTAAATGAAAAATCTATCAGAAATTTTGATTGATTTAAAATAATTAAATGAAATTGATTGTAATGGGAAGTTAAGCTAAAGCAGTTATAATTCCAAAACTATTTGTAAATGGAACTGAGGCTGGATTAGCATTACTTTAAGAATAAAAGATATAAGTAACAAGTATAAATGATGCTGATGTTCCAACAACATTACCATTTGATAATATTAAATTAGAAAATGATAAACCATTTGAAGTTTAATTTCCGATTACATCTAAATTAAAAACAATTGAAATTAAAATCAGTGGAAAGATAACAAGAATGCATAAATAAGATAATAAGAAGGAAGAATAACTTGAATAATCCCATATTATCAATATTAACAATCTAGAGGGAAATTCAGCATTTTGTAATTAGTTATTGAAATATGATTCAATAAACGGATATTAAATTTGCATTGTTGGAAAAAATTGGTGAACCAAAAAGAGGACTATAAATTAATATTAAATTTGAATTATCATCCTTTAATTTAAGTGATAATAGATAGTTCACTACTGATGATAAAGGTAGAGTTTATTTGGGAAGTTTGAAAAATGTAAGTTCTATTGTTTCAGATGTCAAAAGTGTTGGGGATATAGTTGTATTGTAGAAATAATGAACAATAAATTAAAAAAGTTAAATATCTTATCCATCAAAATTAACAGTATTACCAGGATAGGAAATTAATTTACCATATTATTATGATGAGGATATAAAGAATCCATTAGTTCTTTATCAAGTTTTTGGAACAACTATCATTAAAAGTTTAACTGATTAAATTAAAATTTAAGACTAATTTATTTCATTTAAATTAGAAAATAAAGGAAATTATGAATTATAATTTGTAAAGGATAGAAATACAATTCACATTAATGTTATAGATAGTGAATAATGGAAAGAAACTAATATTATTTAATATTAGAATCAATTAGTAATTGAAAAAGGTTTAGATCAATTAGTTGCTATTTCACAAATTAATTAAAAAAAAGAAGAACATGAAACAAAAATCACCGGTAATATAAAGTCAAAATAAAAAGTGTAAATATTTGCTTATGCAACATCCTTTTTATATGAACAATTTGATCAATAAGTGAATTAAATCCATAAATTGATATATAGAGATAGATCTGAAGAATTCTCTATAAATTTGTATAGTAATGTATTCTAATCAAATAAGGAATTGTCAGATGAACAAAAATATGTTATAAATCGAAAGACATAAGAGAGATATATTGGAAATACACTTGAAAAACCTCAATTTTTATTGAAGAGATAATAAATTAGAGAAACAAAAACTGAAGGTGAATAATTAAAACAAGAAGGCTCCTATAAAGAAAAATATGAATGAAAATGAAATAGTGGAAACTAGAGATTTAGCTCATCAATCTACAATGTAGAAAGATAAATTCTATTCAATTTATAGAAACTCATCTAATGTACAAAAAAATGTTACTATTTAAGTTCAAGATTTAACATCAACAGAAATCAAGTTAATAGATTCGTTAGATAAAATGTTCATCATATTGAAAGAATTGATAAAAGCTAAAGGAGATAACATGGAATATAAAAAGTTATAAAATTGGGAATTCTTAGTAAAATGGTATTAACAAAGCTCAGAACAAAAGCATAAGTTATATGATAAACATTAGTGTGATGAATTGAATTTATTTATTTACTTTAAGGATTCAGCATTTTTCGAAACTTACACAGAGAGTTATATAAGAAATAAAATAGAGAAAAGTTTTATTGACTATTTCTTATTAAAAGATGATGAAATGTTAAAATATTATGGATCAATGTAAAAGATTTCTTATTTAAATGCTTTAGAATAAGCATTATTGGTAATTTACTTTGCCGAAATATCAAATTAAATGGAAGATGCAAAATAAATAGTATCTTATTTAGAAAATATGAATAAATAGAATATTATTGATTAAAAATTATTTAAGAAATATTTTGATACTATTTTGGGTGCTAAAATAGAAGCTGATGAGGAAAAAATTTGAAGTATTTTAATCTAAAAATGTGTTAATATAACAATAAGCTCTAAAACAACCATAATTATCATTTCAAAACAATTAAATGATGATGAAGATGAATAATTAAGCATTGCAATTTTAACCACTATAAAGAAGGGAATAAGATTACGAGTATGCTTGTATGTAAACATAAACAGTTGGATCATGTAGGTTTTAGATGGATTCATTCTCAAAAGATAGAAATGATAGTGATGATATTTATTATAGAGAAAAAAGATCTTAATTCATTGAAAATTTCAAAAATATTGAAAAAACTAAAGAATATGGTGAAAAACATTATAGCATTGGATGTTAGAAGGAAAATTTCTAATCTTTAGTTCATTTAAATGGATTCTATATTGATTTAGTTAATCATTCAATTACTAAAGGTATATTAAAAGAAGATTTTTTGTCTTCAAAATTTATGCATTCTATAAATAACTCAACTGAAATAATTGCTGTTTTAGCACTAATTAGTTTACCAAATGAAGCCCCAGTTTAAGAATATAAACAATTTGAAGGAAAGGGGGTAGAAATCATCACAAAATGTTCTGCTTTATTTTTATGAAAGAAATTAAAGAAAGCAAAGCATAATTAAGATAAGACATTTTGATAGCTTAAAGATTTTTTGATCCAAAAGATAGATTTATAAAATCAGAAGATGATCCAGAATTATAATTAGAAAATGATATAACTGAATGTTTAATTGATAAAATTTATGGCTGTAAAGTCATCATTACTAATTGTTCATCAACAAGAGCTGATTACTAAGTTTTATTAGAATTACCTAATGGTGCTATTCCTGTTTAAACAGTATTTTATACAAAGTCTTTTACAATTAATTGTTAACCATATACAACTTAAAGAATTGAATACTTTTTTATTTCCCAAAAGTTGGCACATTTTCTGTATATCCAGCAAATGTTTCTAGACTTGGTTAAATTGTAAGTGTTGCTTAAGAAGGCTAATTGAAAGTAATTGAATAAAAATCAATTAAAAATTTAGAAGCTATTGAAGATATCTTAGCCAAAGGTAATAAGGATGATATTTTAAATTTCTTAGCAACTAAAAATATTTTTAATAGAAATATATTCAAAGCTGAAGATATTAGATATTTATTAAAAGATAAAGATTTCTATTTGAAAGTAATTTCAATTTATCGTAAGAGAAGATTCAATGATTATGAAACTTTAAAATATTCAATATATCATGCTGATTAATAGAGCATGAAAGAATTATTCCTTCATAATAATTGTTAAGAATTATTTAATAAAACTTTCAAATATTTCTAATGTTCTCTATTTGAAGTTAATAATATTAGAATGCTTGAATATTATCCTTTAATTTCAAAGAGAGTTCATAAACTAACATCTGAAGCTAAAGGAATTTTAAATGTCGAATTTAGAAATTAATATATTGATTTCTTGACTTATTTAGTTGAAAAACCGAAACATAGTTTAAGTGATAAATTAGGATTTATTTATTATCTATTGCTATAAGAGAGAATCAATGAAGCCATTTAAATATATAAAACTATAACTGAAGTAGATACTTAAGGTGAAGCCATCTTATAATATGACTATTTCACAGCCTATCTTGATTTTTATATAGGATATCCAAATTTTAGTGAAGCAAGAGAAATCTGTGAAAAATATTTAAATTATCCAATTATTCATTGGAGAAATATTTTTTATGATGTAGCTAATTTATTGGCTGAGTATGATGGTGATGATGATGAGAATTAAAAATTATAGACTGAAACTACTGTTAAATAGAAATAGACTGAATAAGCCAAAAAAGAAGAAACTTTATAATCAACTATTGAAGGAAATCAAATTTAAATAACATATTCAAATTTAAATAAAGTCGTCATATAATTTTATAAAATAGACTTAGAAATTTTATATTCAAGAAATCCATTCTTAAATTGGAATGAAGAAGATTTTGCATTTGTTTTACTTAATTCTGTTTTGGAGACAACATTAGAAGCTTAATAATAACCAGGATTGTAAAATATTTATTTTATAGGACTTATAAAAAGTCAGTAACTATTCCTGAAGAACTAAGAAAATTTAATCTTATTATTTAAATAAAAGGTATTAGTAAACGAACATCAAATCGTTATTATTCTACATCTTTGTAAGTTTAGATAATTGAAAATTATGGTTAAATTAGGGTTTCAGATTCTGAAGGAAAATATTTATCAAAAGTTTATGTGAAAGCCTATATTAAGGAGAAAAATGGAAAAGAATTATTCTATAAAGATGGTTATACTGATTTAAGAGAGGAAGATTTGATTATGCTTCTCTAAGTTCATCTAATTTAGATGAGGCTTCTAAATTTTCATTATTAATCACAAGTGATGAATATGGTATTTATATATTATAAAAATAGGATCAATTATAAAGGAAATTAACGCTCCTTCTCAAGTTGGTAAATTTGAAACTGAAGTTAAACTTGTATCTAATAAATGGAATGAAAGGGCAATAAGTGAATAGGTCAAATAAAATAATTTATATGAACAGAAGAAATTTAATAAATGTCAATGATCTATCATTTAATCAATAAATATAATAAATAATTTATTTTATTATTAAATTAATGTTTGAAATAATAACTTTAAATGATGTTATAGGAATTAGTGCTACATACTTACATAATTATTAATAAATGTTGATTAAAATAATAAAAGAAAAGTATGAATATAGGCCTTTGAAAAATTATGGATATTGTGTCAAAATACTTGGTGTAAAAACATCTGATGGTCATATCTAAGATGGAGATATTTTATATTCTGTTATTATTGAAATACTAAGTTTTCAACCCATCTAGTCTGAATTAATATATGGGAAAATAGATGATTAAACAGAAGAAGGTTTGACTGTAAAATTCTTAGAAAATAATATAAATAAAAAATGTTTATTTGGATTTATTCCAAAGGATTAGTTATTAAATGCTAAATTTGATAAAGAAAAATAAGTATGGATTTGTTGCTGTGATAAAAAGAAATTTTATTATATAAAAGGAGAAGAAATTAAATTTAAAGTTAATCAATTAAATTTTGACACAGCTGATTAGATTTAATAAATTATATAAGGTAGAATGAATGAGATTGGACTAGGTGGAGTAAATTGGTGGATATGAATATTGATTGTATTTTTTTAAGCATTTTATAATCATAATATATATGTTATAAATAATCAAATATATCTTGAGTTATCTTAACGATTTTAGACATCAGCTTTTGTTGCAAAATATGCTTGTACTTTTTTCTTAGCTACTGGAATATCTACTTCTTTGTTGTATGTAAAATTATATTCTTTAGGGAAATGAATATTTATCAATCTTCTTGTATCTTCACTCACCATAACCTTACCTGGTTCTCCTTATGATTCCATCTTATTGGCTATAACAGCATCAATACCAAATATATCATATCTTACAATATCAGTACCAATAATTCCTCCATAAAATTAACCCTAAAATATTAATTCTTTATTACTGTATGTATTCCTATTCTCATATTCAAATTTAAAAAGTTTATTTCTCTTCTAACTCTTTTAATTATTTCAACCATTTCTAATCCCATTTCTAATACATTTTTTGCCTCCTAACCAGGATGTCTTTACTCCATATCATTTATACCCAATACAACATAACAATCACCAATTGTATATACTTTATATACATTCTATTATAAACATTCCTTATCAAATGAAGTCATTAATTATCTTAACATTTTAACTACTTATTCTGCTGGAACACTTGCTGAATATGCAGTAAATCCACTTATATCTGCAAATAAAAGTGTAGCATCTATTAATACATCTGATAATTCTAACTTTATTTTACTATTTTAATAAAATCTAGTCAAAATATGAGATGGTAATAAATTTGTTAATAATGAATCTCTTTATTCTTTTTTTAAATTTTCATTTGCAGCACTATTAAAATTTTTTATTGTTAATTCAAAATTATTATGTGATACAATAACCAATATTATCGTTGATAAAACTATAAATACTAATAAATTGTTATGTTCATGTAATAATAATTATACAAACCATGCTGCTTACTGTAATAAAATATAGAAAAACATATATTTAAATTTTAATGACTATTAATTAACAGCTGAAAATGCAAAAAAATATGCTTCTGCATTATCTGAAATTAAAAATCTTTATTAATTATCAAAAGTTACAAAAAACATAGTTAGAAAAGCACTAACATAATACAACCCTGTTAAAGCAAGATCTAAATTATGCATATTATATTTTTTGAGTCTGCTTGTTATAAAATAAAGTATAATTAAATATAGACTCAAAAACATTCTAACAATATAAATAGTTAATCCATCATAACCAGAATCTAGTAATTATATTTATGCTTTAAATAAAGTGTAAACAATAGTCATAGGATAAAAGATATCTTTAAGTGCAGATCTAACTTCTTAATAATATTATTCAAACTGCATAACAATAATTGCATCATTACACTTTTCATAGTCTAATGTTAATTTCATATATTTTAATATATCTAAATCTTTAATCTTTTTTGTTTTTTCACTCATGATATCACTTTCTGGAACATCAATATCATTATCAGATACACCAACTATTCTATTTTCTGGATCTTTTTCTACTTATTTCATTTAAATTTCATCTTCTTTATTTTCTTCCCAATCATTAGTATTATAATCAGTTTTTTAAACAATTTAAGTTCTTGCCCTATTTCTCCATTCTTTTTCACTAACAGAAGTAAAGTCTTCCTTCATAGTAGGTTTTCTATGACCTCTTGTTTATTCTCCTCCTTTATTTTTTCTGGTTATTTTAATTAATTACGATCCTTACATTGAATGATTCATTATTTTTGATCTTCTGCCATATTCTTTAGTAGTTGGATGTTCATTTTAATTAAGAGATTAAGATGGTGAAAAATCTTTATAAGTTTATTTTAATTAAGTTGATCTAATATTAAAATTATTAGTTTTATGAGTTTTGAAAGTTAATTATCTTCCATTTTTTTAACCATCATAAAATCTAACTTATGATTAATGTTTTTTTACATATAATTTTCTTTTACTTACTTAATGAACAATTAAATGACCTTTACCTTTTGCTTCAACTTCTCTAGAAATAAATAGAAATTCAGAATCTTTTACTCTTTCATAAGCTTCTGATGATATTGTAATTCTTCCAACATCTCCAGTTGAACACATTCTAGAAGCTGTATTAACTGTATCACCAATTAATGAAAATTATGGTTTATGATAACCAATTACTCCTGCAAATACTTAACCATAATGAATTCCTATCTTTATTTTTAATTTATATAATTTAACTATTTCTTATTCTTTGTATTCATATCTAAATTCAGATATTGCTTTTAAAAAATCGAGAGATAATTCTATTGCTATTACAGTCTCATTTTTCTTTTATTAATTTAATCCATCTTTATTGTTTTCTATTTCTGTAGATTTCAAACCAGAACATGCCATATAAGTTTTACCAACTGTTTCTATTTTCTAAACACCATATTATAAACAGATTTTATCTAAAACTCTAAAAATATCATCGAGAAATGAAACAACTTATCTTTGTTTAGATTGTAAAATTTTATCAAATTCACAAATCTCTAAAAAAATAATCGAGACTGATCCTTAATTTTCTTCTATTTAGGTTTCATCTGCTTATTCTATTTTTTCATATATGAATGCTGGTAGAAGGGATTTTAAAATTTAATTAGTTTATTCTTATTAAGTTTACAAAGCTTAATCAAATAAAAATACTAATCTCTAGAATCGTTAAAACTAAAATATTATAATAAATTTATTATACATTATAATGAGTATAATTTGATAGTAAATTTAAGAAGAATAACAGAACATATAATGTTATAAATTCTACTCTGAAAGTAGAAGTTTCAGAATCAGAATTAACTTAAATATTATAAAATTGGCCAACTCTAATAGTATAATTAACAAAAAAGATTAAAGTTAAAGTATTTGGATAATATAATGGAGGGGGAAAGATATCCCATGCTAAAAATTATTAATAAAGTAATTATCCAAAAGTACTAAAATAATACTAACTTTTATCTTCAGGAAGAGTTACACTCAAAAAATGATCTAAAATTAAAATTACAGGAATAAAAAAGTATGCTTCAATAGTTCCCCATTTAATTTAAAATGTTTTTTAATCAATCTACTTCTTCTCTACTAATTTAGTAATGAGTACTATCAAAACCCACATTATCATAACAATTGCCCATAGAATATTTAAAGTTGTATCATAATCAGTTAAGAACGGAGACCATGCTATTATACTACTTACTCTTAATACAATAAATAGTATTAATACTACTTCTCTTCTTTATTAATAATAATATTAAACTTTGAATTTTCTAAATTATTTTTCATAATTATTATTTTTAAAAACTAAAGAAAACTTTGAATATTCTCCATTAAAAGATTAAGTTTTTTCACTTTCAAATAAAGAACGAATAAATGGATCAATTGAAACATTTTCAAAAACTTTTTTAATTTTTCTGAAAAACTATCTATTTATTTTTATATGATTATTCATTGGAAATTGTTTTAGAGATTCTTAAATTAGTTTACCACCTTAATTTTTTAATTATTTTTCTACATATTTAACAAAATTTAATATTATTCTTGGAGTAAACATCATATCTCTTGTTTACTTCACTATTTAATCTATTGTAATTATTATAATAATTCCAGTTATTATTCCTATTATAAATTACCATTTAAATATATTTTTAATTATTTACACTCTTAAATCAGCTTATACAACAATTGCAAATGAAATAGTTAATAGTATAAGAGTAATCATAAAGTTCCATATAATTTTACCAAATGTAACATTAAGATGTATCATTTAAGATGTGCCAAAAGCAAAAACACTGAAAAGTTGAAACAAAAACATTAAATTAGCTAAATTATTGGAATCTGAAGTAAAAAACATCATGAATTCTGCAAATATGTATGTATTTAAAAGTCCAGTAATTCCTGCAGAAATTAATACTTCATAAAATAATTCTTATAACCATCTAAAGTTTGATTTGAAACATTTGTAAGTCTAAGGTTAAAGTTATGGTAACATCAATTCAATTTATTCATGACTAGATCTGTCTTCAAAGGTTGGTAAAAGTCCATTAATTATTATATGAATCTATACAGCTAATAAATAGACAACATGTTCTTCAATATAGAGTGTTTTTCTAACACAAACGAAGAGCGTCAAAATTATTAATTAGTAAAGACTTATTTTAGTACACATAACAGTTAATTAACTTAAATGCATAGGTAATATTTTTGCAAAATATAGAACTAATTACTTAATGTGTTACAGATCATTAACTTAAATATTTTGATATGCTATTTTTAATGATCTTTTTTCCTTTGAAAATTAAATAGTAGCATTTGCATGAGAATTCATATTAAAATCATCAACTGAATCTGAAATCGTTAAAAGTGTACTACTAGGTTCCAAGATTTTAGTGACAGCTTTTGTTATTAATTCTTTATCTGCTGGAGAGCAATCATATGCAATCACAGTCTTTAAAATTAAAGCTATAAATAAAAAATGACTTTTAGTATAATCATCACTAAAAAGTGGTTTTATGGATTTTCCATTAACTAATAAGTAAACTTTTTATAAAGGTTCTTCTCCCTTCTTTGATTTCAATATCATATTTTCATCAAATGTTGTTTTCTTTTATATTCCACTCTTTTTTATTTCAGAAGTTGATTTTTAAGAGGCAAAGTTTTTAGAGGATTCATTTTATTGATTTTCATCTTCCTTTAATAGTTATTTTCTTATAAATAACAATTAAGATTTTATTTATAATTTTAATTTTTCTTCATCCACTTCATCAATTCTTAATAGAGTATTATTATTATTAACAATTCCAACATGATTAGCTGCAGATACAGTTTACATTTTTTTATCTCCACTCAATATCCATTATGATATACCTAAATTTTTAAAAGTTCTAACTTAAGCATAAGCTCCTGGATTTTAATCTTCTTTTAAACAAATCAAACCATAATAATCTAAATCTTTAATTAATTCTTTATCATGTTGAGACATTTCCATAGTATCAAAATTTGCATCTTAATATTTATTTTTATTTTTGATTGCTTCTTCAGGAATTTCTTTACCTGCATAAACAATAAATCTATAACCTGATTAAGCTAAATGAGTAATTTATTTTTCTAAATTAACTTTTTTTTTTTAAGATAATTTACATTTATCAAGTAAAGATAAATTTTCACTTTTTACATATAATTTAAGTAAACCTCCTTTTTATCCTTTTTCTGTTCCTTATCTATCATATTGATTTGCTTATTATCTAATTCTTTATTAAATTGGTTTCATAAAAATAGCAAAATTTTCATTGTCATTAACTTTTTTAGAAACTAAATATCTTTCGCTTAATCCTTTAGCACTAATTTCATAACAAATCTTTTTATTTAATAATCCAGCACAATTGAATTCAAATTAATATTATTTAGCAAATTTAATAATGGATTCTTAATATTCTTCAGTATTTTCATTTAAGAAATTTTGTGGATTCATACTTGGATGTTCATTCATAAGTCCAGACATTCCTAAATTAGTATTATTTTTATCTCTATTAGGTTTATTTTATGGTTTAGAATATTTAGTTTTAACATCTTAACATAATATTAGAGATCTCATAAAATTATCTGCTTATTTATCACCAGATTTAATTATGTCTTATAAATCTCTTCTTGCCTCTTCTTCTCTATCATCATTATCACTTTCTGAAAATTACTATTATAATAATTCATCTTCATTAACTTGTGATTCGACAAGTTTATTTTCTTTTCTAAGATCTTTTGAAGATTAAATTGGAGAAGGAGATAACATAGCAGGATCTTAAGTTTAATCTAAATTTTTTTCTACAATTCTAAGTTCTTTTCTTGATTTTGGAACTAATCTACTATTATTATTTTATGTTCTTCTATTATTTCTATTTAAAACTACTTTTTCACGTGGTGATGATGAGGAATCTTCATCAATACTCTAAGCTTTTGTAGGTTTAATAACTTCATTTTATCTGATAAAATGAGGATTAAAATGAAAGATCATATTTCTACTTTCAGGTTCTACTTCATTAAAGACAGCATCATCTTAATTAAAACTAATGACGTCATCATCAAGTTATGATTAAAGTCTACTTTTAACAGATTAATGACTTGCTGGATTTTAAATGAATCTTTCACTTCTTTATAAAGATGCAATTCCAAAATTATTATCTTCTTTTTCTTCTTCCTCTTCTAATATTTCTTACATATTGTTATGAACATGTTAAATAGTCATTAATTTTCTATATACTTTAGTAGAATTTCTTATTCCATCTCCATTGATTAAATTATAAAAACATACTCCACATATTACTCCACAGAGAACTGTATTAGTATTTGTAAGTGTACCAGTTTTATCATAAATACAATGATCTATTTTAGTCAATGTTAAGAGTTCAGAAGAATGAGATACTACAATATTCTTATTCTTTTCAAAGATGTTGTTAAAGAATTAAAATGTAACTTCACATAAACCAGTTATAAAACAAGGATGAGCAAAGGTTATACTTTAAAATATTCTACAAATTGTATTGTAAATACTTAAATCAGCTGGTTAACTTTAAAATCTCACTATTATTGTTATGCAGAATGCCAATTATATGAAATACAAGAGTGAAAATATTAATGAAAATTTCATTTAGTATCTATCAAAATGTGTAGTAGATTTTTTAAAACAATTATGCCACATTTTAATTACATCTTCATCATCATGACTTATTACTATTCCTACAACCCAATCAGTATTAATTATCATACTACTTTAATTAACAATATTTTTATAATCTAAATATTCACCTTTTGGATCTTTTTATAATTTTATAAATCCTCTAAACATATTATCATTTGTATCCAAATAATCAAATTCAATTTTACCTGTTAAAATTCTCTTATAATAAATAAGAGTTTAGTTTTTTTATTGATCAGATGTTGATGTTAATTTAATTGATTATTTTTAAGTCATATGAGTCATTCCTTCTTTTTCTGATGTTTAAACCATAAATTTCTCCTCTTAAGAGTTTAAAATTAAAATACTCATAGGACTAGGTTAATGTCTTTTGAGAAACACTAAATTTCCTACAATTACATCGCGTTTAGGACATTTACTAATATGACATTTTGGATCCCAACCTATTACATATACTGTTTAATCATAATATTCATTCACTTATTTTAATGCTTTACAAATCTACTGATAAAGTTTATAAGAAGACATAAATAAATTACCAGCTAATTATATTATACAAATTAAAAGTTATTGTCCTGCATTGAAACTAGCTGATAAAATTATCACTACAAACAACCATAAATTAAAACCTTATTTCAACCAATCTAAAAAGTGTAGAATACATGTTTTAAGAATCTAAATATATTTTATAATATCTTACTAATCCTCTTAGTAATTATTTTGGATCTCTTTTGAATTATTAATTTTAAGGATAACCATTTTTGAAATAAAGTTTATGTTAATAATCCTTCTAATTAACCTACTCTTAATATGATCTCTACATAATAATAATTTAATTAATTAATTATGTAACCATAACAGAGAATGGGAACATCAGCAATGCGAGTACCAACTCGTATGACTACAGCTATGAGAGTTTATTATATTAATTACTTTATTAGAATGATCCTAATTTCTAATCAGTAGCAAATACGACTAATTTAAAATTTGTGGATAGACCTGTTACATAACATGGAATAATTGGAGTCAAACCTACAACAGCAGGACCTGGTCGATAAATATAAGATAAATCATATTATTTAAATCAATTGAGAGAGAAGCAAAAGGAAATATTTAATGAGATTGAAAGATTCAAAAAATAATAAGAAGAAATTTAAAAAGCTAATACACTTTATGTTTAATTTGAAAGAAGGTATATAATTTATATTATAGATATATAGACATGAAGAATTGACAAAAGAAGTTAGAGATCTTGAAGGCCAATTAGCTGATTATAATCTAGCATTTGATAAATGGAGAGCCAATACAAGACCAGAAGATATCAAAAATATTTTTGAAAGAATCAAAGTTTTCATATTATTTTTATGTCTTATAGATTCAAAATGAAAGATAAAGATCATAATTAGATGACATTTTCATTGAGAGAAGAGGTTAAGAGGATTAAATTAATTAAATTGAAAATCGATTAAATGAATTATAATCATTAGCTGATATGAAGTTACAAGAATTAGATCCAGAGTAAAGAAATGAATATATAAACTTGATCAATGAAAATAAGTCTCTTTAATAAGAAATCAATAATCAAAAGGCAGAATTAGAAGAATTAAATGCCAGAATGCAAAATGCAGATAATAGATTGAGAATGGATGCTTAGAAATTAAAAGGATAAATGTTAAAAGAATAAATTAATGAAATGGAATCTAAAAAAAATGATTTAGAAGTTTAATTAAATGAAGCTAATCTTACATTCCCAGAAGCTAGAGATAGATTATTAAATAAAATTAAAGATGATAATGCTTTTATTTAGAATTCAGAAAAAAGAGTCAGAGATATTAGAAGAAATATAGAAAATTATGAAAAAAGATTAAGAGAATTGTAAACTGAATTAGAAGATAAAAAGTCTTAAGAATAAGATAAATAGAAATATGAGATATTATATTAAAGAGATTAAGAAATGACTGATTATATAAATAACTTTGATAAAACAAGACAATAAGAATTAGAAAAAGTAAATTCTGTAGAATAAACTATTGTTGAATTATTAGGACAATCTTCTAGAATTGTTTAAGATATTAAAACAATACCATCTTTAACAGATTATGCTGGTTTATCAGCTGAAGTAGATTTTAAAGATAATCAAGTAAAAGATTCTGAAATGACTTTAAAAAAATTATAAGTAGTTTATGAATAAACTGTTTAAGATTTAAAAAAGATTGAAAGAGCTGAAGAATAATTACCGATTGAATTATAACAATATAAAACAAAATGCAAATAAATGTAAGATGAAATTGACTAAAAATTCAATAAAATTGATGAATATAAAGTTAAAGCTTAAGATAAAAAGCTTAAGTTAGAAAATCAAAAAAGAGAGTTAAACAAACTTAAAGATGAATATACTTCTTAAGTAAGTATCAAAATCATATATCTAGAGTTAAAATATGAAACATGAATTTGATGTCAAAGAAAAGAAATACACTATGCATGAATAATACAATACTTTAGCTGATTTAGAAAAGAAAGTCTCATAATTAGAATCCTAAGCCAATACTTTCTAAATGTTTATTGAAACCAAGTCTAAAGATATGAATTTTGAATAGTTAAAGAAAGAATGTATGGATTTGATGGACAAAATTAATAAAGTCTTGTGTAAGTCTTGAAATCAATAATAAATTATGGATAAATATATTCAAATTAATATAAAAATTTAATCAAACTATATTTTTCATCTTCTTTACAAGGTTTTTTCTAAATTTGCATATCTTTTATTTATAAGGAAAGAAAGTCTCTGATGATATACTCTTAATAAAAGATCTAGGGGATTTTAATTAAGAAAGGCATTATTCTTATGGCTTTGATCCACTTAACTGAGAGAGGTAAGGAGAATTTATCATAGAAGAATTATAATTAAGTAAATTATACTCTTTTTTTTTTGGGGATTTTTATTCATCCCCTAAAGTTTTCAAAATTCCCATAGGTTAATAAAGAAATTAATTTGAAAGTGAACAATGATATTTTTAATATGCTATTGTTGGTAATGTGCCTGAACATTCGGTTTTGTTATTCAGTTTCTTTTGTAAATAGAGTCTTACTGACTATCTCTATTTATGTTTCTAATCTATAATTTAAGCTTAAATAGATTAAACTTATTAATTTTGATATCCTTTTTCTTCACCAGGAATTTAAGAATTACTATATGTGATTTGATTAACACTATGATGTTATTAACCAAAAATAAAAGGTTAGTTTTCAAAAACCTTAGTCTTAAACCTAAATAATCTTTTAGTTTTATCTTATTATCTATTTTTTTTCCACTTTTCCAATAAATAAATTATACAGAAAACAGCATTTTAGAATCTCTTGCATAATCTTTGTTTTCTAAGTACTGACATTTTGGTTGAGAAGATTATAAACTTCTTCTACAAATTTTTAATCTTCTTACTAACTGCTCCACAATCCTAACAACAGCAACTCTTATTATCTTCAAAAGATTCGTTCATTAATGATTCAGAACTATTTATATATGTAAAATTTTGATTACTTTGATGATGTGGCTAAATCTAAATTTTTAAGAGAATATGGTTTCAGCTATGATGTTATTGGTTTAAGAGCTTTTGAATATTTCTTTTCTTATAGTTTCAAGTGAAACTGCTTTTCCTTATTAGATATGAAGGAAATTTTTAACTTCTAGAGACTCTACTATTTGCGAGTTTAATTCATATTTTTTTTAGATTATTAGCAATTATTTAATTATGGATAATAATATTGAAAAAGAGTTACTTCAAAAATCCTAAATCCATGCTGAAAGCTTACTTAAGATGGTTAAAAAACATAAGTCTGAAAATCAGGCTTTAATAACTTAAATCTAATAATTATAAAAACAAATTAGTTCATAAGGAGATAGCTAAGAAATATAGAGAATTCAAAAAGAAAATTTATATTTGGCCAAAGAAAATGAATAGTTAATTAATTAGTAGAAAGAGTTAACTCAACAAATTTAGGATCTAGAATTTTAAAATAATTATATGCAATAGTAATTAAATTAAAATTAAATGAAATCAGGAATGCTTTAATTATAGAATTCAAATTTATAAGATGATTTATATATACGATTCTAACAATTAGAATTTGCTTATAGAAAAGCTGTAAAAGAAAAAGAGGCATTTTAATAAGAAAATGCAAAATTAATAGAGGAAAAAAATTAAATTTAAAATTAATTATTAATAGTAGAAGAACTATATAGATAAGCAAAAAATTAATCAAATTTATCAATGTCTATGTCAATGTAAACAATGGAATTATGTATATAAAATATTAATTATGTAGCATAATAATTAATTGCTTAAAATGATTATAATAAATCATAAATTTAAAGAAGTAAAAAAAAGGATTCTATTAAACTTTTTGAAGAATTTTACATAGTGTCTTCTCCCTCTACTTCTATAAAATATGAAAATCCAGAACCTATGGTATTATTTAAACATCCTATACAATGTGAAGATGAGCTAAAGACTCTATTTTAAGTTTTACCTTTATTTGCTTTTCCAAGAGGGATAAAATGCTAACTGTCATAACAAGCTAAAAAAGATATTTTAAAGTATAATATATCATAATTAGAGTTTTATAGGATGATTAATTAACTGATTTTTCACTTTAAATCTTCACTCCAAACAAAGATTCTGGAAAAGATATTTAAAATGAATTCATTCGAAATTCTAACCCAGATCAACTACTTTATGCTGTAATTATTTCAGAGCAAGATTTTATTGCGGATAAAAGGTTAACAGATTCCCATGATTTGGTAAAACAAAAGAAATTAGGTAATCCAGCATAAAATATATATTTATCTAAAATGGCATATATCATTTTAACCTATTATCCATATCATAAGTTATTCTTTTAAATAATAAAAAATATCATCAAAACTTTGAAATTCGAAAGAAATTAACTTTCTAAATAAGCTATTGAATAAGAATATGATTTAAGATAGATTGATTAATATTATTTTACAAACCATGAAAACTAAATCAGAAAATATTTGGATTAAATACAATAACTTACTCTTACAAAAATAATATAACCAGTTAAGTTATTTGATAATACAGAGTTTATTCAAAATACATAATTAAGTCCAATTTTATATAATTTTGAATTGGCCCCTAATAATTTATTGTAAGGATGGTCGGCATCTACATTTGTTTCTGCATTTTAAGCAGTAGTGTTGGAATCTAAAATTGCCATTATTAATAGATCATAAAAACATATTGCTTATTTAATGATCTTATTATCACTTTGTATCAAACCATTAAATTATTTTCACCCATTTATTTTTGATGTTCCTGAAAAATTAATGCCTCTTTTAGATGCTCCAGTTCCAGTATTTTTAGGTTTACAATTAGAACAATTTCGTTAATTTAATGACGATGTTGTTTATATAAATACAATTTCTTCTAACGTGGAAATAGAAAATTTTGAAAAAATTTAAAGTGGTTTATTAAATGAATTGGAAAACTAAATAAAATCAGTTTTAAATAACTTCAATATAATTTTAATCAAAAAAATTGAATTATTATTAAATACTTTTAAAGATTTCATGAACTAAGCATTAAATAAGATTTAAAATAAATAAACGAAAGATTTGTTCTTATAAAAGATTGAAGAGACTTAAATTTATTAAATGTATAAATGATTTAAGCATATACAAAATTTTAAATTAATAATTAAATATTAATGGGTTTATGTTCTTCATCTTAACAGAAAAAGCCAAGACCATTGATTAGATTAGTAAAAGTTGAGATGGACATTAAAGAAGATAATTATTAGTAAACTTTAAATCTTTGGAGAAGGATTGATGAATAAATGGAGTTACTTAAAAATAAACATCTCATTTCTTTAAAAGTATTAAGTTAAAATGAATAAATTAACAACTTCTTATTGTAAAACTAAAGATAGAATATAAATTAAAACCTATCGACCTTTTTTAAACTATTTGATGAGTTTTAAATTTAATTCACTCAAGAATTAATGCAAAATGAAACTTTTTGTATGAATTAATCAGATTTATTGAAAAATCTTGATTAATTAAATGAAACTTTTGCTGAAATGGGCTATAGTACAAAAGGTATATATAAAAATTAATAAAATAGTTTTAACTTAGTCTTTAACCAAATATTGATAAAACTGAGATTAATTTATTTTTGTTTAATGTAATCATCAATTTTATTTTTTTTTCTTACTTGAACTGATTCTAAGTGGGAAATCAGAAAAAGGCTGGAGAGGTGATGACTTTAATAATGCAGCCTCATAATTTTTAACATTTCTTTTCTTTCTAACAATTGTCTATTTTGGAGAAACAAAACCACTCAAGATAAGATCACTTTATTTTTATGTTCTGCATTTTTAATATTTTAATTTATCTGAGTTTATAGAATCTGATAACAAGGGATTTCTATTAATTGGTTCTGAATATCTACCCATATCACTTAGTATAGGACCAGACTCAAAAGTTCTCTGTTAATTATTTCGCTAAGATTTTATCTCTTACATTTTTGATTTTGGTGTAGAGTATACTTTAATTGGCAAAGGTTTCATCTTAAATTTTTTGTGTTATTCATAATATCTATTTACTGACTTCTATACATGAAAATTTTAATCCATAAGTTCTTTAATCAATTTTTCATATCTTTAAGTTATAATTTCTACAGTACTTTCTACTGGAATGTAAACTGATTAAGTATTATCAATTGATTTATCTTTTAATTTTGTAATACTACTTACTAAACTTATAAATCCTATTTGTAGATATAAATTACATTTACCTCCTCCAGACAAATATAAAGTTCTAGTATTATCATCTACAAATAACACATCATAAACATTTCTATTACTATGTCTACTGACTGTATAGCAATACTTCTTATGTAGATCATTTAAATATCTAAGACCATAAACTCCAAGTATTAATGGTTCACTGTAGAACTTCTCATTTCTATTACATCGGTCTTCTCTTGATTTTAGATTGCTTTATACTATTCATAATTTAGCAAATGTGAAAGCTCGTGTTTTAATTTTTATCGCTGGAAATTGATTATAAATTTCAAAACTCCCACTAAAGGCTCATGGATTACTTATTACATTGTTGTTCTAATATTAGGCTAATTTACAATATCCTAACACAATTATTATCCTTATTTAGGAAAGTATATCTAAAATTTATTTGTAATTAATACTTGTGTCTTTACTAAATAGTATTGTGTTATCTTTATGTATTTTTATATTATTTTTGGAAGAAATAGCTTGCGAAAACCTTCATTTAGATGTTAATATAGATAATTTTCAAGGTTTTCTCTTTTCTATTCTCCTCTATAAATTTCTTCTGATAATTCCTTCAACGTTCCTAATTTATTTTTGCAATCTTCCTGCATCTAGTGTCCAATTATTCTAATCATAAATATCACTTCCTCTCTAGCCGCCAGAATACTTAAAAATAACTATAAAGGATTCTATTGCATTTTATTAATATGAATAATAATTACATACTCCATAATTTAAGAATAATAAGGTTATTACTTTCTTAATCCTTAAATACGGAAAAAATTAAACATACAACTAAATGTACATAATAAATTCTTCAATTTTTCAATTATAGAATTCAACTTATCAATAATAATAATTCACTATTCCATTATTGCCTACTTTCAAACTTATTTTAATGACTTTTATCATAAATTTTCAATTTTTAATATTTCTATAGAACATTTGAATTTTATATCAAACCTTTAAAGAATTAATTTACTTGTTTTGCAATTATATCATAACTTATATTAAAATTTAGATCATAATCATAATTATTATTAATTTTTTTGTTAAAGATTAACATTCACTGCTTTAAATATAATATATCCATTTTTTAGAAAACCAATTGAAATATAGAATTGTGTAACAACATCTAAAATTATTATGCTAATATTAGATATATTTTAATATATAAAACACTTTTAATTAATCAATTTATTAAGTTAATTCCTATTTTATAAAGAATTCAATTCATCAGAATTAAAAATAATCTATTAGTTTAATAAATAAACAATTTAAAAAGTTAATTCTCGTTTAGGAAATAATAATCATAAACTTTTTTTTTGGTGAATTTCTTAATAATATATAGATATCTAAATAGATAATTTATTTTTAAATTTTAATTGCATCTTGTAAATCTCCATTTTTTGAAATATCAAAAACCCACAAAATTAAAAAAAGCATGAAGAAGAGCTCTGGAAATCGAAAAACTAAAACTCCTCAATTTTTATTCACTTTCTCTGATGATTTATTAAAATCAAGTTAAATTTAAAGATTCTAGTTTTCATAATTTCTAAAAGAAAAAATAAAAAGTCTGTAAATATCCAATAGACCTATTTCAAAAATAATTTTTTTATTGAATTTAATAAATATATATATTTAATTAATTATTTCATAATAAATCAATTTTCATTTTAGAATTATTTGGATATATTATCAGTAAGCACTTTAAAATTTTTTCTACAGATGTAATTGACTTCTTTAAATAGTTTCTCAAGCCAAACTTGTGCCTCTTGATTAATTTGAGAAATTAAATATGCAAAATCATCTTTTTCTTTTTAAAGGTATTCAAAATTTATATCAACATTTAACGGATGTATTTCCCAAATTATTAATGACAAGGTTTCATATTCATAGTTTGAGAATGGTTTTTCTTTTAGACCATAAAACTTTAAAAAGTTTTGAATTTCTTTTTTTTCCAAAAACTTACTTTACGTAGGTGCAAAATCATTAATATAAATTTTTCTGATATTTTCTGCGACATCTTAACATTTTGTTAAAGGTTTTTCAAGAATTTTAAATGTATCACATAATTTTTGCTTAATTGAATGGATAGTGATCATAATAAATGATTGGATTTAATCATTTAACTAGAAAGCATCAGATATATTTTTTAAAAATATATTAAAATTGGCCTCTGGTATTTTTTATACATGGCCATCTTAAATAAACTAAATATAAGTCAAAAAAATAATTACTGTTTTTTTAGTTGTAATCTAAAAATCTTTTAATTTCTTTTTCATTTTTTAAGTTTCCTAATTTATAATTTCTATAGATTATTTAAATTGTTTTTCTAATTCTAAATATCCTTATGAAAAGTCAGTTTAAAATCTTTATAAAGATTTGTAATTATCATAATTGGATTTACTAAATTCAATATTTAATATTCCCGATGAAGTAGATTATTCTTTTAAGATAAATTGTTTAAGTTTTTTTTCATTTTCTGTAAAGTGACTAAAAGGATGAGAATGGTATTATTTGGCAAAATCATCATTTAAAAACAACGAAAAATATAAAAGAGATCTTGTTTTTGGTTTACTAAAATAAATTTTTAATGCATTCTCATTTTCATAAATGAATATGTACCTCTAAATGTTTTTCAAATTTTTATGTTTCATCATACTAAATTATATAACCTGAGTATTCTGGCAGATATATTTGTATCATTTTTTCCAAAGTCTTAAAATCTTCTTTAGTTCTTTCAACTTTCCAATTTAAAGGTAATGTTTCAATACAATATAATTAAATAGTGGAAAAATATTTTTTTTCTTCTTTTACAGTTATTTTGAAATTAAGCTCTTCATCTTCTTTAATATATTATTATTTTTTATTGCAATTAATTTATTTTTCATATTCTGAAAATATTAATTAATTATCCTAATATAAAAAGAAGAATAAATACAAATTGTATTTAACATTTTGCTTCTTTAATCTTCTACAGAATATTCATTTGCTCCTAATCAAAACCCTTTTTTTATGCTTACTCATCTGTAAGAGTGTTAGTAAATATTTATTTTAATTATTATTTTTTTGGGATTAATTTACTTCTTCTCTATATTGGGGCCTCTATTATAGGATTATTTTATATTATTTAATCTTATAAAGGATTTCCAAGAGTTTAAATGTTTGTGATATTATTCTATTAGTCTTAAAATTCTTTGATTAATTATTTTAATTCTTCCAAAGTCCAATCTGATAATTCATCTTTAATTTAAAAAACTTTGTACCTTTATTAGGATATCTTTCATTTGTTAATAGTTCAAATTAATCTTGATCATAGTTTTTTTCAACTATCTCTTTCAAAAGTAAATCTTCCAATTCTTAAATTTTTTGCATTTTAAAAATAAATAATTAATCTTTGATAAATTTTTATTTTATATTTGATAATAAATGTATTCAATTTTATTTGCTTTTAATTATCTCATATTTATTAACCAATTCCTTCCATTACTCAGTCTAATTGATATATAAATAAATTTACATATTTTTGGCAAAGTTTTTGCTTAGCATATAGAAATCCACCAAAATTTGCAACAACTTTAAGCAAATCAGTCTTAAATTATTCATCCACAGCTGTAGAAAATTATTATATCATATAAACTAATGAATCTTAAAGTTACTAAATCTATTAAGTTTCTTAAACATAAAGAAAACTTTTTAAATAGTCAGATTCTGTTGATAATTTATCGAATTCAGATTGATCAAACTTATTTTATTAAATAACTTTTTAAACAACTGCTTTAATATCATTATTTTTTATAAATTCTTCCTTTTTTTTATTTAAAATATTGTAATCTTACACAAACTTATTTTTGATTTCATAGACATTTTGGCATAATCTTATATATGATTTATGACTTCCTAGTATTTTGGCAAAAGTCAACTTTAGATGATTATCAAGTAATGCACAAGTATCGTCTATTTCATAAATTATTTAATTAAAATGATCATTTACAAGATTGATGTACTCAATAAGGCCACTTTATTCAGGGTATTTTGGTAAAGTATTAGTTAGCTCAAATAGATATTAAGCAGCATTTCCTAAGAATTCTTAAGATTTTTTCTGAGAAGCAAAGAATTCATTCATATTTAAAATTACTTAATTGAGGATATTTATAGCATTTTTTGGATAGGAAGATTGATCTAAAAATTTTTAGTAACCATCAAAAGTTAGAGAGACCTTAATTTCTCCAGTTTTAGTTTATTTTTATTATAAATTATATCTTTTTTCTTTCTACAATTCATCTTTTAACCTTTTCTAAAGCAATTATTCATTGACTTCATTAATAAACCATAAACATGGCTATATTGTTCTGATTATTGGTATTTTATTATAAATTAATAGTAAATTCTAATTTAAAAAATAAATTACTTTTATTGATAGAATAATTTCTTCCATCTTTGGTATCATCTCTTCTAATTTTGTTAATCCTCCATAAGGAAATCTTGGAACCTAATTTATAAATAATTTACTTACAATTTTTTCAGGAAAGTATTAACATATAATATTCCTCAGTTCTGCAAATTCCTATAATGTTCTTGAAACCTTCCATTACATAGGAAATGTTTAAATTTAAAAGACAACAATATTTTTAAAAGTGATAAAAGACCATAAGCCTTAATCTCTTACTTCCTAAGGACTAAATTATCATTTTTGTTTACTGAGAAATTTAAAATTGTAATTCAACATCATTTTCAATCAGAAACTTTTCTTATTAACATTTAATAATTTTTTCATATGGATCTAAAGAGATATTATCCTAACTATTTTTGGATTAATACAATATAAATTTTATGCTAATTTGATACAATTACAGAATATAATTTTTCGTCGATATTTTGGAAACCAAAAATTTCTTTATCTTAAGTAAAAGCTGATTTTTAATTTTTCTTTAATGATTGAAATTGATCAATACATTTTTTTAAATCCTCATAATTCCATTATGATAAATCCTCTATTATGATTAAATAAGATTTACCTTTGTCAGGTGCTTAGTCTTATACATATTACTCAAATTCTTCTTGATTATATTCTTTTTTTATGATTTCTTCAATTAAAAGTTTCTATAATATTTCAATATTGTTCATTATTAATAAGAGTTTATTAATTAATAGTAAATGGAGGTACTTATTATCAGTTGATGTATGAAGTATAGATTGAGCAAGAGTAGACAGTAGTAATACGAGAGACTAATAAAAAAAGAGAACAATTCCGATATGACTTGAGAAGGAAAGCTTTAAATGAATAATTTAAAGTAAAATTAATATACTAAATAAAAAGAAAAAGAGAACCCCAACTAAAGAACTTGATATGCTAAATCTACTTAAAAAACTTAGAAATAATGAATCAGAACTAGTATTAAACTAATTTATTGTTTTAGTGCAGAGTATTACGATTAATGTAAGATGCAAAGCTTGAAGAAAATGAAGATATAGAGTTGTTTTTACATGAATTATTGCAAGAGAGTTCTAATGAAGATATAAGATAATAGTGTAAATCATTGATAAATCTTAAATTCTGTTGTATACCTTAGCATTAAATGAAAAATAGATAACAATAATGAATGATTTTGTATTTATAGCACTTATTAATATTATATCATGAAATTGATGATTCGAGTAATGATCTGAACGACCTAAATATCTTATCAGATAAATTATATTGAGGAGAAAAAAATAAAATAAAAGAACACATTATTTTTAAGGTTTAACAAAATTTCAAATTTATTGAATGAAGTAAATTTGCATTTAAAATACGAATCCATTTAATGTTTTTCCACTTTCAAATGAATTAAAAATGAATTTATATTTAGCAAGATCTTCAACGATAATAAATAATTCCACCAAAAAATTAAATCTAATCAACTAATCAATTTTCATGCATAAAATTATTTTCTTATAGAAATAGAGATTCATATTTTTTACTATTAATTTTTGTATTATATATAAAAATATTAAGTAAAAATTAAAAATGATTTCTATTAATATTGTGAAAAAAATGTAAAAAATATAAAAAGATATTGTTTAATCGAATCTTAGAGAATTTGATAGCTTTTATTAAAAAAGATAATAGAAAATATTAGAATTAATTTAATAGATATTTGTTTTTTATATTGATATTCATTTTAATTTTTAAATTTTTTTATTTCCATATATAATTTATAGTTCTCTGTATTATAAAATAATTTATTAAAGTGGGACAACAATCCAAATTTGGTTTACAATTACAAACACAAACCAGAAATAAAATATGTTTGATTAAGTAAATGAAAAGCAACTTCCATGACAAACATCTACAAAGTCTCTAAGCCAAGCATTCACTATAAACATGACAGTTCCCATAATTTATACAGCTGAAACAAAAGTAATTAATAATGCTGTCAATAAAGGATTTGCTTTAGCTCTTTATCTAATAGCAATCCATATACACATTGGACCCATAAATATTAGTTCTATCCCAGTTACAACAATAACTGTTAGTTCCTTTTCTGGATATCTAGCATCTAATTAGCTATATTAAGTGAAAAGCCTTGCCATACTAATACTAATTACCATTTATTCATTTGACATAAACCAACTAATCCATCAAGATAGATATGAATCCATATTCCATTTATGATGAACCAATAATATGAAATGCTCGGACCTTTAACAAAAAATAGTGAAACTACAATAAATGCCAAGATTATAAGATTCTCTTAATCTAAAATCATTAATTAAATTTTTAATTGAATAATATTATTAATTTATCATCTAAATAATATTCTTAATTTATATCTCACAATCTAAATAAATACTAAATTTTAGATATGAATTATTATTATTGATTTAAAATAATTAAATTTAAGAATAATATTTTAAGAAGGTTGCTTCTAATAAATAATTTAATTTATAAATGCATCATTTCCTTTATTCAAGCCCAAGAATAATCATACTTTTATTATAATTAAAAATCAAATCTTTTAATTAATTGTTTTTTATCCTTTTTTATTTAATTCTATTATTATTGATTCGATATCACTGTTATTTTATTCACAGCCATTTGCTAAAGAAATCTTGATTCAGAAATTTATTAAGTAACAGCATATTATTTTAAAACTCTCTCCTTTAAAACTATAAAATATTTTCATAATTTACTCTTATATGAAGTCTCTGTTTAACAAGCATCACAGAAAGGAATTTTGAAAACACCTTTTAAGACACAATAATCATGAAAAACATGAGAACATGTAAATGCAATAGCATGTTCAGAATCATATATATGATTTGAACATCTTTAACAAATATGATTGCATATCCATGCACTTTACTTGAAAATTATTTAAATATTTACATTAATTTCTTTTAATTACTGAATAATTTGATATTTCTCATTACTCTGTATTAATTAAGTTTCTCTTAATGTTCTTAAATCATCATGAAATTTACTAACAACTCTAAAAATAGTTTATCTAAAAACAGAAACAGGTAATTCAGGATATTTGAGATTTAATAGATCAAATATTTATGAAACTGGAACTCTATCACTAATTCTTGCCAAATATTCACTTAAATAAAAGCTCAATAAATCTTTTACTGTTTAAGGAATATTTGGTAGAATAAATGTTCTTATTTTATTTTGATTTATATATAGATCGACAAAATAAATCCATAGGTTTTAATCATCATCATAATTAGATTAATTTTACTTTAAATCTTCTAAAATTAATTAAATAATTGTTTCTAATTTCCATTTTAACTTATCCATACAAGTATTATCTAAAGATTATTTTTTCATTAGCAAGACTATTGATTTCTTTATTTTTTTTAAAAATGAATTTATATAAATATCTAAAGCCTATTTTATAGAACCACTAATTTAATGAATATATGCAGCTGCTTAATTTATTTTAAATTCTTTTGTTAATTTTAATGCTTCATCTAATGGAAAATTCATGCTTTTTATTGCCTGTAATACTTATTTAGGTTAAGTCTCACATAGTCTTTTAAGGTAAAGAATTTTTGTTTGATCATTTATTAAAAACACTTTTTATGATTAAAATAAGTAAGAAATAAAATTAGCAAAATATTTTTGGTCTTCAAAATCTTTTTAAAAACAACTTAAAATTTGAAAGTGTTTTTAATGAAAATATTTTTCAATCAATTTATAAGTTTATTATTCATCGATTGTAATTAAATACTTCAAAATTTCTAAAATAAAATCATCATTTTGTTAATTTAAAATCATTGGCCTTAATTCTACTAATTATTAAATCCAAGGAAATATTAATTCTCTTATTTAAGGATTGACAATCTTAAAAGTTTCAAAAGCTTTTTAATATTGTTGTTATTGTGAATAAATAAAAACCAAAGCTAAAGAAAGTTTTTTAACAATTGAAGCTGAAAATTCTAAATCAGATATTTATTTTTCTGTAAGTTTTTTAGACATCATTACACGAATTATAAACTGATTAACTAATAATACATCATTATTTAATGATAATAGGAATTCGTAATTTCTACATAGAGTGTATATTGTATCAAAGGCTACCTAAGATGAAAATGGAAATTTTTATATTAATAATTTAGCTGTTAAATAAGATATCCAAATATCTGATTTATTAAACTCTAATTTTCTAACTGATAAATACATTTTTCTATGAACTGAAGTTTATACACTAATTTAGTCAAAATCAAAAAGAGCACCTTCACTCTCATCAACTTATAATTTTATAACAATCTCTGCTCTACTCTCCTCTATACATGCTTAAGCTCTTCCAATATAAAATTAATATATAATATCAAATGCACTTTTTGGATCTTTATTAATGAATTTTAATAGATTTTCTTTCACAAATAAAAATTATATCACACTTCTTAAGGCATTAGTAAATTCTTCATCTGTTAAACTCTTTCCTTCAAAAGACTTACCTTCTAAAATGCTCAATATATATTTCTGACATTCTTCTTATAATTAATCTCCTCCAAACAATTTAACAAGTGGAGTCACAAAATCTTAAGAAATTTAACAAACATATATCATTTCATTGTACATCTTCATTTATTCACAACATTAAATCAAAATAGCACTTGATATTCTATTGAAATCAGTTGAACAAACTAAATGATGTATCATCTCATGATTTTTTTAAGTTTAATACATTTTACAAAACTCATATAATTACTAATCAGGAATATAAGGGATTTAATGTTATCTTAATAAACTTTCTATTGTTTAAATAAATACATCTTTAAATCCCAAATCTGTAGTGACATCACTTATAATAGTAAATAAATAATGCTCTAATTTAGATTTGATTAAAAATTTAACAATCTCAGATAAAGATTCAACTGTTAAGTTATTTTATTTACCCAAAAATAAGCATTCTGTAAATGCTAATTTCTATAATAATATCGATAATTAATCAGAAGGTGCAACTTTAATAAGTAATAAATCTCCATTCAGAATTCTGATTGCATTATGCATAGCTTTTCTAAATTCTTATTGATCAGCTTAATTCTATAATAAGGTTCTACAATCTTATAATGACAAAAATTCAAATGTTTCTTCAGTTAAACCTAACATAAAATGACCATTGAATTTTTTAAGTTTCAATGATCTATTGACATAATTTAATTTATTTTCACATTTCTTAAATTCAGTTGAATGGACCAAAGCAAAACCATCATCAAGTAAAACAACAATTATATCAGAATCACAACATTCTAATCCATTTATTATTTAATCTTTTTCTAATTGTTTTACACCAATTTCATCAACTGTAATTTATCCTCCAAAAATTTCATACATAAACAAATGAATAACGTTACCATAACTACAACAAAATGAATTTCTAATTTAATCACTTCTATCCAAACAAGTTGATAAACATGCCCAACCAGCATCTATTCGATCATTCTATAAATTATACAATTCAATAGGAGTTTCTTTATTTGTTTTACTTACTCTAATTATTGATATTCGATTTTGCATTTGATATAATAAAAATGTATAATTTTCATTATGGCCTTTCATAACTAATAATTCATAAAGAATGCAAGATCCAGAATCAATTAAATGTTTTTCTTTCAAATCGACAATTGTTCCATATTAAGTTAATTCTTATGATGAAAATTACACATTCCTTTTATTAAAGAGCTTAAAAATGTTACATTTGATTTTTTAAGAATTACCTTTAAGATCAGCTATCACAATTTCATACCAATCTAATTGTTTTTATGATTCATTTATTACTCTTAAAAATGAAAAAGGAACTTAAACTTATCCTAACTTATAGGAACCAATAATTGAAAAATCCTTAGAGATTTCAATTAATAAAATATGATCTAGTTATCCTATAAATAAACAATCTTCAGTTTCTTATATTACAAGTGAATTTTATATTTCTAGCTGCTTCTAAATTAATTTTATTTCACTTCGAACATCAAAAACTTGCACTCTTTTTTGACTACCAAGATAAACAAATCTATCTGAACAATGCATTATGTTTATTTATTCTAGAAAGGGTAACTTAACAGATTGCTTCACAATTATAGGATTTACAAATTCATTTTCATATTAGTATTCTTATAGTGGATGCTTAACAATTTCTTAATATGTGATTTAAGGATATGAATTTAAGAACTGATGAAATTATTCAAAGTTTTTGTATTCTACAAATTTAAACATAAAATTTTTATAAATAAAAAATTATATTATCAAAATGAATGTAAGAATTTAGATTATTTTTTAATTGAATTTTGAAATCTAATTCTAGATAATTTGATGCATATTAAAGGTTGAGAAAAATTAATTAGATAAATAATATTCACTATATTATTATTTACAATATTTAATTCGATTAAATGTAACTAAGAATTTTAGATGAAAATGAAGAGGAAGAAACGTGTTATTTCTGTTTTACAATAAAAAGAAAGAAATAATCTAGTAGAAGTCAATAAAAATAATCAAATGATAAAATGAGCATGCAAAATTTATCATATGATCATCAAATAATTGAATCTGCAGAATAAATCACGTAAGATTCATTTTTTAAAATATCTGAATAAGTATTGAAGATTAGCGATTATCCTAAAAATAAATTATTTTTTTTAAAGAATAAAGCTAGTAAGGAAGAAATAATAGTTAAAATTACAGAAAAGAAAATTAATCCAAATGAATTATCTGGTTCAACATTAGGTCTAGATTCACCAAAATCTCCAATACAAGAGCAATTATAATAATTAGAACAAACTCCTGATCATGTTGCTAGATATATTGCAAAGAGATTAAAAGAATTTGCTATTATTACTGATTTAGGTTGTGGAGCTGGAGGTAATACACTTTAATTGGCCAAAGAATGTCCATATGTTATCGGTGTAGAAATAGAAGGAAAATTAATAGAATTAGCATAGAAAAACTGTCACCATTTAAATGTTAATGTTGATTTAATCAATGCAGATATTTTTACTTTAAATAATTTAAAAACAGATGTAATTTTTGTTAATCCAAGTTTAAATAAAGAAACATTACCATATAAAGATTTATTAAAAAATTGTCATCCAAATATCAAGAAAATATTATTAAATCATTAAAAAAACACAAAAAATTTTGTTTTTTAATTACCTCCATAAATTGATATTACTTAATTACCTTTATTAATTAATATTAATTCTCAATATGCTTATTTTAGATAAAATTGTCCATCATTTTGCAGTATTGAAATAGAATAGATCATTTTAAATTAACAGCTTGAATATATAGTTGTCTATTGTGGAGATGTATGTGATGTATTTATTGATCATCAAATTTGTTTAGATAAAATAATCAGAAATTATTAAATTTCTTTCTAAATAATTTAGGAAAGTATAACCTGATTACAAATAAATTCAGAAATAACATTTATTCTGGTTATTTGATTTGATAAATAGAAATATTGGAATTTAAAATCTTACTTATAGAGCAGTAGAAGCAATTAAATAAAAGAAATCAATAGAAAGTTTTTGTAAATTTATTAGACAACAATTTTAAATACATTAAGATCTTTATTAAACTTATATTAATCAGTAAACTTTTGTTTAAATTAAGCAATTAAAATGATTAAGATGATTTATATTCAGCATCAAAATAAGAAATAGATCAATAAGACATAGATAATATGAGTCCAAGCAATTTTTCATATAAATAAATTGAAGTTGCACATATGCACTATTCTTATAATAATGAAAATGTATTTGATGTTTTTGAAGATGAAGATAATAATGGGTATAACTCATTTGTGATGAATGTTAAGCATTGAAATAATATTATATTAATTAACTTTTATTAATTATTTTATATAGAATTACTTATGTATTATGTATGTATGAATATAAATTTTATAATAATTGTTGTATAATAATGATGCGTGTATTCAAAAGAGATTTATAAATCTTCTATTTTCAATCACAAATAGCTATATCACGAATTGTGAATTTACCTTCTTCATTACTTTTGGCAATTCTTAAATATTTTTCAATTTTCTAAAATTTTAGTAATAAGAATTACTTCTCTACAAATATAACAATTCTTTTATTTTTCTAGCCATTTGATTATACATTCTTCACATATTCCTCCATGTTAACAAGGCAATAATACTATATTTGGTTCTATATCATAACAAATTTGACATTTATCTTCACATTGTTTAATTAATTCTAAGTCTCTTTCTGCTGCAGGAGATTATAATTGTTCAGTTTTTCCAACAAATTCAAAGGCTTTTAATTTTGTTTTTTAATGAACCACTGATTAATTGCTATGATGAACAGTAATAGTGTTTTTTTAATATCTAATAATATCGAAATAAGTAGATGATATTTAAACGATTTTGTAAGGAATATCAACTTTAAAAAATGATTACTTCTATTTATTTTAATTAGTTTAGGGAGATGAACTTACTTTCAATTCAATCATATACAATCTCTAAATACATAAGATTATTACTTGATATGAGAAAAGAATAATAGTAATCCTGAAAGTATTAAACCATTGTAAATAATCAATACTAAAAATAAAGTTGAAGTTGTGCTTGATAACTTTGTTTCTTCATGCCAACTCACCTCTAAGAGAAACCACATTGGTAATATTGAGAATGAATTCATATAAAGTGAAAACCATATTCCTCCTATCACTTTCTTTATATTATAAATATACATTATGTTTTATTTGATCGATTTCTAACATAATCCACAATAGTTTCTCCAATTGAGAGTAAAAATACAAAATAAACTATGAAAGATATTATTAACAATCCCCAAGAGATACTAAATACACTGTACCAATTCCATGTTATAGTCTTTGTTAGTTTCATGGTTATTAACATTATTTGTAAAACAAACAACAATTTTATTCCTTAAACAATCTCTTATTTATATAAATCTTTACAAAAGAATATTAGGATATTTATTGATTATTAGATATTTTACGAATGTTCTATACTAAAACTCTAATGAAGTAATAAGCCATTACTGCATAGCTAAAATATTAAATTTAAAATCGCTGATAATATTTAACATTAATCAAAAGTAATAATTTGAGTACACTTCCAATCAATGTATCCATTATTAGATTATTTACAATTGCTTTAAATCTACGTTAATCACAAAATACTTTATTTTAAGTAATCCTAAAGCTGTCAACATAAAAATGTCAAGCATCCAATATTATGACATCAAATATAATGAATCAAATTACCAAATGAGATAGGAAAGATAAATTATCTGATAAGACTATGATATTTGTTACAGAAACATCAATTACCAAATTTTCATATTGACATTGGTTGAATTATTTTCTCTCATGTTTTTATTTTATAATTTTTTAATTAAAATTTTATCAATCTCTCTTTCCAAGTCCTATTTATCCAAAAGATCATTATAGTTAAAATCTAATAAAAATAGCCAAATACATATGAATCTAAAAAATATGCTAACTTTTTATACAACTATGATATTTATTGTGAATAACATAAATTTGTTATAAAGAAATTTATAAATAAAATTCTTTATCTATAATTTTATGATTAAAGTAATTTTTTTAAAGAATTAATTATAATTAAAAAATTGAAAAAAAACTACTAAGAATAACCTAAGTGAAAGATAATATTTTGTTATATAATATTTTCTATTTATAAAATATCAGAATAATTTTGCTTCATTTCTTAATTTTTGTAAAAGCACATCTACATTTTCTACAATAGCTCCTCCTTTTCTGATAGCAGGTGCTTCATTTTTTGTGATTTGTATAGAATTATGTAATTTGCCTAATTTTTCAAGAGGTATGGTTTCTAATGGTTTTGATTTGGCCTGTTATATAAATATATAAATAATATACTTTCATAATATTTGGAACACTAGCAAATCTTGGTTGATTTAGTCTTAAATCACATGTAATTACTCCTGGTAACTTAAATTTGACAGTCTAAAGTCCTCCATCAATTTCTCTGACAACTTAAGCTATTCCATCAGAAATTTGTATATTAGAAGCAAATGTTGCTTAAGGCCAATCCAATAATCCTGCTAACATTTAACCAGTTTAATTAAAATCATCATCTATAGATTATTTACCCATTAAGACAAGATTATAACTAAATAAAAAAAGAGTATTACTTATCTCTTTCAACTAATTTTGCTAAGATATTGGCAACATCTAATGGTTATACAGCTTAATCAATTCTTGCTTCAGTAGTGACATGAATGGCTTTATCAGCCCCCAAAGCAAGAGCATGTCTTAAACTTTCTGCTCCTTATTTAGGTCCAATTGTGACAGCAACAATTTCAGCTATCAATTTTTTTTCTTTTAATCTAACAGCTTCCTCTACTGCAATTTCACAAAAAGGATTGATTGTCATCTTAACTCCTTGAAGATCTATACCCTCTGGCTTAACTCTCACTTTTATTCCTGAATCTACAACTCTCTTGACAGCAACCAAGACTTTCATTTAAAAATAAATTAATTTATCAATTACTCTCAATAATACGATATATATTTAATACGATAATTAATTTATACGCATACATTTTTTATTTTCTAAAAATTATTAATCTGAAGAAAATAAATATCTTTATATTATAATTATATGATTATAATCATACACTCAATCTTAATCATCCCAATGTCCTCTATCTGGCATTTTTGGTCCTCCTGCAGGTTTGGCTATGATAATCTAATTATAATTATTATTTTTACTTAATCCACTCTCAATATTGTAACAGCAGCATCTGTTGCTAATTTTATTGCCCACCATTTTGTCTTAAGATGATCATATACTTTCAAGTCTTAGGAAGGTGTCAATGTTGCTGTCTAAAAAATTATATTATATCTTGTACTTAAATATTAAGTGAATGAGGTTTTTCAGAATTTAATTTATGTAATTAAGCCATCATTTCATTTTAAGCAAGACCAGCATTTTCAATCAATATTCTAGGAATGATTTCAAAAGCTTAAGCATATTATCTATAAGCATATTAATCAATAGATTTAATTTTATTAGCTTCTTATTCTAATAATTATGCTAATTTCTAAATAAAAAATAATATAAAATATTTTACAATTTCAGTTGCTCCTCCTCCATAAACAAATCTTGAATCTTTAAGTAATGATTTATAACAACTAACACCATCATCAATAGCTCTTTCAATATCATCCAACAAATTTTAGGTAGCTCCTCTCAAAACAATTGTTGCCAATTTACAAGTATCACTTTATTTTTCAAAAATAGTCACTTTTTGACTTCCAATTTCTTGTACATGAACTTTATCACATGTTCCTAATTCATCTGGCATAGGTGCACTTAATCTAGATAATGCACTAGCTCCTATAGCTTTACATAATCTCTTTAATTCAAATTTAGATTAAATTTTCACAATCATCATTTTATATTTTTCAATAAAATGTAATACTAATTCTGAAATACTACCACCTGCAACAATAAGATTAACTCCTGCATCAGCAATACTCTTAACTATTTTTTCAGCAAGTTCTTCTTCACTTTTAGTATAATTCATTAATTCTGAAGCATTTTTAATTAAAACTGTTCCTTTTGTCTCTTAAGATTATGGATCTAAAGGAGCATTAAAAACACAAATCTTAGGATTTTCTAATCTATTAATTTATCCTTCTACATTTCTAGTTACAATAAGTCCTGATAAAACATGACTGTCTAATACTGATCCACCTAGGATTTTAGTTACTCTGACATATTCAGAATCAAAATTAGTTTTTTCTTTTGGTAAACATCTTATACATGCTTTAGTTACTAAACCAGCAATCAAATTAGAATAACTTTGAATATAAGTTAAAAAATTACTCTGATAATTTGCTACTTAAAGATGTTCTTATAGCTTATAAAACTTGTGTTTCATCAGCTACATCCTTGATTTCCCAAGATTTCTATTGATCTAATAAATCTAATGCACTTTTAAGAGCAGTTTCATAACCAACCACAATTTAGCTAATAAATATTGATTAATATTACCTTGGATGTAATCCTAATTTAATCAAACTTTCAGCTTATTACAATAATTCACCTGCCAATGTTATTACAAAATTGGTAGCATCACCTTATTCTGTTTCTTACATTTTAGCTGCCATAAGAACCATCTTAGCAGCAGGATGTTAAATTTCCATCTCTTTTAAAATTGTTGCTGCATCACTGGTAACAAATATTTTATCTATATGATTAACAACCATTTTTTTCATTCCATTTGGACCTAAAGATGTTTTTGTCATATTTGATATTTCTTTGCATGCTTATATATTTTTTAGAATGGCCTCTTCTAATCCCTAATAATGACGTGCTCCCTAAAATGTATTAATAATTTTATAATACTTCTTTTAACATAGACTGGAAACCTGCGGCTGTGGATAACATAAATTAGATAATTTAATTTTTAAATAATTGCAATTATAATATTTATTATTAAATGATTAATTAGGAAACTTTAATTACTTTTAGTTATTTGCTTCCTGCCTCTATTAGTGTCCTTTATATTCTAACCATGGGAGCTCGCTTTTATGATCTTCGTTCCAATTTATAAGCTGAACCTCTTCCATACAATTATTCAATTATACTTAGAATTTCACTATTGACTTTAGATATTAGTAATAATCCTTTTATACTAAGAGCTGCTGAATTCATTGAAATTTTATTAGTCATTTTCTATTCAGATACAAAAAAGGATTATATCTCTGGAGTCTTATTTGTAAACATGTCAGCTATCATTATACAAATCTTTTTGATGGTATTTTATTATTATGATTGATTTAGTGTTACGAATATAAAAAAAGAGTCCCTTTGTTTTTTGCCCATAAAATCTATTGGATCTTTAATTGGCTACTCTTATTGATCTCATTAGCTTTGCTCATTGATTATGTAAAATACCTAAACCTTATCTAGAAAGGACATGTTTATGAGTACACTTTATCATTCTTCAGATTAATTGTTTATACCTTACTCTTAGTTTTTACACTCTTTATTAGAAAATAGGATTTGAGAGAATTTGAAAATGTAGGATTTTGGAGAAACGAATTTCCTGAGATCGATCTATAAGATTCACAAAAAAGACCAAGGCTTTCTACATTGAATGGTATTCATTATCTGATATTATTAGCTAACTCTGGCTCATTATTTTTGTAGATTGATGTTAAGAAGAGATGGAATATTGTCAATGATGATGTTCAGATTAAATTTGAAATGTAAAAAATTATTCCATATTTTTTTAAAGTTAAATTATTGGCTTAGATAAGTAATTTAAACTAAAAAAATCTGTCTCTGAAATTTTTTAATGGCATTAATATTATATCATTGAAAATGCTGATTATTTTGAATAAAATCCTAATGAATTACTATCTCTTAATTTTTATGTTAAATAGATACAAGATAGTTAAGATTTACAATTAATCAATAGTATCCAAAGATACTTTAATGCAATTATTAGTAAATTAGATTTAATTACTAACTCTTTTATGGATTTTATTGAATTATCATAATAAGAATAAGCCTTAATTGAAGAAATTAAGTAAAAAAATAATATTTAAAATTATAATAAATCGTCAAACTTCATCAAAAAGGCTCATATAGTTAAGAAAGTAAAATGGGATGTATAATCTGATTATTTACCATATATGTAAGTTCACATTTCTGAACATAAAACTATAAAAAATATAAATGAGACATTTATTCAATATACAATTTTAGTTTATTTTGAAAATGAACAATTTTGTGTTTAGAAACGTTTTAAGGAATTTTTTGAATTTAGTGAATAGATGAAGAGTTTATTAGAAACAAAAAATTTTCCACCATTCCCCCTAAGAACAATTATCAAATTAACTAATGAAGAAATAGAGGAGAGAAAATTAGATTTGGAAATATTTATGAAAATTCTTCTTAATGATAGACAATATCATATACCATAATTATTTAGATTTATTGGAATGTAATAATCAAAAGAAGATTAAGTTATAAATATGTAGCAATAAATTATAAGAGAAAGTGAATAAATAACAAATTTATAGATAAAAAATCTTGGTTTTGAAGAATTTTATGGTCAGAATGGAGAAAAGTTTCTAAGATATTCCTTTTAAATAAGTTTAGGACCCTAAAAATATATAATATGGAAAAGATTCAGTTAATTTGATGAATTACATAATTTGTTAAAATAGAGGTATATTTAATATAGATATTAGATATTAATAATTGCCTTAATTGCCATATAAAACAACTGCTTCTTTATAATAAATTAGTCCAAACTTAAGAAGTTTAAACTTATAACAATATTTATAAGATTTAATAAAAGTTCCAACAATAGGTGAAAATATTCATGTAAGATAATTTTTAGAGATGAGAAATTATCAAGAGAACTTTTAAACATAAAGCTTTGAAGAATCATTGCCATAATTAGAGAATATTTTGTAAAAATTAGATAATAATAATAAAGATATAGACTAATTAGATAGTATGAGAAGCAGATTATGGCAATGATAATTTATATAATAATAAAAACATATCTTAAATTTTAAGATTTAATCGTATTCCAAAATACTTTCTCTCTCTACATGAATATTAAACAGCTGAAATTTTTAAATCTTTTCAACTACCAATACCTCCAGGCAAGGTCTGCAAAAGTGCAGATGAAGCATATAAGGCAGCAGCTAGAATAATTTAAGAAGGAACTGAAAAGAATTCATTTACAGATGTAGTAGTAAAAGCATAGGTATATACAGGAGGAAGAGGAAAAGGATATTTTAAGAGAATGGATTTAATAGTGTATATAAAATAATTTATTTAGGGAATTCATATAGCATCTACTCCTGAAGATGTGAGAGAATATGCATAAAAAAAGTTAGGAAATACATTGATAACTAAGCAAACAGGAAGTATGGGAAAAAAATGTGAGATGGTTTATGTTGTTGAACGTAATTTTCTTAGAAAAGAGCTATATTTTCAATACTACTAGATAGAAATACAGGTGGTTTAAGTATAGTAGCTTCAGAAAAAGGAGGTATTCACATTGAAGAAAGTGATCCAAATTATATTAAGAAATTTTTTATTGATATGCCAAACACAGTTGAAGATAATAATTAATCTATATATGAGAACGTTTCAAAATTGTATAAGTTAAATCCAATTTAACAAAAATAAATGACTTAAGTAAGAATTCCACTTGATAACTTTAGATCTTATAAAACTTTTTTGACATATTCTTATAAACTGATGCTACTCTATTAGAAATCAATCCACTTGGCATTGATTTACAAGATGTTAGATAAAAAGATTGGAAAGAAGTTGAAGCTTCAAAACATGGACTTAATTATATTGCATTAGACGGCAATATTGGATGTATGGTTAATGGAGCAGGATTAGCTATGGCTACAATGGATTTAATCAAATAATATGAAGGAACTCCTGTTAATTTCTTAGATGTAGGTGGTAGAGCTACTGATTAAGAAATTGTATCTGCTTTAAAAATAATGGAAAAAGATTCTAATGTTGAAGCTATTTTAATCAATATCTTTGCTGGAATATCAAGGTAATTCAATAATTCATATCCTTAGGTGTGATCAAATTGTATTGGGATTACTTAAAGGATTATCTGATTTAGGAATGAAGAAACCTATGATTTTAAGAATGAAAGGAACAAAAGTTGATGAAGCTAAAAAATTAATTGAGGAATCCGGATTCAATATGATGTTTACAGAAGATTTAGATGAAGCTGCTAAAAAAGCTGTAAGAATGGCAGCTACTCTAAGATTAGCCAAAGAGGCTAATATTAATGTTAACCTAACAAGTTGATGTTTCATTTATATTTTTTTTAAAATTTATATTATATTTTCTGAAAAATAATGTTCAAATTATTATCTAAAAATTATATTAATCACTTAATCAATTCTTATATTTAATTTTTCATATATTGCCAATATTTGATCCGAATTGGATCATATTAAATAAGATTATTACATATTTCTATTGCATCTTTAAACTTTTCTTCTTATAGCATACATTAAATTTTTAAGCTCAAAGCAAATCTATTATTTACATTCATCTCAGATAGAAATTCAATCAAATTAAAATCTTTTAGATTATATTACACAAATGTTTTTTAAAGGTTTTCATTATCATTTTTGAATTTAAACATTCTAAACCATCCTCTCAAATAGTTCCATGAAGCTTCATTATCTTCCTTTATTCTAATAGCATTCTTTATATATTCCAGTTCTGTATTAAAATCAAATTACATTTTTGTCAACAAAAAATATCTGTAATTCCAAGCAGAATTATTACCAATATCTTCATCTAAATAATATTAAATATCTTTTAATTCTTAATCATATAATTTAAACCTTTCACACAACCAAACTCGATATGACCATCCATGATAATTCTTATTATCATCATCTAAAATTTTGTGAAGAAATTCTATTTCTCCTTTACAATCATTGATTTCATCTATAACTTATCTTCTATGTTCCCTTAATAAAATAAAAATTTTATACCAAATTTAATAAACCTTTTAATTAGAAATTGTAACCATATTTATAAATTCTATCTCCTTTGATAAGTCTTTATTCAACTATTTCAAACACTTTCTTCTTATAAAATATGCATTATAATTTGATGGTAACTTTTCAATTATGATACATGTTAAATCAAATACTCGATCACTAATTTCTCCTGATTTTATAATTGCTCTGAAATAATCCATAACTTCTTCATAGTCTTAATCATATTTCATATTTAGCAATTCTACCTTGCTAGTAAACTATGGCACTCTCTCAACATCAGACCAAATTAATTAATTAAAATTCATTATAATTATTTCATCATAACTAAAAACTCATCACAACTCACTTCACCATCCCTCCATTAGTTTCTATTTCTTTAATCACTTCAAATTTTCATTGCCCTCTAAGACTATTTTTATTTCCTAAACCATTAAGCATTCCATCTCTATTTAATTCAAATTATTAAAAGGCATTCTTTCAAATTTATTTCTGCAAGTGGAACTCTTTTCTTGAAACAAGCCATAATAAATTCGGAATATTCTAAAAAGCTTATTGATGCTTATTTATTACATTTATGCTTAAAATTCATCATACATATAAATTGTTTACATTGCTTTAGCTAATTCATCTCAATTCAATTTACCATCTCGATCTAGATTTATTTCTTTGAAATTCTAATTAACTAATTACTCCTCCTCTAAAGTTTATACGAATGATCCCATAAAGAATAACTTATTCGAGTTTATTTTTTACTTAAAATTCTATTAATCTACTCTTGCTCTCCTAAAAACAAGCTCTTCTTGGTTTTCTTAATATAAAAATTCATGATCTAGTTGTACATTTTTTGATGGCCTTTCTTTATGGATCCTTTTTTAATTGTAGCTTAATAAGATCATAAAATTTGAATGAGCATCTTTCAAAGGCTGGCAAATCAAATTTAGGTTTAATATCTAAAATTCTCCTTTATAATTATTTCGTCAGTATATCTTGCATAAAAAGGTAAAACTACTGTTATTACTTTCACTTAAAAAATGCCTGAACTTTGCACATCGCATTATTTATAAAATTCTGAAGTCATACATGTGTGGTTTCATTACTAAAATTTAGTGATTCACTTTGTGGTTTTGAAATTAATTATGCTAAATATAATTACATAAAAATTTATCTATGTGTATTCATACATTTCAAATTCTATCTTTTTAATTAAAAATACAACCATCTTCCTAATGTTTCGATGAATATTTTTTTCGAATGTATATAATAATTATTTTAAGATTAATTTTTTGGTTTTTTTAAGAGTTCTATTATTATTATTAATAATTCAAAATATTTTCTAACTCTTAAATGTTCAATTTTCATATCTCTTCTATTTTATCTTTATTATAATGATTATCGAATTATAATTTGGTTTTTATATTTTTATAATTTAAAAGAGTTTGAATAAATTTTAATTACCATTCAAAATAATTGTTTTATAAAATAAAAATCAAATAAAATACAAAAATACAAAAAACTAAATCATAATTCTTTAATAATTTCTTCTATTAATGTCTCAAATATTTAATCACTTACTTCCATTAGATAATCTACTCTATCATCTTCTATTAGATACCATTTATTTTCTGATTCTTTTATCTAAATAAATTAATTTTTTACATCTAATATTAAAAATTTATATAATTGTTCATCTCTTATCAAACCTAAATTATCTAACTATAAATTTAAATCAGTTCCTGAAGGATTTTCATCTAAATTTAATTATTATTATTTCATTTATAATTTTTTGTCTTCAATAATTTATCTCTTTTCAGCTTTTATATCCTAGTTTTCATTTAAAGGTAGAAAACCACATAAAAAACTGCTCCATTCCAAGACTCTTTTTTTTGATTAGTCTAAAATAGATTCCAATTAATTTTTTGAAATAATCTTATAATTTATTTTCTGCCATGCATAAGCTATTCCAGAATCTTGTTTAAGTAATATTATTACTGAAAAAATATGGCCTTACATAATTCAAAGCCTCATTGCAAGCATCGAAAATTGCCTTGTTATGGATATGCTCCAAATCTCTAATAGCATAAGCTATCTAATCATTCTCATCCAAATCTTAGAGACGTTGATTTTCAAACTCTAAAAATAATTTATCACTTAAAGGAAATGCTATGTTTTCATCAATTTCTTCATTATTATTATCATCATCATATCCATGTATAAGTTTCATTCTTTTTTAAGGTGTAAATCCAAAAGGAAGGTTCAAGTTTTTTAATAAGTCCATTAAATGATGTTTTAGTATATACTTAAAAAGTGTGTCAATATAAGAAGAGATTTCTTCAACCGAAGTAGAAGCTGTTTGAATTAAATTTTAAGAAAAACTTAGATCTTATATAAAAATAAAGAAATTCTCTCTATTATTTTGAACTTCATCTATTAACTCATCTATTATATCATTAAAGATTTCTCCTGTTATTAAATCAATTGTTTTTTAAATATCTTCTGAAAATTTATTTTCTTATTTTTTCTTTTAAGATCCATTAAATTAGTCATCTATTTACTTAGACATTTACTATATCTATAAATTCTCTTGAGAGTCTTATTCTAATTCTACTGAAGCAATTAAAATATCTCTTTATGTCTTCTTTAATGCAGAAATTTCTCTTTTGTGACTTATTTCTATTGCCTTTTTTGTATTTTCTACATCTTCTAATTCTTTATTTAACCATTCTTCTAAAGATTACTTATTATCACTTTTAAGACAATTTTTTTCAACTTCATACCTGAGATAAATAGCTTCCTCTCTAAATCCTATAAGTTTGCCTTCTTCTCTTAATGTTTATTGTTATAGTTTTAGAATTGATGATTTTGATAATTCATCACTCAATTTTTTTCGAATAGAATTAAAACTTCTTTCTTAATGAATTTCCTTCTCATTTCTTTTCTCAGATAAACTTTCAGATTTCTTCAAATGATTTTAAACAATATTCATAATCTATTGTTACATTTACCTATTAATTTAAGATAAATCTTAGTTTTTTACAATGCTCTATATATAAATATTCCAATTATCTAATTCTGAATTAAGTTGATTCATGATTGATAAAGATTCCTCAGAGACAATCGAACTTCTTATGTTAGAGATATGAACTTGCTTTTCTCCTCCTTAGCTAATTAAAAATCCTTCTTCACTATTTTATGATTATTATGATTATATTTCATTTGGTCCCCAATCTATACTTTGCCTTAAAGATTAGAAGTAATTTTAATTTAATTTTTATCTTTTTTAATATTCTCTCCAATACATTTAAATAGTTTAGGCTGCTTAATTTAAATACATTTCATAAATATTTTCAATATCATCTTCTTTTTCAAAATTCTATTATTATTATTGAGATATTTTTTATTAAAAAGATTCAATCTAATCATTTTAAAATTTTTCAAATCGTTTCGTAAGTTACTCAAACATTTTTTTTATTTCTATAACTTTTTATCTATATGTAACTTTTTGTTTCGAGACTTATTTTTTATGTTTTTTCTGTTTTTCAAAAATTCTTTTTGTTTTTTCTTTCAATTTATCTAGATTACATTAAATTTAAAGTTTTCCAAATTACTTCTTATTTTCAATATCTCTAAACTTTTACTTTAATTATTTTTCTTTCAACTAACACGATTTCTGCTTTTGTTGAATAGATTTCTTTTATGGGGAAGTATTTTTTGACTTTTTATTAATGATCAGTTTTGGTGATTTTCGCTATAGCTATTACGGACTTTCTATTTTTTTATTAATTCAATACTTCTACTCTTATTTTTAAAATCTTCTGGTGATACACTTCTCTTTGTTTCAATTGTCTATTTAGTTGTTTTAGTTGACAAATTAAAAGGACTTCTCTATGATGAAATTTATTGAGTGATCTTATTTGTTCGTTGGGCTTGAATAGGAAATATAACCAAATTTTTTTTTGATTCTTTACGTTCTTTTTTTTAGTTATATGTTCTCCCCTATTACCCTTATAATCTATTATTTAATCTTTAAGGAGAAGGAGTATGATTATCACATTACATTAGTTAACGAACAAATATTATTTATATGATTTTATAAATTATAATTCATTCTGACTAAATTTGAATAGAATTAAAAATTATTGGTTAAAAAAGTAAGTTTTTCTTTGTTCAAATTAACTAATTAATATAAAAATTTTTCATTTTAAATACACTTCTACTCTATAAGAATTTTACACTTTAATAATTCATTTGAAATTTTTATCAATTACTCAAAGTTTTAATGTATTACATGTTATCAATATTAATGAGATATTAAAAAATAATGAGATTATATATTGATATTGAAAATAAAGGTTTAATTTTTCATAAATATTCTAATTCAATTTTTGAAATAAAAAAATTCCAAAAACATATATTTGTTTAAAAATTTATTTTATAATGTAAACCTGCTATTTATCTATTTATTTGATGTATTTAATAATCAGGATAATTTTTAAATTGTTGACAATTAACCTTATTAATCTCACTAATATGTATTATTATTATATTAGTTTTATTTTGAATATTAATTAATAAATGCAATTATTTTTAAATTGCAGCAGTTTGATAAAATTTTATTAGTTTTTAATTGAAATAATCTACTCTTGAGCTTTTTGTGAGACATTCAAGGTCAAATGAAAAGATTAAGAAGTTATGAGATTAAATTTAGACATCTGTAATATAAAATTATTTAATCACTAATTTTTTTTGCATCCATTTAGTTATGTATATATTAAAACAAAAATAATGTTAAAATATATATAAGAAATTTAACCACAAGATGTTTTTGATTGGCCTATAGAAAATCTCAACTTGAATACATATCGCACATTTGAATTGACAGCTGTCTTAATTTTAAATAGGATTATTATAATTAAGGATGGATAAAAAAAAGCCTGCATTAAACATCTTCTCTCATAAATTTTTTAACTAAACATAGTCATTTTTTTGAAATCTTATTCCAAATACCTTTGATTCCATTTTTGATGTTATCTACTGATTATTTTAGTCTATCTTCTTTATTTACAAAATTAGAAAAGTTTTATTCCTTTTTAATTTCATTTTCCATTTGAGTTTGTTGCCTTTCTTTATAAAATTTTTCGACTTTTTCAGCCATATTTATAAATGTATGAACGTTCTTATATTTAGGATCATTTTAAGTAGCTTATTTAAATGCTTAAGAAAACTCCTTAAAATGACCATTTTAAAACATTTTCATAAATTCTTCAGTTTACTTTTTCATTTGTTCCATTTGTTCTTAAGAGAATTACTGATGATTGGTATTGCCTTGAATTATGAAATAATTATAAACTTCTGGAAGTATTTTGTTAACTAGATTGATTATAACTGGATGTAAATTTTTAGAAATCATAATTATAAGTTCTAGCTGCATCATATTATTATTTTCTGTGCTTATCAGATAAAACCTATATTGATCATCAATAAAGTACATCCCAAGCTTCAGTTATTTATTTAAACTTTTCTTCATTTCCTTTGCTGATATCAGGATGATATAATTTAGCCAATTTATAATATTCTTGTTTCAATTTTTGTTCAGAATCAGTATGATTGCAATTTAAAATCTTATAATAATCCTTGTTAACATCAAAAAAAGGTGGCTGGAAAAAATAATATCGAGGAGTTGAATGAATTATTTTTTTCCAGATTGTTTGATTAAAAAGCATAAAAATTAATGAAAAGATTAGCACAAAAAAGAAGAGAGCCAACTGAAACTACTGTTTGTGTATAAATTCGATAAATTATAGTTTAGTGATATGAAGACTGAATCTGAGGAACTAAAACAACAAGATAAAAGACTGAAAAATTGGAATAATATGTTTGGTAATTTTTTAGGTGAAGGACTTGTTCGTTAAAAAAAGAAAAATAAACATTTAGATCCAGTTTATTTAAAAGAAGCTCCTATGTATTGTGGAAATAATTTTTTTGACAGCCCTTCAGTGAGAGATAATTTCGAAAAATTTATTGAAGGAGAAATAACTGCATGTGAATTCTTAGCTCGAAAAAATTAATCTGAATTATTGGATAGATAAAGACCTACATCTACTAAGAAAATTAAACTTTTTCGAGTAGAAAATAATACATATTAATTCAACTAAAATAAACAATAAACTGGATTCTTAAAATTACTGAAAGACAAAACTGAGGAGGCTAATAAATAATTTAGAATTAAATCAAGATTCGAAGTATTAAGAAATTTAATTGAACATAAAATTAAAATAAAAGAAGAGGAAGATATTATTAAAAGGAGTAGAGAACTTAAAAATGTAGGAGTCATTAAATAAATGTATGATATAAGTGATGAGTATATCAAATTAATAGAAAGAAGATGTGTTGAAAAAAGATCAACTCCAGTCATTGTTAAAAATTCACTTAATGGCCATTAAATGAAACTTATATAACACTAAAATCCTTATCAAATTCTAAAAACTGCCACTTATGAAAATGAAACAAAAAATAAATATGAACCACCTACTTAAACCTCTACTATCAAATTTTAAATCGATTAGAAAGCTCAATAATATATTGAAGATCTCTAAAACAAGAATTGTATTTCTAATGAAAAAGCAAAAAAAAAAATATTTTTTAATTCTCAATACAAAAATGTTGTTCATAAACAATCTTAATCTTTACATAATCTTCGTAATGCTAAATCTATGGTTCCTTTTGTTAAATAAAAATATTTGAAAAATTAGTACATCAATAACGATTTAGAACTTATTAAATATATCACCGATTTTCAAGTAGAAGATCCATTTCATGATAAATAAATTTAATAAAAAATAAGAAAATCTTTACTTATATCTGCAGGTATTCTTCCAAATCACCATTCATCTAAAATACTTTAAAAAGTTTATAAATAAACCTATCTTAATATTAAGGAGTAATTATCACAAAAATCGTCATAAACTATTGATGATTCTTTAAATTCAATGTACGAATTTAATGTTGATACCTTGTATAATTAAAGTATTAGTTTGTAAAATAAATTACTTGGTAAGTAACATGATGGGTTTAGCAAAACTATTAAATCCATTTAAAAAAACGAAAATTTGAAAAGGTACAAATATATATAATTAAATAGAGAAATAATAGTAAAAAATATATAAAAACTTGAGGGATTAGAAAAATTGAAAGTAGCTGAATGAATGAAATGAAAATCTATTTTTGCAAAAAATATCTTTTTTAACTTATTTACGTATAATTCTTCATTGTTCATCATATATTTATCTTAATTAACTATTTCTAAAATATTCATGATTTTTTATGTATTTTAATAATATATTAATAATGAATTTGTCTGAAGAATCAACAATTAATTTGGATAGCAGAAGACCAAGAAATAAAACTGAAACAAAATACAAATCTTAAAGCCCTTAAATAAAACCTTAATTTACTTAATATTAATTACAGCATAAAAAAAGCAAAACTAAAGAAAAATTGGCTCAAAAATCAGAGTAATTGCCAAATGTAACCAGGAAGTTGAACCCTAAATCAACTAGTTTCTCTAAAAAACGGAATCATTTTAAACCAACTCCTTAGGATTTTTGTTTAAAAGTAAGCATTTAGAATTAAAAAGTATTATATTGGATGGGGTAATAATGAAGCCTTGGTTAAACGAATAATATCTAAAAGATTATAATGGAAAGAGACAACTGACTCGAGCTCGATGTTTGTAAATTTTAAATGGCAATAAAGTGAAAGGGGATATAGGTATGAAAGACTTATTGTAAGTTAAAATTATAAATAACTTGTCAATCATTTTGAACATCACAAAGAAATTTCAAATAAATCTTATCTAATTAAAAATTTATCTTAATATTGCGAAGTAATATTGATATTAACAATAGAAACATAAATTGAATGTGTTTGATTATACTCCATTAACATTTGTTATTGATTTTGGCGATGAGAATTGCGATTACAATATAACTTAATTTCTTAAAACCTATGAACAATTTGCTCCTAAAAAACCCTCATCAAAATAGATGTTAGATGTAAAAAGAAGATTAAGAGGAAACTTTTCTAATGCCTATTAAAGAGAGCCCATTTCATAATACACAAAAATTAATATTAATAGTACTTTCTTAGCTGAAGATTCGACATATATGTGGCTATTGAAACCAACATTTTTAAATAGAGGAAGAGGGATCTAAATTTTTGATAATCTAGAGACTTTGGTTAAGTTGGTATCTGACTTTTAAGAAGGATTAAAAGAAAAATCATTTAATCAAAAAGATGAATCATCAGGAGAAGATGAAATTCCTAAATAAGTTTAAAGTGCTTAAATCACAAAAAAAGATCCTAACCAAAATATAAGGTAATAGCCATCTGGTCCTTGCATAATAAAATCCCATTCTTTTGTTATTTAAAAGTATATTGAGCGACCTGCATTAATAAACAAAAGAAAATTCGATATTAGAGTATGGGGTTTGATAACTCATGAATTGGATGCTTATTTCTTCTAAGAAGGATATATTAGAACTTCATCTGAAGATTTCACATATAATATTGAAAATACATTTGTTCATTTAACAAATAATGCGATATAAAAATATTCTCAAAATTATGGGCAATTTGAAGATGGAAACTAATTATCTTTTAAAAATTATTAAGATTATTTAAAGTCTTAAAATATTAATTGCAATGTTTAAGATGTATTTAGTTTAAAATATTTAGTTAATTAATAAAATGAAAGAAAGAATATGGATGGTCTTTAATTCTGTAAGAAATAAAATAAATTTTGAAGATAGAAAATATTGTTTTGAAATTTTTGGATTTGATTTTATATTGGATGCAGATCATGAAGTTTGGTTAATAGAAGTTAATACAAATCCATGTATAGAAGAATCAAGCCCGTTATTAAAAATGTATATTCCAAGAATGCTTGATGATGCATTCAAGCTAACACTTGATGTTTTATTTCCCTCTTAACATCCTCATAAATAATCATTACCATAAATTTGTATTATTGATATCTCATATTTGAAGATTAATTACCTTAAATAAAAGAAGAACAACATTCTGACTATCCTGTTATTGGCTACCCTAATGATGAAAATATGTGGATGTTATTAGGTTCATTAAGTGATAGAAAAATTAAAAAGAAAAAATGATTATTATTATACTATTTAACATTATAGTTGCTAAACATCAAAATTTTAACATTTCTTAAACCAATAAATTATTACTATTGTTAATTTTATATGAGATACCTTTGACAGTCTTAACATTTAGTTTATATAAAATAGTTAAACAAAATTAAAAATTAAGTATATTCAAATTTATCAAAGTTTGATCTAATCCAGAATTCTTAAATTTATAATAATCTAAAACCATTTATATTATTTATGATTAAATTTTCTAGAATTATAAAATAAGTAACTTCTTTAAGAAAATATTCTTCTTTTCTTTAGTGTTACTGCTAATAAAGATGCTGAAATTTAATTAATAACTTTGATATATTATAATCATACAAGGAATCTTGGACATTAAATAAACTAATTAGTTTTAAGATGATTAAAAAAACGTCTATTGATAGAAAAGCTATTTATGATCTCTTCGGAAATTTAGATCTAATATTTGCCTAAGCATTATTATAGACTTCTTTTCCTTTAATGTATGACATTCCTAACTAATCATAAATTGAGAAAATTTTGAATAAAGTAGATGCCGAATCTGTTTAGAATTAAGGTATATGGACAGAAGCTCAGGATTAATATTTAAAAATAATAGTCCTTGGCACTTGTTTGAAGACCAGAACACGACCATTAGATTTAGTAATAAATAATGTCTAATAAATATAGTCACCTTTATAGTGGGATTAAATTTCTAGAATATTCAAATTTCACAATTGGAAGGCATGCAGAAATAGATGGTTAAATGAAAAACACAAAAAAATTAACTGGAGTCCTTTAGAAGATTAAGTGCTTGTGCAATTGTAATCATTACATCCAAACAAATGGTGTGAAATAGCTGTAGAATTAATGAAAATTTGCTAAACACCATATGTCCGATTAGGAAAATAGTGTCGAGATAGATGGGTTAATAAACTAGACCCTAAAATACTTAAGTATGACAATTTTAAATTTAATAAAAGTATACCATGGTATAAAGAAGAAGAATTAAGATTATTTTAAGAAGTTAAGAAAAGAGGAAAACGATGGGCAGATATATCAGCTTAAGTATTTAAATTTAGAAGAACAGAAAATACAATCAAAAATAGATTTTACAATTTATTAAAATAAGAGGAAAATAGATAGAGATTAGGTAGAGTGCCTAAAGAAGAGAGAGATATTCTACTAATTGATTCAGTTATTGAGACATTGACGAGAGATCTGTATAAATATGATAAATCGACAAGCCAAAATGAAGTTAATAAAAATTTTTAATATTTTGAATTTGATTCATCAGACCTCAATGAAATAGTAATAATAAAACAAAAAAAAATTGAAAAATTAGATAACCTATGAATTGTATTATAATCTATATAAATAAATATTTTTTTACATTTTCTTAGCCCTTAGATGCTGAACATAGTTATTTATTTCAAAATAAATGAATACCAATAAAAACACCTATGCTTTTCGATAAAGTCATTAATTTAAAAAAACGGGTTATGTGTTTATTTATTTAATATTATTTTATAATTATAGTATAATTAATTTCTGTTAATAAGAAATTATAAAGGTTTAAATTTTAAAAACCTAATTTAATTCATTCCTTTATTATTTTTTAAAATAATTCATTAGATCTAAATAAATTTATTTGCTTTTGAATTCATTAATAATTTCTTAAACAACAATTAATTATCAAGTTATTTTTATTGTCTTTTCCAACAGCTAAATTTACAGTGTACCTGTGAACTTCTCTAATACACTAATATTTTTTTTAGAATATTTGCTCATTTTATTTATGAAAAAATTAGTTTTATTCTCTTAATTATGCAAAACTTTGATCTGAATAATTAAAATTGAACTTAACTTAAATTTATTTAAAAATATACTGCAATTAAAGAAGTCCTTTCATTTTTCTTAGTTTTAAGTATTATTTACAATAATCTTTTAATATATCATTTCTTTACTCTTAAGTCTCTTAAATTATTTCATTAAAATAGTTTATCAAATTTCTTGCAAAATCTCCACTTAATAGTGCTTTTTCAAAGTTTAATCAAATTATAGAGGTAGAGATTGATTTTCAGCAATTTTTAGGAAACCTTAAAATTAAAACAAAAAAATATTTTTAATTATCTTTTTAAAATGAAAATAAAGAGAGATGAAAAAATAAGTACTTAAAAATCTAGCCATCTAAAGATTAATGTCAATATCGAAACTTCCTTTACAATAAATTAATTGCAAACATATATTAATTATTTAAATCATGAATTTAGTAATAATAATTTTTAAGGTAAATCATATAAGCATATTTTAAATTGCTCTCTAAAAAATTTATCAAATTGTATTGCTTGAAATTATAATTATTTATATATTAATTCTATATACACAAATGGCAGAGGCTGAGAATTTGAATGATCAATTTGTAATTGAGACTTTATAAAATCTATTGTATGAATACAATGAGCCATATGTTGAGAAAAGAGCTAGAATTTGTGGATAAAGTGATGATTATCAATGTAAAAAATGAAAATTATGATTAGCTGAATTTTTTGTTTCCCTAGAGTAGATTACAAAAAATGAGTAAACCATAAAAAATTTAATTGAGTTATGCATGTTTATTTTGGATAAAGCTTAATAAAGTAATTTTTAAAGAGAAGAGGATTTGGCGTAACATGAAGAATAAATTAATTAATTATAAGATAAGATAAGCTTTGAATCTAAAAATTCTAAAGAGTATCAAGTATGCATCATTATATTTTTTAAGAAAATGTATAAAGAGGAAGCTTTAAAAGTTAAAGAACAACTCTAAGAAATTTAGAAATTAGAATAAAGTGTGCTTGATTATGCTAATGAAATAGCTATCTTAACTTAGAACTAGAAACATCGTTAAAGTGAATAAAAAGTAGTCATATTTAGTTAATATAGTTAAAAAATGTGGAATAAACTGATAATAAAATTATTGATGAATTAAAGTTATAGATATAAAATTAAAAGTCTGAGAATGTTAAGCAGAAAGAAAAAATAGATTATTATAAGAGTCTTTATGATAAATAATTGACAGAATTAGAGGATGCTTTAAATGAATTGTCTATTTTGAGAATGGAAAAAATGAAAAATGATTCGAAAATAAAATCTTCAGATGTAGAAATTGCAAAGTTAAATTAAATTATTTTAGATTATGAATAGAAAGTTTAGCTTTGTGAAACAAAGATCAATTAGCTTAATAAATAAATATATGATTTATAAAATGCTTCTGCTTTTAAATATGAAAATGATATATAAGGTTCCATGGTATAGAGAAATTCAATAACAACATCAGCATTCTAAAATTAAAATTAATAGACGGCGTCTTTCAATAATAATAATTCGATGATTACCAATACAGTGAATAGTAATCTGAAATCTGATTTACCTGATTTATCTTATAGATAACCTCTTCCATCTTAATTTAATGACATTGATGAAATAAAAGAGGCCCCAGAAAATTTAGAATAATCAACTACGCATTCAAAGAAAAACACAGTAATTCCCCCTGAGTTTGTTCAACCTTAATAATATGATATAGTAAAACTTGAAGAAAAACTTTAAAAATTAGCTACTCCAAGATAATTAGTGACACCTAGAAGTTAAACCAATATCACACCAAGAAATTTAAAATCTAAAGCTGTTTAAGAATCTTAAGAATTAAGAGCTGCTAAATTATAAGATAAATTAAAATAAAGTTAAGCTATGTTAACATCTCCTAGAATTTAATTGCCACAAACTTAAGCTCCTAAAATTGATATTTAAAAATAAGAAGATGTCTAATTAAAAATATTATAATAAGAACCATAACCAATAACTATTAGAAATGAAATCGATATTGGATCTATAGTAGATGAAGATTATGAAACTTATTTTTACGAATAAAAAGTAAAAGTTCCTTAAGCTAAAAAATAATTTAAACTACCTCCTTTATCTATAGGTGCCAATGGTGGAAATTAATCCTCATAAGAAGGAACTAATTAGTAAGTATAATAAAATTAATAATAAAACTAATAAGTTATTTAGTAATAATAAAAACCTCAATAAATATATAAAGAAATTATTTAGACAAATGAAGAATATTTCATGAATATGAAGCAAGACTAAATTAGAATTACTAATCAATTTGATCGAGGCCTTAGATAAAGTATGATAGCTACTGGAGTTGGTGGGTAATAAAAATAGACTATTAAAAGAGATCCATACAAAGAATTTTTTGATTTAGTAAAATTTATAAATATTTTTAGCTATGCTAATGTGTAAAATTGAATTCAGATTACTTTGATGATATAGTGTATATCGATACTACAAATTACTATCAAGAGTGCAAAGCAACAGGAAAACCATATTATGAATGGGAAGAATGGATTAGAAATAGATTAGAATCTTAAGTGAGCTTTTCAGATTGAGCATTATATTTATTCAAATAGAAATCATTTGTTTTTATATTCTATTTTTGATTATTATTTGGAATTAATACCTTATATTATTAAATATTTTAATATCACTTTACCATAAATATCTTTGGATATATAATTCAGGAGATAACACATTATGAGGAACGCAATTTCATATATGGATAAATAATTAAGAGATCATAGAAAATAATATATATAATGAAAATACTACTATAAACTAATTATGATAATCAAAATATCTAAATAAATTGCAGATAATCCATGTTACACTCAAGATTAATATCCAATGCTTTTAAACTCTCTTTAGTTATTCGACCATTTTATGAAAGAAATGTAAACATTAATTTTAAGTATTTTTCTATTTTATATACATCTGGTTCTAAACAAATAGCAATGAATTCTAATAATATAGTTTAAGATATTACAATAATATTCTAGGTCTTAATATTTATAATTAATCTATTATTCAATCTCTTATTTTGTCAAAATTCCAGATTAAGATTTATTCATAAATAAAAATCCATTTTTTATATTAGTTATTTCACTATGTTCTAATTATGTTGCTAAATAGAGTAAACTTATTTATTTAATCTAATGATATGATTGCCATCTCTCAATATTAGCTTTTGTTAGTATAACTTCTCCCTTTTACTAATATTTTTAAAGCCAATCATGTTTTAAAATTTATTCCAAATTTAATCGTTATTTATAAGGTTTTAACAATTAATTAATTAATTATTTAGCTTAAAGTGATACATCCTTCCATTCTGGTCCATCAAAATCAAATTTGCCTTTTTAAATTGAATATAATATTTCTTATTCTGTTTCTCCGTAAAATGGAGGATATCCACACAACAAAACATATAATATCACGCCTATTGACCATAAATCACATTTATTATCATATATGCCCTCTAAAACTTCAGGAGCTACGTAATATGCCTTAAAAATATATCTAAGTTATTTATACAGTTCCTGTCTTAGTCCATTATTGCTAAACTCCAGGTTAGAATATTCTAGCTAAACCAAAATCTATTATATAAAGGGTATTAAGATCATTGTTTTTCTGAAATAAAAAATTCTCTGGTTTTAAATCTCTATGCACAATATTTAATGATTAATAATAGACAACTGATCTAATAATTTATATGAATATTATTAATGCTCCTTATTCATCAAAATTACCCAATTCTAATACTTTATCAAAAATATCACCTCCCTTACATATTCTAAATTTAATTTTTATTTTTATACTCCATTACTACATATATATTGTCATTATCCTCATATGTTTCAAAGACTCTGATCACATGTGGGTGATCCTAAGAAAATCTAAATTTTCATAATTACTAATAATTCAACTGTTCTTAACTCATTTGTAAGTCTTTCTTTTTATTTTACACTTGCTTTATGGATAATCTTCACTGCTCTTGGAAATCCAGTAGCTTTATGAATTGCTCTATAAACCATTCCGTAAGATCCTTATCCAAGTTTCTATATCTATTAAATTAATATACATCATTCTTATTTAAATCATAAATGTCTTAAAATTTCTTATTTTTGCTTGAGTTTTTTATTAAATCAACTTTTTTCATTTGTTTCTTTTATATATAATAATGAAATTAGTTAATATTTCAAAATAACATTCGGGAATTATGTAATGATCATCTATCAAAATTAAGTTGACATTTTTTTACTTTTATTAGTAATTATGTCAAACAATAAATATTAGCAAATATTAGATATAAGACTAAAAACTGACAAAATAAATTAATTTTAAAATCGTAATATAATAATTAAAAATACTTATAATTTATTTAGCATATTTATATATGTAAGAAAAATAAAATGAAATATTCGAAATACTTCAAAAATAAGTAGATGAAAGAAAATAAATGAAAAAGTAAGAAATGTTTTAACTAAAGAAATAAAAAATAGCTGAAATAAAATAAGACAAAAAAAAACTTGTAAATAATGCAATTTACTATTATTTGGATAGACTGATGGTTTAGTTAAACATCCAAATAAGTTTTACCCATAGAAAGGTGTAGGATAATATTTTTAGAAAAGTGATTTCCTTTTGCCTAAATAATAAAAATAAGGTTTAGAGCGAATCCAAAGTGCATGGTTACCAACCTATACTCATTCTCGTTTAATTAGTGCAACACCATTGGATACAGAACCTTTTTCTCGACCTCCATCAGTTAAAGAAAAAGTTTGGAGACCATTCTCATCTCAACCAAATAAGCTGAACATGATATAATTAGTACCTCATAGTCCTAAAGATAATGCATTAACACCTAAAAAAAATTCAATGGCTTTTGATTCAGGCGAAAAAATAGTTCCAATTAAACCATTTATACCGACAAGAAGAATATTTAGTGCATTTCCTAAATGATTCTTTAATAAAATATATTATGACTAATAACTAAAAAAAATCAATTTATTTTACTTATTATTCTTTAAGATCCTTCTAGTTTAAATATTAGACTAAAATATTACTTTATAAGTAGTATAACATTAATATCAAAAATTAACTTTAATCAAATCAAGAAAGTAAAAATGAATTAGTTTTTCTTTGTTTTTCCAGCATTTAAAATTATAATTTGCATTTCTATCTGTGAACTATTTATTATTCTAATTTTGCTAGTTCTTCATTCTCTGCCATCTTTTTTGCTAATTACATATATTCTTGTTCTTATGATTTAAGCTTTTCTAGTTCTTAATATTTTCTTTCACTTTACTAATTTCGGAACGTTTCAGCTTCTCTATAAAATTATCTTTTCCTATCTGTTTCTAAATTTTCTCTTTATAAAATTGCTTATTATATTTTAGAGATTTCCATCTCTCTCTATTTCTCTTCCATTTCTAATTATTTCCTCTTTCTTTACATAATTTAGATAAAGACTTCATTCTATTTATCATCTATTAGCCATTTATTTTTTAATTTGTTATAATGAAATTCTGTCATTTATGATCTTATATAAAATTATTATATATGTACATATTATCTTTGTTTGAGTTATTAGAAACTTCAACAAAGGAACTTTTGCTTTAGTCTGTTTTGAATTTTGTTGATAAAAATTAGGATGGATCAACGCTCTTATTTACCTTTTTTGAAAAATCTTTTCTAGCAGTAGATCTAAAGTTATAATAATTTTGATAAGCTTTTCTGAGAAATATTTATTTTATTGAGTTATTTTATCCATATTTCTAAATAAATAAATCCTTATCCATTTTTTATTATTTAATAATGAATAAATAAAAATATATGACAAACATTAAACAAAATTCAATGATGTTCCTTATATTTAAATCCTATTACAAAATTTCTAACATATAGACAAGGTGAATCATCTTAATTTGGTATACAATCATCATCATATTCATTTTCTAAAGATTATACTTAGACATCAATAAATTATTTATAAGAAGCAAAATTTCTATTTGATCCTTCATAATGATTCATTTTAGAAGTATTATAAGAAGCTATTGTTCCTACTGGACTAGAAGCTCCCTCAAGAATTGTAGAATTTCTTTTAGGAACTTCTAAATATATTATGTTTTTGCGACTATTATCTAATCTACCATTTATAAATTTAGTTTCTTATTATGTTACTTTACACATAGAATTCTATAAACCAGGTTAAATATCAATCAAATCATCAAATTAATTAGTGTTTGATTAAATATCAATTGACACACTCAAATTGTCTTTCTCTGAAAATAAACCTTATATTTTTTCCCAATCTAATTTTGAATCAGTAACTAAATCATCTTATAAGAGTTTCTTCAAACCAAAATAATCTGGAGTTTATTAAAATTCATATGATTTCGATATTTTTAACATCTTTACTAAAGACTTAATAAATTATATGCAATATACCTTGGGTAATAAGTCATTAAATTTATCCAAAGAATTATTTTATTTCATTTAAAGTATTTTCTTATATTTATCTTCTTTATTAGCAACTTGGATATTTTACCATGGTAATTCCCCCATAAAAAAATAAATGAGTACATATGCTAATGATTCAATATCATCTCTTCTGGATTACTCATTTCCTATTAGCTAAATCTATTTTATATAAAACCTATTAATGCATTTGCACTAGCATATCTGGCAGTTCCTATTAATCCTTTGTTACTTATAAAAGGAATATGCTTTCCATTACTGTCTCTAAAATATTTAGATAATCCAAAATCGATAACATAAATTTAACCACTATCTTGTCGGCCTATCGTAAAATTTTCTGGTTTAATGTCTCTATGAATTAAATTTTTTTCATGAAATGCTAATCATTTATATTTTAAAATACCCTGAACTCTTTCTAACAATTAAACTCCAATCTTCAACACTGTATTTTAGCTAAACTTACCATTACATTTTCTCATCAATTATTCTAAATTCATTCCTAAATAAGATTCCATAAAGAAGTTGTAATGATCATCACGTCCATAGAATTTTAATTATGGAAAACCTTTAAAATTAAAAAAAATAATACCCTTCAAACCTTTTACATCTTAAAGCACTTTGATTTCTCTAATCAGTAAGCTTACGCCTTTTTGACTTTCATCTCTTTTCTCGAATTTAGTTGCTATTAATTCCCCATTTTTTAAGTTTTAAGTTTTAAAAACCATTCCAAAAGATCCTGCACCAATTTTCTCCAACAATTTATATTTGCCTGCAATAACTGTTCCAGGATTTAATTTTTTCGAAAACATTTTGCTATTATCTCCATCATTCATTTGATTTGTATATTATTAATTATGAAATTCGAGTAATAATTAATCACAATATTTATTTTTTATGATTCCTTAAACTATCAAACTAGATTAAAGAAAATTTTAATTTAAATTTTAGTAAATTTTGTTATCTTTAAAATATATGATTCATTTAATTATTTCATCCAAATTGCACAGCTGTAAAGTATCTCAAAATTATATAATCATTCATAGTTAAAACTTAATATTTTATTTGCTAATTAAATGAATATCGACACTTATAATTGTAATTATGCTAAAAAAACTTTAATAAATTTTACAGAAAGCTGATATAAATGATATTTATTTTTCAAAGTTAATTCAAATTCTTTATTTATAATTTGGGTTCAATTTAACTAAACCTTAATTATTCAACTATTCTAAAAATGTTGTAAAGATTGTAGAAACATAACAATTAAATAAAAGTGAGTATAATATTTTAGAATTATAAAAATTAAATTAAAATCAGAGGATCATAATCTAAAAGCATAACTTTTGTTGATAAATTATTATAGACAAATAGATTAGGATTCAAAAAAAAGAGTTTATGTTTTGATAAATTGAAAGAATTAAAACTGNTGCTTTCCATTACTGTCTCTAAAATATTTAGATAATCCAAAATCGATAACATAAATTTAACCACTATCTTGTCGGCCTATCGTAAAATTTTCTGGTTTAATGTCTCTATGAATTAAATTTTTTTCATGAAATGCTAATCATTTATATTTTAAAATACCCTGAACTCTTTCTAACAATTAAACTCCAATCTTCAACACTGTATTTTAGCTAAACTTACCATTACATTTTCTCATCAATTATTCTAAATTCATTCCTAAATAAGATTCCATAAAGAAGTTGTAATGATCATCACGTCCATAGAATTTTAATTATGGAAAACCTTTAAAATTAAAAAAAATAATACCCTTCAAACCTTTTACATCTTAAAGCACTTTGATTTCTCTAATCAGTAAGCTTACGCCTTTTTGACTTTCATCTCTTTTCTCGAATTTAGTTGCTATTAATTCCCCATTTTTTAAGTTTTAAGTTTTAAAAACCATTCCAAAAGATCCTGCACCAATTTTCTCCAACAATTTATATTTGCCTGCAATAACTGTTCCAGGATTTAATTTTTTCGAAAACATTTTGCTATTATCTCCATCATTCATTTGATTTGTATATTATTAATTATGAAATTCGAGTAATAATTAATCACAATATTTATTTTTTATGATTCCTTAAACTATCAAACTAGATTAAAGAAAATTTTAATTTAAATTTTAGTAAATTTTGTTATCTTTAAAATATATGATTCATTTAATTATTTCATCCAAATTGCACAGCTGTAAAGTATCTCAAAATTATATAATCATTCATAGTTAAAACTTAATATTTTATTTGCTAATTAAATGAATATCGACACTTATAATTGTAATTATGCTAAAAAAACTTTAATAAATTTTACAGAAAGCTGATATAAATGATATTTATTTTTCAAAGTTAATTCAAATTCTTTATTTATAATTTGGGTTCAATTTAACTAAACCTTAATTATTCAACTATTCTAAAAATGTTGTAAAGATTGTAGAAACATAACAATTAAATAAAAGTGAGTATAATATTTTAGAATTATAAAAATTAAATTAAAATCAGAGGATCATAATCTAAAAGCATAACTTTTGTTGATAAATTATTATAGACAAATAGATTAGGATTCAAAAAAAAGAGTTTATGTTTTGATAAATTGAAAGAATTAAAACTGAAATATAATGGTAAAAATAAACTAAAAATCATTTGTTTCTTGATTCTACTACCCATAAACATGAACCACTAAACTTTTAAACAAAAGCTGCCTCTTTTTAGCTTCCTGCTTTACTCTCTGTTTAAATATTCTATTACGACAAGTATAAATTTTTGTTGATGATCTTAATTAAAAATGGGCTGTTCACTCTTAAAGGTTAATTCTCAAAGTCTAAAATGAATAAACATAATACACTCTAATTAAAATCCTGTAATAGGTTTGCTATTCAATCCTTAAACTTAATATCCTGATTAGGAATATGTTAAAAAATTGGACCATGATAGAAATTTTTTAGTTTATTTATGCTAAAGAACAATTTCATCATTTCTTCTTATGATTCCATCATCATTTTCTTTTATGTTCAACTTTGTAATTATCCAAAGATCATTTTCTAATAATAAGGTTTATTTATATATTACATTCTCTTTCATAGCAAGCTAGGGTGACTTCTTAAGCTTTTGAAGATCTGTAATTTATTTAATGAGAATGCAGAGCCCATCCAGTCCAAAAGTTTCTTAAAATTATGATGTCTTCATTAAATATCTGAATAGGCTCATACTTTTTAATCTTTGGGATAAAATTTTTAATTGAATTTTCTTTAACAGGAATAATTTCCCATAAATCATTTTCATCTTAATTTTTATATCCTGTTACTTCATGATATTATGCTACTTTCTCTGTTTTATAAGTATTAAAATGAGAATGTAAACTATATCCATTATGAATAGAGGTAAATCTAACCAAATTATTCTTTATAGAAGTTTCAATAGAATTAATATTGCTTGCAAATACATCTTTTTCAGGTTAAATAATGAAATAATGTTTTTCTTATCCTAAATATGCATAACATTAATTAGTGACTTCTGATTTTTTATCTTTATTTAATGAAACATAATATTATTATCCATAATTTAGTATTGAAACAATATTTCCTAGTTCAATGTTATTATCAGTAGGTAAGTACTTTTCAAATATAAAGTAGGTATAAAAATCTTCTTCTTTTATACTTGTTCCCAAATAGTATTCATCAAGCTCTTTTGTGCTAAATAATTTTTTTTCAACTATAAAATGAATAGTTCCTTTGAGATATAATTTTGTAGCTTAATGTCTTATTTAATATAGTTTTCCTTATTCTATCTAGACAGATTCATTGATCATTTATATAAATTTCGAGAAAAATAATTAATAAGATGATGTATTTTCTATATTTAAACAAAAGTGTTTAATAATGTCATTATTCTATAATCTAAATTCTATATCTTTTGTATTAGAATTATAAAGATGTTAGATAAAGAATTTAGATTGATAAGTGCTTTTAAATAAAAATATGAGTAAAATGAAAATGTTATAATAAAAAATGGAATAATTTTGTTATGTATACTCATTATTATTTAATCTAATCCTGTTAATTAATATCACCATTTTACCATTAAACAATTTCTGATGTGAAAATAGGTTATTTTTAATCTTTTTCATAATCAGTATAAGGTGCAGTAGGAGTAGTACCAATAAAGGCTATAGATGCTTAAGCATTGAAAAATGAGCTTCCAACATAAGATGAAGAGAAGGCTTAGCCTTTTTAAAATAAAGATCTTCCCTAGACTAAAGATTCTTAAACATCTATAGGTGAAATAACATGCTAATATTAATATAAATAAATTACAGTTGATTATGTAACCCCTCCTTTATTAATTCTAATGAAGGAGAATAAAAATAGGCCTAATAATTGTAATCCCATATCTAAAATTAATGTGATAGTGACCCTTGTCATAGTACTGTTGGCACCACCTACTATGACAGCTTCAACTTGAGTGAAGATAACCAGTAATAATTAAGATCCTATATACATAATTCCTATAGCATAGCTTGGACTAATTGGAAAAACTACATCACAACTTATATCCATTAGGACAGGTGCTATAGGCATTATAAAGAATCCAACTAATCCAATAGCAAAGTAAATGAAAATTAAATTACCATTTGTAATAGATAAATAGAAAACACCTAAAGATCCTGTTGATATAATCATTAGAACTTTTATTAGTTAAGTTTTGACATTTTTAAATTTTTATATGAAAGCTGCTAATGTAGATTAGCTCAATGCTGCAGAAGCCATAGCAATAGATCCAGCTATTGATACCTCACCTTTTCCATATCCTGCTGGTCTTATAAGATAAGGTAATATCAAAACTAAACATTTAACTAATCCTAAATAAACTGAATATGCTAGTAAACAACATTAAAAGTTATGATTTGAGAGTATTTTTAACATAGTTTTCTTGGTGTTAATTTTCTTCTCTTCTTATTAGACTAATGCAGATGGTGGAGTAGGTGCAACACTTCTTAAAAATACAAAGCAAGGGACTAATGTCAGTGTCATAAATAGACAAACCATATTTAATTAATTAACTAAATCTTTTCCTTATGTAATTGATTCATTTGTATTTTCATATTCATAATTTCTAAATATCCATTTTCCTGGTATCATTAAAGTTACGACATTGGATATTAAATTAAGAACATTTAAAGCTATAATAATTGAAGGTCTTGATTCTGGATAAAACCAGTTCTATGCCATAGAAGCTTGAGCATTTAAAATAAATGGCTTTCCCGCTCCAATTAGTGCTTAACCAAGTACAATAATAAAAAATCTATATGATTCTATAAATTAATTACCCTGTTTGATTAACAAGTAATTTTATTAAGCTCCCTCCTATTGTTAATGCTACACCTATATTTGTTGCTGAAGCCCATCCATATTTTACAATAACTAATTATGATTTTATCAGAATTACACTATGAACAAGGAATTGATAAAATTGGATGCATAATCACGTAACTAGTTTAAGCAAGAGTTATCATTGTTTCACTTTCAGAATAAATCTCTTAAATTTCAGCTGAAGGTGGAACATAAATTTCTCCTGGTATACTATTCATAAACACAGCCAAAGTAAATAAAATCAGCATCACCCATCTCCATTTATATAGTTAAGGTTTCTCTATATTTTTGGATGATTTATTTGCTTCACTATCTTACATTTAATATTTAATGATAACAAAACTTGTAAATATATATAGACTCATTAAAGCTGAAAGAAAATTATTTAGCATTTGTTTTTAATTTATTATATCTCATCCAACATAAATCTAACATAATTATTCTTTTTTCAATATATTATGATGATGCCATCAATTCTATATACAATTTTTTGGCAAATCATAAATCAAATTATATTCACCTTTTTCAAATTAAATCAATTTTCTTAATAAAATTGTTTAGTTGATTAAGAAACAACTAGATATTGCATTTTTCAATTAGTTTAAGCAAGGCTAGTATAACAAATTAATTTATTAAATTATATTATTAAAATGTTCTTAAAGGAGAAAACTAATATAAATATTTACTATTCATTCCGAGAGTTCTTATTACAATGAATCAAAATGATGATTCATTTAATGATCTTATTTTGTTAAAACATCTTTTATGAGATGTTATAATTTTTTCATTTCATCTAATTAATGACTTCTTAAAACCATTAAACTTTGACTATTTCTTTATTTATAATTAACATTCATAGGAGGTAATATTTTTGTAGATCTTCTTGCTGGTGATTAACTTCTCTTTTTTGGACCTTTCCATTTATCTAACGAAAGAATCTAACTGTCTTCTGATTTCTTGATATCTACATGTAATTTGAATGCTTGTGTAAAAGAATCGTTTCTCTATCTTTTTATTTCAGGTAATTTTGGTTCATCATTATAGTTGATTGTTTAATATTGCTCTATTGAAGATAACGCAAATGTGAAATGTTGGTTTTACTTCTTTTTAGATTTTATTGGGCTATGAAAATTGGTTTGTGTAGGTACATATTCTTAATTTATTTGACTCATTATCTTTTAATAATTCAATTTCATAAGATTTATAGGCTTCTTTTATAATACAGGAATTGAAGTTTTCATATAAAATAAATATATAATTATTATTCTTATGTTGATTATTTGCTCAATCTACCTCTTAAATATTTCACTTAATTAGTCATTTACTCATATGAAATATTATAATTATCATTTATATACTCTACCAAGTACTTTATTTAATTATATTTATTATCTCTAGATTGTTTATGGAGAATTCATTAAAAAATTACTCAAATTGATTATGTTATACTTTGAATTTTGATTTCTAAAGGATTGTTATTACATCTATATGTTTTGTTTAATTGGAGGAAAAGATAATTTTGATAAATGGGAAAGATGATTTGATCTTTTTCTTTAAAGAATATCATCCAAAATTGCAAAATTAAATTATAAGTTCTATTTTGCAGTTTAAATTTATGATCTTGAAACTAAATGCTTTCTACAGGATTATAAACTAGGAGTGGCTATTTTTGGTTATGATAATGTTCTAACTCTATGACTGGTAATAATCAATTTTCTTTTCTCTGAAGTTTTTAAAAGATTTCCGCTTATTAAATTATCAAGATATTAAGTTTCATCGATCTCCCAACCTTTTTCAGAAGCAAACATCTGAATAATTATAATAAAATAATAAATTATATAATAGATTTCAGATAATAAATCCAAATATGATTACTATAAATAATCAATCCTAAAATCAAAAAAAACAAAACATTTCACATTTTAAAGTAATTGTTAAAAATAGATTATATACAAATTTTAGAAATTGTATTTCAATAGAGTAAATCTAATTTATTCGAAATATCATTTTTAATATTAGAAGTTATAACAGAATGAAATAATTCAAAAAAGAGCTTTCTTTTTATAGAGTATTTTTTATGATGTAAGAAAAAATAAATAAATTTAAATTAATTTATTTTTGTAAGAGTAATTTATGAACTATAAAATCAGATGTAAAAAATAATTATTAAAACTTCTTTTTTTATAATTTTAACTTAAATCTTGCTTTAAAAGTTTTTAAAAATTCAAACCATTTAAGAAAAATAGAAGAATGAGTAAAAAAGATGAGATTACATGTAGAAGAATCTTAAAATTAGTTTTGAATTTATACAAAAATAATTAGAAGCTCTTAAATTACAGAGAAATATAGAATTATAAGATTTTGAATATATCTAAAAATTTAATTATCAAATTAGATTTTTCAAAAATATCATCAAAATTAAACTATAAATTATTTATTTATATAAAATTCTTTCTGGATTTTCATACACATTTTAACAATTAAAATAAATACAAGATTTTTAAAATTTATTATATTATCTCTAAAAATCAAATCAAAATATTCAGATACTTTGATGAATCTCAATTATTATATTTTATTTATTCTCTTTATTAAACTTAAATTTAATTACTAAGGATAGATATTACCATCAAAACATAGACCCGCCCTACAATTTTTTTAGAAATATGAGCTTTTAATTTTATGTTTAAATGATTGCTATTATTAAAAACAATAAAATTAGATTAAAAGAATTATCTTAGATAAGATTGGATAACTTTGAAATAATCTTAAAAATGTTTAATTTAAATTATTGTATAATGGAAGTACCTTAAGTTTCAAGAACGAGATTAAGTTCAAAAAAGCTAAGCGAAGGAATGAGAATTGATAAGAAGGGTCATCCTATATTAAAAGGGTATAAAATGCATTAAGTGACATTCATTGATGAAATAGTGAAAGGAAATAAAATACATTAAATAGTATTAGTAGATTGTTGGAAAGAGCATAATTTCAATAATTATGAAAATCAAAATTAAAAATGCTGTTTGATTTGTTGAAAAATAATCAGTATTACCATGATTTTTATTCTTAAATAGCATCTTTAAAAATATATTTGCTTGATTATATCAATTTAACATTAAATAAGAGATTTCTAAACATTTCTGTATAGTTTAATTGCTATCTCAATTCAAGCATGTTGAGTAAAAGTTGCCAAAATAAAAATGTTGATAATTATCTAGCATTTCAGCTATTCAATTTAATGCGTCTTAAATCAAATATAAATTGATATATTGGATCTGAAAGTAGATAAATCATTAGACAATAAGTTCTATACTTTAGGAAATTGATACTATATTATATACTTTAAGTTTTAGAGTTTGTTATCTGGATAAGTTATGAAGAAAATTTAATTAACTTAAATCAACTTATGTGAAAAAGATGATGTAATCAATCAACTATCCAAATTTATTATATAGGAAATCGATATGAATTAATATTTTATGCTAAGCATTTATTTTTTTATAGAAGTCAATATTTTTATGTTTACCATAAAGATAGTCTCATACTTAACTGAAATACAAATAATAATGAGCATAATTTGCAAAAATAGCTCAACTAAAATAAGGAAAAGCTTATCTTAAAGTTTTAAGCTAATGAATAAAAATAAATCAATTTATTTAGTACTAAAAATACTATTCGTTCATCATATAAATATAAGAATAAAAATAAATTATAAACATAATATTTACAACTAAAATAGGTTTGCTTAACTAATTAGGAATATTTTTAACACTGTTGAATTCAAGTTATAAAACTCAACGAGCTAATTTAATGTTTCAATTATATTTTCACGTACTTTAATTGCAAAATACTATTAGTTTTAAAAATCAACCTGAAATCGGATAAGTTAAACTAACATCATATTTTCATTTTTAATCAAATCAAATAAATTTTCTTATTTAAAAATTCTTTTAGTATATTAACAAAACAGATATATTGAAATTTTTAGTTTTAAACATCAAAGTAAATGTTAAGTTGGATAATATTTAAATATTTGCTAATTAATTTGTTACTTAAAAAGAAATAAAAAACTTTGCTTTGCTTTTTATGTTAAGATACAAATTTAAATCATTAGTTTTTGTAGTAACTTTTGTAAATTAAGTTTTTAAAAAGTTGGTTTTGGAGTTTTTATAGGGTTTGTAAAATTAAAAATTATATTTAATTAAGTTAAGAGAGTAGGATAATAATCTTTATTTCTTGAATAAAATAAAATTATTTAAAAACTAAAACAAATAAATCTGTTTAGATTTACTCTTCATATTTTATTGTTTAAAGCGATTGAAGAAATTACCTAAAAATATAAAATTTAGATGATTCCTTAATAATTTATAAATGACTGCAGAAAACAGCAAAGAAAGATTTATTATCAAAACTAAATTTTAGATTTATATCTCTCAAACTTTCTTAATGTCTAAACGATTAAGATTTGAATGAAATTTATTATATAATAGAGAGATAAAAATTAAACCTAATTAAGTTGAAAATATGAACCAAAATGTGAAATAATCTTAATTATTTATTTAAATTGGCAGGCCTCTTAAATAAAAAATGAAAAATTCTAGAAAAAATACTAAGCTGACAAATTTTGATGATTAATTGTAAATTTTATGAATAAATTGATAAATAAATTACATCTAATTTTTTAATTAATAATTTAAAATGAAACAATTATAAAATCCTTATTTGTGCCTTATAGGAAATTAAAGAAGCTTAAAAACCACTCTATTATAATACTTTACATACTATAAAATAGTTGATACTTAATTAAGTGTTTATTTAGTTTGTTCAGAGGAAAAGTTCCTAGCTAATACATCATTATTTGGAAAAATAATACCTGTTTATTAAGAAACTTTATAACAAATGAATGTTAAATTAATTAAAAGCTATTAAGAATATTTAGCTGTATTAGGTTCTTTTTCATATATGGATAATAAAGAATATGATATTTTTATATTTGATGACATTTCTCACTTTGTTGGAACAGATTAAAAAGAGAAAAAATTAAATTTAATGTTGCATTTAATATCATAAATAAAACCAAGATAGCAATTAGATGATTTTCAGATCATTGTAAATTTATAGAGTGATATTATTGGTTAATTGATTGATTTAATAAATTTAACTCGTTATCATAACTTTTTGATTTGTGAACTTAAATTAAGTCCAAAGTAATAATGCAGTACTTAAAATTAGATTAACAATACAAATAGTTGATATTATAAAAATAATGGATAATTATTAATTACAATACAAAACAATAATTATGTCTGATATTTCCAGAGCAATAAATGATAGATTGTGATTATATTTTTTCTTGTATTTTTAAAAATAATAAAATCAAAATAGTTAAATAATTTTTTTGGTAATGCTTCCTATTATTAGAAATATAACACTAGTTAAGAGCATATGCCATATGTATATATCATATTTATAAGCTGATTATTTATTTTTTGAATCAAACATTGCTTTAAATTTTAATTATTTTAACTCAGTAGAAAGTGTTTCTTTGCTAATTTTCAATTCTGCCTAAATTTTTAGAATAAACAATTTACAATTTATTTTTAGATTTAGATTTCAACTTCTTTATTTTTTTCAAAATGTTTAGAACTTTCCATGACTCTTAATTTAGGTTTTTCATTAAATTATTATTTACTATGTTATAAGAATGATAATTTTCTTTATTCACATCTCTAAATTGAAGTGGTTTCACTTAAACTCAGATCTTATTATGCATTATCGCTAATGTATTTTTAAGAATGAGTTTAAGATTAGCATAAAGAGGGTGTTAATTATTAGAATGGACTATTAAATGAATCAATTTGATCTAAAAATTGATTAAGATCGTTAGACATAGTAAGAGTATTTTATTAATTTAAATTAGTTTAGATTTAGTGATATGATTCAAAACTATTAGTTGTATTTCTTAAAATAAATGGATTTGAATTTTATTGATTTTTATATTCATCTCCAATTTTTATTGAATTGATGTTTTATAAAGACTATTATGAATTTAATCTTTATTTATTTGTTAATTAATCACTTTCATTATTAGTTACATTATGTTTAAGAATTTGAGTATCGAATTTAATTGAATTATCAATTTTCACTTATACTATTTTCTAATCTTAGAAGGTTTAATTAATTGATGGTAACTTTTCATATAAACTAAATGAATTAGTTTTATTTCCATTAGAAGTAGCAGGCAGTGATAGAGTTTATGTCTACAGGGTACCTTGAACTTTTTCGTTCCAAAACGGTGGAACAGACTTACAATTAGAGTATAATCAAATTACGAAAGAATCAAGTTTTGTTTCATCGAATTCTATTGCTTGAATTTAAACCTCTTGAGAATCTTTGAGATTTAATTTAAGCAGTATTTGAAATTATTTGCATTCATCTCTTTTAAGTAATGAGAATGTTGGAAGAAAGTTATAGATATTATTTTCTAATATTCTTACTAAAATTGGGAATGGAGCAATGTTAGTAATTGTAATCTTTTTGTTTTATTCAATATTTGAGCAGTCAATTTTAAATAGCATTTATTAATTATATTTGTTTAGTAAATTTGATTATAAATACAATAAAATATTTGATCATTTATTTTACTGATGACTTGATTGTTGAAGTATATATTAGAATGATAATATATGTATAATTTTATATATATTTTAATACCAACAAAAGACAATTAAATTAATTAAAATGCTTGATTATATTCCATTTACAAAAGGATAAGAAAATGAAATTAAACTCTCAAGTGGTACAGGAGGAGCACAGAGTTCAATACTTAAAAATTAAAAATATACACTTAAATTTCTATAAAATAAACAAAACTATGCTAAAATCAATAAAGTTACTGATTATTAATCACTATTAAATTCTCCTGAATAAATTACAACGAGGTCGTTAGATATCTAGTAATATGAATATTTTTTACGTAAAGATGGTTTAGATAATAGATAAAAGGAATATAAAATTTCAAAAGGATAATAAACAACTTTAACAAGAAAGCAATTACAATAATAAATAAAAGTTGAAAATGTTCATTTAAATGAAAACTCTGATCAACATAAGAAATTAGAATTTGCACTCAATAGATCTAAATTTAATCGAGTCGGAAGTTTTGGTGAAAGTTACAGATCTTAAGATTCTTTATCCAGTATATAAAAAATTACAAGATATTAACAATAATAATAACAAAATTAATATCTTTAATTGTAATAGTAAGAAGAATAAAATATATAAAAATCAAATTAAGAAGATCAAAGTCTTTCTAGTATAAAAGTAGAAGAATAAATTGTAGATATTTCATCTGAAAAACATGAAGAAATAGTTTAAAATGATTAAATAGAGAATGAAAACATTATCAATTAACAATCTGAATAATAAGTTGATGTATAAGAATAGTTGTAACCATAATAAATCAATGAAAGTTATGTTCTATCATAATTCTCTGTTCCTCAATAATATTCCATCAATAATGAAATTTCTTTAATTAATTATGAAGAAGATGCTGATTTAGAAGAGGAAGAAGTTGAAGAATAAATTTAATCTGGTAAAAAATAAGTTAAAAATTAAAAGTAAAAAAGATAAAAGGCAAAAAAATAATAGAATTAATAATAATAATAATCAAATTCTAAAGTGAATCAAAGTATTCAATCTGTTAAAAAATCTGATGGAATTAAGTCTAATAAAATTAGTAGATAGTAATCATAAATGTCAATTTCAGATTTAGATAGAATAGAATAAATAATTTAATAGAATGCAAACGATCTTGATGAAGCTGAAGAAATATAAAGAGATAAAATGAGAAAATAAATTAGAGAATTAGAAGAAAGAATATAGAAAACTAAAGAAAGATAAGAATAATTTTAATATCATCCAGAAGATTATTAAGATATGAGTGGAGAATATTTATAAGTAAAAAAAAAAGAATAATAATCATAATAAGAATAATAATAACAATAACATTAGTAATAATATACATAACCATAATAATAATAATAATAAAATTAAATAAATACTCCAAAAAAATAAGGAAAAGTTGAAATTAGACCTCATGTGTAAACATAATAAATTATTTCTAAATAAGTTAAATAAATAAAAGTATCAGAAATATAAAGTTAAGCAGTTTTACCAAATGTAAATTAATAACAGAAAGTATAAGAACATCCTATGACAGCTAAATCAACTGTATAAGAAAATATGACTGAAATAGAAAAAACAAGAATATCATAACATAGTATTGAATTAGAAAAATCTGTTGTATTATCATTAAAAGATTTAGAATAAAAATAATAAAATCATCCAGTTACACTAGGATCTGATCCGATGATTAAAATAGAAAACAAATTAAAATAAATTTAAGAAGATATGGAAAATTAGTCAAATAAAAAAAATGATTTAGATTTTGCTGATTTTTTGTTAACATCAACAAATGTATTCGATACAAATTACTAAGTAATCTTATTATTTTAATAATAGAAATATAAGATTTTTTAAGTAGATAAAAAATTAGATGATCCACCAGGACATTTTGCTGAAGAGGATAAAAACTTATTTTAATAAATGAAATATTGGGATGCTTAAAATACTGGAAATAGTAAAAAAATTTAAGCTGTTGCAGATTTAATTAGAGGTATTTGCACTAAATTAACTTCTGATGCAAATATAAGTGAACCAAATATAAAGACATAAAAGTCTATTGATTCGGATTGGGATTGAATATAAATTTACTATGAAAAGAGATTTCTATTAACAAAAAATATAATATATTTATAAATATAAATTTAAATTAAAAAAGAATAATAAATATATATAAAACCAATAATATTAAGAATATTAATCAAATCAAAATAAATCTAGATCAATTAAATGTTTTTCCTTTTCATAATTATATAAGTAGACCCAATAATTTCTTTTAGAAATAGGATCGAATTCTTCTTTAAAGAATTTGGGTATATGTTATTCTTTTTTTTCTTCCATAATTTTTCTTCTTTCTCTTTATTTTTCTTCAATTCTAACTTTTTCTTCTTAACCAAGATCTTTAAATCCACATTCTAATGCTCTCATATCTGATCTCATTCTACTATCAGTTTAAGGTATACTCTTAATATAATAATAAAATATTGATACTCTTAAAATATCTTCATTTAAATGATTTAATTATAAAATATGATGGGAATAAAAGTAATACCATTTACTTTCAGGATTAATAGGATTTCTTTTCCAAATTAATTCATTATTAGCATAAATTTCTTTATTAAAAAATCCATTTAATTAACATCTTATATTTCCATTTTTATCTTTGATAATAGCTTTAACTTAATAAGCATCCTAAAAATAAAATATTATAAAACTTTTTCATTATTTCTTTCTTTTAATGTTAAAATTCCAATATCTCCTGTTGTGTGATTAGTATAAATAGCTTCACCTACTTATTCAAAATACATTTTGCCAAATAATAAATTTTTAACAACAATATTTGGTAATGAATAAGTCATATGTTCATTAGTTTTTTTATTTTTAAAATGTACTAAACCAGGTAATTTAGCCATAATGCTAGTTCCTGAGAAACCTACACTAGCTTCCATAGTTATTGATAATACAAAATCATCACTTTCACAATGTACAGCTGTAATTGGAGGATGATGACATACTTATTCACTAATTACTTTATATTCAGAAGTAAAAAATTCATAAGTTTCTCCTAATACAGGATTAAAAAATTTTTTTTAACAATCTATTCCTAAAATACATCTCACTAATGAAAAAGCAATTAAATATGACATTCTTTTGTATGGATCTTCTGCTTTTGCTGCTTATTTTAAAGTCTCAAAATATTCAAATGAAGAAGCAAAAAACTATAAACCAGATAAAGGTTGATGAAATAATACTAAATTCAATTTTTATAAATATACATGGCATTGGTATCCTTGTTAAATCCTTTCCTATACATTCTTTTAAAAATGGCCAGAATGCAAATTTCTCTTCTGGATCTTATTTATATGGTAAACATTTTCTTGTTATATCATTTGTTATATTTAATCTTTAATAAACTCTATTATATTTTATATTATTATATTTTATAGGGTTTGATAATTTAATAGTTTCTAAAAACTATTAAAAATTGTAATTTTCTAAGTAATTTTATTTCTATTCTTCTTATCTTATTGAATAATTAGATGTTTAAGTATTTAATGGAATTTCATCTTCAAAATCAAAACTCTCATATATAGTATCTGATTCCCCATATAATTTAATTTTTTCTTCTTCTATTAATGTACAACATAAAGTAATTCCATTTTTTAAATATTATCCTAGATTAATAATATTACTTATTTCGTTATACATGTTTAAACTAACCTTTTCTTAAAGATATGTTAATTATTCATCAAATAATGCAAAATTACTCCAAATATCTGTTAAAAGCTCTTAAATTCTTTAACCATAATTAAACACTTAATGTCTTTAACAATTTTCTTAATTTTTCTTTAATGCTATCAACCATTTATTTTTTTCATCTACATTAGCTGCTTTCAATAAAATCTAACCTGTTCCTGTATTTATTATTATTCTTAAAGTATCATCTTTACTTTCAGTGATACCTGCTACTTTTAGATGGATCTGACCTTTTGATCTCCCTCCTACTTAATCACAATATGTTAAGATATGATCATTAAGTATAAAATATCGTTTCTACCATCTTTAAAATGGATTAACCCATTTCAATAAGTAACCTTCCATTAATCTCTAATGCTAAATTTATTATCAAATATTTTTTTATACTAAATATATATACAATCTGATTAATTATAAAACTCTTTTTAAACTCAGAATATTAAATATTCCTAAAATCTATGCTTATTTCTTTTGAATAGATTTCATTTTACTTTTGATTCTTTATCATTTCATTAACTTATTTTATCAAATTTAATCTATTATTTCATTCTCATTTCAAATTTTTAAGTTTTGCTTCTTATTATAATATTTTCCAATAAATAATATACAAATTAAAGATACATCATTGAGTTATTTTAAATATCATTTATTAACATAATTTTATAATTTTAAACTTTAAAGCACCTTCAGGTAAATAACTTTTGTATATAAAAGAAAATAAGATTCTATTATAAATTTATACTAGTCTCAGAGATATTAATATAGTGTTATATATTATGATTATTTTCTAGTTTCTTTTATACTTTAATTATTTTAAGATGATTTACAGCTGCTAAGTCATTCGTAAACACTTTCTATTAAATTAGACATACAAGTTGTAAATCTAGGAAGAGAAAATGTTTATAGGATTAGAAGTATAATTTAATTCAAAAAGTTTAATAGGACAGGCCAGCAAAGTATGAGCTGGAAATAAATTTACAAAATAAAATAAGTTGGAAAGTAAATGATCAAGGAATATTACAAGCATTTGGTATAAAATATTAAAATTCTTGTAAATGGTTTTATGGTTAACCTGCTGATTTGTTACAAATAAAAACCATTCTAAATAATCGAATATTTTTTCATAGCATATCTAACTTTTATTTATCAAATGAATAAATAGGTTCTGGAGCTTCATGTAAAGTTCTTATGATAACAGATATATAAACTAAAAAAAAATACGCAGCAAAATGTATAAGCAAAGATTATATAACCAAAAAAAAAACACCTGATAGATTGAATAGGCTCTTTAATGAAATAAATATATTGAGATCGATTCAAAATCATAAAAATATTGTTAAATTAATTGATATTTTTGAAGGTGAGTAAACATATTATCTTGTTTTTGAATATTTAGAAGGCGAAACTTTGCACAAATATTTAAAATTATAAACTGATCTAATTCCTGATAACTCAATAAGAATTATATTGTTTGTAAGTTTAAATATTAAACTATTAGTAACTATTACTTGGCATTAATTCATTTCATTCTGAAAATTATATCCATAGAGACATTAAATTAGAAAATATTGTTCTATCTAAACCTAGTGTCATTAGTTCCCTTAAACTAATTGATTTTGGATTAGCGATATCAAGTGTTCAACCTGTTTCTTTTGCTGTTTGTGGTACACCAGGTTACATAGCTCCAGAGATTTTATAGCATGATGAAAATAAACAAAGTTAGAAATTTAAATTTACCTTCAAAGTTGACATGTTTGGAATCGGTGTCATACTTTATAGATTGTAATATTAATTTAATCTTTTAGAATGAATAGATAACCTTTGTTTGAATCTGACAAAACCAAAGATTTATTACACTTAAATAAAAAGTGCTTATTTATTAAAAATCATCATAACTATTATACTAATGCACTTAATTAAGTATTATTTGGACTCTTGGAAGTTAATCCTAATAAACGTTTATCATCACATGAGGCTATTTAAATACTTTCTTAATAATCAATTTTAAAAGACATGACAGGATCTTTCGCCACAACTAAAAGTCATCACAATGAAACAGATGAATTTGAAGTAGAATAAACTAATGATCATGCTAACCAACCTTATCCATTTTCAGTCAAAATTTTAAAACAAGAACTAGAAAATAGTTATCATTAAAATGATGATAATAGACTTATTACTACTTTACAAAGATCCTATTATCCATCTTTTAGCCTGGGTTTAAGTTTAGACTTTTTTGATAGCTTTACTCAATAAATCTCTATGAGAAAAGCAATAATTGAAGATGAGATAATTGAATCAGATATTAATTAGATATAAAAATAAAAGTGATTGTATCGTTGAAATTTAATCTATACTTTTATTAAGTCTTGATTCATAATTCTGATTGCTATCTTTTAATCATTTATTCATTTTAAAGATATATCTTCAAAAAATATATTTATATTTAAGTTTATTATTATTTAATATAATAGTAGAGAATTATTACAGATCACAAAGATAAATTTTCAAAATATTTTGAGCATTTTTAAGTTTGACAGATGGTCAATACATAATCCTATTAAGAAAACCTTAAATCAGCTAATTTAGCTTATAACTTGATTTAATAAAGATTACTTAAAAAAATATTAACCGAACCTATTACTTTTCATTCTTTTTAATACATCTTGGAAACTACTTAATTTTCTATATATATATAATTATAATATAGACCATATTCTCTATATAAGTATCAAAAGAAAAAGAATTTTTAAAGAGAAATAGTCTTTCAATATATCCAAAAAAGTATCTAGCCAATGGAAAAAACAATTAATAAAAACGAAAAAAATTTAAGAGATTTGAAAAAACATGACTCAAAATTTTTTTTTATTGTTAATGAATCTATGAATAAATCAGAATTTTTAAAATATAAGAAAAAATTGAAGATTTGGGAGGAATCTTCATCTAAGACTCTTTGGTAAATAAACTATGTATTTTCTCATTTATTTGATTTTTGCATCCTTTAATATTTGTAGTAAATTTTTTCTTATATGCACTTATATATTCATTTTCAGATTGCTTCTAAGTAAGAAACTATCGTTGATTAAATTTAGCTAATTTTTAGTAATTGAATTTAAATGATAAATTAGATGGTTTCTTTTTTTTTGAGATAGTAGGTCTATTAAGTTTACCTTTACTATCTTATATAATAGGCAGAATAAAATTCAAGTTTATTTTCTTAATTGCATCACTCGAACCTATTCTATTTTTAACCTCAGCTTATAAGTAAATCATTGCAAAGGTTCAGATATATTAGGTTGCAATATATTATTTATATATTTTTGTCTATATTAGCTGTTTAATTTAATCTATGCTTTTATTTATCATGTTACTTTATCGAGCTAATTTAGCTGATACTAGAGAAAAAGTGAAATATAATGGTTTCTTTTTTATATAATTAACCTTCTATCTAAATAGACATACTCTTTAATGGTTAATTTTTACAAATATTAAATTTTAATATTAATATTTTCTTTTACAGCAGGATTTTGTGATTTCTCATTGACATTGACATGGACATGAACATTGATTTCAGTATTAATATTAAGATTCCTTAAAATATTATTTTTATTTCTATTTATTATATTTATTTAGTAGATTTAATGTATTTTATTTACTCTAATTCATTTGCGGTTTCAGCTTATTTTATCTTTTGCAATTTTGATAATAACACTTTTTATATCCTTAATATTACTTTATTTTTTTTGGTTTTATAGGGCTATTTGCAGTGTACAAGATTAATCTTTAAATTGAAAGAAAATAAATGATAGAATGATAATATAAAAATCCTATAACTTAAATACAAATAAAATTAGATCAAATAAAAAAATTTTGTTTATTTAAATTCAAAAAATTGTTTTGATTAAGAGACTCTATTTGATTTCTTAATAATTAATCTATAATTTAGATCGATATTTAATGCTTTTAAATTTTATTTATAAATTAATAACTTTTTTAAATATAATTTATTCAAGGCTAATTTTAATTTTTTGTAAAATCAATTTTTTTTTTAAATATCAAGTATTATCTTTATTTTAAAATGATTTTCTTACAAGCAAAATTCTTAATTTTACTTTATTAAGATTTAAAAAATAACAATCTATATATAATAATATATTTTAACGGATCACATGGCATTGCTCCTTAGACTAAAAGCCCTTAATCAACTTTTTAGTAAAATAAAATCTAATAAATAACAAATTTTATTTCTTCAGATAAGATTTTTTAGTATTTTAAAATTTGCTATATGTAAGCCACTTTAAATTTTTCAATAAATTAACAAAAGGGACTAGGCTATACATGCTTAGAATTTTTGTTTAATCTTTTTTATCTTTATAAAATCATTTATTTATTAAAACTATTTGATTAAATTACCGATTAAGATTTTTAATAAGTAAGATTCTTGGTTTTAATTGTTTTAGCTATTCTTAGGGAAGGGATTTTAAAGAATTTAATAATCTTACTTTATTGATATATATTGGAAAGAATTATTAAAAGATATATCAAAATAGTTCATATGTAAATTATAATATTATATGATGTGATTTAGCAATAATAAGTTTTTATAAATCATTTTTATTTCTTTTTCAATTAAGAGTTTATAACAGAGGCTAATTTAACCATTTCACTTGTGTAGGCAGAACTAATTTAATTAACATTTAATTATGCATTTTCTAATTTATTTCTCATGTTCATAATTTCATGAAGGGGAATCATATTTGTTATTCTTGAAATATATAATGAATTCTTACGAGTTTTAAGAGAATTTTTATTTTTCTTAAACTTCAGTTTCGAATCGAACAGGATAAATTTTTCTATCCTCACTAATTGGTCCATTCAACTATTAAGTATTATAAACAGATCCAATTTTCATTTATTGAGATGGTAATGTAAAATTTAATGTGCCTATTTTAGATATCCTATAATTGTTTAAAGAAATTACTATTATGAAATTCCTGTAACTCTATTTGGAGAACCTTGGTCAATTTTTGATTTAATTGGTGAAGTACTTTTTTTATTTGAAAAATCTTTTAATTTAGTTTGCAATAAATCGAAACTTGGATTTCTATTATAAAATGAAATTAAATACCCAATCTTACTGCTTTTTTTTGGTGATGTTGGTTAAATATGTTATGATGCTAATGGTGATTTTCCATACTTATCATTAAGTTTTTCTCTATATATTTTAATATCAAACTCTTCAAGTGGTTTGCATGGAACAGATTTATCTTACTTTTAAAAATGATATGGATTTTTACTAAATTGATGTAGCGAGACATTAAATGATATTTATGTATAAATTTTATTTAATCACTTTATTATTATAAAATAAATTTCATTTCAAAATGATATTAATAAATCAACTTATTCACCTTATTTCCATAGATCACTTAAATTCTATCCATTAGTTGATATTATTTAGGAATTCTCTAATAAGTTATCACAAATATCACATTTTACTATATTTGATTTATTATGTTATTATTATCTGTTATAGGAAACAAAATTGTTTTATGGATTAATAATTTTAGGCTAAAATAATTCAATAATCCCTGATTAGCTATTTATTATTAATAATCCATATGAATTGGTTCCAATAAAGTGATTATAATTTCCAATTGTTATCATATCCAATTAGCCATTACCAGTTTATTAATTATAGTTGTAGACAAAATGATAACCATTTTTCTCTTACTAAATTATAATATTATTGTAATTTTAACAATAAATTTCTAGCTTTTAACCGAAATCATAAGGCTAAGGCAATATTTCTCTAAGATTAATTTAATTAATTATATTCATTGTCATAGATTCAACAACTAATAACTATTCATTTGATCTTAAATATATAGTTGAACAATCTCTATTGTATTTAACCTAACATCCTTTAAATGTAGATGGAATATCAAGAACCTTAATATCATCGAAAGCATCTAATTGAACTTATTATACTTTTGATCCACCTAAAAATACTAATCTACTATCTCTATTATCATAACAAACAATTTATTCTCTTATTGAATCTAATTCAAAAACTACTTTTCTCCAATTTATAACTTTATTATCTTCACTCATACAATTGTATATTACTTTATCTTCTTCTACTTAATAAATATGATGATGTATTCCATATTTATTAGTAATCAAATTTATCCTTTTCTTACTTAATTAAATTGAAAAACGCACTTAATGTTATATATACAATTTCAATATATCTCTGTCAGCAATATAGTATTCATTCTAGTTACATGGTATCATTTTTACATATTAAATAAGTTCCACATTTTTCTAATTAAATTCAACCATATTTGTTATTGTGTTCCAAATTGTTATTTCAGAATATTATGATATTATCATCAATTAATCCAAATAATTTGAAGAAACAAACATTGTATTTGCATTTAAAATTGTTGTTTACAATAATTATAAATTTAATGCTGAATATGTTAACCAAATCAATTTATTTGTAATTATTAGTATTTATTCTTTTGTGTAAGCTATAAAATCTATCTTTACATATATTTCAGCTATTGTTTAGCAATTTTATTTTTCTAATAACACTAATAATGCCATATCATTATCTTCTTATTATTCTTTAATCAAAATTGTATCTGAAAATATCCAAAAATCATTTATTCGATTATTTGTTTTATAATGTATTGTAATTGTGTTCCTATTAGAACTCTCATATCGTAAATCATTTTCTGTTATATAATATTCTCTATATTTTTTATTCATTTATTTTGTTGTAATATACTCTTAAACAAATTGTTAATTTATTACTATAGTGTCATTTGTTGTTGTTGCAATGTATAATTTATTTTCAGTACTCTAAACCTGTTTTATTTATCTGTATGATTATTTACTTTATATTTTATTTTTTATAGTTATCACAGAATTTCGATACTCTTCAACAAATCCAGATTATATATAAAATAAATTTTAATTGTCCTTAATCCACAAAATTTTTTCATATTATAAATTTACTATTTTAGTTTACATGTTATTTTTTAAATCAAAATAAACTGTACAATTACCATCACAAATTATAGCTGAATTTTATTCATTGCTCAAATAAAATCTAGGATTCTTAGATTTCATTAATACTTTAAATTCAAAATCATTTTTTTTAAATGTTGCTAATACAATTTCATCTGTATTTCTAATTCTGCCTAAAAAATTTGGAGATGTTTATGAAAACACTACTTCTTCAAATTAATAGTTAAATTATTTTATTTAATTTTATCTATCTTCCAAATACTTAACATCATAATTAATAATCTCTTTCTATGTCAATATTTATAATTGATTTATTTATTTGTTTAACAAAAAATCAATAGCACCTACTTATATAAATTTAATGACTTCAAAAGGATGAAGACTTAAAATTACTATTGAATCAATAAAAGAAAATAAAACCGAATCATTTGTTTTGATACAATTATTTTACAATAAATCTAATTTTACATTGCTAATTGAACACTCATTTATCATTTTAAATGTTTCTTGGTTTATTAATTATAATTTATCATTTTTCAAAAAAAAGAATTCAATCTTTTAATTTTCAAGTAAAATAAATCTTCCAATCAATTAATTTATTGTACCATAAATAATATCATAAATCTACATAGAATCTTGATCTCTAAAGGATACTACTGTGATATCTAAATCATTATAATAATTAATAGTAACAATTTAATCATCTCCATTAATGGATGCATGATTGGTCAAATTATCAAATTATAATTAGTCATTTTCTATTTAATAATGCATACTTGAAATTTATTATGTATTTGTTAAAAATAAAATCTTATTTCCATACATTTAATAGTATTTTTTAATGTTGTAATCCGTAATAAAACTTTGATTAATAGGTATTTAATGTTTAATTTGATTTGTTTTACTATTTAATTCAAATATTACCCCATCTATATCGCTATTTATTTAAAAAATCATAATATATTGATCAAATTCTGAAATCGAATGAACATTAGGAATTTTTAATATTTCCGCTTCTATTAGATCATTCTATTCTTTTAATAAACAAACTTATTAGCTTGTTTTAACATAAAATCGGTTTTTGATTTCTATTATAGAACAATTATTAAATTTTCCATCAATTATGGTTTCGCCTTTTATATTCTGAATCCTATTTTCGTTAACAATAATTAACTTTCCAGATTTAAATTATTTGATAAATTTAGGATTTGATGCACTATTTTTAAATGAAAAAGTACTCAATTTCAAATTTTAGCATTTCATATTTTTCATATTGTTTTTCATTAATGTTAAAGAATTGACTGAAATATTAGTCCATTCTGATGATTAAAGGTTACAATTATAAAAATGACATTGATCTAAAGGAATATCCTTTAATCGTATGCCTTAAAAATATAAGCCTTTAAACACACCATCAATATTTTACAACAAATAAAAAGCATTAGATGCTAAAGTACAATATTATTCACCAAAGGATGATTGTTAAATGATTTTAATTAATTATTATTTAAGACTAAACTTTCTTTTACATTTTTAAACAAAAAAGTTAACTGTTCCTAAAAAAAAAGGACTTGATATATTCTTCAACATAAGAATACTATTTTGCATAACTTCATCAAGTTAGGAGTTTTTTTCTAAAGCTTCTAATTATGTGATAATAGCTTTAGCTACTAAAAATTCTTAGATAATTTTATTTTCAAATGAATAAATAGAAAATTATTCTCTTAATGGGATAGAATTTCTTAGTAATTTTTTAGAAAATTTATTATTTTATGATACATACTCATCATCATTAAAATATTATTCCCATTCAGTAACAGATCCTCCTACTTTTATTAAAGAACCTTAACTGTTAAAATGAATAGTAAAAATTTCATGCTATGATAATTTTTAAGCTAAATTCAAACAGAAATTCCATTATTCTTATTAAAATGCCTATAAATTAATACTCTAATCATTTATTTAGATACGAATCAATGCAGTATCAAAAAAATTTGTTAAGAATTATTCATATAAATCATAATGAGTAATATTCATTTTCTCAATAATATTAATCACTTTATTTTAAAATTATTAATCATCACCAAATTATTGTGCTAAGTATATTTAGGTTTTAGCTATGGGATCTTCAGCATTATAAAGTTGAAAAAATTGGCTGTTTATTAATTTATTCCAATCTTTTTCTATTTATGAGTTACAGGTTTAGATATCACAATTAATAGCATAATTATCATTAAAATAAATATCGAAATATTCTTTCTTTACTATTTCTGGATGTGACTTATTTTATAAATACTTAGGTAATGCTGATACATAAACATTTAAAATAGATGGATTATCAATAGATTATTAATAATTTAATTATTCCAACATTTTTTAATAGTATTAAAATGATTTTATTTATTCTAAAGACTTTTATAAATTTTGAAAAGCTATATCATTAGGGTTTTTAAGTTTAGGTTCTTGTTTTAAAGCATTTACAATCTTATTAATGGTTGATTATGTTATTAATGAATTTTCTATGCTTGATTCGTTAAGATTGAGATCAATTTTTTTCCATAACTGTATAAAATTCTGCATCAATAAATCTTGGTGTTCAAATTCGCATAAAATCTAGTAATAATCTATTACTGTATTTCTTACTATTAATTCTTAAAATTTCAAAAGAAATTTATTTTTTTACTCGATGCTAAAGGGTAATATTTTAACATTCCAATAATTTTAAAAGTTGTAATCAATTTCCTGATTATCTATCCATCTTAAATGATTTGAATATTTAAATAATTCACTTCTTGTGGCAATAATGTATTTTGGAGATTTTTATAAAGATGGAGTCTTCCATTAATAAAGATTGTTTGATTTGAATAAATTAATTTCTATTTGATGTTAACTAAGTTTATCATATTCTTCAAATATGAACAACATTTACATTTTATTCTAATTAACATCTTTTTATAGTTATTCAATTTGAGATACATCAAATTTATAATTTAAAGATCTCAAAGTTTCATTAATAGCATTATAAATAGGATCTTTCAATTCAGACAACTTAACTATGACAGGTATAATTTTAATTGCGTCATTTCTTTTCCAAACAAATTCTTCAATCATTTTGATAGCTAAACTTTTTCCAGAACCAGCTTCCCCTTATAAAACCAACAATTAATTTTACTATTAATCTTCTAGGAATTTATCAATAATGCCATTTTTATTTTGCTTTCTAGAAACTAATATTTTAATTTCGTTTTTCTTTTAACATTCTAATTCAACATAAGTATTCTTAACCTATTGAATTTTGATCATTCTTGATACTTGATCCATACGTAAAAGAAATAATTCAGTCAATTATTTTCCTTAATAAAATTTAATTTCAGAAACATCTAAAGTAGAAGTACTTTAATCTGCTTTCTTAAATTCATTCATTAATTAATGATAAAAGGGAATTTAATAATTGAAATCTGATTCCAATTCTTATAAGTTTTAAAATATAGTTGAAATTTAATTAGTATGACTATTAAGTTTTTCGTTTAAATTTTATGACTTTTCAAAAGATGGTTCATATTTAATTTAAAATGATAATTAATTTCTCTCTTAAATTTTTGATCTTAAATCCTCCTCTAGATTTGGTAATAGATTTTTCAATATATTGTCTAGAATAAATAAAAATTCTTTTTTGTATGTTGTTTTAATTTCTTTTTTTATTATTTAATTAGACTCATTCAATCTTAATTATAAAATCAACTTACTTATTATATCATATTCCTCTTATCCAAGACAACTATTCCAAATATTTATTAAATTAATAAACATTAAAATTCTTATCTATGCAGAATTTATTCCTGATTATACTACATGTTAGTTTTAATCGTCATTTAAATCTAATTTTAATGAATCCATTATTGCATTCTGTTCAATAAAGTTATAATTAAATTTGATATAAGATGCAATTACAATTATATCTTCATGAATTTTATAATTATATAGATTATCAAAATCTGATAACCGATTACTTTAAATTAAATTTAGAGATCCTACATTTTATTAAGACTAAGGTTAATTAATCCTCATTTGAATTTAATTTAAAGTATCATCTAAAGCTTCCTACATATTAATTAATTAATTTAATAAATCTTCTATTGAAAGATGAGTTTGATTCTCAAGTTTATTTTATAATTAATCTACTCCTAATGTATATTATTCAAGGGTTGATTTAATTCTTTAAATTTAGCTTTGAGATATTTATTTAAGATTTAATCTCAAGCTATCATATCTATTTTATGTATTTGGATCAGCAGTGGCATCGAATGTCTTAAAAGTTTTTAGTTCTTAGAAAATAGTTTCTAATTAATTAAGCATTTTAAAGTATTAACCCAAATATTAATTAAAAGGCCATCTTATTTATTAATTAAGTTTTAATATTTACTCATATTTCATATATAATTAATCGTATTTGACAAGAAAAACTGCCTAATCAAATTATTACTAATCAAGTTCTGTGGTTGTCTATAAAATTAATGTCCATATATTCAATAAATCATTAAATTTATCATGACTAGACACTATTTATATTGATTATTTAAAATTATTAATATGTTAGAATAGTTTTTTATTTTAACGTAATAAACTTTCCATAGATTTACAAATTTAGTATATTGTTTATAAATAGATTTTAGCTTCTTCATAATCTTAAAATTGACTGCTAGAAACACAATCTTTAAATGCTTAATGTAAATTGATTAATTAAATCTTTAAAATTTATTTTTCATAATTTTATATAAAGTAAAGAGTTTAATGATCTGAATTTCTAAACTCAAAAATTTGATTTGGTAAATCTTAATGTTATAATTTTAATGAGACATGATAAAACTTCAAAATATAATTGTATTCAATTTATTTCAATTTTTCAGAGATACCTTAAAATATTTCCTTAAATTGTAAAATTTTCTCATTTACTTTACGAAAACTTATTTAGACAATGTCTTAAACATCTTTATACTATTTGTATAATGATAATATAGGATCTGCTGATTAAGTAGATTAGACAACTTGGTAAACAGCTGTATATTGTCTCTCAATAAATTCAGTTAAGATTAAAAAATAGACATCAAATCTTATACTTAATAAAAGTAAATCTTTAAAATTTTACTAATTAAGATCTCTTATTGTTTCACAATCTTGTAAATTTTATTTGTTTTCTTAGACAAATGCCGATTAAGTTTATAATTTTGAATCAGATTCTGTAATTTGTTCAATAAAATTCCATTAAGTAAAAATGAAATCTAATTAAATAAAAAATTTTTAAATTTCTTTTACCTTATTTATCAAATGCTTTATTTGTTTTTATTTTTATTCAAATTCACCAAAAACAACTGGATCTGTACATTATTTAGATTCTAACATTTTAATCCATTTATTTAAGCTCATCTGCTTAATCAATTAAATGTTCTCATTTAATTCAATAAATTGTTAATTGACCTTACGAATTAAATCAATATTAATTTCAATATCACAATCAACAAATAATGAGAATATGTATTCAAAAATGGTTTTAGCTGTAGTTTCTTATTTCTATTATTCTTTTATTTCTTCTTTGTTATCATAAAGAATGTTAAAAAACTTGTCTCTTGATATGATTTACTCTTAGATCTACTGGAGTAAAGTTAATGTGGGTAATTTTTCATAAAGTCCTTAACATTAAGTGTATTTAAGCTTTGGAATATTAATATTAACTCTATATTCCTCTTTTATTTTGGTTAAACATGATACATCAACAAGCGTTTATATTTCAGATTATTCCATAACTAATTAATCTTCTGAGAGTGTTGGTGCATAAGAAACTATTTCGCTTATAGCAATAATCCAAGCTTATTATACATAATAATCAGATTTAGACAGAACTTTGTAAAATTCTTATAATTCGTTAATAATCTCTTTTATTGTATGGGTACTTTATTTAAGTTCAGTAAGTACCCACCATTTCATTATATCAATATTAAAGATTTATTTATATATTTTACGATATTAAACCTTAGTAGCATCTCTTATTGATTAGACTATGCCACCTTTTATTGTTTCTCTCATAGTTTTTGGTAATGCATTCATCAAAACTTCATTGATACTTGCAAAAAGGGCGATTACTTCCAGCCCTTCTTAAAAATCATTAGGTAATATAGTAAAAATCATTTTAGAAAGAGTTATTTCATACTCTGTCAAACTTTTGTAAAATCCATCTTCATTATTATTTAGTAATTCAATTTTATTAAAGAGAGTTATGAAGCTTTATTGAAGACCATCTTTGATTGATTTAGCTGAACAATAATGCCAAAATATGGTTCTAGAAAGTTTTTCAGCAAATTTGACTGCATAATATCTAAGTTGATTATTTTTAAGTAAAAGGCACGATTCTAAAATGGCTTAAAGACTTTTCTCAAGATTTGGAATTTGCTTATTAAGTTAATTCTATGACTTAATAAGATTGTTTAATTCATAATCAAGAGATAATAGTGCTTAAAGACTGGATAACAATTCTGAATAATTATTCTGTGTATCCTCAGCGTTTTTTGAGATACACTAAATATTATTAGTTAGTATGGTCTCAAATTGATTAGAGATGAGTAAAGTACTCATTTGTAGTGACTATTACTAACGCGAGTTTGCGCAAGCCCCTCCTCCTCTTAACATTTAATTAAAATTATTTAATGCAACTTCCTACCTTTGGAGAAGTGTTTTTGACAACTGATGATGTACAAGGAGGATTAGAGAACTTGAAGTTGTTTAAAGGGAAATTGATTAGTAGTCTATGTGGTGGTTGTAGGAAATTATTTGTAATAGAAGAGGGTATAGATAATTAAGGGTAAGAAGATTAATAATATTAGAATAATATCAACTTTGCATTCACCTGAGCATGACGAGTATGATTAAACATTTTCATAGGATTCAAATAATTTATAATCATTTGATTTCAAAGGATCGATAAAAACAATAGTAACAGGTAAAAAGCATACAGTTTTTTTGACTGATTAAGGTGATATTTATAGTTATGGATATGGAGAATATGGAGCATTAGGACATGGAGGAATAATAGAATTAACAATACCAAAGAAAATAATAAGAATTTCAAAGATTGATACAATAGCATGTGGTGAGTATCATACATTAGCATTAAGTAATGGTGATTTATTTGCATGGGGAAGAGGATTTGAAGGATAACTAGGAATAAGGAAAGATGTAGAGACTGCAGCATCTCCTATGTTTTTAAGTTACTTTTATAAGAACAGAATAAAAATGATAGCATGTGGAGCATATCATTCATTAGCAGTAGACGAATAAGGAATTTTATATGGTTGGGGAGAGGCTAGATTTGGTTAATTAGGAACAGGAAGAAAAGTTTCAGAATAATTACCATCAAGAATTGATTTTTAGATTGAATAGCCAATGAATTAGAGCGCCTTAAGAGTTGGTAAGTTTTAAGCATAAGAAACTAATTTTAAAGTAGTATCTATATCTGGAGGATATGGACATTCAGCAGCAGTTACATAAAGTGGTGAATTATATACTTGGGGATTTAATTAAAGAGGATAATTAGGGAATGGAGATAAGGATAAGAAAAGTAGTTATTATCCAAAGAGATTGATGTAAGATATAAGTGGGATTTAATTACCTGGATTTTGCAAGGTTATGTGTGGATATTATACAACATATGCAATAGATTTAAAAGGAGGTCTTTGGAGTTGGGGAGGAGGTAATCTAGGACATCAGAATGATAAATTAGTAGATTTACCTAGAAAAATAGTATTAGAAGATCGTAAGTTCACTAATATGTATGCAAATGGATAGGCTGCTGCATTCTTTGCATCATTAAGAACTATATCTATGAAACCTAATCATGGACCTTCAACAGGAGGAACTATTATTAGTTTAATTGGTACAGGATTCTGCGATACTGGTAGATAAAGTGCTCGTTTTAAATTAGGAGATATATAAACTGAAGTTGGATGTGAATATGATTCATTAACAGACAGCTTTAGGTGTACTACTCCAAATTTTGAAGAATTTATTGATAAATATCCTGTTGAATGTGTTGTCGAAGTTACACTAGATGGAAATGTCTATGTTGAATGTGAATAGAAATTTCTTATCTATTCATCTAAAATTGTTATCTCATCACTCTATCCAAAATGTGCATCTATACAAGGTGGTACTACTCTTATTATCAATATTAATATTGATGATTTGACAGCTTCATACATGAAACATTTAAATGTTGGATTCTAACCTAGAAATAAAAAAAAAGAAGATAAATCTGCTATGAAATAAAGCACTAATAAGCCACTTAATCCTTTAGATCTTAGTATCAATGATCCAGAATTAGATAAAGAAAATTGGATGTGTGTTGAAGGCTTTTATGAAAAAGGAAAAATCTCATGCACCATACCTAATGTTAGCTAATTATAAACAGATAGTCTTAACTTTAATGTTGATGTAAGTATCAACGGATAATAATTTACTGGTAATCCTATGGTTTTTAGATTTTATGATATCTAAATAAAAGAATTACAACCAGACAATGTAATGTCTGAAGGTGGAGCTTCCGTTAAAATTATTGGAGATGGATTCTTTGATACAACCAATAAAAGAGTAATATTTAAAACAATGTTTGGAGAAAGATTAATTGAAATCATGTGGGACAAATAAGATAGATTTTATTCTTTTGTTGCTCCTCCTTTATCATGGCTTTTAGGTGGATAATAGCCAACATCAGAATTACTAAATGCTGTCAAAGCAAGTGGAGTGACTGCTTTACTTACTCTTTCTGGTATTGAATGGATACCTATAGGAACATTCTATTATATTGATCCTGAAGTATTACGGTTGGGTCCATTTAATTTCGATGAAAAGTTACCAGAGGAATAAAAGAAATAATTTATTCATTAAGAGGAATAAGAAATTGATCCTTTGAAAGATTTATAAGGCGCTGATTTATAAAAGAAAAAGGATGAACTTTAAAAACTTATAGAGACTGAAGAACAAGAAATTAACTACTTCTTTAAAAAGGCTGGTCAATATATAAGTGTTTATGGGGAAAATCTTGCAAATACTGAATCTCTTTTAGTTTAATTCATATTTAATGGTAACATGGCTGTTAATTAAAAGGTATTTACAATTATATAAATATTTAGGCTATATTTAAAAATAAAAGTAAATTAATTGTTTAAATTCCTGAATTAGAGTTACCTACTGGAATACATGATGTTGGCATTGAAATTACATTCAATGGTACATCATTTAGCCATTCAGGCAAAGTATTTAAATATATGGCATTTGATAAATCTTTGAATGAATAATAGAAATTAAAATTAGAAGATGAAGAAATTAAAAAATTAAAAAAAACACAACCTAAGAAGAAATGATTATTATATATTTGATAAAAATAATAAGAATTATTTTTAAATAATATTATAATAATTTGAATATAAATAAAAACAAGAAAATAAGACCAAAATATTTAGGTATCTCAAATTGAATTTTAATTATTAAATGTATTCAACCTACAAGCAGATCTTTAAATAAGTTAATGACATAATGTAGGATCCTCTAATTAATGAATTTTTGTCAGTGAAACAGATTGAAGACAATTTACCAGACAGAAAAAACATTATAAAATTTGGATTAATACTCAAACAATTAGATTAGTTCGTGAAAGAACAATTAATTATCGAATAAAAAATAAAAGGAAAATTATTAGCAATCATAAAATATGACAAGTCTTTTCCTAAATTTGTGAATTTCATTCAGATAATTAATAATGAGTATACTATAGAATTTTCATAACAACATCTTGATGAACTAAATCATATAACAGATAGTCATAGTGATGATTTGTATACATTATAAGACATCATTTATGAAGTAGTAAAAAGAATAAAAACTAGAGTAAATGTTGATCATCTCAAATATTTGCTAGATTAATAAATTTAGCACCCAATTTCTACAAAGCTTTATTAAATAAATCAACCTCCTACATTAATATATTTGTTATAACATAATGAGAGAATAATATTTATATTGATTGCTGTTTGTAACCAAGAATAGATTCCCTTACCTTGTTTCATAAATTGTTTATATTTAACAGGAGATCAAATGAAATTGAGAATAGATTAAAACCTAGAACGAACTATATTATCTATTGTTTAAGTAAAGAAAGTGGCTGAAGAATTAGGATACAATAATGTATAATTAGCAGAATAAGGACTTTTAGAATTAAAATTACAATATTATAAATAATATCTAGAGATACCTGAACAAGATTTGATTGATTCAACATTATCAGTTTTAGTAATGAAAGGAATTGAAGTTAATTAAAATCAAATAAGAAATCTGTTAACATAAACATCAAAAGTTTAAAATTCTCCTTAGATAAATAGATTGAAAACTTTATTTAATTAATTATTAGAGACTTCATAATAAATGACAGAAAAAAGATAATAAAATAGAAATCATAAGGTGAATATTGTTATTGTTCTAAAAGAAGTTATTTCTAAAATGGTTAAAGATAAAACAGGATTTCCATAAATAATAAATTTAATGAAATTAAGAAATGGAAATCTTAAGTTTGATACAACAGATACAATTTTAAGAAAATACTTTTAGTATATTTAAAAACCTCTTGTAGAACTTTTTAGTGTTACAAGCTTCACTTAATTAAATAATTTTTGTAGAACATCAATTTTAAATCAAACAGCACAATGTGAAGCTGAAATAATAGAGAAAATGCTTGAATTAGTATATTAAGAACGTTCAAAATATTTACTTGATTTAAAAAATATTTTTGAAGAATCAAAATAAACTAGCAATAGTTTACTTATGATTTTAAGTATCTGTTAGGAAAAATCAATAAAACCATTAGAGAAAACAGAGAAGAGTGAGATTTTATATTAAATAAAAGTTCTTATAGAATAATTATTGTAATATACAGAAAAAAATAAAATAATTGATCTTGATAGTGATGAAGAGTTAAAGAAACAAACAAAAGTATGAAAAAAAAATCTATATGAAATTGAAATATATTTAAATATTGCATTAATAATTTACAATATAAAATAAATAAAAAAATCATTATATTAATTAGTATGTATTTGTAAGAATGAGCATAATTTTGGATTTGTGAATTAAAATAAATAGATTAGATTAATGAGAAAAACTTATGAACAAGATTATATTAATAATTAGAATGCTGGATTATTACAATAGGATGATATTGATTAGAATGATGGATAAACAAGATCAATTAATTATATAAGACCAAGACCATTTCCACATGAAAATAATAGAGAATGTAAATTAGATGTTGTATGTCATGAAAATGAATGCAGAATATTATAAAAGTTATGTTGTTAAGAATGTGCACATTTTGTTCATCCAAATCATAAGACTGATAGTTTAGATTGGTATATTAATCATATTAGAGAGAAAATAAAACGTAGACATGGTGTATAGTAAACAACAACACATGAAATATCAGTTTTGAAAAGCGAACAAAGAAAAAAAAGAATGAAATATCTGAAATATATAATAAAGTAATTGAAAAAGGTTGAAAAAGAATGTAGATCTATTGAAGATACAACTGAATAAAAAATTAAAATAAAGTTAAGTTCAACTTCAAGAAAAGAAGCATTTGATAAAATGATTAGATTGTTAAAATTAGTAAGACATTAAAATTTGGATTAATTTAAATAACATCATTAAGAATTTTTAGTAAAGGATGAGGTAGATTAATAAATGGCAATGTAATATAATGAAGAAAGAGAAAGAAAAGAATTGCAAAGATAAATTAGTGAAATTGTAGATCAATTCTTTTTAGCAGATGAACGTGAAAAATAAAAACTGTAACATAATCAATCATTATAAACTTAATAATAAGAAGAAATTAAGGCTTTAAGATTAACAGGTGGTTTATGGGAGAGAAATATGAATAAATTAGCTGGTGCTTTAAAACGTTTTTCTAAACGTATGTTATCACATAGTAAAATGAGTATTAGACCTAATTCTTCAACTCATAATATAGTTTTAGTAGAGGTAGATTTAGCAACTAATGAAGATGATCCATCATAAACTCCTAAAATTTTATAAATATTACCTTTAAATGCAGAAAACTTAATTACTGTGCATCCTAATGAAATCAAATTATGGAAATATAGTAAATGTTATTTAGAATTCAAACCAATAGCTCCTTTACCTTTTTTAAATTTAAAATTTGTTTGTGTAGCAGATAAGAAAGATGAATTTGTTGTTTTATTTGGTGATAATTCAATAATGTCTATTTCCAGTAAGAGTATGAATTCTAAAAATAAATAATTTACATGTCCCAAACAAGGTATGACACTCTATAGAATACTTATTAGTCCATGTTAAAATTTTCTAATTGCATCTGGAGGATGTAAATAGAATTGTTTTTATGTTATAATATGGAATTTCAATGATGCAAAAATTAGGAAAGTTTTAAGGTATTAATATTCATTTCCAAATGAAGGTGATTTATTAATGAGTGAAACAAATCAACATATATTTAGATGTAATAAAAATAAAATAGATGTTTTTGGATTAATAGATGGAGTCAAAAAATAAACATTATAATTATAAAATGTAAGAGATTGTATAGAATAAGCAACTATATTACATTACTTTTAAGAATAAGATACTTTATGTGTAAGTACTAATAGAGGATTCTATGTATATACTTATGATGACAATGTTGTAGAAAATAATTATAAATTAGTATACAGTTTTTCTTAAACTTGTCATTGTATATTCCATGTGTTTTATTAATATGGTTTGGAAGAAGAAGGATTTATGTTGGCTGTCTTAGAAAATAATGAAACTAAAGTTAAATTTCAAGATTTGAATAATAAAATTTTATTATAAGGAATTCAATTCGATGATTAAATATTAACAGGTAAATTAATTTTTTAGAGAGAATTTTAAAATTAATAGTTAGTATTGTTATTAGGATTTGAAAGTGGGAAAATGAGAGTTTTGAAATTTATTAAGAAATGATTTATTTTATTATATTATAATTTATCATGACCGTAGATATTTCTAAATTTGCGATTTTAATTCTTGAATAAGTTCTTTTTTGCATCTATTATCATAGAGTTATTCTTATTCTTTATAGAAATCACAAAAATATCGAAAAATTTATTAAGCATATTATGATGATTCATCTCCTTTTTGCAATAATATTATGCAATAATTTAGATAAATTAAATAGTCTCTAATCAAGTATAAATTTGATAATATACTTATCTTTATCTAATTCTAAAGCTCTTTCAAAAGAACGACATGCATTCTAAAAATCATTCAACTTATTTAATGCAATACCTAAATACATATATGATTAAGAATCATCTGGATTTAGAGTAATGGCAGTTTAAAAATAATGAAATGCTGACATATATTATTTTTCATGTAGATGAACTAAACCCATATTAAAATGGATTGTAGACTCAAATGGATCATAATAAATAGCCCTTTTCAAACTAATAATGGCTGCTAAAATTTCTTATTTACCATAATAACACATTGCTATATTATTCCACACCTATGCTGATGTAGGATGTATTGCAATTAATTTTCTATAATAATTAAGTGCTTCATCATAGTTTTCTTAATCCTACACAATTGATCCTAGACCCAATAATGCTATTTAATTTAAAGATGAAAATACATTTTGTATCTGTTGCAGTAACACTTTCGAGATATTTTTTAGCTTCTTAAGTTTAACCCATTCTCAAAAGCAAAACACCAAGTAAGGCTTTTATTTCATTATTTTATGGTTAGGAATTTAAAGCACTCTTATAAACTGCTAAAGCTTCTTCATACTTTTCTAAGGATAAGTAAAACTTCCCTAATCTATTGTATGTTGTCTCATTAATTGAGAGTTCAAAAGCTCTTTTATAATTTATGAGTGCTTTATCAATATCTTTTTATGCATAATAACAATTTCCAATCGTATAAAATACTTCCCAATCATTTTTTTTTAAATTTAAAGCTTTTTGAGCAACATCCAAACTACTCTTGAATCTACCATCTATATTTTATCAAAATCACTACCTAATTATAAATTTTTTGCTATAGTTTTTAAGACTTCCTAATCTTATTCATTAAATGATAAAAACTTCTTAAAAGTTTCTGTAGATTTTTATAATTATCCTGTCATCTTATAAATATATCCTTATATTTAATTTGCATATTCATGTATATCTCCATGTTCTTAAGTGAGTTTTTCTATCAATTCTAAAGCAGATTTAAAATCTCTGATAACAAAATAATTATATAGCAACTAGTTGTGTTTATATCTATTAATGACTCTAGATGGTTTCTTTAATATAATTGATTCTTAAACTTATTAAATCTACCCTTCTTAACTCATAAATAATAATATATAAATATATTATATTTTGTAAATACGAATTAATGATTTATTTAATTTATCATTAAATTATTAATCTCAAATATCAGTACAAAATAAGAACATAAAAATCGTAATGAATCTAATGATATCTGAGGAGTGTAATTTATGCGAATAAGAGTGCAATATGATTATAAAAATATATAAAAGAAAGAATTAATAGAAAAATTAAATATTTAATGTTTTTATCAAATCAACTAAGTTTAAAATGCTAGACTCATAATAAACCTATCAATTCAATATGCATTAATGTAAAATGCGAATAGAAAACTAAAATTATTTGTGTGGATTGTCGAAACGAAAATATCCATTTTGGCTGTAAAATTAATGATTTAAGTGAAATTCATTAATTTGTAGATAATCATTCTGTTTCATTTAAAAAAGCATTTTCAATTGTTTCTGATTTAGAATAATGGTTTTTAGGAATGACAAAAAATCTAAAATAAGTATTAGAGGGATATTAAGTTAGTGATATTTTTCAATTCATTTCTGAATCATAAGACTTAAATTAATTGGCAACAATATTACATTAACTTCCTATATTGACCGAAAAAATATAGGAGATCTCTTAATTAACTCGGAAAGTTTTGGAGAATTATTTTTTATAATCAACTGAATCGTTATTAAAATATTAACAAAATGACTTAAACAAGACCATTGTATAAAGACCGGGATATAATAATTTATTACTCACTTAAAAGCTTAAGAAATAGGATTTATAATCGATTGCATTATAATAAAAAGATCTAACAATAGATGAATTATTTGAAAATGGAAAATAATAACTTTAAGAAAATAATTTCAAAAAAGCTATTGATTATTTTGAATAAATACATTAAAAAGATCCATAAAACACAATAGCTTTAGAATTATTAGGTAGGAATACTATTTAATCTAGGGATTGCATTAAAAAAATTAGACTATTAAAATTCTGCTCTGTAAATTAGTCAAACAATTTAAGAGAATCCTTTAGATAAAATCTTACTAAAGGGTAATGAATATTTTATTTAAAATAGGACAAGTGTTATATAAATAAAAATAATACAGCTAAGCTATTGAATAAATCAAAAAAGACATCAAAGATTTATCCATAGAAATAGAATAAAAATAATTAGAAAAATTAAATTTTTTGTTATGTAATAATTAAAATAATTTAAGTTAAATGCTATTTAAAGAATAATTAATTTTTAGATGCATAAGATATATCTAAGTAACTTACAAACGATCTGAAAATAATTTAGAAGGAATTTGGTAATTAAAATAATCAGTTTTATAGCAAAATTTAACGTAAAAAATGGAAAATTAAAGGAAGTTGAATAATATTTACAAAATATGTCAAAACCTAATGAAGATGATTTTGGAAATAAAAAGATTTAAAGTATTCCTTAAATTATATTAGTTTAATTGAATTATGAAAAAGGTGAATATTAAAATTGTTTGAAGCTTATAAATGAGTAATTGAAGAAAAAAATAAAAATAAAAGATCAGGAAAACTTAAAAAATTTAAAAAAAAATTGTTTAGTAAAATTAAATTATGAATAATCAAAATATGATGAGGCTATGGCTTGTTGGTTAAATTTCTTTTATAAAAAAGAGGACGATTCTGATAATAATTATATTATAGGGCTTTGCCTATCAGAGAATAAAATGTATTCATCAGCAATTCAAATTTATAATAAAATATTAATAAAAAATAGTAATCATACTGAAGCAAAAACTAAAAAATGTATTTTGTAAATAAAAATTAGAATATGCTGAAGAATAAATAAAATAACTAAGTGCTGATTTAACTCAATCATAACAAGTATCCGTTTAATAAAGTGCAAGTTTGAAAAACTTTAGAATAAATAAGCCTATAGCATCATCGTAAATCTGTTTTTCGGCAAGATTTAATACAGAAACTTTTAGTGAAACTAATAATTCTAAATTATCATAAATCTAATGTTCATAAATAGATCCTCTATTTTTAGTAAAACTTTTGGTTGATTATAATCATATTGAAGTTAGTAAATTTATCGATAAAATTATTTAATCAGCACCAAAAGATATCTAGCTATTATTATTAGAAGCCAAATTTTATATTAAAAACATAAATTATTTTTCTTATTAAGAATAATAGAAAGTTTAAAAAAAAGTTTGTAAATCATTACATTATTTGATGTCTCAAACCTGGAATAATACGCAAAACAAAATTTATTAAGAAGCTAGAAATCTTTAAATTTAATTTGATCAAATAACAAATTAGATTAGACCTCAAACTGCTAATTGCATATTCCCTAACATTAATGAAAAATATTTCAAATGAATATTTATAATATTAGCAAATTATTATTGAATTTTATTTAATAATTATAAATATTGAAAGATTTGTTTTAGTGTTATCAGTTTTATTGATTAAGTGTATTGTATATCTATTAAGCAGTTGGCCTATTATGAGGATTTGGACTAACCATTTTTAGAATTAATTCAGATTCAATCGGATAGTCATTGGATAAATCAGGAGGTAACATAGAATCTTTAGTAAGGTTTTATATCAATCTAAATAATATTCAATAAAATACTTAAACTTTTCAGAATTAGTTTTAATTTTCCATAACATTTCAAATAGAATAATACCCAAAGCATATATGTCAGCAGGTGATCCATACTAATCTTCTTTGACTTCTGGTGCCATATACATTGGAGTTCCAACGTTATTTGTATACTCAAAATTGGTTTAGAATATATCTTCATCAACTTAATATATTCGATTATTGCATAATCCTAGATCTCCAATTTTAACTTCATTTTTAGAATTTATAAATATATTCTGAGGTCTATGATAAATAATAAATCTACTTTAAATCTCTGTGAATGAATTATAAATTGTGCATATAAATAACTCCTTCTATTATTTATTTAAAGATAGTTTTAATTAAATCCTTATCCTTTTTTCTATCGACTTTCTCTATAAAATCTTTTAATGTAAAATCACATAATTCCATCTAATAATATAATTAATAGTTTACTTCAATATACAACATAAAAATTTAAAATTATTCATCTTTTTGATTGGGATTAAAATGAAATCTTCTCATTCGAGATTAAATTTAGCTACTAAAATCAGATAAATGTACACTTTGTACACTCTTTGTATATTTAGAAATAGTTTATATTTATTTATCATTCTCACTACTTCCTTCTCCAATAAATTACACACAAATATTTAAATATGAATTTTCATCAATTAGATTAAAAGCATCAGAAGAAACTGCATCATTTTCATCATTTTATACTTATTATTTTTTTTCATTAACTAAATCATGTAATTATTTTATTTCAGCTTTCATTTCAGAATTTAATTCTTATATCCAACTTGTATAATATCTAACTATATTTTTATGGTTAATTTCTTATAGACCATTTATTTCACGAAATATTGGATGATCTCTTAAATTTTTTTCATTTTAAACTTTGAAATAGATTCTTTTCACTGCGTATTCTTTTAAATCGACTATTTTTTGACATTTATATACTTCTCCGAATGTTCCCTTCCCAATAATTTTAGGAAATACATATAATTTCTCAAATTTATTATTTTCTAAGTATTAACTCCAATCTGGTAAAATTTATGTTGTTTTTTAATTTTAAGTCTTTTCAAAGTTTTATTCAATATTATTAGATGTCATAAGTTTTTCACGATTTTCCTTTTTTTTTAAGAAATATTATTAATCTCCAAAATCCTCAAACAAATTCATGTCTTTATTTTTTTCATCAATATCAAAATTATTATCAGCATCATTTTTTTCGTATTTGATAACATCTGATTATTGTTATGTCTCTTGAGGGCTGACCGAAAAAAAATTTTAAATTACTGTTATATTTTTTTCTCTTGGAGAGCTTTCAGTGCTGGATGTGGCTTCTTTTTTAAGTAATTCATTTTATTCTGTACCTAAATGTATGGAACTAAATTTTAGTTTATACGTAATACTTTTGCATATCATCACTAGTTGTGCTTTCCTTTCTCATATTAACGATAATATTTGTAGTTTTCTTACTGAATGCTTAATACATAAAGTAAAATGTGATGCAATATACCAGTAGTATGAGAAAAAGAAACAACTCAAAATGTTCAAAAATTAACTACTTCATTTGAATAGAAGGGGATTCATAGATTATTTCATGTTATCTATACCATGAAATCTCAACAATTTGAGTTTGCACTTAGATTTAATGTTATACTGACGTAGTTTATTTCTTAATCATTAGATTTATTATAATTTATATAAACAAAATAATCAATGCATGAGAGTATTATATGAACTGATTATTAATTATTAATTATATTTTATACATATTATATATATTTGTTCTATATTTAATAAATGAATAAGAAATAATTTAAATATCTTTAAAGTTATGGGATAAGGATCCTCTAAATTTTATGCTGTGCCAATTGGAGAGAAGAAAGAAGGGGAAAGTCACGTTTATCGAAACCCAAACAATACTGAGAAACTTCTTGATAATTTTGAAGGAGAAACTACTGTTTAAGGCATCTTCTTAAGATCATGTAGGAAATTTCCAAACAATAGATGCTTGGGCAAATAGATTGTGACTGGAGAAAATAGTAGACATTACGTTTATAAAACTTATATTGAAGTAAGAGATATTGCAGAGTAATATCTTAAATAAAAACTAGGTTGCTTGGTTCAGGTATCAAGAACATGAACTTGATTCCAAATCCAGTATAATATGATGGTTAAGAATTGAGAATGATAGGAATATTTTCAAAGAATAGAGAGGAATGGTTACTCTTAGATATAGCTAATACATTGTATGGAAATACTATGATCCCTTTATATGACACTTTAGGATTAGAAACTATACCTTTTATATTAGAACATACTTAGATGAGCACTTTATTTGTCTCAAACAGTAGTGTAGATACTCTTTTAAAAGTTAAAGAATATCATGCGCTTAAGAATATAGTTACATTCGATGAATTATCTTAAGAAATAGTTCAGAAGGTAAAATATATTTTAAAGAGAATAGTTAGGAGATAAAGGATTAAAGGTAATTAATTATGAGGAAGTTTTGAATGCTGGAAAAGAAACAAAGCATGCATTTGCAGAAGTGCATGGAAATGACATTTTCACATTCAGTTATACATCAGGTACAACAGGAATGCCAAAAGGTGCAATGTTAAGACATTTAAATTTTGTAACAGTAGCAGGTGGAGTAGTTTATCAAGGACTCTAGTTTTATCCAAGTGATGTTTATTTGAGTTATCTACCATTACCTCATGTTTTAGAGAGAGTTGTAGTGACAGCACTACTGGGTTTTGGTTGTACCATCTGTATGTATGGAGGAGATGTTTAAAAAATAAATATAGATATTTAATTGGTAAAGCCAACAATATTTGTAAGTGTTCCTAGATTGTATAGAAGATTATATAATGCAATAAAAGAGAAAGCAGATAAATTAACAGGATATTAAAAGACATTATTTGAAAAGGGATTAGCTAGCAAAATGTATTATTTGTAAAATGGAGGACATGTTTAACATAAGGTTTGGGATAATTTAGTATTTAAAAAAACAAGAGAAGCATTTGGTGGAAGAGTCAGATTAATGTTATCAGGATCAGCACCAATGTCACCTGAAGTTGTTGATTTTTTAAAATGTGTTGTTTGTGTTCCATTTCTTGAAGGATATGGTTAAACAGAAGGATGTGGTGGTTCTTTTATCAGTAGAGCAGATGATCCTATAAGTGGACATGTAGGAGGTGTATTTTCTAATATTGAATTCAAACTTGTTGATGTTCCATAAATGAATTATTATAGTACTGATAAAGATGAATAAGGAAGACCTACTCCTAGAGGAGAAATCTGTAATCAAATCATATTATATTATTCTATTAGGTATCAGAGGCAATGGATTATTTGCTGGATATTATAGAGAACCTGAAAAAACTAAAGAAATGATAGATGCTGATGGTTGGATGCATTCTGGAGATATTGGAATGGTTAGACCAGATGGATCTCTTAAAATTCTTGATAGAGTTAAAAACATTTTTAAGTTAAGTTAAGGAGAATATATTGCTCCTGAAAAAGTTGAAGGAGTCTATCTTAAAGTTAAAGGTATTGCTGAAGTCTTTGTCTATGGAGATTCAACTAAAAGTTTTTGTGTTGCAATCATTGTCCCTGAAAAATAATATGTTTTGGAATTAGCAAACACTTTAACTATTTCAGGTACATTTGAATAATTATGTGCTAATGACAAAGTTAACAAGTTCTTTATTGATGAAATGGTTAAATAAGTATTCATACTCAATTATTTATTAGGGTAAAATTGAAAAATTGAATGGAATGGAAAATGTTAAGAAAATCTACATCGAACCGACTTCCTTTATTGCTCATGGATTAACCAGTAATACACTTAAATTGATGAGACACAAAGCCAAAGAACATTTTCTTAAATAAATTGAAGCTATGTATTAAGGAAGTGAATGAGTTTCATTATGAACACATTAAATAAATAATCATATCAAATATTCTATCACTTTTCTTATTTTAAAATTGCATTAAATTCAAGAAGATATCTCCTATAGCTTATTTTTATAGTCTTCCAATCTAATTTACTCTTCTTTTTAAGATAATTTATTTATGTTTCTTTAATTTTAATTGATTTATCTTATGCCTATCTCTATTTTATATTTGTGTACCTTTTAATTTTACTCTTTATAACACTAAATTTTTATTTTTAATTATAAATTGAAATGAAGTTATTATTATCTATTATATTGTTAAAATTTTATTTAGAGTATTTTTAATAAGCTAAACAGATGTTTAACGTTTCATTTTTTATAGGCTCAAAAAAATTATTCTTTATCATCAATACAATTTAGTAGAATATCTAATTAATGAATTCATCTAGTTTTTCAATATGGTTTTTTTTTCATTTAATTGTAGTATATTTTTAATAAATTTTAGATAGTTGTCTTCAATTATTTCATTTATGTTTGATAAGTCTATGACTTAAAAAACCATAGATCCACAGTATTTTATATTTTTTTGCCATTTTAATTGAATAAATTTATTAATGAAATAATAAAATCTATTTTCTATTAATTAATTAACGCTTCACATTTTTAATGGAAGAATGAATTAAGCTAACTAATTAATTTAGAAAAGTAAGAAATAAAATTTCAATACTAACATTTTATGAGTAAGAAATCAACATTATGAATTGTTGTTAGTGATAGTTGAAAAATAATTATTTTTTTAAAACTATTAATTCACAATATTTAGAATAAATAATTGCTAATTAATTATTCAATAATATGAGAAATGTGTACTTAGGGTTTTTATTTATGATGATTGGTTTATAATGAGAGAATTAGGTTTAGTGAATTTAAGAGGCGCATATGAAAAATGGAGAAAAAGTTTAGAGAACTTTAGTTGTTAAAGAAAAAATAAGTGAAAGTTAGCTAAAGTTTAGAATGAAAAAGTTGTTTTTAATGAATAATTTTGATAATTTAATTAAATAATGGGAACATGTTGTAGTACATAGAGTTAATTGTAAATTGTTATGCCAAATTTTGAACTATCTATCTTAAGTGTCTACACTTAGAAAGCTATTTTAATTCAAAGAGCTTATAGATGTATGTTTAGGTTAAACATTAAATAGAGTTCAAGCATCGGAAGAGAAGATCTACAGTTCCAGTATCTATAACAAACGACAGCTAGAGAAGTCATTAGGAGCCAATTGAAATTACAATTGTTCATTAGTAACCGTAAGATGAAGTTGCATAGATGGAATAGATAGAAGAAGCACCAATAGTAGTAGATCATTCTCCTCCTGATGGTGTTAAAATAGAAAGAAAATAAAGTGAATATCCTGCAGTAATCAATTCCTTGATATATCGAATTGGGAACTTTAATTATAAAGAATATTTAAAGAAGGAGAGCTAAAATTATGAGGAAGAAGAATTGAGTGCAGCTTTTTTAGATCCTTATTAATTAGCTGATGGAACAATATATTTAGGTTAATGGAAGTTAGGTAAAAGGCATGGTAAAGGCAGAGCAATTTTTTAAGATAAAAGTGTATATGAAGGGTTTTGGAAAAATGATAAAATGGATGGTTATGGAAGATTGATATTTCTTAGTGGAGATTATTATGAAGGAGAATTCAAAGATAATAAAGCTAACGGATTTGGAAAATAAGTGACTTCATAAGGATATTCATATGAAGGAAGTTGGGTTAATGATAAATAATAAGGGGAAGGCCACGAGAAGTTTTCAGATGGCACAAATTTTAAAGGAAAGTTTGTGGATGGAAATAAAACAGGATATGGCGAGTTTGTTTTTTCAGATGGATCCAAGTATTAGTTCAAGCTAAAAAAAGGTATAAAGGTTCAATTGTTAATAATAAATTTAATGGCAAAGGAGTGTTTAATTTTCCAGATGGTCGTAAATATGATGGATAATGGAAAGATAATTAAATGGATGGATATGGCACATTTACATGGCCAGATGGTAGATGTTATGATGGATATGTAAGTTTCATTATAATACTTAGTATGTGAAAGATAAAAAGCATGGATTTGGAGATTTCACATATGCTGATGGATCAATGTATAAAGGTAATTGGGTTGATGGTAAAGAACATGGATAAGGAACATTCTATTCAAAAAGTGGGTTATATAGAGAAGGGGAATGGTTAAATGGTAAAAGAGTAAAATGGACTTCATCATACTAAACTACCTGAAAACAAAAGAGGATGCTAATTTATTTCTTGTTTTTCTTTCATAATTTTAAATTATTAGATTATATTTATGCCTCATATTAAGTTACCTAATTTTCGACTTGGTATTTCGCCATCAGTTAGATCTTCTTATAAAATGGATAATTTAACTCCATCCTAAAAATTAGATTTGGTAGCAGCTCGTATATTTGGAATTTCCTTTGGTGGTAATTTAAGAAATGGAATGAAGGCAATCAAGAAATTAGAAACAGGATAAAATAGAGCTATGTAATATAGTGTTCCAGTTTGGAATCCAGCGTAATTATTTATATATTATGTTAAAAGATAATGGTTTCCATTTATGACATAATGGAGAAAATTAGAATTCAATAGAAAATTAGTAGATGGAAGAAAAATGAGAATAATGATGAGAGGTGTAAAAATAGGTAGATAGAAAGGAGGTGAAAAGATTTCAATTCTTAATATTTATGAACGCAAAAAAGCAAGTATGGAGTGATTATTATATAATATAATATAAAAATTATTTATTATTTATTTATTATCCATGATATATTTAATAATCACCTTTTCTATATTATTATACACAACAGCTATCAATTTAGTCTAAGATAAAAAATGTACTTGTAATCAAATTGTGAACTAATAGGCATGCCAATTAAATTAAAATTGCTTATGGAACAATACAAGTTGTTAAAATAAAAGTTGTTCAGAAATCTATTATAAATCTTAATGTATAAATAATTTAGGATGTTTCTTTAATAATAGTGCTAACAGTTGTTAAAAATTAACAAATTGTAATTAAATAAATACAACATCAACTTCAGATTGTGCTTCATAATCAAAATATTGTGGATTATATAATACAACATCAAAGGAATGTTATAGTTTAACTATTACAGCTTGTAGTTCATATACAGTATAATAAGAATGTCTCTATTCTAATTAAGATTAATTGTGCTACTGGACTAACTCACAATGTTAAGATTTTAATTGTTAATTCTTAGGAAATCAATCATAATGTAACTTATATTCTATATATTGTACTTGGGATTTTAACAATACATAATGTATAGCAGCTACTTGTGATAATAAACCTACTTCTGAATGCACTTTTGTTTTATAAAAATAGAGCAGCCAAAATCAAACAACTTTATAACCTTGTTTTATTGATTAATCAAAGAAACCAGCGTTATGTAGAGATGCTACAGTCTCTGATTTATCACCTTTTGAATGCACTTTAAATACTTTTAATTATGCTACATGGAATGATGAAAGCTTAGAGACTGGAAGTTGTTAATATTGTTATGCTTATCTAATTAATATTCTTAGTCTAGCTTTATTAATAATGATTCAATGAAAAATATAATTATACAATTTAAGATTATTTATTTTATGGATTGTTATTAAAAATATCCTAATGTAGTTCTTTAGTAATAAAATTTAATTATGATTATTTTTAGAAAGTTCTGCTATAGGTTTGCCTAAACCATATAAGAATCCTAATAGCAAATCTTTAAATATTCTAATCCAGATAATATTCCCACCAAAATGGTTTTAAAAAACATTGCTCTGTCTGATTAGTTTTCAATCTAATAACTTTCAATTTTGACTGATATAGATTAAAAAGAACTAATTCGAACTATTAATCAATTTTCAAAATAACCTATTAATTATACTAAAATTACAAAAGAACTTATAGAACCTATTTTACCATTATATAATTTAAGCTCTTAAAAAGAAAGTCCAATAACTAGACCTCCTATAGTAACTATAATGGGACATGTTGATCATGGAAAAACAACATTATTAGATAGACTTAGAAATTCAAATATTGCTGAAGGCGAAGTGGGGGGAATTACTTAGAAAATTGGTGCATTTCATGTTAAAGTTGGAGATAATTAAATTACATTTATAGATACTCCAGGACATGAAGCATTTTCTAATATGAGATAAAGAGGAGCTGAATTTACTGATATTATTATTTTAGTTGTATCTGCAGCAGATGGAGTATAACCATAAACTAAAGAAGTTATTTAAATTGCATCTTAATTAAATATACCTATTATTGTTGCTATTAATAAAATTGATGTACCTAATATCAATCCTGAAGATATTGAATTAGAATTATTAGAATGTGGACTTGATCTTGAAACTTAAGGTGGCAATATTCCAGTGGTACATATCAGTGCAAAAACTGGTAAGAATATTGATTTATTGTTGGAATTAATACAATTTTAAGGTGAGTTATTAGAATTAAAAGCTGATCCAAATGTTCCTGCTTAAGGAGTTGTATTAGAAGCAAGATAGGCTGAATTAACTGAAGAAAGAGGTTCAACAATTATAGTGTAAAAAGGAAGTCTTAAAATTAATGATTTGATTGTTGTAGGCAATCAATATGGAAAAGTCAGATAAATGAGAGATGATAGATCTAACCTTTTATAAATTGCAGGACCTTCAAGTGCTATTGAAATTGTATTTATAATTATATTCTATCTCATTTAGATTGGATTAAAAGAGGTTCCTTAGAGTGGTTCTAAATTTTTTGTTGCAAAAAATGAATTAATCGCTTAATTGATTGTTAACAAAAGAAAAAAAGAAGCAGAACTCAAATTACTCTAAAATGCATAAATTATTGATGGATCTTTTGGAAAGATTTCATTTCAAAATAAACATGAAAAAAGAGATATTTATGGAGATTCTACACTTCTTATAGATAAATATAAAGAAATTTAAAGTATCTTAAGAGAAGAAATTGATAAAACTGATAATCCAGAAATTAAAGCAGTTTTAGTAGAAAAACTAAGGTAACATGAATTATTCTCATCTTAAATGATTAATATTGCACCAGATACATAAGTATTAAAATTGGTGATAAAGGGTCAAGATTTCGGGACTTTGGAAACCCTAATAAAATTGGTGAATTAATTAAAGGAGAAAGAGAATGCTGAAATATTAATACTTTCATCAGGAGTAGGAGATGTAACTTAGAAGGACTTTAAAGATGCTTAATTATTTGGGGCAACAATAATTACATTAAATTCAAATGTGCCAAATGATATAATAAGATAAGCTTAGTTAGATAAAGTTGATATAATTTAACATTAGATTATCTATCATTTAATCGATGATTTAAAAACTTTAGTAACTGCTCCTAGAAATGCTAAAGTGAATGTAATAGGTACAGCTAAAGTGTAAAATATTTTTGATGTAAAATTGAAAGGATAATCTAGAAAGATATATGGATTAACTGTTACTCATGGTATATTGAATAAAAAATGTAGAGTAAGAATATTGAGAGGTGGAAAGGTTTTCGCATCAGATTTAGAAATAGCAAATTTAAAGCATTTTAAAGAGGAAGTAGATCGTATTGAATCAGGGAAAGATTGTGGATTATCAATAATATCAAATGTTGAAGTGAAAATTGGAGATGAATTTGAATGTTATAAAAGTTGATTATATGATTTATGTATATAATTTGATAATGTGTTTCTGTTGAAACTAAAAATTAAGAGATTATAACAATTTGAGTGATTATTCTAAATGTAAAAGTAATCATTGAAAAAAATGGAATGATTAATCATCAAATATTAATTAAAATCTAAATTAATATATTCCTTTTTTCTATGATTTCCGATTTCACTTTCTAACGAATATCTTGTTCTTCTATGTAAGCCAAAGAGTTAAAATCAAAGTTTATAATACAAAAGAATATTGGGTATGGTGATTATGGGTAAATTGATGATTTTAATGTTAGAACTGTATATCGAGGTGTCAATATGCACACCAGAGAGACAGTTGCCATCAAAGAATTATCTCATGGTTTAAATGATTAAGGGGTTTGATATATTATTTTATATAAGATCAATGTATAATCATTAAGAGAGATTGAAATACTCAGATCTCTTAATTGTGAATAAATTGTGTTATTTAAAGAATTAGCTTATTAAAATAGAAAGACCTATATTATAATGGAATTTATGGAGGAAGATTTACTTACAGCAATGAGAAGAGATATCTTCACTGAGGTCTAAGCCAAGTAGATTATGTTTTAAGTTATAAAAGGCTTAGCTTATTTACATGATCAAGGTATTATTCATAGAGACCTCAAACGTATTATTTATTCAAGACTATTTTTAGCTAATAATATTTTACACAAAAATTTAACTATTAAAATTTGTGATTTGGGAATGGCTCAAAATTTAAAAAAATTCAAACCTCAAACTACTAGAATATAAAATCATTAATATAGAGCCCCAGAAGTTTTCCTTGGTTTATTAAATCACTAATATTAGGTTAAAAATATTGTTCTAAAGTTGATATTTGGTCAGCAGGAGTTTTATTTATTGAACTTCTTTTTAGAAGTAATCCCTTTAAAGGATAATCCGAAGCCAATAGTTTTCAATAAATTTTAAAATTTTGTGGAACTCCAACTGAAGGTAATTATAATTCAATCAATTTTTAATAGAAACTTGGTAAGGAGTTACTACATTAAAGAATTATTCTAGATTGATAAGTAATGAGAATTTTCCCAAGATCTTACATACCTTACTTGAAAGGAAAATGTCTCCACTCTTAGTCAATCTTATAGAATAAATGTTAACTCTTGATCCTACTAAAAGGATATCTGCTCAAGCAGCTCTATAACATTTATACTTCTAAGGTATAAATATAGATAGGTATTTTTACTTATTAATAATATAATTAGAATTCACCTATCTAATTAAATAGGGAAAAAAAAAATTAAAATTTAAACTGAAACATAAGTATTCAATTATCCAGATGGATAAAGAATAATTGTTATTTCGAAAAAATAATGAAAAACAATTATTTATGCTTTTGAAGATGATTGTTAAATATCGAGCCAGTAAATCAAATTATCTGAAATCATTCAACCATTTTAATTCTCCTTAATAGAGTATATATAGTTATCAATCATATAAAATACTAAAAAAATACTCTTTAATTAATTGAATGGTATATTTATTTAAATTTATAATAGTCAAAATCAGATATACGCTTTACTCACTCTAAATGTTTAAACTATCTCTTCAAAAACTATAATGAAAATAATTTATAATTTATATTAACTACTACAATTCTCTTCTCGTTTTGGAATTCAAACTATTTAATTTGATAAAATTAAGTTTTCATGTATTTATCTTAATCAAAACAACTTGAAAAAACATAAATTATTTTATAATATATGGGCTGTACTTCAACAAAACTAAAATCCAAGAAAGATCTATGTTTTGTTAATGTTCCACTTTAAGTTGGAAGAAAAATGAGTAAAGAAGAAGGAATTATCAGCAGAGAATATAAAATTAACTCAACAAGAATTAGTTAGGCTAAAAAGTAAATAGTTAGTGAAGTTTCACCTGCCTTGAGTGAGGGAAAGAATATTTCATTCATATCTAATCAAAAATAACCATCAAAATAATGAATTTATTATACTCTGTGTTTATATATTATGTTAGTCTTATCAAATTATACCAAAATTTAAAAATAATTTTTATTTATATATTTCTACCCAATCTCTCCTCAATTATTAATTTCTACCTATTCTTGTTAGATGCAATAAATTATAATTAAAAATTATTTACAAAAAGTTCGTTTTTTCACTTCAATTATTAAATTTAAGATTTATCTAATTTTTACATCATACTCTATGTGAGAACTGAACTAATGAATAATAAAAGATAATAAAACTTAATTAAAAAATAAATATATATATTTATAATATAACACTTATGCTATTATTTCTTGATTAAAATTTTATTAAGCAAATTATTTTTCATTTTAGNCTCTTTAATTAATTGAATGGTATATTTATTTAAATTTATAATAGTCAAAATCAGATATACGCTTTACTCACTCTAAATGTTTAAACTATCTCTTCAAAAACTATAATGAAAATAATTTATAATTTATATTAACTACTACAATTCTCTTCTCGTTTTGGAATTCAAACTATTTAATTTGATAAAATTAAGTTTTCATGTATTTATCTTAATCAAAACAACTTGAAAAAACATAAATTATTTTATAATATATGGGCTGTACTTCAACAAAACTAAAATCCAAGAAAGATCTATGTTTTGTTAATGTTCCACTTTAAGTTGGAAGAAAAATGAGTAAAGAAGAAGGAATTATCAGCAGAGAATATAAAATTAACTCAACAAGAATTAGTTAGGCTAAAAAGTAAATAGTTAGTGAAGTTTCACCTGCCTTGAGTGAGGGAAAGAATATTTCATTCATATCTAATCAAAAATAACCATCAAAATAATGAATTTATTATACTCTGTGTTTATATATTATGTTAGTCTTATCAAATTATACCAAAATTTAAAAATAATTTTTATTTATATATTTCTACCCAATCTCTCCTCAATTATTAATTTCTACCTATTCTTGTTAGATGCAATAAATTATAATTAAAAATTATTTACAAAAAGTTCGTTTTTTCACTTCAATTATTAAATTTAAGATTTATCTAATTTTTACATCATACTCTATGTGAGAACTGAACTAATGAATAATAAAAGATAATAAAACTTAATTAAAAAATAAATATATATATTTATAATATAACACTTATGCTATTATTTCTTGATTAAAATTTTATTAAGCAAATTATTTTTCATTTTAGTTAAATTAAACAATTTTATTTCTTAAAAAACCAATTTGATTATTTATTTATCAAGTAAAAAACAAAATGCAACAATAATTGAGTGTTAAAGAAGGATATACATAAATTTTTAAATTAAGGTTTCTCCTCTTTATGAATATTTAAATCGCATTATTAGAATGGTATATCATGAATTAAAACAATTAATTTAGTCAATAAAAGTAAAAAAAATCAATTTTAATAAAATTTAGTATTAGCCAAATAAACGCTGTTGCCTTATATGAAATAAATATCTGAAATTTATTAAATATTATAAGTAAATTGTTTTTTAAATTTTCTTTATACTAAATTTCCTAAACAAAATGGAAGAATAATATATCAAAATAGATATAATCCAATCAATCACATAAAAATTTAGGGGGAAACTTTTGTAAAATAAATAATTATTTGAATAGTAATAACTTTTCAAAAAGATATTATAAGTTAATACTAAAACAATTTTATTAAAATTTTTCTTTAAAATCTAGCTAAAAGAAATGCATCACAAATTAGAAAATATAAAAATAAAAAAGAATGCTTTCCCTTTTGAATTTAAAAATAATTTTTTGTAAAATAAAATAATATAATTTCAATATCAATTTCAAATCCTTAAAATTCATCACGATTTCTCTCATTGAAAGATAATTTGGATATCAATAAATTTTTTAGATAGAAAAAACAAAAAGTTTGAGAGTAAATTTTCAGCTTCTGTAACAATTAAAGGGCTTTCAAATCATCTAGTCTTAGGTAATCATTTTTTATTTCGGTGTTTTAAGGGTGCTTTAAAGGAGTAAAATTCAAATGTTAGTATTAACTTATATATAAAATCATATACCTCCCAAACAAATCTTAGTTATTTATAATATCTATTCTTTAACATGTTTGTTGTTTTTCCTGGATATTATCTTGAAAACTTTTGAAATTTTGGTCCTTTCTTTAAAATATATTTGAGCAATCGTTAATCTTCCTCAAAAGAAAAACCTTTTTCTCTAGTTTTTTTCTTATTTCTTTTTACATCCTTCTTTTCCTTCACTATTTTGCGAATTTAATTCATCTTTTCATTATTTTAAGCTTTAGATTATTATTTTTCCTCATTGTTAGTCATAAATTAAAGCGAATAAACTCTATCTATATTTTCAGTTATATCACAAACTTCTAAAAATAACACAAATACATACAATTATGTTCTTAATCGCTTTAGTTAAATGATATATGATTATACGTCTAGATTATAGAATTTAAATCTATTGAGTGATGAAAATTTTTTTATAATTTGACATTTTTTTATCGCTCCTAATAAGAATCTTATTATGAGTGTGGGGTTATTGAAGTAACTTTAGTTTTTTAGCTTTTTTTATTTATTTTAGCATAGCGAAGATCAAGGTGAATATAAATTTGATTAATTAATCTCTGAAATCAAATTTAGATGATTTTAAATCTTTTTTCTAATATATCTATATTATATTAACAATAATAAGCTAACTTAAGTCTTAATTTTAGGAAAAACTAAGAGTCCGTTATTATTAGCATTTTCCACTTATTCTCAAAACAATTTATCAATACTTGAAGCCCTAATATCAAGATTAATATTTTGCTTGTTTTAGTGTTAAGCATCAATTATGTACTGCATTTGATAATTAGTAAAATTATGGATAAATTTTATAAAACGATTTGTATTTTTTAAATTGGCAACGTCTAAATTGTTTACTGATTAATTCACAATATATCTCTTCATTTGATCTAATTTATTTATAAATATTGAATTAAACTTGAGATAATTTAAAGTAATAATTTGATTATCTAAAATATATTACCTTTCTTTTGTAAATATACCTAAATTTTGTTTATTAAAATATTTTTTAGTTTATGAAATTTTTTGTAAAAATTTCAAATGATTTTGGATAAATAAAGATAAAAATTATCTCAAAATAAATTATTATGTAGAATTTAAAAAAAATATCTATTTTTAAAGCTAATCAATCATGATTTAATAAATATAGTGAAAAATTTTTCTCTGTTTTCTTCAGTAGATTATTTAGATTTTTTTAAAATTGAAGAAGATAAATAGAATGACTAATGAAATATTTTGAAAAGATTAAATAATAGATATACTCTCTACTTAAAGAAAACATAAGAGATAGTTTCAATAAAAAAAAGGGCCAAAATGAATTTCAGATGAAATGTTATAATAAAATATATTTCGCTCTCTGATATTTATTCTAGTCTCTTTAGAGCGTTGATTATGTTAAGTATTATTTCAATATTGAGATTTTTAGTAATTTGAATTATTTATGAAATAATACCCAGCTTGATTAAATAAATTTTTATTTGAGGCATATTTTTGTTTTTGAAAGATTAAGAGTTCTAATAAAAATTGAATATAAAAATATATAATGTAACCTTTCATAGTTTCTTCTGGTGCACTTTCATAAGAATTTAGATCAATATTATAATATAGAATGATTCCTTTAAATTTTTAAAATTAATGATTTTTTACTAAAACTATATATTAGAGGATGAGAGGGATATGAAAAATATTTAATTGAAAATTAAGGCTGGAAATGTTTTCAGGAAATAAAATTTAAGAATTTAAAAAATATATTAGTAATATTCAAACAAGCATATTTTATTTCAATTTTAGACTGTATAACTTTACAAAAGCAATAAATCTGTTATACAATAAATTTTTCATAAGTCTTATATTAAAGAGAAAAAATTAAAAAATATATGTAGAAGGAAGTTATTCTTCCTCCAACAAATATCATTGATTATTTTGATAAGAAATAGTTTTTTTTGTTAAGGTTTAAAATGCTATAAACACAAAAATAAAAGTCAAGAAAAGAAATTTTATTGGATGAGTTTTCAACATCCAACACAAAAAGCAACTGTTAAAGCAAAGCAAACTTTCATAGCCACTTCTCCAACCACTTTTGTGACACAATCAGTCAAATCTTTTTTTAATCCTTTTTGCATTTTGATTTCTGTTTCTTTATTAATTTCGTATTATTCATTATATCTTTCAGTCATCAATGTGATTTAGGTTTGATTGTTAAGTTGTTCAGTCATTTTTTTGTTTTTGCTGAATGTATATTTATAAATTAATGAGTTTTAATTAGAAAATTTTTGAATATATATACGATCAGAAAATGCAGAAAATTATGCATTAATTCTGATGATGCAAATTATGATAATAATAATAAATCTGATAATTTCTGATATATAAAGATTATATTGGAGACAAAGTTTTCTGATGAAGAATTTTCCAATTTTTTTTGAAGCAATTTAAAAATAATGAATTTAAAAGGTCATACATACTTAAAGTATATACTTAGAAAAGAATTTTTGATGCTTAATAAAGTTATGAACTTTTGCATCTATTTATTCAATTTTATAAAGTATAAGTTTACGTCATTAATTTATTATAATATTAATTACAACTCATTTGAAGTCATTTGTAAATAAAACATAAGTAAATAATGATAATGATATAATTTGAAGAATTAGTTAGTGAGAATTCCTTTTTTGAGTTTAACTTTGATTAATTTATATTAGCTTGTCTAATTATTAATTATATTATGCCACAGAATCTTTGATACCTTATATAGGATCAAGTTAAAAAGGTTATTCTAAATTCAATGTCATTTATTGTATTAATTCTCTCAATTCAGATTTAAGAATTTGATTATACTATTTTATTATAATTATATACTAATAGTGAATATCTAATGTTGAACACAATAGACTTTAAGATAACATAACAAAAGATATATAATATGTTGATAGGTTGCTATTTTTCATGCTGCATTTTAACCCAATGTTGAATAATAGTAAGATTTATCTTAGCCTTATTATTAACATTATTCACATCAAGATAATTTAGCTTCTTAAATTTCTTCTTTTGGTTTATGAGGAAGCAACATTAATAATATTTGTTAATAGGATTAAATATACTATACTGATCTTTGTATTAGTACAATATAGTAGTAGGAGCAGCCCACATAAAATATTCAATTACTTAAAGCATTTGATAACAACTATCAAACAGATTAAAATATTGCTCATAATTTTATTCACAATTTTTCAAGTATTCCTTTTATATTAGATAATCTTTACATTTACAATAAATTTAGAAATTTCTCCTTTTTAAAATACCTTTGGTCCAATGATTAATAGGGGCAAGTTTCCTTATTTAAAAAGAAAGAGATATTCAACATTTATAATTTATAGTTCAATTCCTAATCCTTTTGTAAAGTATTTCACTAGGTTTGCTTCAGCATCGTAATATGAATTTGTTATGATTAATTTCCAAGAATTCTCCATAATTAAATTATATAATTAATTTCATAGAAGTATATAAAAATTAATCATTATTCATTTACGATTGATAATTTTCTTATTTTTTTCATGATATTTACTTATTAACTTTAAATATTGTCAATTTCTTAAAGTGGCATTTTCAATTTCGAAACTTTAAAAGCGCAAAAATTTTATAACTAATTATTTTCATGTTCAATAGAGAGATTATATATTTCTTATAATGTGTTTTTATCCACAGTTTAAGCTATATAATATTAAGTTTTTTCTTTTAATTGTATCATATCTAAATAATCACATAATTCCAATAACCTGAAAAGCTCTTCTTTATTTAAAATAGGGAGTATTAAATTATTTTTATAAGAGAAAATCAAAACAATAGCAAAAGCAATATGGTCTACATATGATAGATTAAGTTATAGTAATTAACCTTCAGCATAATCACCATAGAAAAGTTCTCTAAAATATCCAGATGAATTAATGAGAATAGATTTATTGACACCAAAACACCTTTCGTCTGTTTAGATTAAACAATCATATTAATCATCATAAAAATAGACTCCATCATCATCTTATTGAAAATAGTTTTCAAATTAGTATTATGGAATTTCTACATAAGGTTTAGAAGGCAATTCAACAGAAAGGGGCACTGTATTAACAAGTGGTAATTCATAGAAACATAAATCACTTTAATATTTACCATTAAAACCTCCATATATAACTAAAGAATTTCCAATAATAGATGCACTATGTTTTCTTCTTGCTTTAACTTTTTTTTCATTTTTTATGATTTCAATTTTAGTGTTTTATAAATCAAAAGAGTAGAGATCATCAGAATCTTTATCATCTCTCCCTCCAAATAGATAAAACAAATCATCAAATAGAATACATGAGTGGCCCCATTTAGAAAAAGAAACTTTGAGTTAAGACCATGAGATGCTGATATTATTTTCTTATTCTTTAAATTTTGCAATGTAGATTGATGGTGTAGGATTATAAGATTATGTACATCCTCCAATTAGAATTAATTACTTGTTAAAATAGTTAAGAGTTGCAAAACGTCTTGGTTCTGGCTTTTCTTAAGATTGAATTTAAACAGTACATTGAGTATAGCTGTTCAAATCAACTATTTCTAATTTATCTAAATCTTTGCCTGATTCTCCTCCAAATATAAATAATTTATTATCACCAACACAACCTGTGTGATAAGTTCTAGGTATTAAATTAATATTCTATTTAATCCAAGTAGAATTATTATATGAATAGAGATCTCCAAATCGATTTTTCTAAATACCTCCACCACCTTAAATATAAATACTTCCATTATTGATAAACATAATATGATTTGATCTTGGTTCTGGTACCTAACCAATTTTTTATATATTTTGCCATAAATTATTATCAAAATCATAGGAATAAAAATCATTTAGATAATTACCATCTTAAAATTATTTCTAAATTTATACCATAACCTCCAAATATATATAATTTATCATTTAATGAAATGCTACTATGTCCCCATCGACCTCCAGGTCCTTCATTTTAACTATTAATTGTTATCCAACTCATATTAGAAAATAAGATAATGTTTATATTGTCGTTAGAAATTAATATCAATTAAACTTTAGATCAAAATAATAATAAATATATTTTTAATAAAATGGATTATAAAACTATAAATTATGAGCAAGGAAAGATTGAGTATGGAAGTGAAGAAATATATGTATCCATCATCTCAAAGTTTATCAACATGACCTTTGAGAAATAATTACAAGAATTGTACCTCGCTGTACAATTACTTGATTAAAAAAGGATGGAGAAAGCTTGCTTCGTACTTAAGGGTAGTGTAGGGTAAATCAATAATAATTAAGGCAGGAAGATAGATCCTTGCATTTGATTATCTCTAAAAAACAAATGCTTTATATGATATTGCCAAAAAGTAATAGCCATACACTGATAGAGATATCATAGACTTATATCATAGATATTTTGATTTGATTGATGCTAGTATTCAATTGGCAGCTGAATTATCTTAGGCAGCTAAATAATTGATTAACATTTCAGAAATTAAATCATATAGTAAATCTAAATACTAGTTTAGGGGATACGATTTGGCCCAAATATATATAATTCATGTAGAGATACATTTAAGAATATAGTAAGCCATGTGATAATTAATAAAGATGTCAGTAATGCAAGGAATGCGTCATATTTTGAAAATGTAATATAATATATTTTAAAATTTATCTAATCTTTATTAATCATTTTAGTTCCGTCATTAAGCTTGGATTTTATGAAATTCCTATATAAATATTATTAATGTCGAATCAAATTAATTTAATAATATTATTACTAATTCATTATTTTGCCTTTATTAATTCTATGTGTAAAAGTTTTTCTAGTAGTGATGATTATGATCACATTTAAAATGGTAGAGATTGGCCTAATATTCATGAATATTGCTTTGGAAAATAAACATAATCTTCAGTTAATCTAGATAAGAATTATACAAAAAGCAAATTTAGAAGACTTAATCTTTAATTTTAGGAAGATGACATAAACTTTTTTCACAAATACAAACCAACATGAGTGAGAATTGCTAAAAACTATACAAGTCACATAATGATACCAGTTAATGATTCTGATAACTTTGGTCCTCTCAACAGTAAATTCTTGGACTGAAAGTGTTGCCAATGGTGGAAAAATTATTTTCTTTAGAAGTGAAGTTGAACATACTGTCAATGGATTTTAATATAATTTAGAAGTTTAAATTTAAAACACTCTACTCTTTTTTTTTGCAACTACAACAAATAGGATGACTGTCTTGGTCTTTTTTATTAAAGATGACAACTGCATCAAGAAATACATTTTTATACTCAGTATTTATCAGTAATATATATTAAAGGTCATTGATAATTATGATAAATAAGAATTCACTTTGGATTTAAGTTATTTGATTTATCCTCCTTTTCTATTTAATCATATTATTTAAACGCAGGATCTTTCACTTAACCAGATTTTACAGAAAAAATATCTTGGTACATTTTTGAAACGTCATTAAAAGCTTCTGATTCTTAACTTTAATTTTTTTATAATTTGTATCATAATTCTGAAATTTTTTTCTTGCCAATTTTAAATTTAGTATCATTTTAATATTTAATTTTTTTTTAGTTATTTAGAAAAACATCAGCAAAAAAAGTCACAGTTTATTAAAGAAAAGATCCTTATGCGATGAGGAATGAAATTATATTTATTTTTATTCTTAATTATTATTTTTCAAATAATTCATAACATGAATTTATATTTTATCATTCTGTTAGAATTGGTAAACTCTTAAATACAAAATTCCATGAAATTTTATTAGGAAGACCGTTAATTTCATAATCTTAATCCAATACATCATTAAAATCATATTTCTAAAGTAATTTTATTTATAGTTCATTTTCATCTAACAATTAATAGATTTCTAAATCTAATTCATTAGTATTTCCACCTAAAATTATTATAATATCTTTTTATTCTTCATTTATAATTTCTTAGTCTTTAATATTTTATAAAAATTACTGTCTTCACGAATGATTTTCTTAGTTAAAACTTTTCTAGCAAACTTTCCAAAACATTTAGCTTTAGGAATGGTTAACTTTTATGAATGTTTTATAAATGCTTTTTTCTCCTAATCTAAAATCAAAATTTAATCTGCACTCTATTCTTTTGATCCCCCTAAAATTAACACTTTTGTATCATTAATAGGTAAACAAAGAGAATCTAATCCTATTAAGATTCCTAAAGGACATTTATATTTAAATTATTCCCATAAGTCCTTTGTTAGATCATAAACTTCAATTTGAGTAAGTGGAATAATTTCATGTTTTTTCTCATTAAACCCTGAGACTCCACAGAAAACATAAATTTTATTATTTTATACAAATCCTGAAAATCCTGTTCTTTTTTTAGATAAGGGTGCTATTTCAACCCATTAATTAGATCCTTCAACTAACTTTTCACAAAAATTCAAAATACCAATTTCTTCACTATTTATATATTACCCACCTACAGCAATAAAAACTCGTTTATCATTTTCTCTCAATTCATAAATCTTATGATTGTGTCTTGCATATATCATTGATGGCAATATTTAAGTTTATGTTATTGAATCAAAAGATGATATTAATACGCTATCTTAATTTAGAGATATTTTCATGCAAAAATTAGTTGTTTAATACTAATCTTGATTATCTTCTAATAAAACTGCTCCTCCAGTAATTAAGAAATCATTTGTATTTGAAATCTTGATTGAAGCAGCATAAAATGGAACATAGTTCAATTAATCAAAATTTACAAATTTAGATGTCCTTCTAAATTTTTTCTCATATAAATCATATGTATATGTTGAGTAAGAAGGTAATTAGTTTTCATCTAAGGATGTTGATTAAAGTATTGGTGTAAATGAAAAGAGATCACTTTATTATTAAATCATCTAATATAAATATTCAAAACACATTTTTAATCAAAATCAAATATAAAAATAATGCAAAATAGGACAGCTAATTCAAAATAAACAGCAACAGGAAGATAATAAGCTTAGCCAAACCCTACAACCTAATAACCAAGAGTAATAAGATATATAATTATAAGGCTCCTCCATAAATGGTTCAAAATATGGCAAGAGTAACAGATCCTAAACATGTGCCTAAAGACATTAGAGATTAATTTTTAAAGAAAATACATTTCTGTTCTTAACCTTATGATTTTAATGATGACACAAAAAATGTTAAAGAAAAATAGGAACGTTCACAATACTTATAAGAATTATTTGATTTATTAAAGGAGCCTAATTTTGTTACTAATTTAGTTGTCCCACATTTAGATTTAATTATAGAAATGATTGAAAAGAATATTTTTAGACCTTTACCTATATTAAAGAAAACAGCAACTAATGGAGAAATAGGAATGGAAGATGATGATGTAATTTATTTTATTATTAAAAACAAAGTAACTTATTGATCCAGCCTGGACTCATCTATAGCCTGTTTATGAATATTTCTTATAATTAATTGTTAATGAATAGCCTGATGTAAAATCACTTAAAGTATTTCTTTTATAAATTTTTATAGATTTTCATCACTCATTCTTTTATTCAAGAATTCCTTGAATTATTTGATTCAGAAGAACCTAGAGAAAGAGAATACTTAAAAAACATTTTACATAGGCTCTATGCAAAATTAGTTCCAAGACGAAAAATGATTAGAAAAGCAATAAATGATTGTTTCTACACTTTGATTCATGAAACTTATAAATTTAATGGAGCAGCTGAACTTTTAGATATATTAGCAAGTATTATTAGTGGATTTGCTGTTCCATTAAGAGAAGAACACGTTATATTCTTTAAAACAGTCATTATTCCTCTACATAAAGTTCAAACTTGTTAGTTTTATCATGAATAATTATTAAGATGCTCAATGTTATTTTTATCTAAAGATCCTACTTTAGCAACATTCTTAGTTGAAGGACTTTTAAGATATTGGCCATTTGCTAATTCAGCCAAAGAAGTTATGTTTCTTAATGAACTTTTAGAAGTTTTGGAAGTTTGTGAAATTTCTAAATTAGAACCTTTAATTCCTAAATTATTTAAAAGGTTAATAAAATGTATAGCAGGACCTCATTTATAAGTGGCTGATAGGGCTATGTGTTTCTTTGAAAATGATTACTTTCTCACTATCCTGAAAAGTTATAAGCCATTCACATTTCCACTTTTAGTTCCAGTTATTGCTTAAATAGCAGATACTCATTGGCATAAGGTTTTATAAGAATCTTTGAATGCTTTAAAGACAATACTTAAGGAAATAGATTATCAAGCATTTGATAAGGCATTAAATACCAAAGATCCTAAATATTTATATATTATTCAAGATGCAAAGAACTAAAAAAAAGATAGATAAAAAATTGAAGAAAAAGTATTATCTTTGATTTTTATTATTAGTGGAAAAACCTCACTAAATAAGCATTATAAAAAAATCCAAATTTTAAGGAACCAGTTGTTCCTTACTCAGATACCCATATTGTTGGAGAACACAATGGCCTTAATAATGGAAATATTACCATATTATGATTCAAATAAAATTATTACAAAAATTATTATTATTTTTATTTATAATGTTACATAATTTCTAAAAGAAACGATGTTTCAATGAATAAATTATCTTTTTACCCTTTAGATAATTCAATATTATTTAAAGTCTAGAAATGTTATTTATACTTAAACAAACTTTTCTTAAAAACTTTATTATTTCACATATAAATAAAATAAATTAAAATGTCGACTCTCAGTTTTGTTACATATGAAGAACTCATTGGGATGTTTTAATTATAAAACTATCAAAAATAGTTTTAGAAAGAGTATTCTAAAGAGTGGTAGGAGTAGGAAATATTAAAATTTAAAAGATTCATGAGAAGAAATAAGAAAATTAAGAAGGATAAAGTATTTTTTCAATATCAATCTTAATTTATACAAACAAAAAGTTATAAACAATGTCGAAAATTTTTAAGAGATTGCATAAGAAAACTACTTGATAAATTTAGATATGAAATACTTAAAAATCAAGAAATTTTATACTGTTTTGGACCCTTACACCCTAATTTTGAGTTCGTTGAGACTGAAAATAGTTTTAAAATGAGAAGAATTAGTACAAAATCTATCGAATAGAACAATAAAGATGAAGATAAAGCATCTATCGCATCTTCGTAATGACTTTAATATTTTGATTATGATTATAATATAAATCACCATTTAGCTCTATTTAATTCAACAATACCAATAATATCTGTGAATTCTATATCTTAATATTTTCCATTAAATACGCCAAGTAACTGTCTGAACTTAACATCTATTAGTAATAAATCTTCAGTAAACAAATGAGTAGTTTTTGGAATGAATTCTAAATAAAAATCTGTTCCTTTAACCGTAATTTTCTTTTAAAGATCATTAAGGTCAAAGTTATATTCTAAATTTTTGAGAATATATAATTGATGATCGATAAAAATACCTTCATCTGAAGTTTCTTTACCTTTAATATTATCTCCAGCAGCTCCTAAATTAAATCCAATTCTATGATCTCCTGAAAATCCCATACCAGATATCCATAACCAAAATGTAGCATAATTAAATATCCCTCTTCCATAATCCATACCAGCATTAGCCTTTGTGAATTTATGTGCTTCATTCTTATTTTGAATTTAACCATAAGCATGCCATCCATAAGCTTTTCTACTATAGAAAAACTTATCTCCTTCATTTGTGAATGGCTTTAATAAATACATATCATCTTTCTAATGTGATTCCATCACAAATGAAGCTTCAAAATCTTCAAAAGTAATTTAAATTGATCTCATTTCTACACCATTATGTAACCATCCTTTATATTCAACATTTATTTAGTCAGATATAAATGATCTACTTAAATTATCTTTAAGAGTACATTCATCTTCTAAAGTAAATTATCTACTCTAAAATGGGTAAACCACTTTATCTTTATGAATGAATTTGTCATTTTTCACTGAATAATATGTAAATTAAATGCTTTGAACATAGCCTAAATCTACAAAAGCAACAGCAAGATAAACTTAAGATGTTATCAAATGAAAGTAATCCCATTATTTAAATCTAAATAATCGATTAAACAAAGATATCTATGAAGAATCAAATTTTCTAATATCACTACGTGCAAATCCATTTGTTACTAATCTTCCATCTTTCAATACTGCACCAGGTTCTTTGATTTCTGGTGCAAATTGAAGTTGCTAAACTTATTCATTTATTTCTATTGTTCTCAAATAAGCCACAAATGAAGCAAAGATTCCAAAAATAATAAAAATAAATTTTTTCATTAAATTATTTATTAATTAACTATTTTTATGAAAATCTCTTTCAAAAATATTTAATTATGTTGTGTAAATATTTTTATAAGGATTTAGTTATTAAAATTTATTATTATGATGATTTCTTAATAAATCTAAGTCTGTTTAGTTCTATTATTGGTATCACTCTTAAGAATAAAAAATAATAAAAAAATATTTAATTATTATTATCCGTTAGATAAATGTCATAGACAGATAAAGAATTGAAAAGAATTGAAGAATTAGAAGAACAAGTTAATTAAGCTTTAAAGAGAAGCAGATAACTTGATGATAGTACAAAATTTGATGAAAGCTTTTTTAAATAAGAACTCAAAGAAATGTAGGAAAGATGTTAATAAAATTAATAAACTATGATGAGATTAGAATAAAAATATTTAAAAACCGGATATGAATTAAAAAATTCAGACATTATACGAGAAAATAGTTTAGAAAAAAGTTCGGTTAAATAAAAGACTTTGTTGGAATAAAAAAATCAATAAATCTAAGATCTATAAAAAAAGCTATTTGATACTGAAAGATAATTAAATTAATAATTATCTGAAGTAAATCGTAGAAATTAACAATTAGAATATTAAAATCAATAATTATAAGAGGAATTATTGAATCTTCAAAATTAATAAGAGAATATTCCTGATGTTATGGAATTACATAGAGCTCTTGAAGAATTACAAAAATAATATCTAGATCTATAAAATAAATTATAAGAAACTATGAGAAATGATTAATAAGATTATTAATAAATAAAATAAGAATATGAAGAATATTAATTATTAACTTAGAATATAATTAATTAAGAAGAAGAATATTAAAGAAGAATATGTGAATTAGAGGAAGAATTATAATAAAGTTCAACTTTTTAATAAGAGTTTATGAGTAGAATGAAATCAAATGAAGAGCTTTATTAATAAAGATATAGAGATTTAAAATAAAAATATTAATAATAATTAGACGATTAAAGAAAGATTTTAGATTAGTAAATTGATGAATTAAGGGAACAAAACAATTATCTTTTTGGACAACTTTCAAATACAGAATGTAAAGTACAATAGTTAGAGTTTGAAATATAAAGGAAACAAAATCTTTAAACATCAAATCATTAAGACAATAGTGTTGATTTATAAGTTTCAAGAAGTAAATCTTTTTCTGCTTGTCAAGGTGCACAGAATATTAAAACACTAACAGATTGTGAAATTAATTAAAAAGTTAAACCTTAACATTTTGTAGGATGTTATAATAAAGGAAAATAAATTTGTAATTAATAATCTTAATCAATATCTAACAAATTAGATTAAAGAAATGAATAAAAATAATATGATTCAAGACCAGTTAAATAGATTAATATCTCTATTGAAAAAGAAAATATGTAAGCAGACACTTTATCTTCGTATAATAAGATGAGGTCTTAATCTAAAGAATAGCCAGTGACATATAAGTAAGTTGCTGAATAAAGATAGGCTATTCTCTATTCAAAAATTCCTAAGCCAAGAAGATGATTTGATAATTATAAATTCATACTTTATATTAATTTAGAATGCAATTTAAAAACTAAAAAAAGTCTTTTTTATTAATTTATTCTTTACATCTAAAATTTTCGATCTTAATTTTATGAATAGAGATAAATTATAATTGAAGTTTTTGATAAAAAAATAAATGGTATAATTATATGAAATTTCTTTATTAGCCTTCATTCTTAAATGAAGGTAAAGATTTATCATTTTAATTAGTTAAAAAGCTAAAAAAATATTAATTATTTTGACAAATTTAAAATAATGAACATATTTTTCAAACTAAAAAGACATCTGATTTATTAAATTTATTGACTAATTATATCATATTTATCTTTAACCAATGATCAATATTTTTTTGATAATTACATTTTAAGAGATGATCTAAATACATAATCTGAAACTTCAATGATTGACACTAAAATTTAGAAGGAATTCGTCTTCATAAAACTTTTATATATATTTAGGAAATGGTTTATAAGATATAATTTAAAAATAAGGGCATATAAAAATAGATTTTAAAGAGAGCCAAAGACATAGAGCATATTAACGATCTAATATAATGATTATTAAATAATAAAATTATCATGTTTAAGGCTAGAAAATTAGGTCCGTAATCTTACATGGATTTTATCAGAGATGAGATACCTTCATAGAGCACTACAATAACAAAAAAAGATCAAACTTATTGGAATAACAAGTATATTTTTGATGGCATGCAAAAGAAACTAGTTCTTTTCCAAAATTACTTTTACTTAATAAAAAGCAGATGAATAACGAAACTCTGATTAATTACAAAAGTTTAAAAATGAATCATAAGTGAGATTAAAAAGGAATGAATTTAGAAGAACTATTTTAGAAATTAAAAGTAAATAGAGGTCATTGGAAACAAGTAAATATGCTGTAACAGATGAAGATTTAGCTTAACCAATTTTCTAAAGATCTCCTACACATTTGGTATTTATGAAAAGAGATAATAGGAAAATTAAATTGATAATTAATGGAACCATTTAGAGATGCTAGATAAAAAACATTTGAAATTTATATATGGACCTAAAACTTTTAATCGATAGAAAAAAGCAATTAGCTAAATAGATAATAATTTCAAAGCTGATATAGAACTTTAGAAGTTGAAATTTTAAGCTTAGATGGATTTTAGAAATAAATTATTAAAACACAATTCTTTTTAGACTTCTAAAGGGAATGCTTAAGGCTTAGAAATTAATTTTTTAAGATAGGTGAGACCAGAATATAAAGGGATGCTATTATTGAATTTGTCATCCATAGAATAATAATGTTGCCCTACTTTATATTCACATGTGAAGAAATTTGACAGTTCAACAAGTATGTAAACAAGATAAAAGTAGTAATCCACAAAAAATATCAGATCAAAAAGTTTTAATACATAATAAACTGAAATTGAGGAATAATTGTCTAATTAAAAAGTTTATGATGAAATGAATGAATCATTATAAAGATTTGAAATTACATTAAAAGAAAGATGTTAATATTTAGAAAGTTGAAATATTTTTCTTTAATTTTTATATATTGATTATGTTTTGACATTATTATTTATCTAATTATGTATTTATAAAAAAATGGCTTATAAATATTCTATATATAAATCTTAATTCTTTAAAATTCTTGTTCATTACATATAAAGACGATGTCAATTTATAGTGAAACTTAATGATAAATTGATTAAAATTAATATTTAATCTTTAAATAATTTAAGAATTGATGGGTTTTCTATTATTATATAATTTATAAATGGTTAGGTGAGGTTATTGCTATAGCAAATTTAAATTTATTATAACAACAAAATTATTTAAAAAAGCTCGGCTTTTTAGAAATGATTCTTTGATGTATAAAGAGTTCAATTTATTAATAAAATAATCTCATATAAAAATTATGGGAGGCTGTGAGTTCAAATTTCGAGGATCATGCGATGATACTTGTATAGTTTTGTTACAAATATTAATAGAGATGTCTCTTTAGAATTTTGAATTAATATCTGTTATTGGTTAAGGAGGGTTTGGTAAAGTATATAAGGCAAGACTTTAAAAGACCAGAAATTTAATAGTCGCATTAAAAGTTATGTCTAAAGTGAGGTAATAAATCATTTTTAAACATAAGAGTTATATAAAAAAAGAGTGTGAGCTCAGTCATGAATGAATTATAAATATTGTCAACATTAAAACACGAGTATTATTTTGTAATTTATTTAACATAGTTTTATCATAAATATAGTAAGTGCATTTTAAGATCGCTATTAATTATATTTAGCAATGGATTTCTTAGCAGGAGGAGATTTAAGATTTCATATCTGTAAATATAGGAAATTTTCAGAGTCAATTACAAAGCACATAGCTGCTTGTATAATAATAGGATTAGATTACATTCATTCTAATGGGATTATACATAGAGATATTAAACCAGAAAATCTAGTTTTTGATAGTGAAGGGTATTTAAGAATTACAGATTTTGGAATTGCAAGAATTTGGAAACCTTAAAATAGTCATGAAACAAGTGGTACACCAGGATATATGGCACCTGAAGTTATGTGTAGATAAAATCATGGTGTTGCTGTAGATTACTTTGCACTTGGAATTATAATGCATGAATGCATAGTAATTTTATAATTTGATTAATTAAGTTAGGTAAAAGACCTTATAATGGTAAAAGTAGATAAGAAATCAGAGATTAAATTATAGCAAAGTAGGTTATTTTAACTGATGTTCCATAAGGTTGGAGTGAAGATGCTATTAATTTTACTAATTCTCTTATTAACAGAAAACCAACGATTAGATTAGGATGCAATGGACCTGAAGAAGTCAAAAATCATCCATGGTTCAAAAATTTCAATTGGAATTCTTATGAAAAAAAGTTGATTCCTTCTCCATTTATTCCAGATGGAAAATTAGATAATTATTTAAAGTCAAGTAGATTAGAGTCTTTGGAAGATTAATCTATTCTTCATTCTGAGCAAATTTAATGTAACTTTTGTTTTTAATTTTAAAAGAACAGTTTTTTGGTTATGAGTATCTACCTTAAATTAACGGACAAACATCTATATTATCATCTATAGTATCTCCAAGAACTTCTAACATTAAAATTCAACTTAAAGAATAATGATTTCTATTGTTAACTATTTATCTAATGTTTTTAATCAAAAATTATTATCCAAACTAAATTAATAAATATTTATTTTTTTTCATATATAATCAAAATAATATATCCCTATTTTTATTTAAATATAATTCGATAATTTCAACTAAAAAATTGATTGCAGATACTATAATTTTAATCAACCTTGATAAATAAATGCTAAAGCAGAATTAAAAAGTAATTAACAAATTAAAGTTTGTTTGACACAAATAAACAAAAAAAAAAATTTTTAGATAAATACATAGGCTCTTTTAATATTCTCATATATTGTATATGAGATTTTCTAATTATTGCTATTCATAATATGCATAATTATAATTCATGTATATAAGTCATTTAATCTGACAATTACTTATTTTAGAAATTCATTTTGTTTTTAAACACTTTGTTTTTTTTTGATTGAGTAATCTATTTTAGTTTATAATTCAACACATTCATTTTCAATTTTTCTTATTCTATCTTCTAATTTTCTGATATCATATTCCATTGAATTAGTTATATTAATTAATTTATATATATTAAAAATATTATCACAAAATAATGGTAAATAAAATAATAATACTAACTTTAATTATGAAACTTTAAGCCAAGTATATACATGGAGTACAAGTTGAAGTAGTTGTATTCCATTAATAGGTAAGACGACTATAATAATTACATTAAGATTCAAGCAATAATTCTGGATCATTTTCAATGCAATCTCCATTATCATTTTCTACACATTAGATATACTTTTTATTTGTCAAGCTGTAATATGAAATACAAAATTAACTGCCAGATTTATACTGCAACTCTTTATCTGCACAATTTCTTTCTAAACATTATTCTTATTTCCAACGACAAAAGGTATTTGCTAAATTACAATCTTCTTATTTCTTTAAATCAGCACATTGCTCAAAATTAAAGCCTCCACATTTTTTTGTAGTATTATTCCATTGACATATTGTAAGTTTATCCTTTAAAAAAGTGACATCGCAAGTTTTTTAGTCTCCAATTTCTGAACATTACTATTCTTGTCTTCCTCTATAATCAAATGAGCATTTATTTTTAATTCTATTACATCCAATATTTTTACATTCTACCTCAGCTATTATTTCAGATTAATATTAATAATCTTAACACCTTGTAAATTTAGTGCATTATCCTCCATCAGCTTTATAATACCATGCACATATTGGATTAATTGTGAATAAAGTATCACTCACAAATGTACATTCCTAGTTGTTTAAACTTGTACAACTAACATCAGATAGATAATTCATTAGATTTTAACATTTTTCTTAATACCAGAAACAAATTGAAGATTAATCAATCTCTCCCATCTTAAATCTATTCTTTTACTATGTCATACAGTCAAATTCTGTCATTAACTATTCGCATGTGCATTGCCATTAATCTAAACAAAACACTTACGAAACCATAAAAAATATCAAGCTTGATAATTTTATCATATATTTTATATTATGAATATAGTATATAATTATTGATTTATTTCATTTAAATTCAATATAAATTATATAGATAATATAGATGAATCAGAGAATTATAATCTAAATATAATTTATTTTAAAAAATTTTTGTGCTCTTCTACATGTTTTTCTATTTTTTAGTTCCATACTTTTTTATAAATTCATTACAAGTAATTTTATAAAATAACTCTACAATTTCCTTGAGTTATTGATTTTAGACTCTTTTATTAACGAAGTAAAGAAATTGATTTTTCTTTTCAAGTAAAACTTTCAGAAATATTAAAAAAATTTAGTAATATTTAATTTTTCAGTTTTATCAACTTTCTTGACAAATAAAACCTTGTCTATATTTAGTCCTAGATATAATCCTTTTCATTAGGGTCGCATATGATGCTGGAATAACTCATAAAACAATTAAATTAAACAATTAAATGTTAATAGCCGTACCTTCCAATATAATAAAAAATTTATCGGAATTTCAGTTTTTTTTTTTGTTTTATATATAAAAAATGGAATTCTTTCTTAGTGCCCTAGTTTGGAAAAGAAAAGCATATTATTGATCGTTTGTATGAAATATAATATAGATAAACTCTATCAAATTAGTTGTAAGGCTCAAAACTGAGTTTTGAGAAATTAATCCATTTTAGTAATGAATTAAGAGAGCATGCCGCAAATTATTGGACAACTATAGGAATTAGGTATCATGTTAATTAAGTCTTATTGGTTAACGAATTAGTTATCCGTATAACTTACTTCAACTTAGTTCAATGTTTTTTACTCATCTTCATTTTCTGTGTATTCTCTAAAATATGTATATATGTATTACATTCCCAATAATTCTTCCCATCTATATCTTAAGTTCTTGTAATATCGATTTTTAAGCATACTAACCGTCCTTTTAGGGAATTACTTTACTATTCTCGAAAATTATCTTCCATGTTCATGTACTAAGTTTAAGAGTCTTATATCTTCCTCATATTGAAATTCTTTTATCCTTTTAACCTTTTTTTTGTACTAAGTCTTCTTTAATTTTTTGTTCTAGATATTTTTTGAAAATTGATCTTTCTATTGTCCTTATTTTATGGGAGCCTTAAAATACTCCACAAAAGCACTAAGATCCTCTTGAAAGCTATGATTAAGAGGATTCGGTTAATCATTTTATGTGCTGTAATTATAAAAAGCTAATAAATAGTTATACAAATTACCTTATTCTTATGATTCTTGCTCGCTCAAAAGTGACTATAAAGTAGCACTTTCCTTATTTTCATCAATACTTGCATCATGCTATTAATTTTAATTCGACATAAATTATATATGAGAAGATATTTTAAATATTTAATTGATTTGTTAAAATACTGCCTTTTATTTCTAAGTATTAGAATTAATTGAAATAACTCGTTTATTCGGATATAATTTATTAACGATTTAGTATTTCAATACCAAAACATTTATATTTTTAGATATTATAATATATTTTTTATAATGTAGAATAAAGTAAATAAATTATTTACTTTAGAGTATAAAATATATTACTTAGGTTAAATCAAAATTATTATCTAATTTTTAATATCAAAAGAATTCATTTCCCTAAATTTATTTAAGAATTTAAAGAATAAACTGATTTATGGATTGGATATACTAAATTTTTATTATAAATTATAAGGTAATATATAATTTTTTAGAATTAAATTAAAATCCACTTATTTACCAAATTAAGCAAATTTTAATCACTTATATTTATAGTATTATAGAAAAAATTATTTTACTTTCTAATTCTTTGTAATTATTTAATTTTAGAAGAACAAATAATTTTGTTTTTAAAAATTATTAAGACATAATTAAATTATAAATCGTTTTATGAAAAATAATAGGTGAAGAGGAATTACGTAAATAAACATTAAAATCAAAGATCACAATCTAAACTTTACATAATTTCTAACAAAGATTTAGATAGATTTTCAACTAGAATATCCTCAATTTCATATTTTTCTTTATTATCCATAATTAGTTTCCATTCTCCTGGAATATTAGGGTTATTAATGATTTATTCAACAAGTTAGATTTCCCTTTAATTTAATTTGTTTTTTTTTTTAATCTATAGTTAAATCTAAGAAAAATAAGAATTTATCCATTATATCCAAGGTATATTATTGAGTTCATGACTAGAGTATGAATTCCCAAAAGCATATTGTTATAAAATATCATATCCATAAGGATCCATATCTCCAAAATAATATACTGGTATTGAAGGATTCATTATTGATAAATATTTAACAAAATACTTAGTTGCATAACAAGGATATCCTTTACCAGTTATTAAGACTGTATTTTATAAAAATTCTTAATACATTTCATTAATCAAATGAAAATATACAGTTTCTTTTTCAACTACCAAAATATATTTGCCATAAATTTAAGGCTGCCATTCATTCATAAATTCAGTTATATTCAATCCTTTTCCTTATGATGTTAATTATAACAAGTCTAATTCAATGTCTTATTTTCTTAATATCAAAGAACCACAAACTAATCCTTTTGAAGCTGATATTATATGTAATTATTTTCTTTAAATCTAAATATTATGTGAAAATTATTTTATAACTAAATTTAAGTTCTCTTGCTTTTAAAACATATTTTGATTCATATAAAATATTTCTCTTTTTGTATGATAAGAATCATTTAAAATTCCATCTAAAGACACTCTCATTACAATTAAATAATGACATAATTCTTTTAAACTCTAAAATTTTAGTTCTTATAAATTTTGTCCATTTATGATCATTTCTAAGATTTTGTCTAAATGTTGTCTAAATATATCAATTATTTCTGATGGTTCTTTGATACTTTTTTAAATTTTTTCCATTTCTTCATTTAATAATGGTATATTCATTTTTATAATTAATTAATATTGAGAGTATTGTTAATAATAATTTAATTGTTTTACTAAAACCTAATATTAATATTTTTTATATATTATGAACTCAAGTTCATTATCTACTACAGCATCATTTACAAAAATGAAATAGATGCTAACATAAACTGGATTTGCAGATGAAAAGAAAGAATTGCTTAAAATAAAGTCTGAATGGAGAGGCTTATAAAATAATGAAATGTTTTAAGATTTCGTTTTTCTTCGAGAAGCCTCCTAAACTAGACTGGCAACTGATAAAATTGAAAAGGAAAGAAGAAACAGGAAAGATAGTATTTTACTACCTTATTTGAAATAATAATAATAAAAAAAAATGGAGCAAGCAAGAAAATTCACTCTAATTGGATCTCTTTCATAATTAAATGATTTTACACCGTCTGTAACATTTATAAATAAAAACCATTTTGAAGAAATCTATTCAATTTTATCATCCTTAATAAAGTCTGTTTTAATTGAATAATTAGAATAATTATTACCGACTTTAGAAAAACTTGTTAATGCATGTAAATAATGTGGGATTGTTAGTTTTTATTTCATGGCAATATATTTTCAAACCTAAATACAATTTGTTTATTGTCGTAGAAAAGAAGGTTATAATATTTGGAAAAAGTTCTTGAGAACTTGTAACTTATAAGGAAAGAAACTTTAAAAATATAAACTCTTAGCTTATAGACAATTAGCAAAATGTGCTTTAGATTTAGGTGATTTGGATAAAGAAGCTATTTATCTTAAAAAATTATTAAAATTGTCTTGGGTTGTTTAAGATAGAAATTATGAATTGCTTTGTTATGATATGATCGCCATAAATTTTTATTATAGAGGAGATGTGGATAGAGCTTAATTCTTTCATTCGAAATTTGTGTAAGGAGAATTCGAAGCTGCAGAATCTAATATTAGAATTGCAGGAGTTTCTTCTTATTTAAACACATAAAAGTTAAAGGCATAATTAAATGATTAAGATTCATTCAGTATTGATGATATGGATTTAGATATTATTATTTAAAAAGATAATATTCTCAAATGGTAAAAAGGATTACCTGTATTTGATAGTAGACATATCTCATAACATCGAGTACTTATTAATTAATGGAGTTGCAATCGAGATTTAACTGTTCATTTAATTAATAGAGAAAAATAGAAACATAAATCTGAAGAGGAAGATATAGGATTTGTTCCTCTTAATCAAAATATAAAAAGACTGCTTAAATTATTTTAATTTGATGTCAAATATTTTCTACAAAATGGACATCTTTATGATTTCTGATCATAATTTATTTGAAAATTGAATATCTAATAACTATTTTACTATAAATTTTTGAATTAATTTGTTTTTAATTTCAAAAATACTGTTTATCTCTCTAAACTTTTTTAATACTAAATTTATAATTAATCCCTTTGTCTTTTATTAATTTATAATTTATTGATTAAAGTGTGACTTCACATATTAATCATAAATTTTGATATATTTAAGAAAGAAATTAAAATATTTTGTTTTAAAGTATTTCTTCTAAGTAATTAGAGTTTATATGTCTCTAAAGCTTGAAATCAATAATTAATAGTATCAAATATGTGAAAAAATAAATGAAAAAAAGGCATAGCAATAAGAAATTATAAATAAACAATAATCTTGTAGCATCATATTTAAAAATAATTTTTAAATAATAATAAAATGAAGTACGTTGCTGCATATGCCTTGCTCGTTTTAGGAGGAACCAATCAACCTAGTATTAATGCATCTCTATCAATTAGCTGAGGCTTAAGTTACTTAATTGCTCAAAGAGGCTGGAGTTGAACCAGTTGCTGCAGATGTCAAATAAGTTGTCGATGCATTAAAAGGAAAGAGCTTGGCTGATGTTATTAATGAAGGATCAAAGTAACTCACAAGCTTGTCAGTCGGAGGAGGAGCTTGTAATACTAATTTCTAAATATTTAGCATAAAACTCAGCCCCTGTTGCTTAAGCAACACCTGCTGCCTAAACAACTTAAGCACCTAAGGTTGAAGCTCCAAAGAAAGTTGAAGAACCTGAAGAAGATGTTGATATGGGAGGACTCTTTGATTGAGCATTTATTAAGTTTTATATAGTACAACAATAAATCATTAATATAATCAATTAATTATTTTCAATCTAATAATTTATAATCGGCATCAGTGGTTGAGAAGAGAATATATAATTATTCTGAGATAGTATTTCCAAGTTTTTTTGAACTTTATTAAACAATACCTTAAACAACTTCTATTTCACTAAGTAAATGTGGTCTCTTTTCAATATCTGTGTTTTTATAGGCATTTAATAATGATTTGATTGATGGATATTTTAACACTATTGCTCTGGCTTTTGCTTCACTAATTCCTGGTATTTAAGCCAACATAGATAACCAATAAAGTTGATAAGTATTAGTAATCCCAGCATTTTCAGATTTAAATAAGTTTTGATCACCTCTATCTCTAAATAAACATGGAATTTTATTTTTTTTTTTCTTCCATTACACACTGCATAATAAACATTAAGCAATTTCTTCAATGGTTTATTTAAGAGATTTAGTATTTATTACATCTACTTTATTATTTAATTGTAGATCTAATACAAATTAATCAAATTCTTTTTGATATTGATCAAATTGATTTTATGCATAAATTAATTCCTTAATCTCTTCCAATATTATTACAGTTTTGCAATCATTTTCTTTATGAGCTACTACTATTTCAAGTATATTCTCTAAACTTTAAAACTATTCTTTACATAAGATAATTAAACATAAAAATGGTGCTCTTTAACAATTTTATTAAAAAACTCTAGATGTTTCTAAAATTTTATGTTTAGAATATTTTTCAATAATTTAAGAAATATTTTACTTTGATTTTCCTTTATTAATTGTTTCATTTATGTATATTTTAAATTTATTAGAATGATTGTAATTTTCAGATCCTTTTTAGTAACATTCTTATTCAAATTATTCATAAAATGATTTTACAGTTTTATTAGCATCTTTAATATTGTCATCAAACAAAATGTAAAAATCATTGAATTGGTTTTTTTCAATTAATTCTGATATCATAATGAAGTTCAATTTAAAATTAAAAAAAATTTATTAACAAAGCAAGATAATTATGAAAAAGTATTTTAAAGAATTTAATAAATATTTTTTTTAAATTTCAGATGTAGAAAGATAAAATTCTTAATAAGAATTCAATGAAAAAATAAGGTAAGTAAATAAATAAATATATGATTAATTAAATATGTAGGATTAGTTTTAAGAAATGTACAAATTGATATAAGGATTATAATATATATAAATTTGGCTTATCAAAGATATTAATTGTGGAAAACAGAGGGAAAAATGTATATTTAAATAGAAACATTTTTAATTAAGATATTAATTTATATAAATCTTTATCAAATGAGCAGCGCATTATTGGACGATATTCCTGATTTTAAAGATGAACAATAACCAATAAAAGACAAAGAAACTGAGTAAGAGCAAATATTGAGAATCCTAGAAAATATGGCAATTACAATGTCTCTCAATTTAAAAACTTTGGGCTAAAAGAAGAGCTCTTAAGAGCAGTAAAAGAAGCAGGATTTGAACATCCAACGAGAGGTATAAAATAAAGTAATAAAAATAGTACAAGCTGAGTCATTAACAAATGCTTTGTTAGGGGAATAATTGATCTGCTAAGCAAAGGCTGGTACTGGAAAGACTGCTGTATTTGTGCTTACAGTGTTAAATACTATAAATACAGAGAGTAATAAAGTTGAATGCCTTGTAATTACACATACAAGAGAGCTAGCCCAATAAGTATAAAATATATTATATAATAATAGGCTCGAGATGAATTTTTGAGATTGGGAAAGTTTATGAAAAGTGTAAAGGTGGAATGTTTCTATGGTGGAGGGGAACCTGTATCTGTGAATATCTAAACTATTGAAACAGTGAAACCATAAATAGTAGTTGGGTATAATTAATTTTGTAATATTTAGTACACCAGGACGTCTTAAGGATTTGATTTGTGAGAGGAAAGCATTGAAAGTAGATAGATTGAAGTACTTTATCTTGGATGAAGCCGATACAATGATTGAAGATTTGAACATGAGGTGTTGATTTTTGGAAATAATTATTTTTAGAAAGGACATTTAGGACATCTTCTTAAAGTCACCATAGGAGAAATAATTTATGGCATTTAGTGCAACATTTACAGAATCAAGTAGAACATCTTTAAAAAGATTTATTGCTGACAATAAACATGTAATATTTCATATTTGATTTATTTATTTAGATTTACGAAATTACTATTAAACCAGAATAACTCTTTTTGGACAAATTAAAGCAATATTATATGAAAGTCCCAGAAGCACTTAAATTTCATTATTTAAGATAAATATTGAATACATGCAAATTAAATTAATGCATTATTTTTGTTAAAAGTTCAGAAAAAGCAGATGCTTTGGTTACAGAACTCAAAAAGAAAGGAGAAGAGTCTGTTAGATAATTCTATGGAGGTAATAGACTAGGTCCAGATCATTAAAAAATGAGATAAAAAACATATGAATAGTTTAGAAATGGACATTTCAGATTGTTAGTTGCTACTAATTTGATGGGAAGAGGTATTGATATTGATAAAGTCAATTATGTTATCAATTTTGATATGCCTGATTCTTTAGAAACCTATTTACATAGAGTAAGAACATCAAATTTATAATATTAGGTAGGAAGAGCAGGAAGATAAGAAACTAATGGAGTAGCTATATCATTCGTTAAATCAGAAGAAGAGAGTGAAGATTCAAAAAAATAAACTGATGAAGAAGTAAATTATTAAACTTAATTATTAGGTTTTATAACAAATCCTTAAATAATATCCTGATAAAGTATAATAATTGCCTTAAGATTTGTCTACATTAGATAAATTCTGATAATGATAGTATTAAATAATATAAAAAAATAGTAAATTCATCATCAATTTTACAAACTTTCTAAAATTCAAGAATTAAAATTAAAAATCAACTTTATCTTTGAATTCTTGAATATGACATATTATTTTTGATTAATTTTTTAAAGATTTTAAATTATAATATAGGATCTTATTTTAGTTTGTTATAAATTGTTTGAAATATTATAAAAGAAATCATTTGTTCTTTCATAATATATCAAAGTGATAAAGTGCCAAATTAACTAATGTTTTTATAATTAATATTATGTTTTCTTTTTAGTTATTTAGATAAGTTTTAATCGTTAAATAATTTAAATGGACACACTTTTTTCTATGTTTGATTCATTCATAAGATCGAATTTGACTTATTATCAAATGAATTAGCAAGGATATATAATGGAATGTTGGGAATAATTTTTGAGTTTGTTGTAAACTTAACCATTAGATTATGGGAAAATATATTCACTAATAAATCAAATGCATGAGATAGATAAGTATGAACGATAAAGTTCTACTTAAAGACAAGCAGCAAGAAATCTTACAGCAGCATCATCTCCAAGAATAATTTCTTCATAATAAAAAAATTGTATGTAATAGCAGTTAAATTTAGCAAATAATTTATTATAGAAATTTTCATAGTTAGAAAATGCAACAAGTCCAAAAATTCAACTCTCGAATCTTACTAGTTAATAATCTTTAGCAAATAATAAATAGAAAGTAAAATTATATGTATGAGTATTCAATAATTTAGACTGAAGATTTCAATCGACATTTATTATTAAGCAAAATAAAAGAATTAATGTTTAATTACTCAGTATCTACAGATAAACTATATGCAATAGCAAGAATATAGTAGCATAGTTCATCAAAATCACCATTAAAATATGCGCCAACAAAAACTAGAGGAAATAATCATTCGGCAGAGCATTACAGAGCTTGATTTTTTTTAATTTATTTTCTTTTGTAGTTTAATATAATGGGTATTTGTAAATGCATTGTTAAGAGTACTCAAACTACTTCTGCATTGTCTTTAGGTATTATTTAGATCGATAAGAATTTACATCCTACAAAGATGCTTATGAAGGAAATGGTGGAAATTTAAGAGACTATAGATTAGAAGATCCTCCATTAGGATAAGGTAGAGTTGTATAAAATGTAGGTGCATTTGGTACAGTTTGGAAGGCTATTCATATAGCAAGTGGCTAATACAGAGCTATAAAGTAAATAAATAAATTAAAAGCGAATGAAGATGAATTCTAATAGATAATCAATGAGGTTAATATATTAAAATCTTTAGTATTAAAATAAGTTTATGATAGGATCATCCTAATATCATTAAAATATTTGACTATTTTGAGGAAAAGGATCATCTTTATATAGTTACAGAATTATGTTCAGGAGGAGAATTATTTGATAAAATAATAAAATCAAACTTTTTTTCTGAAAAAGATGCTGCTCTTGCAATGAAACAAATATTATCAGCATTGAATTATTGTCATTAATCAAAGATAGTTCATAGAGACATTAAACCAGAAAATTTATTATATGATCATGAAGGTGAGGATAGTTAATTAAAAATAATTGACTTTGGCACATCTTAAAAGTATGGCAATTAAAAGTTAGAAGAAAAGATAGGCACTGTAATAAGCTAAATTCAATTCAATTTTAGGCATATTATATGGCACCAGAATTAATTGATGAAAGATATGATGAAAAATGTGATATATGGTCTACAGGTGTTGTTTTATTTATTTTGTTATGTGGTTCACCCCCATTTGATGGAGAAACAGATGAATAAATAATAAAAAGAATATAATAAGGAAATATATATTTTGAACAGTAATAATGGAAATCTGTTTCGAATGAAGCGAAAGATTTGGTAATGCAATTACTAAATAAGAATCCAGAGAAAAGATTATCAGCAAATAAAGCATTGATGCATCCTTGGATATTAAAATATACATCAGAAGAATTGAAAGCTCCTGAATTAAAAAATGTATTGAATAATATGAAGCACTTTCGAGTAATTTTATATATAAATTAATTATAGACTACTTAAAAAGTATAAGAAGCAGCTTTTCTTTATATTGTAAAATAATTCATTTCAAAAGAGGAGAAATAAGAATTATAGAAATTCTTTAAATTTCTTGATAAAAATGGAGATGGAGTGCTGACAAAATAAGAATTATTAGATGGATATAAGAAAATAGTAAGTTAATCGGAAGCAGAATTACAGGTTGATTAAATAATGAAATAAGTGGATAAAAATGAATCTGGTCTAATAGATTATTCTGAATTTGTAGCAGCAACTATAAATAAATAAAAATTATTATAATAAGATATTTTAGAATAAGCATTTAAAGCAATAGATAATGATAATAATGGAGCAATTACAGTTGAGGAATTAAAGCATATGTTTGGTGCAGGAAATAAGATTCCATCTGAAGCATGGATAAAATTAATGGAAGATGTAGATAAAAATGGAGATGGAGTATTATCTTTGTAAGAATTCAAAGAGATGATGTTAAAACTTTAAATTGATTGAGTTACTATTTTATTATTATTATGTATCATTCAAGGTTTGTATCACCGGCAGCAATTCTTAAAGCAATATATTCTTTAAGATCTCTCATGTTGGTATTTAATACACCAATCAAATCACTAACTGTTTATCTATCACCATCTCTTGCAGATCTTCTTTATTAGTAATCATAAGCAGCTTCTTAGCATTCTCCTCTTCTGTCATCTCTTTATTAAGTCTTAGCTTAAATTCTTTAGAGAACATCATTTTAACTTGAGGTAGTAGCATCAATTCTATCTTAGAGTGATTAAATTTCAGCAGTCAAATTAGCAATTGTTGAATTGTATTTATTCATATCTTTGTTTAATAAACTCATATATGCTTAGAATGCTCTAGTTCTGTCATCTTCAGCTTTTCTGGCTAAATCAAAAGCTTAACTTAATTAATTTTAGAGATCATCTATTAATTTAATAACTCTGCCTGTTAATTCTTAGTTAGCAAATTATTGAGTTCTGTTTGCAAGATTAGCTAATAATTTTATGGCTTTTCCAAATGTTCTAACATGTTTCATTGTACTGGCTTTATGTGCACCTTAACTCATATGACTAGCAACTTAAGCCATTATTTATGGTGTTACATGAACCTTTTCTTCACCTTTTTATAAGAAAGATGGGGCTTATAAATTATCTGTGAAGAGTCTTCTTGCTTCAGCCAATACTGATGAAACAAATGTATATTCTTATCTTTAAGCTTCAAAATCATCAGCTTATTCTTATCTCTTAGCTGTTGTTTCATCTATAACTTTTTATAATTCAGCCTTTTAGAGTTCTTTTGCCTTCTTTTATCCAATCTTTTAATCTCTAATTGGAACTAGATCATCAAGAACAGCTTATAATTCTGTATTTCTTTATTCAAGATTGGCAAGTTCTTAGTTCAAGGCAGCCAAATCTGCATCACATACTTATTAGAAAGCTTAGTTATTGGCATCATCTTCTTTTTAGTCGGCGATGTATCTATCTTCCAAATCATAAAGAGTTTAGAAAATTCTTTCTAATGGTTCACCTGTTGTCATTTAAATAGCAATTGTGTTTAAAAGTGTTCTGCCCAAATCACTTTTTTCAATTCTATCAAATAAAGCTGTATTTGTAGCAAAAGCACAGGCTACTAAGACTAGAAGCATTGTTGTTTTCATTTTTTTAATTTATGAAAAGTTAAAATGATTAAAAACGGTATTATATAAAATAAATAAATATTATTTTATAATTTTATGTATTATTTATTAATAATTTCAGCAAAATGAATCTTCCCATGTATTTGATCCTGCTCCACTAAACATATCTATTTTCCAGTAAGTAAATAATCCGAAAGAATCAGCCCACCAAAGTGTAACAAACATTGGTAAGAATTATCTGCTGGCATAATTTCTTAACATTCCTGGGAAATAGTTATTGAAATTTCTAGCATACCTATATTTAGAATATAAAATAAAAATACCAAATATGAGTAGCAGCTTTTCTATAATTACCATCATAAGGACAAACGCCATTAGGTTTTGGCCATAAATCTACCATTTCTCGGGTCACTTAAGAGAGGGAATAACTAGTTATGATTGCCAAGTATGTAGATAAGAAACAATTTAAAACCTTAACTGGGAAATATGGGATTTCTGAAACTCTTGTAAGAACAGAAAGCTATAAATGTAAATATATAATAATTTACTTTATCCTTCATCCAATCAAAAGAGTACAATAGAGTTAATGTTTATAAAAAGTTTCTAGCGAAGAGAGGGAATGAATTTTTATAGAAATAGTATGGTCCTTCTTCAAAGGGAATTCTCCATAAAGCATTGAAAAATGAAGTATATCCTTTTTATAATTCTTTAGGGAATGTTTTATCAGCATAATATGCCATTCTAGCAACTTCAAATGGAATTCCAATAGGAGCAGTAATAAGAGCCATGAACATAGAGCCAGGAATTTTTCTCATGAAACCATATTCAAATGTACCCCAAGTTCCTTAATTAAATATTAAATATAAATACTTTGCCATCCATGATTGATTGCTCTAAATGTTGCTAATCTCAAAGCCCAATCAATACCACCTGAGGCAAAAGCAAACTACATTCTAGTACCCATAGATCTCTTGAAATTCTCAAGATTAATAGTTGCTTTACTAAAATTATACAATTCTTTCATATTATTTGGTTATTCATATGATCGTAACCTTATATATAGTGTAATATGTTACAATAGTTTCCAATTTTCATAGAAATTATGCCATGTTTCACCAATAACACTTCCTAATAATCCAGAGATTGCACCTCTTGTATAATTCCATCTCCATGAACTAATTGATTTAGTCAGTTAATTTACTTTTCTGGAGCATCTGTCCATACACCAGCATTATAACAATCAAAATATAAGGAGTGTCTTCTTCTGATATCGTCTAACTCAAAAAACATGATAAATTAATTATTGAATTAGATATTTTGGTTTTGTATATATATATATTATGTGCATGCTATATTTTTTCAAATGAACACTTTCTTGTGCATGGAATGAGCTACTTGATATTTCTAATAACAATTATAAACTCTATTCCATTCTAATTCTTCTTTAATTCTCCATCCTAACCATGCTACAATTCCACCTGGGACTGCAGCCCAAAATAGTCTCTGTTTAATTGGTAAACCTTTTATTATAGGGAAGAAAAAGAATGAGAATGAATAGACTGCTCCTCCTACTTAACCTAATCTTTCAAATCTTGATGCATCTCTATTATTATTTAGAATAAAATTAATACGCTTCAGCATGGAATACTTATTCTGTCAATTTCAAAGGAACGTGTCTATCATATTTCAAGAACTATTTCACTTCTTCTTTCTCTTTTGATGTTACTGTTTTTTCAAAAAGACCAAAGTGTTCGGGTTGATCGTATATCATGATAAAATAAATAATTAAATCTTCTCTATTTATATATATATGTATATTATTCTAAAAAATCAGGGACCTAAGTTTATTTTGTATTTTAAGTATTCAAATATTGCAGGTGAATACAATAACTTTATAGATTTTTGAATTATATCCAATTCATTATTTATTTATTTCACCAATTCTTCATGAGTTTATTTGCTAATCAACAATGATTACTCTTCCAATTTAACACGTTCCCCATATAAATCAATATCTGCTTAATGGATTTTTATTATATTTTCACAATCAGCAATAAATGATTAAATATCATCTCTTTCTTCTAATAAATCATTCCATTCTCTCTCAAAAACATTTGTTTCTCCATCTTAAGCACTATCCCATTACGAAAATGCTCTATCTTATTCTTTTTCATCATTTATTAATTTATTTTGAGATTCCACCAAAGATTTTCTAAGTTTATTTAATAAATCCAAAACTGATTTTATAAAATGTCTCTATTTGAAATTTGAATCTGTTAATTATACTAAAGTTTCCATCATACTTTCAAAACCTTTCAATCCATCTACCTACAATTTTATTTAATAATTACTCTTCCTTTAATACTTCTTAATCTTCTATTCAAATCTTTTGATTCTTCTTTGCTTAATTAAATTTTATCCATCTCAATAAAACTACAATCTGGTCTTGGTAATAATGATCCTACCATCTTTAATGCATCATCAGTTATCATTATTAAATCTCCTATATCTCTTTTAGATTTCTCAAAATTCTCATATTATTATTTACGTAATGCTTCTTACATCTTCAATCTAGATTCGTTCTATTATTTGGAATCCTTCAATCTTAATAATTATTTTTCTATATCACTCTAAAAGTATTAACTTATATTTTTACCTTTCTTGGTTCAAGTTCTTATCCAATTCTTTTTCTCTGCTTATTCTATTCGTTTTCAGCATCTGAAATTATTTATTTTAATTATTGAACTTTTACAACGCTTTCTGCCTTTATAGCCTCGTAATCGAGGTTCTCTTATTCCACTCTTTCCTATATATTATTCATCAAAATACAATCAACTAACGACCAAAGCTTTTTATTGTTTAAATCAATTCATCTACAGGACCTTATAATTTATAATTTAGTTCAGCCATCTTCAAAATTGCTTAACCTATTTTATGTTATTAAATCTCTTTAATTTATTCCTCCATTACAGAGTTGCCACTGTTCCCATCATCATAGCGTAAACATGTACAAATTGCGAGCAATGTTATCAATAATTTTAATTTCATTATTTAATAAATGAACAGAAAAACGAGTATATTCTTTAATTTATTCAATAAACATTTTCAATAAAATCAATCTAGATAACATCTATTATGTATTTAATAAATTAATTTATGAATATTAAAGATACATTTACGTAATTTTAGATTTTATTAACAATTTCATTATCAAATATATGAAGGTTCATTATATTTCGAGAAAGGAAACATAAAGTAAATTTTAACAAAAAGAGAATAAATTTCTTTATTACTTTTAAAATAATAGATTTATAAATTTAATAAAAAGAATTGATTACTTTTGAACATAATTTAAAATTCTATTAGAAGAAGAGTAAAATTGAGTTTGTAAAAGTAAAGAGATGTTGTTTATTTTTTTTTAAAGTTTGATTAATATAATAATTTTATTAAAAAATGTTATAAAGAATAGTAAGATTTTGCTTTGCTCATGGATCACACAAACCAACAGGCCCAATCTATGCACCATCAGTTTAGGACAAGATGTAATGTAAAAGTTGTAATTTAGGATTTATATAAATGTTTATAATGATGGTGAGTTTGAAAGAATTCCTGCATATGTTGGTGAAAGTCTTTTGTCTGCACTTAGAAGATTTAATGTAACAAATATTCCAGGTATAATTGATTATAAATATATAAGGTGATTGTGAGGGAGGAGAATAATTGGATAGTATGTTAGAGAATCCAATTTAGACAAATACATTTGGTCCTTCATGTGGATCTTGTCACATATTAATTTAATCACCTTGGATTGAAAAGATTAGAGACCCATTTTATTTAGAAGAATTAGTGATCAATAGATAAGATTATCCAGTTGCTAAACAGTAAAGAATTGTATAGATGTTGTAGTTCAAGATTGGCATGTGCTATTAAATTAGAGAAATGGATGGATGAGATGGAAGTATCTATTCCAATCAATGAAAATTCAGAAAATATGTGATTTCTTTTAAAAAAGATAAAAAATATATAATATATAAAACATAATCATATAAGTTTTTTTGGAAATGGTGGTTTAAGAATGTTCAATTCTAAACTTTAAGGTTGGACAGAAAATCTTTATTAAATATTCCTTGAAAATGGTAGTATCTTTTTATTAAATACTCTCGGCATAAACATACTATGTATAACTTCTAGAAGTTTATAAATAATATTATTTACTTTCTTAATCAAATCTATAGGCATCTAAACATTCTTAATCTACCATACTTATTTTTTTAGTAGAACTGTTGCTTCTATTTTTGTTTTCTGAAGGTTTTCTAATTGGAGATTAACTTTATTATTATTATTGTTGGGTAATAAAGTGTTATTTTAAGGGACGAATCATGGAAATTGGTTTTTTAGGAGATTCAAAATGTTATGGTTATGTTGATTTTAATTCAGTTTTATGATTAGCTGTAGTAGATCTTGAACGAAGAGCAGATATTTCAAAAGGAATTGATACTTTTTTTTTATCAGTTTAATGATTTTTCTTAAAGAGTCTTTTTTTGAAATGATTTTTATTTCCAGATTGAATATAAAGGTGTTCTTATTTATTTGAATCATGATTAAGAATACTGCTATTCAAAGATTTTTGAGAAGAAGAAGGTTAGCTATTTTCATTAGTATGGATACGCTATGAATTTTTAGATAGACATTTCTCTTCTGGTTCTTTAACTCCATTTTCTTAGATTCTCTGAGAATAATAAAATAAACATACTTATAGTATTTTCTCATATCTTAATTGTTATTTAACAGGAGTAACATTTTTATTTTCTTTCAGTGCTTATTATTCTTTAAACATTTCTTTTATATAATCTTTATCTAATAAATTAGAATTGTTAGTCTGTAATTGTTATGATTACTTCATCAAATACCTAAATAATAAGGTTATTATTTTACGTAGTATCAACATGTAAACCTTTGATAGAAACTAATAACATAAGTGTCTTTATTTTTTATAGAATTTATTCTCTAACAGTAAAGGCTTTGTACATTTCTGGTAATGTTAATGGAATAGGATCTGTCATAGAATTAGTAATCCAAGGATGTTATAAGATTTGATTAGCACTATATCTATGGATAGGATCTAGAGAAACACATTTTAAAAAAAGATGTTTAGCCATAGGATCGAAATCATCTGAGAACTCCCACTTTGGATCTGAAAGTTTCTTTTTATAATCGTGAGAATTCTCTCCTGATTTATATAAAGGATGTTTTCCTGTTAACATTTAATAAAGTATGATTCCACAACTCCAAATATCTATAGGTTTAGAGTAAACTCTATGACTAAATAACTCTGGAGCCATGTAAATAAGTGTTCCACATTATCCATGTAATACAATTTATCCAGCTGATAATCCAAAATCGACAATCTTTAAAGTACTGAAATCGTTAGAGTCTTCAACTAGTATATTCTCTTATCTTAATTCATTTACAGTTACCTCAGGTTTAAGATCTCGATGAACCACTCCATGTTCATGAATAAACTAAACTGCTTTGAATATACTCGTCATAATGATTCTAGCTTCTTGTTATGTATATTTGCGCACTTTCAACGGACCTTATTTTATAAGAGCCATTTCTATTAGTAGTTTGTTTTCTGTCTCTCTCACACCCTTAAATTAAACTATATTAGGATGATTCATCTTTGCTAGTATTTAAGCCTCTGATAATATCTATGCTACTTTATAGTCTTTTTTAGGAAGAATCTGATTTAAACATTAATCTATATTCTTACTTTCACAGCCACATGTTCTCCTTTGCCATCTTTATGTATTGCTTCAACTACCTTTCCAAAACCCCCTGCTCCTAAGAATTTTATGATTTAATAGTATTATTCAAGTTCTTCCATTTAATTATATAAAAATCAATCATTAACTTAAACAATCATAGCAATTCTATTGACGATTTCATAATCAAGAAATCTTTTATTTTCAAAATTCATAAGCCCTAGAAAGTTACTTCATTATTCCGTTGTCATCATCACAGTAGACCTTAAACTCTATTCTACTGGTCTTATAAATTAGCATATAATCTTAACTTAAATCGAAAATTGGAGTTTAGATAATATCCCTAAATAAATAAACCATATATATACCATCCTAAGGCTTTAATCGAATCTAATATTTATTTGTGAATTACTATTTCATTATTGATTTAATTTACAAACTTAAATATAAACTATTGAAATTTAATTTTTTCTACCAAATTTTAAAGTCATCAGAAATAAATAAGAAGTAAGAAGCAACAAACCAAAATTAATAATTTTTAGGATTTCATCAAAGAAATTAAAAAAAATTCCTAAGAAACCCAATCTTTTTAACATGTCATCAAAAAGCTTTAATCGTTTAGTGACAAATAAATTTCCTTAAAATTTATTTTTAATTGTTGGAAATATATTATTTTGATTTTTATGTATATAGTTCACAGGAATCAAACTATTTTTCCATATTAGATAGGTTTAATTATTTTATATGAAATTATCAACAGATTAAAGAATAGCAGTCGAAGTGTCTCTAAAAATCTAATTTCAGATCCTATCTACTATAGTATATATCCTTTTAATTAATAATAACGTAATTCACAATTATTCTCTATTGTAAACATTAAATTTTTAATTCTTAACTAATATTTTTTTTAATCATTTGTTCTTCCATAAAAAGAAGTTTCCATAAATTTTTATTTTCTAAAGAATTCTATCTTTAATATATCATAAAAAAGATTGGCCTCTCTCTACCATTTTTCAATAGTTAGAAAAGTAATCTTTTCATTTTAGAGAATAAGTAATTCTTCTTTTAGTCATCAACCTTTTAGGATTTCAATATGTAAATTCATCAATCTCATAATCATAAGCATCATTTCTCATTTATTTAAATGATAATAATCATCAGCTGTAACAGGTTCTGTCCTTATTTTGTAATTAAATTCCAAAAGAGATAAAAAAGGATTGTTATAAATTATTTCCTTTTTTATTTTATAAGATTGAGCATTCTTTTTTAATTGTAAAAACTAAAATAGATTAATGAGAAAGAATTAGTGACTAAAGAATGAAGGTTCTATGCATCAACTAAAATACTGATGTCTATGTTCGATTTATAATTAAGTTTAAAGTTTCTTAAGATAATGTAATTGATTCCAATCCCAATTTAAAAATTTTTGGTATTTTAGACACAAGAGTTAAATATGTTTTAGTTATTAAGTATGATACTGATGAATGTTTTTGTAATATCTATTCTTAATCTAAATCTGAGAAAGATGACCAAAATTGATATGTTTATTATTGTCATTATCGATATAAATTATTAATATATGGACAGAGATTCATAAATATTTAAATATGTTAATATTAATTGAGACTCCTGCTGGATTTGCTCTTTTTCAAGTGGCTAACACTAAGGCACTTAATAAAATTGAAAATATCTACGATTACTTGTAAAACGAGAAGCAAGCTAAAAAATTGTAAGGATTCACATATATTATTTATATAGGATAACACCATTTGCTTTTCAGCAATTTAAAGACACATAGGAAGCTCTTATAGCCACTAGTAAGCTTATTAATGGTAAGATTCCTAAGAAACTAAGTAAGTTTTTGGAAAAGAATGTTATTTCACAGGAAGTCTAAGATTAAATTGCAGGTATCAAAAGATTTTATATAAATATAGTTTAAGATAAAAAACTTGCTAAATAGCTTTAAGAATAGTTGGGATTGAATTGCATTCAAACCCCAGTGACTGAATAATTGTTTAGAGGCATTAAATCATAACTCACCAATTTAATTGAAGGCCTTTCTGAAGCCGAACTTAAAAACATGACACTGGGTTTAGCTCATGGTCTTTCTAGATATAAGTTAAAATTTTCAACTGAAAAAGTGGACACCATGATTATTCAAGCTATTGCTCTTCTTGATGATTTGGATAAAGAAATTAATAATTACATGATGAGACTTAGAGAATGGTTTGGATGGCATTTTCCAGAATTAGGAAAAATAATTACTGATAACTTGATATATGCTAAGGTTGTTAAAGCCATAGGTATGAGGATCAAAACAAGTTAGACTGATCTTTCTGGCATCTTACCTGATAATTTAGAGGCAGATGTTAAATAAGCTGCAGAAGTATCTTTCGGAACAGAAATCACAGTAGAAGATGAAAAATTCATTCTATGTTTGGCTGATTAAGTCATTGAGTTAACTGATTACAGAGCTTAATTATCAGAATATTTGAAAAACAGAATGTAAGCTATCGCTCCAAATCTTACAACAATGGTTGGAGAATTAGTAGGAGCTAGATTAATTTCTCATGCTGGATCATTAGTTAATTTAGCTAAATATCCAGCCTCTACAGTTTAAATTTTAGGAGCTGAAAAGGCACTTTTTAAAGCTATTAGAACCAAACATAATACACCAAAATATGGTTTAATCTTTTAAGCCAGTTTAGTTGGAAGTGCTCCAGCTAAATTAAAAGGTAAAGTTTCCAGAACATTAGCTGCTAAAACAGCCTTATGTATTAGATATGATGCTTTAGGTATATTTTGTTATAAACTTATTCTAGGTGAAGGATAAGATGCTGAATTTGGTATTACTAACAAAACCTTCTTAGAAAAAAGAGTCCACTAATTAGAAGAAGGTGTTAATTATAGAGATGTGAAAGCTCCATAAAGAGGAAAAGCTAGACCAGTTTCTACTTAAGCATAATATTAAGAAGAGGCAGACTTTTAACCTTAAGGGGCTACATGGATGTAGAAATTCTAAAAAGGAGAAGATAAAAGATAACCAGAATAAGATCTACCATAAAACTCTAAATTCAAGAAGGTGAAATAGTAATGAAAGTACATTATGTATAAAATAAAAAACTCCATGTTAATGTTTTCTTCTCTTTTGCATCCATCATTAAATCAACATCATAGGGCTTATCTTTTTCATTTTCATTTATCTAACTCATTAATTTGAAAAGTTAATTATTTTCAAGATAAATTTATGATTTTTTAAAGAATAAGTTAATTTTATTGATAATCAATTTATAATAAAATAAATATTTGTGAAAATATTTAAAACTTTATTTTAAATTATATAAAATTATTTACTTATATTTATTTGTTTATAAATTTTTTATTACCTTAATTTCTTACCAAGATTGAGCAAAATAAATTAAAAATATTCCAACTTTATGTTTACTAATTATATAATCATGAAGACCATTTGAGAAATTTTTTAAGATTCATATTTTTTTCATTTAAAAAATTAAATACTTAAAAGTAAAAGTAAAAGGAAAGATTAACTTATTTTTAGAAATCAAATAATACTATTTTTTAGAAATAATAAAAAAATTTTTATGCAAAATATTTTTGAATAAAAATTTTCAATAAATATCTAGAGAATTTTTAAGTCTTAATATTTTATTTCCATATTCACAAATTTAATTTGATTCTAAAATTCCACTTGAATTACAAAATATTCATACTTAAAAGTCTAATTTTTATCTTGTAATATTTGACTATCTGATTTAATTTTTGTATTTAAGCTATAATCAAAGAGAAATATTTATAATGGCTTTAATAAAGATTGGAAAATTTAAAGTAAACCAATCTATGCACATTTACACTTCAATTTTACATTCATTTTAAAATTTTTAAATTGTGCTTGTTTGCTTAACTAAATTTACAATAGCACAAAGTAATCCTTTTAGATTTTGATAGCTCCCTTAATTAATTTGAACAGATGATAATAACTTAACATTTTGATGGAGTGAAATGACTTTAGTATCAATTCCATCTTTATTCATAATTTTAATAAAATAATCAATTCATGCGTTGTTTTATCTGTATGTAATCATTGAGAATCTTTTTCAACCACCTCCAACACTCTCGTAATTCTGGTTTCGAATTAGGAAAATGATTTTAGGGATGACACTGTATTACAAGATCAACTATTGAATTAACGAACTTAGGTATTGAAGGATCTTTGATTAAACTTTCTAAGCGTGTGATTTCTTATTTTAAGCTCTAGTTTTCTTTCATTAGCAAGCTGTTTTCAATTAATTGATTTTGAAATTAAACTTCTTTTTCTTTCAATTGCATTTCAAATTCCTTTATTCTTTCTATAAGGTCATCTTTTTATTAAGGAGTTGGCTCAGATAATCTATTCATCAATATTTTTTAATGAGCTCTCATCTCGCTTATCATTTATTCCTTGAATTCTAATTATTTGGTAAGTTATTCAACTTATTTTCTAAGCTCTTAAACTTCATCCCCAATGAATCTTTCTGCAATTGGGCTCACTTATTGTTACTTTAAATACTAGGAATAGTAAAGTTATGTCGAGGAATTGTGAAGAAGTTGACTTGTTTAACGATTCATTAAATTTTATTTAGGAATTTTAATAACATAATCATAGATATGATGACTGAAAAATCTACTAAAATTGAAAAAATTCTTCATTTAAACTACACTTATATTCAATGACAGGACTAGCTCTATTGTAAGATCATAATAAAAATATTTTCTCAAATTATAAATTCAATAATTTCTCATGAATTTAATTTTTAAGAAATATCTTTGTAAGTCTCTCTTATGATAGTTATTAATTTATATCAAGACTCTGGAATTAAATCTTTAGATAAATGAATTTTTTTAAATTATAAAGATACCTCATACAAACCAGAATTAGATTACTTTGATTGAGAAAATAGCCAATTAATTAAAAAAAAATAATTCATATTTTAAAGCTCTATCATATGGTTAAACTAAAGTAATAGTGATTCAAAATTTATGAAAAAATATTAATGTAGAAATTGCTTGATTTATTTCTAATGAGATTCTAATAGTGATAAGAGAAAAAATAAAAAAATTCCAATCATGCTATAGGTTAATGTATAATAATAATTAAGTCAAACAGCTAAGGATATATTTTGGCTTATGCAAATAATATAGTTATCATATTCAGAAACCGTAGTTCTGCAAGAAAATACCTCAGGGTTAAATTTTAAAAAAAAGGATAAAGAAAAAAGGAGAGAAAATATTAAGGAATTAGAAGTTTTAAAAAAGTATAAAGAATTCTAATAAGTTTGATATTAATTTATGTGGTTTCAAGCTTTCCTATATTGATATCATTATTATCTATAAGATGGCTTAATGAAATACAAAATATATGAAAAAATAAAATTCATTTATAATTGGAGCAAAAATATTAGCTTATAAAGGTAGAAAAAGGAATAATGTTTGGATTTTAAAACAATTGACTTAAAATAATTGTCATAAATAGTAGTATAAAAAAATTAAGTCACTACTTTGATATGAAATAAAATGAAAATGCTTTTATATATTTGATTGTAATGAAAATATAATTTTAAATTTATCTTAATAAATTTAAGTTATAAGACATCATCTGGTATAAAGATTAATATTGATATTTAAAATATAAATAACAATTTTATTTCAATGTATTTAGTATAAATTAATTATCAAAAGTAGTATTTTTCAAATTCAAATTGGAAATGAATTTTTAATCTCCTCTTGCAAGAAATTTATTCAGTACACCTGAAAAAATATAAATGGAACCAGAATTGTGTAAGAAAGTAATTATTGATGAATAAATTCAATAATTGAATAATTCAGGAAAAAAATAATTCAAATTTTAGATAATGTAGAGCTATATAAATAAATAATTAGTCCTATAAAGACTTAAACACCAATAAAATAAAAACATCATCATTCTCATATAACTCCAAGTACTTCTGAGAATGATTAGATTGGAAATTCTTTAGTTTAAAGATTTTAAAATCAAATGACATTAGATTAAATATAATAAAGTCCTCCTAGTACTCCAAAAAATAAAGGAACAAAATCACACAAAGAATTAACTGCATAAAAATAAGGTACTGCGACTCCAAAAAAAAAGAAAGTATAAAAATATTTTAACTGAAAGAGTGCTATAAAAAGTATTTAGACAAGTGCATGGGCAATGGATATAGAAGATTAATCAGAAGAAGAAAGTCCTACTATTGAAAGATCAAGATATTATAATGAATATACTTAATTAGCAGTAATAGGTAATGGTAATTTTGGTACTGTTTATAAATGCAGAAATAATATTGATAAATAAATATATGCAATTAAATGTGTAAAACTTTAAGGATGTGGTAAATCATATGATGCAGTAGAATCACTTAATGAAGCTTAAGCATTAGCTTATTTGACTGCTAAAGGAAGATGCAAAAACATAATACGATATTATACTGCTTGGAATGAAAGATCTTATTATTATTTATAGATGGAATATTGTAATTTTAATGTTACTTCTATTTAAGTAATTTGTATATTTTATTAAATAGGAATCTAGAAAAGAAAAAAATTAAAGACTTGAAGAGTTTGAAGTTAAAAAGATCTTGAAAGATATATTATAAGGTTTGAAATTCCTTCATGAATAATCTATTACACATTTTGATGTCAAACCTGATAATATTTTATATAGTAAAGCTGAAGACTGTTATAAATTGGCGGATTTAGGATTATCAAGATTAACATAATTAAAAAAAGGAGAGGATATTAATGAAGGAGATTCTCGATATTTAGCTCCTGAAATATTATCAAATGTATAGAATTATGTTATTTTAGTTAACAGCTTAATCTGATTTAAGTAAATCAGATATATTCTCACTTGGTGCTTCAATTTATGAAATTATGATCGGAGATACCTTACCTTCATGTGGAGAGAAATGGTTAAAATTAAGATAAGGTTTAACAATTAATGATTTTGGATCTGGTAATGTTTAATTTATAATTATTTAATTAGATTTTTATTCAATTAAATTAAGGAGATTAATTTGTAGAATGATGAATCCTAATTCAATTTTTAGATTAAGTGCAAAATCTTGTTTAGAAGATCCTTATTTATATATTCATAAAGAAAAATTCATAAAATGGGAAAAAATTAGAGGATATTAATTAAGATAATAATTAGATTTTATTAAAATTATGGAAACTAAAAAAAGATAAATGAGTGTTTGATATTTATTGAATATATAATAAATATAAATGAATTAAAATTAAAACTTTACAAGCAATCTTAATTTATTTCCTGAAATAGGAACTCATGGATCAAGAGGAAAAGTAATTAGTTTAATTTATCTTAGTAATATGGTGGAAATAATATTACTATGAGAGGAACAGAAATATTTGAAGGACTTACAACTGGGAGACCATCTAAAAATATTATTTAAGCTCATTTCAAAGCTTTAAGATTTTATAGAAAAGTTTGTCGACTGATTCCATTTTTATTAAGAATTCATGATTTAGAAGTGACATGCAATTCTTAACAAGCAATGTTAAATGTAGCAAATATATTCAGAAAAAGAGCATATTTAAGAGATCCAGATGCAGTTGATAGATGGGTTAGAATTCTATATGACTTTATTAGGTTTATAGAGGATATGAATTACTCTACCAAGCTGAATGGCATATGTTAAATAGAGATCATTTATTCTAATATTTCTCTAATTAAAATAGATCTGATGCTGGATATTCATATTTAGAAAATTAAAAGCTTAATGGAAAGAGTGAATTTTTAAAGGATTTCTATATTGGAAATAAAACATATGAATATTGAAATCATAATTCTAAAATAATATATTGAAAAACAAGACTTAATTATACTACGTTTTCTATTTATCTTTTTCGCATATTTGAATCAATCCTTTAATTATTTTAAAAATAAAATTCATTATTGATTTGTAGAATTATTTTTAATAAAATTATTTATTAATTAATGTATTCAAAAGGCTTTGAAATTTTACAGCAGACATCATATAGTGAATAAGCATAAAAATAAATTTGGTCATAAATTCAAGCAATTTAAAATCTTCCTGATTTGATAAATGTGAATTTTAAAATAATTAAAATTTCAGGATAGCTTTACTTACAAGTAATTCTTTGATTTAAAAACCAAGATGAAAGGTGAATTAATAAATATTGGTCCTCAATCAATTATGTTCGATCTTTATTTTTAAATCCAATACAAAATGGTTTAAGATGTAAAATTATGAAGCCTTAAGATGATGCAATTAAGTTTAGTTCTGCTTATAATTGTATACTACTTAAACATAAATTTAAAAGCACAACTCGGATTTATAGATTTTACTTCTTTTCTAGAAACATCAGATAAATTGAATGATGTATTATTGAAAATTAAATAAAAATTCAAGAATCAATATCCTTATACAAAAGTAGATCAAGATTTATAAAATATAGTGGAATAATTTGCTAATAAAGTTAGAATTATTAATTTAAGATTTTAGTTTAAAATTAGTTGGAATGATTTAAATTCTATTAATCAAATCTTGATAGTTGAATTGATAGAAGGACTTAAAAAGAAGGCTTACACAAATCATTTGATACTGGATGCGGCTGTTATGTTAAAAGAATTATAATAGGAAAAAAATAAATTAATTAAATTTAAAAATGAAAATCAAGATAAAAATGTAGATGAAAGTAACATAGAACAAATAATTTCTATAACTATGCCTCATTTATAATAATTATTAGAATTAAATGCTAATATTAAAGGGATTCGTGATACTTTACGATTTTTGTAGCATAATTTCTCAAAGGGTCGTTCTGGGTATATAGAATTAGTGTTATTTACTAAAAACTTAGCTGAAGAAGAATTTGAAGCACAATTACTATTTATAAAATGTATAAATTAACTATAATGATATCTTTCAATCTAAAAATTATTATAAAATATTAATTTTAAATAAATGGCATAAAATGTCAAGAATCAAAAACTTATAAATGATTTCAATTTATTTTTTATAGATAAATTCATTTATCCTTTTAATTTTAAGAACTAAATGGCAAATTTGATTCAATTTTTTTCAGAAAGTTCTTTAATGGTCCAATACTGCATTTAGAATGATCCGCTATAACTTATGCTACTATTCCTCCTTTATCAGCAAAGATAATGTCTCCACAATATTTAATAATGGCTCCAGCTATTACATTTTCATGTTCTCCTTATATTAGATTTCTTTGATTTATTTCGTTAAACATCTAGAGACAAAAACTAATAAATCTTTCATTTAGTCCAAGAGAACTTGATATTTATTTAATGAATGATTAAACAATAGCTTCAAAATTATTTGAATAATTAATTTTTTAAAGAATTTTCTTAATTTGTTTTTCAGAAACAGATGTTTTTGATAAAAGTTCTTTTAATGTAATTGGGGTGTTAGTTTATTTAAGAACAGCAACAATAATTGCGATTGCAATAGCGTTATACTTTTTTTACTTCAATCCTACAAGTAGTTCAGGCCTTAATAATGGAATGGTTATTTTTAATAATTCTTCACTAAATCCTAATTATGATAGCTGATTTTTTATTTCTTCAACGATAGCAGAAAATCTTTTTCTAGCAAAATATGATTCATTAGTTTCTTCGATTGAGGTTTCAGACATATTATCAATGGATAATGCAATGATTGAGGATTCTTCAGATTTGGAAGGAGGAAGGAAATCAGGTGTATCAGTTCCTGCTCCTATTAATCTGAATTTAGGCACAGGAAATCTAGGTTGTCTATGTTCTGTTCTTTTAGGTAACTCCATGAGTTATTATTTTTTAATGAATTTAATATTAATATTTCAAGATAAACAAAATTGCTTGATAATAGGGATTTTATATATTATAACATAATAAACAATATGTTCACAATAACAAAAATTAACAAATTTATTATAATTATTATATTGTTGTATGGATAGTGGCTTAAATAATGATTTTATTTTTGTCAATAATCAATATTTCTGATGAATGTAAATTAGTTATGTTAATATTATTTTTAGAATAGAAGACAATGGAAATATTACTTCTGTAATTTATATCATTGCAATTACAAAAAAACTTCGATTGATTTTAATCAATAAAGTCATATAAAAATTTTGATTTCTTTAATTATTATTTTTATATCTCTTCTAATCCAATTTCAATTAAATGTTGTATCATCAAACCTGTTATGTAAACATTATAACATGGTATTGTATTATAAATACTATTATTTTTTCTCATTATTTAATAGTCAGCCATAGATGGAATAATTCTATCACTTTTTCCAATTAATTCATCTTTAATAATTACAACACATAAACCTGGAATACCCAAATTGAATTATAATGATGCAAAAATGCATCCATAATTTTCAATATTTATAATTTTAGATCCTAAACTTGATGTCATATCACAAACGATTGTCTAATTATCACAATAGGGAAACTAATTTATTTAAATTCCTTCATTCATTTCATTATCAACATAATATAAGTAAGTAATATTTTTTAAAGGAGCTTCATCTATTTTAATAATTTTAGGATCACAAAACTTTTTAGCTTCCTCAAAAGCTTATTGACTGTATTTACCAGTGATTATATATCCTGCAGTTTGATTGTTTTTTAATAAATTTAATGGAATAGCAGAATATTACAAAGTTGCTCCACCTTGCATTAACATTACTTGATAGCTGTTTGGAATATTAAATAGAAGTCTTAAATCACTTATTAATTTGTTGTGAATAGATAAATATTCTGGTGATCTATGACTCATTTCTAAAACACTTAAGTGTGTTGAATTCCAATTCTTCAATTCTGATTTAGCTTTTTCAAGAACTTCTTGAGGTAGAATCATTATTAAGAAATAAATGAATAATAAATAAATGAAAATAAGAAATTATAATTCCATTAATTATGCTATTAATAAATGAATTTGATACAATTTAAAGAATAAATTTATTGTCTTATCCATTTAATAAATAATAATTGGATTTAAATTTATTATATTGCATGTATATATTAAGATATATATATCATTTGAACATTTAACATTTTTCTGAATCTCTTCTTCTATAGAATAATAAGTAAGCAGCCTCACTTACAACATTGCTGCTAGTTGTTCTAGCATTTGAATCATTATAATCTATCCATTTATTTAGAACACTATTATAAGCATATGCTGTATAATGTCCTCCACCTATGCCACCATAGTGATTATCTACACCATAAAGATCATAAATATAATTTTAATTATCTCCAGCTTATTTAGATAACACATAATTATTTAAATTTAGTTCATGGGCAAATTATACCAATGAAGTTATTTTCTATGTTCCATTACTAAAGTAAAAATTACCTAAATTGGAAATTCTATTTGTTTTGAATCTTTTGAGATGTATAATTAATATCTAAATAATTATAAATTATCAAAATACCTATGGTGCCCTATATATTTCCATTTTTTTGGATGCTTAAACATGTTTTTTGCATTTATTACAATACCATTCATCTCCTTATCCTAAAATTTCTTCTTTTGTAAAAGCTCTTAAACAATCTTCCAAATCATATTCTCCTTTTCTTATTTATTATGATCTTGTATCATTTAAAGGGAATTCTTTACATCTTTATAATTTTAAAATTTGGATATTTTTTACTAAATAATCTGATATAATAACTTCAATAGCCAGATTTTAACCTGGAATATCAATTGTTAAGTTATCCTAAGATTGATTAAAAATTATACATTAAATTAAAGTTCTCTTTTTGATGATTTATCAAATTATTTATCTTTAAATCTAAGAGTGAATGGTTATAATTAATTTTAAACTAAGATAGCAAATTCTTATATTGTTTCTCCTAAACTTTTAGGTCTAGGTAAATTTAAGAATTCATCTCTAATTAGAAATTCTTTTGAAGTTAATTCTTTAACAGCCAAGGTTAAATGAATTCTAAATTTACTATAAATAATTCCATAAAGTTATTAAAAAGTTGAGTTTTTATCAATTACAACTTATCTAGGGAATGATAAGATTTTATCATCTTCATAAATCCTAGTACTTTTTGCTACATAATAGAAATCAACATTAATTTAATTTGGTTAGAGATTTTACATATTAGATATTACTTCTTAAACAAATAAAATTCCATGATGTTCATTAATCCATTTAGCTCCTTTATCATAAGTAACCCTTTCTTAAATTTGATGTTCTTTAATGAGTAACATATTCATTCTTTTATGACTAATATTTAAAATATTTTCTAATTATTTTAAAATATCTAATCCTGTCATATCACTGCTTAATTATAAGAAAATTTTCGCTGAAATATTATCACTATCTTCATATATAAAATATAGTGAAGCTTGAAAAGTTTAAAAATTAGGTATTGGTAATGATAAACTCATAAAGGGATCAAATGTTTTAGATATTCTACTACAAATAGGACAAACTAAAGTTGATTTATATTATCCAACCATAAGTTCTTAGATTTTACTTTAATTTCTTAGAGTATAATTGACCCAAAACTTTTCTGAAGCCTATTGATCACTTTCATTAGTAATTTCAATATCTGTAACAATAGGTTTATTAAGAATTCTATTAAGATCTTCATGTAATCCATCTAAAAGATATGATAAAAACTCATGTGAGTCTTATTAACCATATCCATAGAATTAAGGTGCAAATTTACCTATGACTTTTTTTAAATCAATAGCTGAAACACTTGAATAATTAGCAAACCACATTGATTTCATTAATTCAGCATATGAGGATGCTAAAAATCCTTTAGTTCCTAATACATTGTTGGGATTCAAATGTTAAGCAAATTGATTATAAACCATATATTAAGTGAATTCATAAGTATTGCTGAGACATTACAGAGCAGCATTCATAAAACATGTATTTCCTAAATTTTATAAACCTGTCATTCCTCTTCTACTATCAGGTAAAGCTCTTGGAATATTACTAATACCAAATTTAGCATAGAGTTCTGAAACATTTTATTCTTTTTATTTAATATCATTTATTTCAGCAACTAATTACCAACTCTTACCTTATTTTATTTCACATATCAATATATCCTCAATTGTTAAATTTAAATCGTCTACTTTCATTTTCATATCTAATTCTCTCCCTTTTATACTTTTAATAAAAGTGCCTTTTTATATCATAGATATCCAATCCATTTAACTCTATAGATCTTTAAACTTCCACCACTTTAATTCATTGCTATTATTAAATCCTTTATTAACTTTTAGTTTTCTAGTCATTTCTTATACTTATTCAAATCCATTCATTGATAAAGATGCTTCTTATAATTAATTCTCTAAAATCATAATATTTATAACTCTTGGAATTAACTTAAAATTTAATTATAATTATTACATCTACTATAACTTTATCTTATTCCTCTTATTTCACAATAAGTCTTTTAACAACAAATGCACCATAAATATTTTCAAAATATTTAAATACTTTTCCACTTACATGTACAAAATCAACTCCTTCTCTTAAATCATTTCTTAAAACATAATTCAAATATTATTTTTATTATGTAATATCAGGTAATAAGTTCCATTTTATTTAGAGTAATCTTGAACTATCAATTGGACCTGGATTTATTTCAATCTCTTCATTAATAGAATCTTCGTTTAGATTAAGCAATTATCTTAATTTAGAAACATTTAAACTCACAATTGGATCCTCAACATCTATTGGATCCTCATTTTTAACATATAATCTCCATTTCTAAAACCAACTTGCAGGTATTAGATAACTAAACAATCCATCTTAATAAAAATAATCTAAATCCTTTTCTTCCTTTTCCAATAGTTAAAATTGTTCCCATTAATCTTCCTTTTATAAATCTTATTTTTTCTAATTAAACATTCTATCAAATCCTTATAATATGCATTTAATATATTAATTATTGATCTTTCTTAAATTTTCTAACTCTTATTATGCAGCATTCAATTATCCTAAATCAATGTATAGCCTTGCCAAATTTAAAATCAATTCACAATATCTTTCTGAATTCTCAAATTTTGCCAGTCTTAATATTGCTATTTACAAATCTTGTCTCTTTGTGCTTAGACTTAAAATACGATTTAACACCTATAAAGTTTCAACTTTAGGACTTGGCAATTCATTCTCTAACAAAATACTCAATTAATCTATTGCCTCTTAAAAATTTTGGCTATCCACTAATTCTTATATTTTTTCCATTAATTAAGAATAATTTATATGAAATCTCTAAAAATTAACAATCAATTTATCTTATCTCGTAAATTAGCATCTGGCAGTTTTGGATTTGTAATGTTAGCCTTTGATTAAAAATCTGGATAATAAGTTGCTATTAAATTTGAAAAACCTGAAAATGAACATCATAATTCTTTATAAAATGAAATAGATATTATTCGACGATTACAAGGTATTTAAGGAATACCATAACTTATTTATGCTGGTTCATAAGATAATTTCAATGTCCTTGTTTTATAACTCTTATCTAAAGATTTATCAACTTTGATCAAAAAATAAAAACAATTTACAATGAAAACTACATTACAAATAGCTATCTAATTAGTTGAACTTATATAGTAGATTCATTAAAAAGGAGTATTACATAGAGATCTTAAACCAGAAAATATTATGATTGATCAAAATAATAATTTCTATCTAATTGATTTTGGAATTAGTAAAATTCATCTTAAAAAAAATGGATCAATTTTGTACAATATGTATTTAATTAGACCATTTAAAGAAAGATAACCATTTATTGGTACTTCTCGATATGCATCTATTGCAGCACATAAAGGAAATGAATTAGGAAGAAAAGACGATCTTGAATCATTTTTTTATCTATTACTATACTTTATATATGGGTATAAATTATGTTCAATATTAGTAAGTTACCTTGGTAGAACATTAAAAATATTCAGAATGATTAAAAAATTGAATATGTAGGAGAATTGAAACTTTTAAAAACAAATGAATTATTAAATGATCTTCCAATTGAATTTAAAAAGATTTATGAGTAATAAAATTATTTTAATTATGGAGATATTTAAGAAAACTAAATTATGCAAATGAGCCAGATTACACAGCAATAAAAAAACTGTTTAAATAAGCAGCTAAAAATTTGAAAATAACAATAGATACTATTTTTGATTGGGATTTTTAAAATACAACGCAAACAGGAAATTTTTCTTATTTTGAAACAATACAATTCGACGAAAATTTATAATCCGATAAACTTTCATCCAAATAAATTATGTATTAATTAATATCATATAATTTTAGGCATTTAAATACTTAATCTGCTAGTCCTGTAAAACGTAGAACTGCTGGACCATCATTTATGCATTAACATCAACCTTTCCTTAAGATCATATAAAATTAAAAGAGTAGAGGTAGTAGTCATAGTCCACTTACAAAATTTGATGGATTTAGTTAAAATTCGATAGATGAGATTAGTGAAGATTCAGAATATATTATACCAAATGAATGTGAAAATCATTCTAATTTTCGTGTGAGATCTTTGCCAGATGAATTAAAAAAACCTTTATAAAACCAAACATTATGTTTCAATGATGAATGGTTGATAGAATCTGATAAAAATTTAGTTGATAATTATAAAAAATTAGAATCAACAAATTATTAAATAACTACTATTTTTCAAAAAAAATAAAAATGAACTTTAATAATATTTATATCTAAAAGAAAACTTTAATATTATTTATTAACACTTATTTTAATTAGAAAACTTACACCAATCGTATTTGTTTAATTAAAAACATAAGAATCAAATTTTAGCAATTAGTCTACATTAAATAATTTAAAGAAAGGTAAATTATTAATATATATTGGCTTCTATAGAAAAAATCACAAGAATGTTTAAGAGGCAAATAAAATATAATTTTATACTTTTGACTTTAATCATTTTTTTTTTCTAAATTTTGGAATTATAGGAATTATCTTACTCTTAAATTCTTGAAACCAAATATTAAAATATCTCAATTTTTAAGAAAGATTTGAAGATACTATCATAAATTAAGAATATGCTTGGATATATTATTTATTATTATAATTTATATTCTTTAAATTTCTTTTAATTTTTTTATAGCAATTATAATATATAATAAAAATTTAAAAGATTTGAAAGTCTACATGTGATGGTTTTTTTGAGAACGTTAAATTTTAGCCATAATTCTGTTTGAAATAGAAAATTTAGAAATAATCCAAAAAGAATTAAAATATCAAAATATATTTTATCATTATCTTCTACTTTTTTTTCGTTCTCGTAATTTAATAATAGCTGCCAGATTATTGTGTTTTAAATAATTGTCAAAGTTTTTAAATTACTCAAAACCTTCAAAAATTTCAATAAATTATCCTCTAATTTTACCTGGTTCTTCTTCTTGTTCAACTTATTCAGTTACTAAAATTTTGTTAGGTGAATTAATCATAGCTCCTTATATGATTACATCTATTAAATTTTTATATTTTGGCAATTAAGCCCTTGATCCTCTTTTATTAGAATCTTAATAAGCTTATTCAGATGCACTTGATAATTATTATGGAAGTAATTAATTTGACTGATCAGATCCTTTCATTAAAAAATTGAAGTGTTAATTTTTATCATCTTATTTTAAGCATGTTTTACTTTCTTAATGAGAATAAACAGATTCTTTCTTTTTTAAATACTTAACTATTTCTTTAATTTTTAATTACTAAATAAATAATTATTAATTACTAGTTCATCATCTTATAGTGCATCATTACAACCCTAAAAGGAAAGTGGACGTTTTGATTCAATTTATTATGATATAGTTAAATGATATCCAATTTTTAATGACTCATAACTTTCAATATCGGATTCATTTTCATTCTTTTTTTCTAATTATAAAATAGTTTTTTACCAGAAGAATGATTTTATAGTTCTTCTATTAATTTATTTTTGCATAAGAATAATAATATGCTATTTTTTACATCATGTGATTCCATAAGTGTATCTACTCTTCTATTAAAAGTTCTCTTAAAACTCTTTCTATCAGATGGTACATTCCTTCTATAATTCAATAAGACTTTTGCTCTATTTGGATATCCACAAACCATAGGACATTCTTTAATTACATGAGTAGTTTTATTGCATGCTCTACAAGTAATATCAACTATATCTTATTAATTTAAGAATGTGACTTTATCTTTCATTTGGCAAAATGTAAACTTAAATTAAATAACTAACTTTTTACATAATCTTTTTAATTTTATAATAAAAGCTCAGTAAATTAACTTCTATGTATTTTTAATACATAGGTGAATTAGGTTGACTTACATGAAACTTAATGGTTTTATTTCTGAAAAAACTCTAAAACTCCAAATGGTAAAGACTCTCCAGTAACTGATTCTAAAACTTTTTAGGATTCCTATTTGTTTTTTAATGTTATATAAAATTGTAATTCTCCTTTCTATAATATATAAAGAAAATCACTCTCATCATTTTACTAAAAATAATATAAATTCATATTACCTTATAGATGATTTATTCAGGAGCATATTTTTCTTCAATTAAATTTTTGGATAATTAAATTAAAAACTATTCACTAAAATTTTCAGTCAAAAAGTTTATTCTTTTTACAACTTTCATATTTATGTCAATTTTCATTTCTTCTAATAATTATGCAGGTATTTATTCAGCAAATTTAAAAGCCTCTCTATCATTTTCCTCTTCTGCATCACACCATACATATTCAAAATATTTTCTTATTTTTTCTGCTAAATGTTTATCTAATCCTTTCAATCTCATATATTTTTTTAAAGCATTCATGTTTTATCTAAATTCATAACTTTTTCTACTCCATTCAGCATAAATACTATTTATATTACCAATAGAATATCCAAAAATACCTACTGCTGCTACTGTCATGCAAATAGTAAAAATTCTCTCTCTTAAATTTAATGGAGTTATATCTCCATATCCTATAGTTGTCATTGTTACTATACTAAAATAAAAAGAAGTTAAATATTGAGTATGCCAAGGTTCATTTTATATATTATTTTTTACTACCCATGATGTTTAATCATTTCCAGTAGAACCAACTAAAAACCAAAGACATGCACAAAAATGAGCTACAGCTAAGATTGTATATCCTAATTTTATTAAATCAAATATAGCTATTTAATTTGTTGATAATTCTAATCTATCAAACAAATTTCCACTAAACTTTTTTATCTAAAATACTTTCAAAATCAATACTAAATCCAAATAATCTACTTAAAATCTTAAACTCAAAAAAAATGGAATAATAACAAAAATATCAAAAAAGAATGCTATTAAGAATCTAAATAATTATTACATGTTCGAATATAGTTTTTTGCAATATAATATCTGTTTTCTATCACTGTTCCTTTATGATAAAAGCAAGTGTTAAATTTAATCAGTATTTCTAAAATAAAAGAATAAGAAGGTAAAACATCGAATAATACTTATCTAAATTATTAAAAGCTATCATCAAATGAATTGCTTGTATCAAACTTAAAAGAAACTCTTGCACTTACATATAATACATTCATATTTAGAATTGTTAATATGTAAATATTCCAAGCTATTGAAGTAAGAGATTCTGGTCTTAAAATTAATTTATTGTTGCTTAATAAATTATAAACCTTCATTTTTCTTAAAGGAACAAAAACCTACTGATTCAATTAATATTTCATTTTTTCATATGGAGTTGGTTTCTAAAATAATATTAATGAATACTTCATATTTGAAATAATCATTAAATAAGTAATATCGGAAATAAGCTGCTTTATCCCCAATAATTTCAAAAACATTTCTATTGACCAATCTAAAGCTAGTGGCAAAGTTTGATTTTGTTATAAAACTAATAAACCTTAAGATTATCATTAATATTTCTAAGGGATATTTCTTCCAAGCTTAATTGCTAAATCCTTCTATATCTTCTTCATATAGAGAATCAATCAAAAAAGGACTTTCATCAAAGTTTTTTTTATTCTTTGGTGGATTTCCAGCATAATAAGGACCATAATGTGATAATTATATTTGAGAATTTTTATCATACTTACTAATAAATTACCTAGATTATTGTGTTTTAAATACGATTTATCTGCAACTAAATCTTAGGCTCTCAATTCTCTCTTTATTTCCTTGTTGTTTTTTAAATTTTATCTAATTTTCTTAATCAATTGAGAATTCGATTTCTATCCACTGTCAAGCAATTGTCTACCTGATTAACCATGCAAAGTTTGATTGCCTAAAATATTTGTTGAGATATTATTAATACTATTTTCTTATTCAGTTCCTAAATTTTCTGATTGATTTGGTTTCATATTTGAAATAAATTGTATTAATAAATAATATCAGTAGTTGATGGTTAAATGGATATTAATGATACTATATAAAAGTAGAGTATTTAATTTTAAATTAATTTTAAATGGTGAAGACTTTTAGAAGTAGGAAAATAATATTTTGAAAGAAATTAATATAAAGTATCTTTAAACTGATATGTTTTAAATAGATAATAAAAACTTCTTCAATTAATAAGGAGATCCTAAAATTATACATTTTTCAATAAATTATTCAAAGAACTGAAATATCATTATCGTTTATATATGACTAAATATTAATATAAATCTCCAAAAATATTATATTCGAAAAAAAATTAAGAGTTTGCACTGAATTTTTTAAATCTCTTAATGTATAATAAAAAAAGTTTGAAATAAATAGAAAATTTATTTATAATTAATATAATGTGAAAAATGAGTTATCAAATGAAAAGTTATAAATTACATAAAGAGAAAAATTTCAATATTTGAGTTTATGGATAAAGTCAATAGATTAATGTCAATTCACCAATTCACCAATTGAACAAATTATATTTGTAAGGATTATTTTGCTACAAATAGAGTTTTCTTTAATTAATTGATTAAGTTTAATAAGTAAAAAATTAAGTAAAAGTTAATATCAAAGGAAATTAATAATTAAAATTACATTTAAATAATTATGTATTTGATCCTAAGATTTATATTATTTTAAATTTTGAGTAAATGAATTCTGTGGAATAAATATTACTAAAGTTATTGATAAAAAAAAATGATTAAATTAAGTTTCTAACGTAATTTATTAGTTGATTATTTCTTAACTATTTCTTATAGTTTGAATGAATCAATATGTTATTGTGATATTTCTTAAATTTATAAATTATCAAGTTATGAATTGATTAAAGATGACTATCTGTGTTAATACTATTATCTATTGTTTAATTTTGTTAACTATAAGTTAATTGTTAAATAAGATTAATTTTCTAAAAATATTTTTTTAGTAAAAATGTTTTAATATAGATTAAAGAAATATTTTCATAAATTATATATTAACTTAATTTGATCAGAATATATATGGTTGAGTCTAATTATACAATAGAAATAATTAGAAAACTTTCATTAATAAATTTAAGGTTTTAGAATTATTTCATTGATGAAAAAAGTTTATACAGTTCCAACACCAAGGGAGTAAAAGCCTGTAATTTAACAAAAGAGTTAATAGAACATAATAACGTAAAGTTTACCTAAATATATATAGAAAGTAAGGTTAATTTGGGTATATTCCAGACTAAACTACGAAGAAAGAAAGGTCATAAAAGCCTATTCGACCATATTTAATGTTTAAACCTTAGTTAGTGGAAGAGGTAGATGAGAATAATATGAAAATGATGAAATTATCATTCCATAATTCAATAAGTGACTTATAAACTTTTGAAGAGTTGATGCAAGAATAAAAACCAAGAGAATCGACTCCAAATTTAAATTAAATTCCTTAAGAAAAGAATAAAACATTTGTCAGGTATGTCTTATTTAAAATGATTGTAGGAAGTCTATGAAGCACTTAACTTAGCTTTGATAAAAATAAAAATTGTGAAATTTTATATATATGACTTATTTAAGTCTTTTAATATTGATTTTTACATATCTACATTTTTTTTATTTAAAAAAATTTACCTAAATGAAACACAATTAACAACTTCCAAATGCTCACATGAGAAAACATTGGACAAGATTTGTAAAGACATTTTATAATCAACCAGCAGCTAAAAGAAGAAGATAATTGAGAAGAAGAGCATAAGCTTTATGTATGATTAATTTTGATAATAATAATAATAGCTGCATCACCAAGACCAGTTGAGCTTCTTCGTCCAGTAGTAAGAGGTTAAACAATTAAATATAATAACGTCTAAAAACTTGGAAGAGGATTTTCCTTAATTGAATTGAAAGAAGCAGGACTCAATGCAGCTTTTGCCAGAACAATAGGAATTGCTGTTGATCATAGAAGAAGAAATTAAAGCTAAGAAGAATTAAATAACAATGTTAAGAGATTGAAGGCATATCTTTCAAAATTAGTCGTTTATCCAAGAGTTGCAGGTAAACCAAAGAATGGAGTTGTTAAGGATTCTACAAATGAAGTTGTTGCTTAACCAGTAGCTTAAAATACCAACCCTGAGGTAATAATCTAATAATATTCAAGGTTATCACATACTAAAGAACACCAAAAAGAGAAAAGGCTACTGTTATCTCTAAAGAATTAAGAGCAAAGAATGTTTACAGAAGATTAAGATAAGAATGGTATAATGCTAAATTCGTTGGTGTTAAAGAAAAGAGAAAGCAAGCTAAGGAAACCAAAAAATGAAGCATTTAGTATAATAAAATATATACAATTAATTTATTAACTTATAAAAAAGCAAAGGATTATGTCTATGAAAAAGTAAGTAACTGGTGGTAAAACAACGAGATCAAATAGCAAATAATCTACGAGTAATCCAATGACAGTAAGAAAAAGATTTTCATCATTATGTTCACCGTAATTGAAATGTTTTTATATGTTGAATAGGTCCAACAACTAAAAATAAACAAATTGCGTATTTTGTCAAAAGTTCAAAAATTGTAAAGAAGAATCGTATGCTCCACTTTTAAACAAAGCATTATTTGCAAAATATTCATCATCCTAAAACTATTATTATTCAAAGGATATTAACGATATAATTGAAGAGGAATCAACTCCAGCAGTAGTATTTTATAGAGATTTAGAAAGTATGATTGAAGAAGAAGAGTATTTGAAAAGGTAAGAATGATGCTAAATTGTTTAGATCCTATGTTAAAAAAGAAGCAGTATAAAAAGTCAAAGCATTATAAGAATACTATAAATATCATAAGGATATTCCTAGACTATTTATGCAAAATGTTTATTTGACCATAAATAAGTTCCATGAGAAAAAGAGGAGATTGGAATATGCAAATATAAAAAGGAAATTAAATATTCCAGATGAAGATATAGTAAATCAATTATTAAATTTAGTAACCAGAAAAAAAGAAGGAGAAGAAAAAACCAAAACATAGTGATGAAGATTTAACAATCGGATAATTAAAATATTTATTGAAAGATTTAAAATTAGACACTAATTCTTATCTCCAAAAAAAAGTTGACATCTCTAGTAGTGTTTAATTAAAAGAATTCATTTAGTAAGTAGGATAGAAATATGATTGTCTCGGATAAATATCAGGATTATTATCTATCGATTAGAGCAACAGTTTTCTCTTAAGATCTTAAGACCTTTCAACAATTACTAAAAATTTAAAATCTAATTATATGACAAATATTAAACCTAAGATTAACAAAAGTTCTTTGTTAAAGAATTTTGATTCAAAGACAACTCATTAAATTAGTTGTTAAGGAAGTCTTGATAAAATTAACATAAATCGATTATAGTTTAACTAAGGTGAAGTATCATCTCTAAAGGCAGAGAATTCTGTGAAGATTGGAGAGTAGACAAAAAGATCAAATTAAGAACAATCTCCTTTAAGATGTTCTTAACAATCATAATTGATGTAAAAAGTATACTCGCAAATTGAAGGATTTGCCAATTTTGTATAATAATAGTAAACTATGCAGATGCAATAATAAAAGGTTAACAATACTTAGAAATCTAATTCTTCTCAACGTAAAGTTAGTTCCAACTTTAATACAACGGAATCTTAATTCAGATTACCAAGTAGATAAAATTCAACATAAAAGTAATCAGCTGATTTGTTATCTTATTAAGTTAATTTCTTGTAATTATTATTGATAATCCATTAATAGAAGAACCAGAGTAGCCTCATAACTATAAAAATATGAAGATGATAATAAAAGTATATTCAATTTTTGTATTAAAGTAGGTAAATAGGCTTTAGCAACAGATAGAGTTTAAAGATAGAGTGTATACAATAGTGGAGATTAGAATATATAAAAAGCAGGATCTAAAAATATGTAATTTAATAAATATATAAATTTAGATAAAAGTTGCCTCAAAAATTCACTTAATATGCCCTATCTACATTGAAAGGATTATAAGTGAAGAATTCTGATTAAAAAAAGAAATCTACTTTAATCTCTAATAATAATTTGTAAGCACCTATTTTAAATGCTTAATTAATGCATTACAGAACAAAATCTCAAGAAACTCTAGGAAGTTATAAAGGTTCACCTCCAAAATAAGGATAAAAACAGGAAAATTCAAAAGATCCATTAAGAATAACCAATAATATTTGTGTTTAAGGTTCAACTAAAAAAGGAGGTGGTGTATACAATATTAACTAAAACAATATAGTTAATATTTATATTGAAGATCTAAAATCATCAGCCAAATTGAAATAAGGAGGCTCACAAACTGCTCGAATAAATAGTCCATTAAAAAATAATACTAAAGGAGTATTTGAAGTTTACAATACCCAAAGGACTAATTTGAGTCCTGTGAGTAAGAAAATGGCTTGATATAATTATATATGTTATTCCTAATTTGTATGGATATAATATCATAATTATTTAAATGTGCTAAATTTATGAGGATTAAATGCTGTAGAGCATTTAGCCATAGTAACTGATTATCTAGAAATAGCATCAGTCATATAGAAATTCTATATATAAATATTCAAATTTACATCTATAAGATCTCTAAAAGGAGTTGCTGAAATAGTTTATTTGGATGATTCAGGTTTTAAAGCAATCTATCCTAAGACAGTTGGTTCAATATAATCATATTTCAATAGATGGGGAGCTAGTTCAGCAATTCTGTATCTAACCTTTGAAAATATGAAATGAATATACTTCTTCTAAAGTATCATATGGTAAAGCGCATCCACATTCTTCAGATAAGGCTCTTAAAATTTCCCAATCTGATTTTGCTCCTGATGGTGGTAAAGCCACTAATTTAGTTGTTTAAACTCTTCCTTCAGTTGAAACCTTTTTTGAATATATAAAAATATTACATATGTACCATTCTTTTCTGTATAGGTAGCACCTGGTAATATGAGATCTGCATAATAAGCTCCTTCATCTCCATGACTACCAATATAAATTACATAAGCATCTTTTGGAATATCTTATGCATTTAAATTATTATCAACTCCCAACAAAATAACTACTTTTGGTGTTACACTACTTCTTCTAGCTGTAATACCTAATTCAAGAGCATTAATTCTTCCTACTTCTTTATGTAAAAGATTAAATCCATTCCATCCTTATTGTGGATTTATTACAGCTGAATTTTAAGCTATCTTTTTTAATGCATTATGAATAGCATTTCCATCAGTTCTCTCTAAAACGCCTGCTCCTGTTAAAATCATTGGCAATTTTGCAGATTTTAATCTTCCTGCAAATGGATGAGTTCCATTAGCAATTTCATCAAGAATAGAAGCATTATTTCCTAAATGAACATAATTATATGTTAAATCATTTGCTGGACCTATTAAAAATACTTTTAAGTTGTTTTTTCTAGTAGCTCTTAAAATTCTTGAATTCAATAAAGGTGATTCAACTTTGGGGTTAGTACCTACTAATAAAAGTACATCAGCTTCTTCTACTCCTGTAATTCTAGAGTTTAATAAATAATTAGCTCTAAAATCTGCATCTAATTAAGGTACTCCTGTTCCTCTTATTTCAAAATTATCACTATCAAATCTATTCAATAAATCCTTTAAAGCAACTATAGATTCACAATCTGCAAATTCTCCAATTACTCCTACAATTTCTTCTCCTTTTACAGATTATAATTTTTTAGCTGCTTATTAAATTGCATCTGGCCAATATAAATCTGTAAAATTTCCTTAAGCATCTCTGGCTAATGGTAATGTTAATCTTTATTTTTTTAATCCGTCAAATGCTTATCTTGATTTATCATTTAACCATTCTTCATTAACTTCTTCATGAATTCTAGGTAAAACTCTCATTATTTCAGCTCCTCTTGTGTCAATTTGAATTAATGGGATTATTGTATCAAAAACATCTACAGAATCGTATGATTTTAATTCCCACGGTCTCGATGTGAAAGCATATGGCCCATTGGTTAAAGCACCAACTGGACAAATATCAGCAAGATTTCCCTATAATTCACTAGTGATCATTTTGTCAATGTATGTACCGATTTCAGTATTTCTTCCTCTTCCACTAGTTCCTAATTCAGTTACACCAGCATATTCATCTGAAAATCTAATACATCTTGTGCAATGAATGCATCTATTCATACTAGTAGCCACTAAAGGACCAAAATTTTTATCTTCAACAGCTCTTTTATATTCATTATGTCTACTGTCTCCATAACTAGACATAGAATATTTAGAGTATACCCATATTACTCAGAAATATCTTATAAATCACATTCACCACCTTAATCACAGATTGGACAATCCAATGGGTGATTTGCTAACAAGAATTCCATTACACCTCCTCTTGCTATTCTTGTCTTTTCGCTTTTTGTAAGAATTCTCATTCCAGGTGCTACTTATGCTGCACATGCTGCTACCTTTTAGAATATTCATTTAATTATACAGGTTTTGGTGATTTTTCTACTTCTACTAAACACATTCTACAATTTCCTGCTACTGCTAATCTTTCATGATAACAGAATCTTGGAATAATCACACCTGCTGAATAACATGCTTAAAATATTGTTGCTGATGGATCAACCTATAAATGATCAAACTTATATTTCTACTTTATGTGGAACATCATCTATGAATATTTCAATAAGATTCTATTATGTTGAGAAAGCTTAGAATTATTTTTTCAATAATTGTTATCCTTTCTTCAATGAGAATCTAATCATTTATTTTTATATATCAGATATATTAAAATCTATACTATTGTTAATTTGTTTGTCATTTGAAATATTTAATCAAGATTGAAAAATTTAAATTATGTAATAATAATAATAATAAATGGCTTAAGAGCAAGAGATTGAGATAAAAGAAGAAAAAGAATAAACTTAAGAACACCATCATGATCATAATCATGCTCATGATCATTCAGATTCTGATGATGGTCATGATCATGATCATAAAGGAGGAGATGAAAAAGACAAGAAGGCTAATAGAGGAGAAAAGAAATTTAAAAAAGCTATGCTTAAATTAGGAATGAAACCAGTTGCTGGAATCAATAGAGTTACAATTAAAAGAGGAAAATAATTCCTACTTTATATTGATAACCCAGAAGTCTTAAAATCAGCCAATGTTGATAATTCTTATATTGTATTTGGAGAAGCTAAAGTTCATGATCCAACAGGTTAAATTGGTAAAAAAGAAGCTGAAAATTTAGCTTAATAAGTGTAATATTCAAATACTATTATCTAGTCCTAAATAAGATGAAAATAAAGAATAAAAACCTGTTGAAACTACAGAACAAGTAAGTGATGAAGGTATTCCAGCTGAATCTATCAAAATGGTCATGGAACATTGTAAATGTGATAGAAGTAAAGCTGTTGAAGCACTTAGAAAATCTGATAATGACACAGTTCAAGCCATTCTCACCTTAACTGGATGATGATTCATTAGTGTATAAGTATAATAAATATATAAAATATTTAATTTCATACATTAATTATTTTACAATATTTATACTAAGAATATTTCGTATACAATGAGTTAAATATATTCTATCTTGTTTGAAATTCTAATTAACATTGTAACAGCATTTTTACTATTAAATGTAATTTGTTCTCACTGCAATTACTAATTATTTCTAATTCTTCAGGCCATATAGGATTATATTTCTTTTATTTTCGAATCAATAAAAATGAAGCTGCTGCCAATTAACTACTATTATGAGTCTAAGGTTATAATAGTAGATAAATTTCAATTAATAATTGACAATAAAAAAAATGTTTTAAATTTAAAGGGCAAATATTTTGATATCTGTTTAAAAAATACATTATTGTAGGGGTAGTGAGATTGAAATTAAGCTGCTTCAATATAAGGGATTCTGTATATATAATTTATTCTTTAGTGTAAGTTTTATCGGTAATATAAGCTAAATCCTTTGCCATTAATTAATGAACCTCTTCCAATTTACTTGCTATGAATAAGGCAGAAACTCCAATGAGTTATAAAATATTTTTTGAAACAGGAGTTGTCAACATATATCTATCAAGCAAACTTATAGTTAAAAATAGTGTGTCTTATTTTAATCTAAATTTTGCAGATACATCAATTATCCATTCTATTAAAATAGTTCTCATTTTCTAAGTTATTTAAGGTTAATGATGAAAGTATTGTTGTGCACTTAACTAATATGAAATTTCTATAGATTTTAAATATTCTTAGATATCATAGGCATAGACACTACAATACTGAGGTTTACTTGAATACACCATATCAATGTTTTCAATAAATTACTTATTCTATTCATCAATTAATAATTATTTGACATCACAAAATCTTACAGTTTATATTGTTTGATTTCTGCTTGAACATCTTTATGATTTCTATCTATGAGAGACTGAATCTCCACTGCTATGTTAACTATTTGTTCTTTTCTTTATGGATACTTAGTACCAAACATTATTGTTATTGATATCTCTTTAAGATTTATGTCTCATTGAAGTGTTTGTAGATTCTGCTTTTTTCTTTAATTATGATAAGTTTAGTTTTGTTTAAGGTCTATAATAAAGGTTAGTTAACTCTTATCCAAACCTTCTTGAAGGAAAGTGCTAAATTAACTAAAATATATACGTTAATTAGTTCCATTTTACTGTTAATAATAAAAATTATGTGATCAATATATTCATTAATTATTAAAATGTCTAAATAAACTAAATAAGATAAACAAGAAAAAGAAAAAGATGAGAAAGATAAAAGAATAGCAGTTGCAATAAATTTCATTAACACACCAAATTTGTAAAATGTGCCTAGATCAGATATAGAAAAATTTCTTAAGAAAAAAGGTAAAATCCATTTTGTAAATTAGGTTTGGGAGATGCTGAAATAACTGAGGCATTTGAAAAAGCTAAACAATAGAAGGAAGAACTTAAGGCTAAAGAAGATGAGAAAGAAAAAGAATTAGTTGTTAAATTACAACAGCTTGGAGGAATTCCATAATAGAATACAACATTAGAAAAATTTATTAGTCCCTAAGAATTAAAAGAAATAGTTGAAAAAGCAAAAATTTCTAATTTGATATCAATCAGAAATAGAGGAGTCAATACAATTTATGAATAGATTCTTGGTTTAAATAATTTACAAATTCTGATCATTTCTAATAATAAAATCTAAATTATTCCTTAAAGCATTAAAAATTTAACTAATTTAAAAGTATTTCATGCATCGTGTTGTAATTTATAAGATCATAATATTGAAAATGAATTTTTTGAACTTAAATAATTATAAGAGTTAAATATGGCTAAGAATTAATTATCAAATATTGATAGATTTACAAATTTATCAGAACTTATATTGTTAGATTTATCAAACAATGAAATTTTCAAAATTCCAGATGATATTGATAAGTTAAATAAATTAAAATTATTAAGTTTAAGAGATAATCATTTAACTTATCTTCCTATTCAATTAAAAAAGTTAAATAATTTGAAAAAATTATATTTAGATTAAAATGCTCTTGAAGATCCAAATTAAACATTAAAATAAAATAATCCTGAGTTAATATTCTAATAAGGAATATTTGAAGAACAAAATTAATAATGATTTAACATAAATAAAATAACTCATCCAATCATATCATCATAATTATTTTTAGCTTAATTGGTTTCTAATTATGTACTTTTTATAACCATCTTTTATAGTTTTTTATCAACATTAGCTTTAGAATAATTTTCTAAGACTTTCTTTCCATCATCAAAGAATTTTCTAACCATTTAACAATAATCTTCTAATTCAATTTTACTCAATTATTGTTTTCTATAATAATATTCAAACATTGATAAGACATTATCTAGAATAGTATTCATTGGTTAATTTTTTCTTTTCATAGAAGCTCTAACTTAATCAATTCTATAAATTTATTTTGAAGAAGGTGATAATTCAATACCTTCTTTTTCCTCAAGCTACCTAATCTACGGTAAAGTTCCTAAATGTTTTAAAATCTACTTTGTAATTTCTCTTTCTGATAATTTATTTGGAAATTTCCTTGCAAATCTTTCTAATTATTAAATTAAATCTTAATTTGTAATTCTATTTGGAGGTCTATTCTTCTTAGGTTATTACCCACAAGTTCTTTTAGTTAATTCTTATGTTTCTTCTAATAATTAAGTAACATGAGCTTAAGACCATTATTAATCAGGTTTAAAATTGGTTAAAGTATATAATAAATGCTTAATATCTTTATGAACTTCTTCAGTTCGAAGAGGAGCAAAATAATAAAATAAAATTCTGTAAATTGATGCAAAGTTACTTTAGACATTATAATTTAAAAGTGATGGACCAGATATTATACATTCAAAATTTGTATGAGCTAAAGTCTTTGCTAATTCTGGATTTATATCTGCCCTTGATAATTCATGGGCAAATCTTTAATAGTTTTTAGTCATAAAAATTTATAATTCTTAAAGTAATACATTAAAATATATTGTAGTCGATCCATTCTTTACTCTCTTTTTACTTAAATAATATAATTAATCTAAAATAAAATGATAAGGCTCTTTCTTATATTTCTCATATTATTCTAATAAATATTTTTTATAATAAGCTATTTCTAAATAGCCATTATCAATTCTAACCAAAACATTCTATTAATGATGTTTAATTATAGAAGATATTTCTTCATCATATTTCTTATATATCTCTTCAATCTTCTTTTCAATATCTCCTGAAAAGTTGATATCTATAAATCTTTTGTAATGAATTATTATAGTTTTTAAGATATAATTTTTTGGTGTATTCAAAAATATGACTTTTTTTAATTCATGTTTTAATGTTGTCATAATTAAAAATTTTGATTAATTGCAATTTGTAAACAATAATAATTTTATAAGTTTAGAAATCATATAACTACAATCATATTAATTTTGTGAATTATCATAACCTTAAAGAATACTTACCAATAAAGCAATCAATTCATTATGAAATCCTAAAGTTGATGCTGTATTAAGTCTTCGAAGATTTTTAAAAAGTGCTATAATTACATCATAATCATCAAAATTATTAAATTTTAAGTACTTTAAACTGTTATCATTTTAATTAAAGAAAAATCTATAAGTAATTTTTTCAGCTAATTTTAAATATGCTTATAATTCTGCCATATCTTCAAAATCACAATTTTCTTCTAATCTCTTAATGGAACTTTTATTAACCATTTCTCTGAGTAATTAGAGTAATTATACTATTATATTACTATCAAGATGAGCATAAGAGTTTTCAATAATCAAAACTATAGTTCTGACAACTCTTTCCCTAATTTCTAATTTTTTAATATTTCTTAAAACACAGGCTATTTAATTCATATCTTTTTCTTTCAAGACTTAACACATTACAACAAGTTCTTTTTGAATTTAATATTCAACCTCTTTTACAGTTAATCCAACAGGATCCCATTTGATCCATTAAGGAGGTTCTTTTTAGATTTCTTCTGAATATTATTTTATTGTCTATTCTCTACCAGTATTAATATTTACTCCTGCTTTAAGAACTGCCTCACCTAATATTCCATGAATCATAGGTGTTTTAACTTAATTATTATTATCATTTTCTATTTCAATCTTACCAGTTTATTCATCTTAAATATAAGCTTGAGCATTAATTTCTAAATGTCTTTTAGGTATATTATATTTTTTTAATTTTTATGTACAATTAATATCTATTTTAGTCCATAATTTTGGAGGTATTTTTATTTCAGTATTCTCTATTTCAAGTTTTAATTCATTAGTCTCTGATACTTAAATACGAACCCAACCTGAAAAATGTAATGGCATAGACAATTCTTCAGGTATTAATCCACTTGCTTATATTTAATAATCTCTTCTTCTAAAATCTTTAATTGTAGAAGATGAATGTGGTTTTTTACTTTAATCATAAGGTTATTCCTTTTACTATTCTTCAAAATCCTTAAAAGCCTTTTAAATCTATTTTTAAGTATGTTTGAGTTTTTCTTAAAATTATAGAAATTGAAAGATGATATCTGATTTAATATCAAGTGCTTTAGCTCCTTATATGTAATTATGAGTATAGATATGAACCCATTACCCTATAAGAGGAGATTAAGTAATATTCAAATTTAATTTATGATCTCTTTCATAATCATAAGAAACTTTAAAATGCCATGCTCCAGCAGATTTAATAAACATTTTTAAAAAAGATTTACCTTTAGATACTGAAAACACTTTTTTCATACTCATAAAGATCTTATCAGTACTCAAAGGAGCAGGAATACTTCCTTTAAGATCTTAATAAAATCTATTTAAAATTTCCTTAATAAAAACATCTGGTTAATGTGTCATTCTTGCTAACATAGTAATAACCATTCTAGTTTTTAATTAATATTCTAATGATTCTAATAAAAATCTTTATTCAAATTGTGTTTAATCTAATTTAACATCCTAACCATTTTTAATTTATTCTAATAATTTTTAATGTAATTATGCATAATCTTCTGTCCAAGTAGATTAAAATGCAAATCCAAGTTCTATCCATCTATCTGACATATTTACAGATGGAGCCAAGAAGAATTTAAGTGATAATGCATTCAATTATAAATGTAAACACTTATAGAATTCATCTTAAGTATGTTTACAAGGTAATAATTCAGGAAGCTATGATTCATCAAATACTAATATATTTCGAAAAGGGTAAAATGAAAGATATCCATGTTTTTGAACATTTGGTAATATCATAACATTCAAAGATCTAAAAAACTCAACTCCAGATCCTATTGATAATATATTTCTTGCTTTCTAAAGTAAAGCATCTCTAAACCAAAATCTATCAACTTATTCAAATATTTTTCTAACTGTTTCAGATTCAAATAAATAAGACTTGTTTTCATTCATATGAAATATATTTAATCTAAATTCGTCATGATTTGCATAATGATGTTAAAACTCTCCTATGAATATACCTAAATCATCTGGGTTTATGTATTCGTTTATATTAAAAACATATCCTACTAAATCAGTTCCTTCTATTTCAATTATCTCTTATAATTATCCAGATGCAACGACATAATAAGACTATGTGACTGCTATTATTATCTTTGAATAATGTAATAAGTCCTTTTCTTCATGGCAATAAGGAGGATATCCTAAATATACATAATATATCTTTACTTTATTATTTATAATAAGGAGTTGGAATCCAATTCCTTGAATTATGTAATCCTTTCTCTGTTATTAAAAATCTATTATCTAAATTACTTATAAACCTCAAACCAGATATTGGTTTTGATATTATATAACTTATTTACAACTTCATAACTATTTAATCCTCTAAGGATTTTACATATTCATAATGAGTGCTTTCCAATTTTTCTGTTGCAAATTAAAATTAAACAGTAATTTTTTGACAATCATCCTAACTTTAATTCAACAAAGCATTCATTGTCATATATGAACATGGTGATTTAAATGGTTTCTATGATTTCAATAAATTTGATTATTTTTCATTCGAAATATATTATTACTTTACTAATTTTATTATTTAAGGATATTTTTCGGAAGGAAGGAATGTAATATTTTTTATATCATATTGACGACCATATAATATGAATTCCATCGTTTGGTTAAGGTCAACTAATTGATCTTTTGATTCTGAAAACCCTATTGTGAGTTCATAAGATGCCAAACAATCAATCTCACATTTTTACATATTTGTAGTCAATCTAACTGATTATGACTTAAGTTGAATGCAAGGAATAGAATATTGTAAAATTTCAGATGGAATATCACCTTAGAGCATTGCTAATAATAAATAAATTAATAATAATAATATAAAATTATTTATACAAATTTTAGTAAATTATTGAATTACAACCAAATTCAAATTTTCTACTTTCATTTATTTAAATTTATATTTAAATTGATACTTCAATTTAATCTTTACAATATTTGAGATTTAAAATCACAAATATTTTTATAATTTAAAAACAAATATATTTTTATGAATTTTTGAAATGTAAATTTCGTTATCATTTCTTATTAATCTAAACTAAAGAGATAAATTATAAATATCCCTTTAAATGTTAAAATAAAACTGACAGTTTAAGATATTTATCATTTTTTTTTAATCAATTTATCGTTTTTTATGAATAAACTTTTAAAAATTATGTTTATTTAACACTTAAATTAAAGAATTTTAGATGTTTGAAAAATTAATCATATTTTATTGGGTAAGACTTATACTCAGAAAGTTAAGATATTATTGAGTTTGCTTGAACAATATATTATTAATTGATAATTTGATATACGGTAAAACATTGATTTTTATCAATAAAATAAATTCTCTTTTTATATACATAAATCTGTATTTTTGAGTTATTTTATCTCAATTGATGTAATCAAAAGAATATTTTTGAGATCTTTTTTATTTTATTAATATTAATGGTTGTGAGCAGAATTTATAAATAATAAATTAAATGGCTGGAGTGCAATAAAAGATCTTCAATAATTAATTTGTTGTAAAAAAAAGGATTTCGTCAGGTTCATTCGGTGTAGTGTATTAAGGATTTGATTTACGGTCATCAGACCATGTAGCAATTAAAGTTGAAAAGCTAGAAGTGGATGAATTATTAAGTTTAGATAGAGAGGTTGAGTAATTGTATATAAGATAGATTTAAATATTGAGATTAGTTTAGGGAGTGCCCTAAGTTCCTAGACTGAAATGGGCAGGAAAAGATTAAGGAAATAATGTAATGGTAATTTAGCTGTTGGGTAGAGATCTAACTCATTATATGAGATAGAGAAAGCGATTCAGTTTACCTTGCGTTTTAGGAATTGCAGATTAGATGCTAAATATACTTGAAAACATTCACAATAAGTACATTTTCTATTCAAGCCAGGGGTGTGATTCATAGAGACATAAAACCAGAAAATATATTGGTTGGAAAAGAGAAAGAAAAAAATCAAATATACCTAGTTGACTTCGGTATAGCAAAATAATTCAAAGATAAAGATGATAAACATCTGTATTTAATGCAAATTAATATTAGTCCATTCAAAGATAATAAGCCATTCCTTGGAACTTCTAGATATGCAAGCATAGCAGCACATAAAGGATATGAATTATCTAGAAAAGATGATCTTGAATCATTAGGTTATATGTTAATGTAATATTGATACATTAAAGAGATTTTTATTGAGAGGAAGTTTGCCGTGGTAAAATGTAAATTATAAAAATGAAGAAGAAAAAGTTAAAACAGTTGGATTGATGAAAATGAGAATTTCAGCATAAGAATTATGCTAAGATTTACCAAATGAATTTATGAAATTTATAGATTTAGTAAAGAAAATGAGTTATAGAGAAAAACCAGGCTATAAGTAAATTAAAAATTGAATAGATAGATATTTTTAATAATTATTTAGAAAGGTGGCCACTTAATAATAAGTTGAATATAGATTTGATTGGTTAGATGAAAATAATTAAGAGAAAAAATCTGGTTCTATGTCCCCAAAAAAGTAATAATCAATAAAAGTGATGGATTAACCACATTTAATATAGTAAATCTATTCACCAAAGAAGAAAAAATAAAGTGAAGAGTTTGATGATACAGGGCCGTCAAAGAGAGAGTCAAATGGAAAATTATCAATAGCAAATAACTCATATAATTTATTACCATGTGAGAGTAGATTAAATTTAAGACATAAAAGCACAAGTTCATTTAATGAATCTAATTAATAATATAGTGATATTCAACCAGAAGTGAGTTGTTTGATAGCATATTAAAGAAATGTAAGATTTGGATCATTTCATAATGAAATAAATAATACTCCAAAATAAGCAGAAAGAAGTACATCTGCGTAAAATAAGATTAGAGTTACACATAAATTGAGTTTGGATGTCAAACCAAATTGTTATAATTCCATAGTAGAATTACAATTAGGATTAATGAATAATCCGTCAATATTAGATTTTACAGTAAAGTATTAGAATCAAATGAATGAAGATGAAAGTCCTTGTCTTGATGATAAATTCAGTATATTACAAAAAGATTCTATAGAAAAGTATAAATTTAATAAGTAAATAATTAGTTAATTTAAAAACCCAATCTAATTATTTAGAATGAGTTACAAAGATAAAACAAGAGTTAAAAATAATTGAATAAACTTTATATTTATTATTTAATGAATCAACCCTCATAGTATGGTTAAGCATATCCACCTAAAGTGCTTCTCTTCCATGATCTATTATAATGAGCAACAGCATCTAATAAGTGAGTAGGTCCCCATACAACAACAGAGATATCCTATTAAATTATTAACTAAATATACTTTATCCCAGAAATGTCTAGTAGCAACTCTAGTTAAATGACCAGCATCAAGAGCAGAGATTCTTCTAGCAAATTCACTTCTTGGTACTCTTCTTCCCCAATAGCTAAATTTTTATGAGTAAAAGATACAAAACTTATTAAGCAATTTCTCTTGATTATTTAGCTGAGCTTTCTTAACTTAATAATTCATTAAAAACTTTGGCTCTAGCTCTAAATACTTCAACTTATCCAACAGATGAAGCATAATCAGATAAAACCATTTGACTGACATATGCCATTTAAGTAGCGAAGACTTCATTACCAATCAAATAATTTCCAAATAGACCAGTATCTGAATATGCATAATAAACGCATCTTTAATATGTAACATCAGGTAATCCACCAAGAATAGAATGCATAGTATT